AGCGTCTCGAGGCATCGCCCTGAGGTAGGATCCCAGATCTTGATAGTCTTGTCGCTCGATCCTGATGCGAGACGCTGGCCATCGGGCGAGAACGCGACCGAATAAACCGAGTAATTATGCCCTTTGAGCGTCTCGAGGCATCGCCCTGAGGTAGGATCCCAGATCTTGATAGTCTTGTCGCCCGATCCCGATGCGAGACGTTGGCCATCGGGCGAGAACGCGACCGACCGAACCCAGTCATTATGCCCTTCCAGCGTCTGGAGGCATGCATCCCAGTCCGCTTCCACTATCGGCTTCGTCCTGATCCAGCTAGGTACTTCTGCCCTAAATGTCTTTTTCACCAGACTGGAAGCTGGTGCAAATACAAGGGCCGAAGTGTACGTCTGGAGAGGGGCTTGCCCTACTACCCATCCGTAGGCCAAAGCAAACCGGTACGCATCCCAAACGAGTTTCGTCAGTTGGCTGCTCTCGGTGCGTCCCTATATGTCTGTCAGTCTTGGTTTCTGGTGTTAGGTGGGAGACTCACCAGTATGCCGTTAAGCTGTGTTATGGCGATAATGCCCTCCGACATTCCTCGGAGTAGGCTGAGAGCTTCGAGCCAGTAAAGATACTTTTGCTCAAGGAAGGTCTGAATCGTATCTAGCGTGTTTTGTTGCGGCGTGTCTTTTCCGGTAATTGAGTCGCGGAGATGGTCAACCCAGAAGACGCACGAGTACCGTACTGTGGCCAGTGGGTCTGGAGATGGCGTTTTAGCCTTGTTAATTGGGAGTCCCAGTTCCTTTAACCCGTAGATGTCGCGCCGCAAGACCGTAGACATCGCGCTAACCGATCTTGAGAAGATAATGTGGTTTATATCTTCCATGCCCCGAGGAAAGACCCAGTTGCAAGCCTTTTGAGAAGCTTGGTGCGCGGCCTTCCCCTGTAGAAAGTCTTTGGCTGATTGGTGGACGAAGTAGACAACCTTCTCTCGAAGAGTCAAAAAAGACCCGCAAAGCTTTATAAGCTCTTCCAAGTACTCCGGATGATCCGAAATGTCGTCTGGCATCTCGACAACAGCAATAAGTTCAGGAAGGCTGACGGGTCGGCGAACGACAGTAGCGGCGGCAAGGATTCGCTTGCAAAGATCTGCATCGTTTGAGGTGTCGATGTATTTCGTCATTCGCGCATATAGAGAATCCAACCCGGGTGGAAATGCGCGTAGCTTCTTTAGCGTTTGCCATCTGCGGACGTCCGGGTCGGCGAGTGCCTGGCAGACTAAGGCTACCCAGAGAAAGGTTCCATTCGCGTTGGAGGAGAGATAATGATGTACGGCATTCTCCATGGTTTTGTCGTAGTGTTTTAGGCTGGACAAGTAGAGAACTTTGTGCCGAATGAATGCTTCAACGGCTGCGGTGACAGATTCGGCGTTCAGCTCGAGGCTGAGCTTGGACTGTTGGGCGACGGTCGACAGCTGTTCCTCGATCTGCACCCAATTGCGACCAGACACGACCAACTTGACACGAGTGGATACCGACGATATCTGAACGATTAAGCTGAGAAGCTTCTGTTGGTCTGTGACACATTCGTCCAGAGCATCAATCACCAAGTAGGTGACCTTCAAGTTCGGATCTTCTAACATCTCCAGTAGAGTCTTCGACAAGACGATCCATGCCATGGCATCATCCGAGGCGTACATGTTCTCGGGCAGGTGTAAGAGGAGACGTGGCTGCCGTTGGGCGAGGAGGTATATTATCCCCCGTAGGACTGCAGTTGCGTTGTTAATGCGCGAGTCCGTAGCTTGGCAGAAGAAATATGCCAAATTGCCACCGTCAGCGATAACAGGTCGCTCGAGCTCATCAATAATGCCACAAAGCAACATAGTCTTGCCTTTGCCGGGATCACCCTTTATCCAGAGCAGGCGGCTCTCTGTTTGGTAGCGCCATCGGTTGAAGTCGTGGTTGTCGAAGACCCAGCGGTAAGCGTTAGCCAGCAGACCGCCCTTTGCCAGTTCGATGCCCTTCTTTTCAACCCGCGGGTCACGCGGGTCAGCGGACCACAGCTTTGCCAGTCGGTGAACATTCTTCTCAATCTTCTCCTGCAGCCGATCGAACGCCTTTGCTTTTCCTTCGCCGTAGAGAACCGGCATGTGCACGTCGAAGATGCCGAATAAAGAGTACGCCTTGTCTTCTTCAAGTGTGGTGTTTCGCTTCTCGGTCCACGCCCTTCGTTCATCAAAGCTGAAATCCGACAGCGGATATCCCTGGAGGGCTCTGACGGGAATCTCGGTTATATGGTGAATTTCCTTTTCCAAAGACTTCTTGTCTCCCAGACGCAAGCCTTCTTTAGAGTAGAACTCGACCGACGTTGGGGCGATAAGCTCTTGGAGGGTCCATCCTCTGGTGAACCATCTGCTCTGTTGGAAGGCCTCCTTCCAACCTCTAGAGAAGAGCTTGGTAATTGCCGGCGCAGTGAGTTTGTTGAACGTCCATCTTTGGGTGACACATCCGCTTTGTCGAACGACCAACTTCCAGTCGGGGTTGTCTGTGATATCCTGCTGATGGGTTGAGACATCTGCTAGATAGACATAACAGTTTGCCGCGTCGCGATACCACTGAAACATGGAGTTCAGTGCTTGCTGAAGCTCGGCAGCGTCGGACTTGTCGATGCAGCACGTGTCGACCCAGAAGTATTTCAGTCCATCGCGTTCGGCTTGATCTCCGCAGAACTGGATCTTAGCATAACCCGCTTTTTTCTTGGCCGTGCCATCCTCCAGGTCTTTGAAGAGGACCTCCTCCTCGCCCCATGTGTGTGAAAGTATCGCGTAAGGGGGGATCTCGGGGATCACGTCGCTCGGAAGGTGCTTCGTCAGATGGAACTCGCCAGTGCCGTCGCGTTCCAGGAGCCGCATGACGCACTGGGCTCACGTCTCGGCAGGTATCGTTCCGCAAACAGTGATGGGGTTCGCGGAGGAGAGGATTGAACGTTGTGGACCCTTGGTTTGAGGCATCAGCATCCGAAGTACGATAGCTGCTAGTGATAGGTAAGAGCTACCTATTTTTGGCAGTCGGAGCACGTAGCGCGCGTCTCAGTGGTTTCGATTAGCATATTAGACCTTGATGTAGTTGTGGTTGCGGTCGTCAGAAGTTCTACGATGTTCCCCGCCGCCATCACAAACCCCGCACGGTAAGCATTCGGTGCATTGGTGCCTGAACGGCTCGCGAGTGATTGGGCGTCTTCGAGCATCGTGATGAGTATGTGAATTACTGATGCACTTTGGAATATGTCTCCTCCAGTTGAGCGACAACTGCGGAAAATGCCATGTGGGAAATGAAAAGAGGAACTGAGACGAGCAAGAAGCCGAACTGAGCTTGGCGGAGAGGAGAAATGCCAAGTTTACAACAGGTAGCCCGCTTGAATAACAAAGTACATGCAGGTGGTCTTGCACTGTGGAAGAAATTCACGTGCTGATCGCAAAGCTCTCATTACCTAGGGCTATGAAATGGTACTTATTGCGGAAATGTCAGATCTGAGCCAAAATTGGCTCTGCGATGTACCTTCAAGTTTCTCAGGTAGAGCTGGTCCGTGCCCAAATTGATCAAAGAGTGCAAGACCGGACACCGGTTTCGCTCCCAGCTGTATGACTAACGTTATTGAATTCAGGTCATGGTGAAATTCTAGGTTCGACAGGCGAATCTCATATCTCATGTTCAACTTTTCCCTTCAACATCGCAAATCTGCATGAAGATGATATTCAACTTGGATTGTATCTAGCAGTTTAGATTCCCCAGCCAACCCCCCAAATCTCTCAACATGAACTCAACCACCCCTCCAGAAGACCCCCAAAACCAAACAGACCCCCCCACCAAAATCCGCACCCTCCTCCGCGCCAAAGACGACACCTCCCGCTTCGTCGGGCTGGCCCTTCTCAAATCCGTCCTCAACAACACCCCGGATCTCCGCAGCAACCATGACATCCTCATATCCCTCTGGGAAGCCATCCCACCCAAGTTCTTGGCCCGGCTGATCAAGACGGGGTCGACGACATCTGCGCGCAGGGAGCCGTCCAGCAAGGAGTCCTCACGCAGGGAAGCCAATGATATGCTGGGCCTTGCCGTCTCGGTGCTGCATACTTTTGCGTCGTTGTTATCTGGGGAAGCGAGGCAGAGCCTCAAGTTTGTGGACAGGATACCGCAGCTTGTGGGGTGTCTTTTGCATAGGTAGGCAAGCGATTACCCGTCCCGCTTGGTGGTTGAAGAAGGTATTCTGACAATGTAGCAGTTCGGATGAAACCACCAAACTAGCCCTCGAGACGCTGGTCAGTCTTGTCAGCCAGCCGGAGGGGGCCCGGGCATTCACAGCCGTGGAAGACCTGACTCCCCTGACGGAGATCGCCTCATCACAGCCTCTCGCGCTGGATGTGCTGCTCTACGCGTGGCTCAACGCCATGGCTGCGGTCACGAACAGGGACAGCCTGAGGAGTAAGATGGATAGCACCATCGGCAGTTTGGTTGTCTCTTTCAAGGGCACAGATGCTGTCACGCTGCTTAGCTTTCTTGGGAATTTGCTGCCCAAGCTCGAGGCTGAGGCCAGTTACCCGGCTATCATGCCATAGCATCACCATGCTGACTTTTACGCGTAGATCCTACCGTCAAACCCCAAATGGCTTCCTTCCCTCGCAAGCTTCATCCACAACCTCGTGGCCAGCCGTCCCACTTCAGCCGGCCGCGAAGCCTTCACCAACCTCTCCGCAGCCCTCCTCGAAGTCTACCCCTTCCACGCCCCCGCCCTCCTCTTCAGCAACCAAGATACCATCACCCCCAAACCATTTTCGTCGTCTTCCTCCCACCCCTCATCATACCTCCTCATCAACCTCCTCCAAGTCGACCTCCGCGCAACCCTACCCACTCTCCTCTCCCAACTCAACAACCCCACAACCTACCCACCCACCGCCCACCGCCTAACCTCCGCCTTCAACATCACCTCCCACTTCACCGGCTACCTCCTCCGCTCTCTCGAGTCTTCTTCTGACACAACAACAACACTCTCCCTCGCCCCCGACCTCCTCCTAACCCTCCGCAAATCCCTCTCCGAAACCCTCTCCCTCACCGCCGAGTTCCTGCGCGACCGCTGGGATGCCTCGGTCGCTGGGGCTATGGGTCTGCACCCTGATGCGCGCGCGCCGGCCCCTTCGGCGTCTACCGCTTCTCACACCAGTGGTGTGAACGTGACAAGCGGAAGAGGCGTACTAGCGTGGGACTCCATAACAACCAGCGTAGCCTCCGACCCGCTTGTGCTGGCCGCCGTGCGGTGTCTGGCGATCTGGGTGAGGGAAGACGATGGGGAGGTGCTGAGAAGGGAAGTGAGCGGGTTGGCGGATTTGTTTGTGGAGTTGTATCGGGGGAGCTGCAATACCCCCAATAACAACAACAATAACAACGATAACGATAACAAGAACGGCCCGGATGCAGGCCCCAGCCTAGACTTCCGCCGCGCAATCCTCGTCGCCCTAGAAGGGATAACCGACGAGCGCAAAGGCCGCGAAGCCGTGCTAGAACACGGCGGGTGGGAGGTCCTCGCGGCTGATCTCCTCGATATTTTCACCTGCAGCAGCAGCTCCAAGCCCGCCCCCCCAGCCTCAGTCTCGGCCTCAGTCTCAGGATCAGGGTCAACAGCCGAAGAAGAAGACAGCGCGCGCGGCGTGGAAATAGTCCGCGTGCTCCTGCAGATTGCGGAAGCGGAACAGCCTGGGCCGCGCGAGGCGTGGATGGATGTTGTTACGAGGGTTGCTGCGTGGGAAGTGCCGGATGTGCCGGACGGGAATACGGAGAAGCCGTCAATTGTGGAGGAGTGTCAGGTGGCGGTGCTGCAGCTGGTTACCACGCTGTTGGCGAATGCACATGCGGGTATGCGGAGACGGTATGTGCATTCGATGAGTGCGGTCGTGGGGATTGCGCGACAGTTGTTGGAGGGGGGAAAGGTTGAGGGGGATGAGGGGTTGGAAGAGGCGTTGAGGGATGTGGTGGATACCTTGGAGGGGATTAGGTGATGTGCCAGAGGTATTCGGGTGATGCTATGTGGCTGGTTTGTTTGTGTGTTGGTTGTTTGGAAGCGACACTCGGGGTACGGACTAGGAAACGCCTTCCGCTCGGGTGCGAACGCGATACGATCTCCGGTATTCCCGGTACTGTATCATTCAATCAAAAACAACGCTCATAAACCACGCCGGTTCTCGAAATTCACATCCTCAACCTCAACTCACAATGTCCTCGTCTCAACATCCTCTATCTTACCCTAACCCTAGAGACCTCTTGTCCCCTATTTACCCCTTATAACCTGTTCACCCCTCATAACCTACCTACTCCTGATCGACCTATACACCTCTTATCAACCCGCACCCGTGGCTTAAATACCCCATCATGCCCAAGCAGCACCCCCTCCCCAATCCCGCCGCGACAATCCGCAAACAACACTTCCTCCACACCTTCCGGGCCAGCCTCTGCAGAACCTTCCACGACCACGGTCCAGACCACAAACCGAGTGCTTCCTGGCCGTCCTTTGTCTTGCCCAACGACCCGGGCCGGGGCATGTATCTGGGGGAGGGTAATAATACGCACGCTGCTGCTGCTGCTGCGGTGGTGGTGCCCGTCAAGACGAGTAATAGCCAGGGGCAGATCCCTGTGACACCTTGGGTGGTGGGTGAGGGGGGTACTGCTGCTGCTGCTGCTGCTGCTGTTCCTGCAGGGGCTTCTTTGGGAAGGGTTACTTCTGGTCCTGGGCCACAGAGGGCGTTGACCGTCCGTACGCAGGGTTGTAAGTCGTCACAGTAACCTACATATCATGAACCTAGGAACTCCCTCTTGTGAACTTAACGTCCCTAACATATGAGACCAGCCCACCACACCTCCCCAATATTCCGGCACCACCACCGCAGCACCCCCCCGACCGCCTCCTCCCCCGGTCCAGCCGCCCTTCTCGCCCTCTCCGACTCTGTCCGCGCCTCCCTCGCCAAACACGCCAACTTCGGCCCCCAAGCCAACGCCCTGTCTTTTTTCTTGCAGCTCGCCCTGCTCGAAGAAACCACCACCACTTCCCCCTTGGGCACTAGCACTCCTTTGGGGACTAGAACTCCTCTGGGGACTGCGGGTGTTGCTCCTAGTCTAGACTTTGAAACAATCAAATATGCCCGTCTTGATAAGTTAGTCGCTGAACTGACTGTGTGTGGGGAAATGCCGTTTACGTTGGCGCCGAGGTTTGTGCATGATGTGGTTACGGCTGCACGGTTGGAGCAGTTGTGGAGGGGGAGGTTTGGGGTTGAGTATGCTTTGTTGGATGAGGTGCGGGTGAGCTATCTTGCGTCGAGGTGGATGGTGGGGGCTGGGTCTGGGTCTGGGTCGAACTCAGGGCTGAGGTCGGGGGGTGAAGGAGGAGGAGGGGGGAAGGGAGGAATAGGGGCAGTGCCGAGACGGGTGAGGGTGCCAAAGTTGTTGGTGGCGATGCGGCTGTGGCCTGGGGTGAGGAGGGAGCAGGGGAGGGTGTTTAGCCCGGGGGAGTATGTCCCCCTTTTCTTATTTATTTCTTCCTTTTATTTTTCTTTTTTTATTGTTTCGAAATAATACCCCTCATCTAAACAACATCACTAACACCCCCCAGCTAGTACCTCAACCTACCCTGCGCCCACCTCGACGGCGTCGTCAGCACCGCCCACGAAACCACCATCAGCACAGCCACCGACGACATCCCAACCCTCCCCTTACTCACCGGCCGCGAGATCCACGCCGGCCACCTCCACCACCGCGTCCGCTACCTCCGTGAAGCCACCAGCACCACCCTCTCCCAGTTGCACCCGGCGCTGATCCCCCACCCGGGTCGACATGTCCGCGTGCTCAGGGGATACCAGCTGCGCAGTCCGTTTGCGCCGGCTGTGGGGATACGGAATGATGGGCTGTACGTTGTAATCCCTTACCCCCAAGTCTAGATCGTGAAGGTTGCTAATTACGGGGAGTAAAAAGATGGAAAGTCCTCCGCTACGGCGAACGTCTAATCCACCGCGCCAGCGGCCGGTACCGGCTAGAAATCGACCTCGAGCAAGTCCCCGGCCAGCCGCCCATGGCCGAGCTCATGGCTGTGCCGCGGCCGTCGCATTTGGACGATTGGGATTTGTATAGACGGTTGGAGCCGGCACCTCCCTTACGGATACCGAGGCAATCTGAGAGGGAGGGTGAGGTTCTGGCTCAGGGGCAGACCCGGAAGGGGGCTCCGAGAGAGCAGGAGAAGACAAACGATAACGGGACGGCGGTGCCGGTCCCGGGGCCATTGGAGGATGGAGGACCGGGGAACAGTGTCAAGAGTGAGCCGGTATCCGGGATGGAGAAGGGCGATAGCACGGGGGGTTGCTTGAGCATGTTGATGGGCTGGAGAAGGGGGAAAGGGTGATGACAGGCCTGAGTTCTTTAGTGTTTGGACAGAAATTGTAATCAGTAGCTATATTGTATCATTAAGAGGGCACGAGAGAGTCTTTCTCATCGCGCTATTGCTCGCTTCCCCTTTCAAAGCTAGAGATCGCAGCGCAATTTGAGAAGTTGTCTAACATAACCCTAACCCTGTACCTCATCAACCCTCAACATCGTCAGTGCCCCCGAAGAGGGGCAACTCACCTCAACTCACCTTAACTCAACCTCAGCCTCAAATCAACTCCCATCCGACCACCCCAAACACCCACCCCTTCCTCTCATCCAACACCAACTCACCCGCCCACACTCACCAACGCCGTAAGAAAGAGAAGGAATACGGCATGGGCAAAAAAGACACCAAGTCCTCCGGCGGAGGAGGCAAGGCCGACAAGGGCGACAGCAAGTCAAAGAAGGGCAACGGCGGCACGAAGGGGAAAGGTGATGGAGATGCCGGGGATGCAAAGGGGGGTGGGAAATTGAAGGGGATGACGATTAATGTTAGGCATATTTTGGTATGTTTTTATCGTTTTTATTCTTCTATTTCTTTTCTCTCTTTTTAGGGGGTTCGTTCTTCAATTTCACTCTTAGTTACCCTTCACTTCTTTGATGATACTTTGGGCGTAATTTTGTTTCTGGTTTCTCGTATCGGGTACCACAGTCATTTCTACGACTCCATAGGCGCTACCTGATGAAACTGACACCTCTCTCCTGGAACATAGTGTGAGAAATTCGCCAAGAGTGAACAAGTCATTGAGCGGCTCAACAACGGCGAAAAGTTTGACGCCGTGGCTAAGGAAATGTCGGAGGATAAGGCCAAGGCGGGTGAGTTGTTCTTATCGTTACTTTCTTTCCCCCTCTCCTGTACAACATCTCATACGCCTTAGGTGGATCACTTGGCTGGAAGACCAAAGGGTCGCTGGACCCCCAGTTCGAAGAGGTGGCCTTCAAGCTGCCGCCGAGTCCGGTTGATAGTCCCACATTCGAGAGGGTCAAGACGGGATTCGGGTATCACATTATCATGGTCGAAGGGCGTAAATAGGTTTCACATCTTGTCAGCGGGAACAGCGGGAGTATTGAGGGTTTGGGTCGACAACCAAGTGCCAGTCGCAATGCTTCTTTTTATTTTTTGTCTTCCTCTTGAACTTTCCCATGTCGCATGCATGCCAGAAGGGGTGTATAACCGCGTGAGAAAGGGAGTAACCCGCGCCAAACCTTTTAGGTTTTGTTTTGTCCCAGCCGACGAGAAACCAGGGACACCCCGAGGGAGGCATCATCCGGGTCACAAAATAACCCGGAAGAAAAAGGCGCCCGAAAAAAAACCCAGACTTCCCAACCCCAACTCCCTCTATGCATTTCCCAGTTTTCGGCCCCTTTCCCCATTTCCCTGAAAGAAAATGCCGCGACCATCGACCCCTGTGCGCACGCCTACGCTTGGGTCCGTTTACGCCTCAGACTGGAAGTAGTTGAGGAGGATGGAGCGCTCCTGCGACTCCTCACCCCAGTCCTTGACGACGACGCACGAGCAGTTGACAACCTTGCGGGCGTTGCCCTCACGGTCGAGGACGCCTAAAGAAAGAAGACTCGAGTTAGCAAACCCCCGTTCCGTTCCCAATAACCCCTCTATCCATTCCCATATCTCGGGCCACTCACAGAGACCAGCCCACTCGCCGAGCTGCTTGCCATCGGGCACCTTGATAAGCGGGATCTTGTGCTCCGAGCAGAGCGCAATGACGAGCTTCTTGTAGGCCTCCTCCTCGCACGACTCGTTGAGGACGCACATGTGCGCCTGCCGCCGGTCGAGCGCCTTGGACGCCTCGCGGAGCCCGCGCGCCAGGCCGTCGTGCATCAGCGAGAGCTTCAGCACGCCCTTGAGCGCGTCCAGGACGGACATCTGGCCCTTGCCGGCATCGGCCGACACCTCAACCTCCTCCTGAACCTCGGGGGCGTTGGTCTCTTCTACGTCCGACTAGAGTGGGGGAAAGAATTCCATGGTTAGCGGGGGTGTTCTCAAGCGAGTACGGGTTGATGATGGTTTCTCGAGAGTAATTCGTCGGCGGTTAGGGGGGAGCTGGTGGAATTGGCCAGATTTGGCTGGCCGAAAACTGAAGCGGGCGAAAATAGGGACGGGGGCCTGTATGAGGGGAAACTATGGGGGAGCTCACCATCTTGACGTTTGTTGTTGTAGATAAGGTGTCGGTTACGATCCTCGAAGAGCAATTGGTAATGTGAACGTTTTTCGTGAAGTTGCGGAGGACCTCGACTCCCGGGAGAAAGTCCAAGAAGAATGTGTGTGGGCTCTCGGCCCCACCATTCCGGCCTGGACCCGAATTCTGACATTTTGTGTGGCCGCGGCCTCTCCAATGGCAGCGCTACCGCATTGGGTAAGCGCACAAACCCAGTGCCCAGCGTTTAGGGCAAGTTTTCGCGTGCACGGGCCACCACAGCTCCCAGCACCTCTCGTGTCAATTTTTCTTTTCGTCGCGCGAACTAAAACCTTGACCCGCTCGTCGACCCGATCAGATCAACCATCACCAGCTTCTCAGCGCAGGCACAATTGAGGTATGTAGTTAGGCCCGAGAAATGACTTCTCAACAACAGGACGACGCCTTTCGCGAAGGCCGAGGAGAGCAATCATGGGGCGGCTGAAAGCGACGATGAGTGCGGAAAGCTGCCCCTTTGATACGCTTCTCCTCTTCGGCAACTGAGCAGGCAGAACCCTCTTGAGAGACTTGTCGTCAACTCGAGGGCACTCTCCGCGCTCTAAAGCCTCGAAAGGCTAACGTAACACGCTTCGGCACGTTTGGCAGATACCTCATATCCCTTTAGACGATTTGAGAATCTCCCATCTCGACCACCCCCCACAACCGCCAAAATGGTCCGCACTTCCGTCCTGCACGATGCTCTCAACAACATCAACAACGCCGAGAAGGCCGGCAAGCGCCAGGTCCTGATCCGCCCTTCCTCGAAGGTCATCATCAAGTTCCTCGAGGTCATGCAGCGCCACGGTACGTTAAAAAGCTTCTTTTGGACACAATATACCTCCGAATGGACATGTAAACGGACCCTCGCAACTTCGCACACTGCCCGCATCCCTCGCCCGCCACCCCACCAACTCGAACTTCGGCATGATAACTAGGCGATGATCTTTCCTGCTCCACGATCCAAGCCCTTTAAGTTGCCGAGATATTAAACACCAATGCGAGGGTCTTACACGTTCTCGGAGGCTACAATGATGTCCAATGTTTAATCTCTCGCAACAAATCACTGACTGAGTTATCATTAGGCTACATTGGCGAGTTCGAGGTTGTCGACGACCACCGCGCCGGCAAGATCGTTGTCCAGCTCAACGGCCGGTGAGTACATACATCCCTGAGGCCGATTTCCTCCTAGACCCCCAGTTAACCATTGTCTCCAGCCTCAACAAGTGCGGTGTCATCTCTCCCCGCTACAACGTCCGCCTCGCTGAGCTCGAGAAGTGGGTCGTCAAGCTGCTCCCTGCCCGTCAGTTCGGCTTCGTCATGCTCACCACCTCGGCTGGTATCATGGACCACGAGGAGGCCCGTCGCAAGCACGTTTCTGGCAAGATCATCGGCTTCTTCTACTAGACAATTTACCCAAAAATGTATGAGCCGAGAGGAGTTTAAAAGAGTAAAAAAAGACAAGACGATGGACTTGGCATTGTGCTAGGCGTTGAACTGCGTTTTAAGGGATACCCTTCCGTGATTATATAGATCCGGACCTGTTATGTTTATCCAGACAGGATTGTCGTAATACCTGCCGTATGCGGCCGGTTTCCCTCAAGCCCCCTAGATGTCCAAACGATGAACTTTTGTGTCCTCATAGAACCTATGATGTGTTACGTTAAAACTATGTATGGACGTCAAAATAAGAGTTTGTTACAGGGGGACACAGCCCCAACGGCAGTGACGATGCACCCCGGGAATCGCGAATGTTACCTAATACTTTGTACATATGTATTTCCAAGGGCGCGGAAGTGAGGCACGATTATTCGATGTGGTGGCGTCCATAATTGTGCGCGACAAAACCTCTAACAGGCATCGTCGGCGTCCTACGGGGGGCGGCGTCACTATCCGGTAACGATTTCGGACCCACAAACTTCCCGCATCCCGCGTCAAATTGTATGTGTTGTGAAGTGTTGCTCTTCCTAAACCGAACAATCGTCTATATCGACTTTCCACATTCCGTGTCAACCAATCGCATATGTGACGAAGTGTTACTATTCCCAAGCAAAACAATCGTCTATGCCGTCTTCCTACTTGTAATGGACGCTCTGCCGCAATGAGACCGAGTGCATTTCATTTGTCTACTCAGACACTTCGCCGCCGTCTTCCGCCGTTTTACCAGACCTCTGCCCTTCTACGTCCTCTTTCCCGCCCACAGAATTCACCACAAAACACGACGCATGGTTATCGATTTGCCAGTACACCCCCAGCGCCCGCTCCCGCTGCTGAGTCTTCGATCGGAGAGCCCCTGCCTGAAGGATCATATGTCGACTCATCTCAAGGCAAGCGCTATATCATCGGTAATGTGCTGACTGGACGGAAAAGGCCCAGGATATGGCATGTTTATAGCGCAACGTAGGTTGACTGACTCTCCTTACGACCCGTCTTTACAAATTGAGAGGGCGGAAAATTCCTAACTACATTTCACCTGGTAATTCCAGACATGAGGGGAAAAATTTCCGTCTGAATGACATCGTCCCGGCCAAGTTCGACTCCGTTGTATCACTACAGGAGCGCATCAAGCACTCGCGTTATATCCAAACGGCCGTAGACAGTATCCCAGAGCGGCATATGCTCGTGTACCCCCGTTCTAAGAAGTCACTAGCCCGTCTCGGCATCGCAGCTCTTTCCTCTACGGCCAAAAAAGCCATCATAAAGGATGTCCTCACTGGCCTTGAGGATCTACACGACAAACACATCATTCACAACGGTCAGCCCCCCCTTTTCGGAAGGAGTATATTATGTCTGCTGATAAAGCCTACAGATATCAAACCTGCAAACATCATGATGGATACCTTCAAAGAAGAGAGCAGCGATATTACATCGTACAAACCCCAGATCAGCGGCCTACAACGTGCGGTGGTACTCTCATCCGAGGACAAGGGGCTTACGGGCCGACTCTCAAGGTTATACCTCTGGAGAAGCCCAGAGGCTTGGGCAGAGGGGATCCAGAATACCCCGTCAGATATCTACTCCTTTGCCCTCGTGGTAAGTCCTTCTGTCAATATAATCCGCCAATGCCAAAGAAAAAAAAACACGAGGTACCAAGGACTGACCGGCACTCAGGCGATCTTAGTGTGGACCGGACGGATGGTTTTATTGTCGGGCGAGACGGGCCCTCCTTGGTCCAACAAAGGAGGGCAACAAATACTCCGGAACCACCTGTCCTACTTTGGCGGCGAGACCGAGGACTTCGAGGGCTTTGTCAGGTATCACGGGGGGGATGACAATCCGTTTGTCCAGCGCGTTAAGGATCTGCTCTCTACCTTCAACGAGGAGCGCCCGAGGGAGCCTTTTAGTGGGTGGACGTGGGTAGATCCCCGGTTTAGGGATCTCATTTGTAAGATGACTTGTATGGATCCGTTGCGGAGGATCACGGCTCGGGAGGCGTTGGGGCATCCGTGGTTTGCGGAGGACTAAAGGAGCCGGGCAGAACGACGAAGTATTCGGAGGTGGACGCTATCTCGGTACTTCGTATACCTGTGTGTCCTATTGGCTGGGATTTTCGATATTGGGTATTGAAGTGCCGGCGCAGTGTCTTCCGTACCTAGCCATGGGTATCGTGAGATGCGCATGGTGCGGGCGAGATATGTAATGTTAACTGTCATTGCAACCTCCCGAAACCTTCAATTTGGCAAAATGATTCCATCAACGCTGCAACGATTCTTGACACTCGATGCGTGCAAAATTGGGTGTGCAAGGTGTGTAAACTTGTTTTGTGCTAGCGTGCCAAGAAAATTAAGGTTCTCCTGCCATTTGGGGCGGGAGACCACCTATTGACGTTAGTCCGGACTACAGCGAAGTAGCCGTGAGAACGTCTTCTATGGAGCGCCACAGTGCAAGCTCCGGCCATTCCGCCCGAGAAATTAGGAGAGAGCCAGGAGGGCCAAACAATTGCAGGCTTGCAGCAAACATATCATCACGCCAGGAGAGAAGGTTGCATTCGTCCTGCGGGCCCCTTGCGTGCCCCTGAGGAAGGAAAAAAAGGGTGGAGTGTCACTGGAGTGCTCAGAGCCGGAAAGCTTAGCGGTGGCTTTTGCCGCTTCGGGCGGGAGTCCGGCCAGACCGTAGGATCGGCAAGGGCTAATTTGATCCTGTCGAGGAAGGCGGCAAGACTCCGAAGAACAGTGCGCCCCCCAACGGGAAGAAAACAGGCTCAAGACAGGCGACAGGTTTGCCGGTTGTTGGAGCAAAGAATCCACTCCTGTTCTTGGCATACCTCGTGCCAGCTTGGATTCGCCCCCTTGGAAGGTCTTTCATGCGAGCCAAGAAAGAGAGCCCCCCAGCTATGATGCGCCGCCTCCAACAAACTGCATTGTCACGTCTGCTGCCATCTTCTTCTTGGTTTGTGAGTCCTTCATCATTCCGATGCGGAGCGGGCATATCTGGAACGCAGGGAGAGAGCCGCCGCCTCCTCGACGACTACGCCAACGCCAACGCCAACGGCCGCGAACACGCTTGAAACCGAGAATCAGCGAGCCCTCACTCTAGAGTCTAGAAGGATTTAGTGGAGTTACGGAGTAGAAGGGGATCATCGCCCACGAGCCCGAAACCCCGGCGACGACCGTTGGATTCATCGATTGATCGACTTCGGCTAGCCACACGCCTTGACCCTCCGTCTTAGTTGTCTCGTCTTTCGTCAAGGACAGAACAGCTCCGACAGCGACAGCGACAGCGCAGGACATACATATGGGCGACGCGCTGGGCCCGCGCCTCAAGGGTGCCGCTGCCGCGGTCAGCTTTCCCAAGCGGACAATGCGCAACCGCCACCTTGCCCTGCTCGGCGTCATTTTCTTCGTCGTCTTCTGCCTCTACTCGATCGCCCGCAAATCGCCCGACAGCTTACAGGGCGCGCCGGTAAAGGCCGAACCACCACCACCCGTGCAAGGCCCGGATGAGTCGAAACCGCACGAAGTCATCGAGTTCACGAGCAAGAAGTTCGTAACGACAAAACCGAAGCCCGCGCCGGGCGGGAAACACCCGATATGGCACCTCATCGCCGACGCCGAGCGCGAGTTCGAGGCCGTCAAGGCGCGGCAGTCGCAGACCTTGAGCGAAGCCGTGGCCGAGTACCGCCGTCGATACGGGTTACCACCGCCCCCGCACTTTGACAAATGGTGGGCCTTTGCGAGGAGCAAGAAGGTCCAGCTGGTGGACGAGTTCGACACGATCCACGATCTGCTGACGCCGTTCTGGGGCCTGAAGCCGTCGACGATCCGCGCGCGGGCACGGGAGGTCGTCGGCAGGGACAACCAGCTGATGGGGATGCAGGTCCGCGGGGGGAACATGTCGCACGTTGCGGGCGGGTGGGACTGGATGCGGGATTCGGTCATCGGCATGACGGAGAAGTTTACCCAGCATCTGCCGGACATGGATCTGGTGTTCAACGTCAACGACGAGTCCCGCGTGGTCGTGCCCCACGACGACATGGCCCGCCTCGTCCACAAGGCCAAAACAGTGACCATGCCTGCGGCGAACGCCGTCAAGGCCCCGCGCAACGACTTCACCAAGAAGCCCGCTGATCTCAACTACAACGGCCGGTTCGACGACGTCAAGACCTCCCGGTTCGATTTCTTCCCCCACCAGTCCGTCTGGTCGCACTCGCGCCAGTCGTGCCCGCCCGACTCGCCGTCGCGGATCCTCGAAGAGGACGAGCAGTTCGACGACATCGAGAAATACAGCATGGGCGAGCTGGGCTTCGTGTCCAACTGGACAGCCATGTCCGACATCTGCTTGTCCCCCTCGCTTGGGTCGACCTACGGCTTCTTCGAGCGGCCCAACTCCTACGGTGTCGTCCAAGATCTCGTCCCGATCTTTTCCCAGTCCAAGATCTCATCCTACGCCGACATCGTCTACCCGTCGCCCTGGTACTGGGTGGGGAAGGTCCCCTACGACGAAAAGAACGATCCGTCCTGGGACGAAAAGCTTGACCAGCTGTACTGGCGTGGATCCACGACTGGTGGGTTCTCGAGAGAGGGCGGTTGGCGCCGTCAACACCGTCAGCGGTTTGTGCAAAAGATCAACGCTCCCGATGAGGCCAAGGTCCTCGTGCCCCCTGCACCCCCAACCCCTGATAGCACCGGCACAGAAACCGGAGCGATCGCAGCAGCCGCCGCCGCACTAGCTGCCGACACCCCCCCGCCATCCGGCAGTAAGAAACAGGAGAAACAACAGAAACAAGAGAAACCACCAAAACTAGAGAAACCAGATAAACAGAAGCAAACCCCGCCCCCACCATCCCCCGACAAAAACCAACAATGGACCCCCCTCTCCGTCCCCCGCGGCGACTTCAAACACCTCCTCTCCGTCTTCTTCTCCCACGTCGGCCAATGCGACCCCGGCGACTGCGACGCCCAGCGCGCCTTTTTTACGATTCAAGAATACGCCAAGCAGGAAGACGCCCTGGGATACAAGCACGTTCTCGACATGGACGGCAACGCCTTCTCGGGGCGGTTCTATGCGTTGTTGCGCAGCCGCAGTTTGGTGTATAAATGGGCGATTTTCCGCGAGTGGCATGCGGATTGGTTACGGCCGTGGGTGCATTATGTGCCGCTGAGTTTGCATGGGGAGGAGTGGTTGGAGGTGGTGAGGTTTTTTGCCGGGGGGACAGCGCCGGTTGTGGAGGCTTCTGGTGTTGTTACTGCTGGTGCTGCTGCGGGTGAGGGGAGTGGGGTTGGTGGGGTGAAGGTTGATGCTGGGCCTGCTGGTGATGGTGGTGTGCTGGGGAAGAGGGGGGTAGAGAGCGGGAAGGGGAAAGGGGAGGAAGGGGGGAAGGTGGAGGAGAGTAAAGAGGGGAAAGAGGCGGAGAGGATGGCGTTGAGGGGGAGGGAGTGGGCGGGGAAGACGTTGAGGAATGAGGATTTGGAGGTGTGGTTTTTTCGGTTGTTGTTGGAGTGAGTATTTTTTTTTTCTGTCCTTTTATTTCCCCATTTCCTGTTCTTCTTTCCACTCTTTTTTTTCACTCGCCGTTTCTCTACCCCCTTCCCACCGATCAAATACAAAGTACTAACCTCGAACCCACCCACAGATACGGACGTGTCGTAGACGACGACAGAGAGAACATTGGATACGTCGGCTAAACACCGTCCAACGCAAGGGGCTATACATCACCTTGGATACCATCACCTTACCTCGCCTTACCTTGCCTTACCTCACGCTACCTTACTTATCCGTATTTATCACGTGTTATATATAACTCACTACCACTTATTATCACCTCATCATCAATATGGGTGGCTGGTTTGGATCGCAGAGGCCGGGATGGAAATAAATGACAGTGGGTTCGTTCGATCGTCGGCGGGATGGGAGGGTTAATGAATGAGTCAAATATTTTGGATTATTAGGTTGGATGGGTTGGCTGGATTGGACTGGATCGGTCAGGATCGGTTTAGGATTGGATAGGACTATTTGTTATTGTTTTCGTTTTTGTTTTCGTTTTTGTCGTTGAATTTATTGTTATTGTTCTCTGACCAACAGAGTGAGTGAGCTCCCTGGTGGTGTTGACGAACACTGTGTGCAAATATTCAGAGTAACGACTATCTAATTGTCTGCTGACCACCTGGGGTCTGTCTTGTTACGTGCTGTGCCGACTTGTTGGATGAGTGAAGTGGTAAACTGGTTATTTGGCCGGTGAAGTAGTGTGTTGACTGTTGGAGTATGGGTCATGGGTGGGTGGAGGAGGAGATGGAAAGATGCCCAGCGTTGGGGTGTTCCGTTATAGTATGTTAGTTAGCGTTGGCGCTGTTTTTGCGTCCTTGTTTCGAGACTTGTTGTTCTAGTGCATGTTTTTTGCTTGGTGCGCCTTTAGAGTCGGTTCCTGCTTCCACGGCTTCCTTCAGGTTTCGGGTTTCGATCGTTGGTCTCTATCCCGTGGAGGTTCTCAGACGCGTAAAATGATGAAGTTGTACAGTATTAGACGTAGGTCTTGGGAGCAATGGTTTTTGATGTAAAGATACTAGTTAGTCACTTGATAACTCGTCCTTCAAAGATCAATCTCCTTCACGGTAAGATTAGGTCCATGAATTAACTAGACTGCCCGTCAAATCTAGACCATTTCCCTATATTTTGCAAATTACCAGTCTAACTCCGCGCTCCGATGGGGTAAAATTAAACACACGTACAGCTCTCAAGGCTGCTACTACCTAACTGTCGGTATTTTTTCTCTCCCGACCAACACCGAACTGAATGCGAGTTGGCTTACTCCTCCTCACCCTCAGCATCCTCATCCCCTTCATACCGCCCACCATTCGCAGCCGGGCTCGCGCTGCCCTCATCCCGCCTACGATACCCCGGCTCCACATCATCCTCATCCCGCTCATAGCTCTGCACCACCTCCTCAACCTCCTCCTCTTCTTCCTCCCCCTCATCAGGCAAATCACCCACAGGCTGCACCTTGTACCGGGCCAGCTCGCCCAACAACTCCTCACTGGGCTCATCAACACGCACATGCAGCTCATCAAGATGCGTCTCCTCGTCGTCAGTGATGCCAATGGTGCGCGCGATGTTCTTGGTGCGCTGGTTGCGGATGGTGGTGCGCTGCATGACAGGGTAGTAGTAGACAGCCTTAGCGGCAGAATCGTCGGTGCGGCCGCGGGAGGCGCCCTCGTCGTCGCGGAAGGCGAGGATCACTTCCTCGTCGTACTTGTTGTCGTGGTCCATTTCTTTCTCCTGCGCCGTTTCGTAGGCGCGCACGCGTGGGAAGCGGAAGCTGCCGCCTGCTTCGGTGCTGGTGTAGAGGGCGGCGCTGTCGCGGCCGGCGTTGTCGACGTCGAATTTGGCGCGGAAGTGCTCCCCCGTCAACGTGTCGGCGGGGAGGAAGAGGTCGTAGTTCATCATTTGGGAGGGTTTGGGTTGGGTTGGGTCGGCTTCCCAGGCGGCGCGGGCGTTTTCGTAGAGTTGTTCCTCGGCGGCGGTGCGCTCGATGGGTTTGAAGATGCCGGAGAGGAGACGGGTGTCGTACGCGTCGGTGGCGTTGACGGGGTTGGTGCTGAACTTGACGGTCACGTAGGCGCCCGAGTCGGGGAAGGCCTCGAGGTCGGGGAGGAGCGGGAAGGAGTCGACGACTTTGAGGTTGCGTTTTGAGGGGTGCTTGACGCGGGTGCGTTCGGCGAGGTTGGCGGCTGCGACCTCGAAGCTCTTCTCGATGCGCCGGCGGATCCAGGCCGGTGTGCCCTTGTCCGGCTCGGGGGACGCCTTGCGTTTCTCGGGGCGCTTGGCGGCGTTGCCGGAGGATTGCTTGAGGAAGACGGAGTCGGCCGGGCGCGGCTTGGCTTGGACCGAGGAGATGTACTCGGTGCGTCGCAGGAAGGAGACGGCTGTGTCGCCTAGCTTGGGCTTTCCGAGGGTCGCGAGGGGACGGAGGAGGAGGCGGTCGTGGGGGTGGATGGTTTGTGGTTTGCCGGTAGCTTGGATGCCTGTGGGGTGTTAGTCCCGAGGTTCGAGAAGGCGGCGACGAAAAGAAACCACGAAAAGCAGAAGGGAGAAAAGAAAAGGAAAAACTGACAGCTCTCATCCCCATCAAAAACACCCGGCATGCCTACCAAGCTCAGCGGCATGCCCAGCTCAGCGTCCGCCTCAATGTTCAACGGCTGCTCGCGCGCCAGGCGTGACGCAAAGCCGGGCGCGGTGTACTGGCCGCTCGCAAGCCCTGTGTTGGGAATGTCGAGCAACTTGGGCGGGTTCGGCGGAGGAGGGAGCGCATTGGAGTACCGTATCCTGGCAATGTAGTCCTGGTGGATCATGCGTTCGCCGCCGCCTCTCGATTGTGAGGACGACATGTTGGGTGACTGTGTGGGATGGCGGTGGTTTGGTTGTCGAAATGGTCGAAGTCGTCGAGGAAGAAAGATCCAATTGACGATGGGGAATTGGAGCGCGCCGCGGTGCTTGGCGAGACTTGACCAAATCCGGGGTTGGGGTTAGCTAAGGACAGAGTTATTGTTCGCCCCACAATAGCCATGTGAATAGAAAAATACCTGCAGCCCAAGAACATCCATGCAGACTTGATAAAATGGAAAGATATATTTAAAGTATTGGGTATTAACAAAATATTCCGAGAAAAAAAGCCGACAGACATAGAACAACTAACCGGGCCGAATAGTGCTGTCTCGTTTTGTTCGATTCGAAATCTTACAAGAAACCGAGAGTCCTGATGGAAACAAAAACATAGCACAATGGCAACGGTAACTCACAGATTTGGCCGCGTATTCCTGATGGCCTTGGGCGAAGAAACCAAATTAGCAACGCTCCCATACTCGGCCAGCCATGTCTATCCACCTATCCAGATAAACTGCCTCCTTCACATCAGACACAGGTTTGACCCCTACGGGACCTTCGTTGAACTCATAAAACGGTAAATATACCACGAAACATATCTCGCAGCTACCACCCCAAATCCCATGTCCTCACCCCAAGGGGCCAACGCAAAACCCACCCGGTCCCAGTGTCTCTTCCTCGTGGTCGAAAGTGAAAAGCAACATTAGACCGAGCCCCCGGTACCGATGCCTCCAACCCACCCACAAGCAATCCCGTGCGGCAGAGCTGCGGGCTTCATTACAATACGAATTGAGTACATCAAGTTTAGTTCCGTTCTCTCTCCCACCCAATTCCAGGACTGTCATGAGCTCCGTGGCATGCGTCATAATACATGAGAACCCTTCCCACCGGCCCTACTTTTCCCCTCCCTCCAAAAAAGTGAAAAGAAGTATAACCGCCGCCGGGTCCAAATCCATTCTATTAACAAAAAGATGTGCAAATCTCGCCTGCCCGCCTGCCCGTCGGTCTATCTCTCAGACACATCGGACTTTCTTCTCACGAGCTGTTCTTCGTATAGCGCGCCTTGCCAATGGTGAAAGGCACATATCGGTACTTGATCATATGCTGGATTTGCTTCCTCACTGAATTTTCATCGCGGACCCATCAGCAAAGCCCAGACATAAACCGCCATCGGCGTAACCATCCCGACGACCACCACCGCCCTCACAAGAAAAAGCACAACAGGGGACAGGGACAGGAAGCGCATACTCGTCAGGATAAACAGCATAAACCAGTACATGACTAGGACCGGCCAGAACACGGGGACGTTGAAGACCTCGAACCAGCTGCAGACAAAGGAGATGACGACGGCGCGCGTGGCCGAGTGCCAGAACTTGAACTCAGGCAGGCGGCGGATGAAGGGGCGGAATTCTTCGTCTTGCTTGGTCGGGAGGCCGCCTACCGCGCCGTCTTCCATGTCGTTGTCGAGGGCATCGTTGGAGGGGTCGAATTTGGGCTGGAGGAAGGCGAGGAAGAGGTTGAGGAGGTAGATGCCGAGGGCGTAGGCGACTGGGTGTATCAGTGTAAGCAAGATGGTTTCCCACGAGGGGGGTAGTAGACAGTGACGACTAACCGATATACCAGCCTTGCGCAAGAAAGACGCGCAGGAAGAAGATGAGCAAGGCGACGCCGGTGCCGACCCAGCGGTAGAGGACGAAGGGCGTCGACTGGTCGAGGAGCGCTTGGTATTGCTGCGAGCGAGGCGCAAAAGGTATGTTAGTTCACCTGGACTAGAAAGCGCACGGCAAATGCACACTGTGTCTTCGTATGTTTCCCTAGGAGCTATTTATTGTAACGCACCCTCTGCAACTTGCTCGTCTGGGCTTGCACGGCGCTGAACGGCGTCTGCTGTTCCTCTGGGGCTTCCATGATGGCGGATGGACTGAGTTGGTCGTCTCGATCGAATTAACGAATGCGCTCGGAAACGGAGGGTTCGGTCGTCGTGGGCTGTGTTCTAGTTGCGTAACACAAGAAAAACTAAAAGTAAAAGTTTAAGGTTGAAGAATGCGCTGGTGGAAGGGAAAAATAAAAAGGAGGTTCTGGAAATGAAAATCGAAGGCGACAGCTTTGGCCGTTGCGCGTCTTGCAGTGATTGGCGTCTTGCGCTTTGCACACGGTTGCGGACAGGGGACTTGATGGACAAGAATCCTCGGGTCGTATCAGCCACCCGAAGAGATTAGGGGAAATTTTGGCACTGCAGGGGAAGGGGTGAAGGTGGGTCTATGTGGCGCAGACTGAGCCTTGTGGCTTGTGCTAGTTTGTGGGACGTCTTGGCCGGCTCTGACGTCGTCACTCGGGTTGAGGGTGAGCGGAGCTTTCTTCTTGGGGTTGACCTCGACAAACATTAGAGCTACTACAAAATTGGGATACCTGGTTAGACTGTGGATGTAACGGCAGTTAGTAGACAAAATAGACAAAACAGTAGACAAATGCTACTGAACTTGCCTGAAAACTGTATCAATGCTGAACCACCGCTGAAGGACCTCGACGGCTGGGCATGTGCTTAAACCGAGGATAACCTGCAGCTCAGTGGGACCTCGAGCTCTCGACCTCCGACAACAACTCCAACATTACCCTCTCTTCAACTTCCCTTGACCATACCATTGGAAACACGGCATTTCCACCAATTGACCACCTATCTGACACTCCCACTACATTTACCACAAACACACCAAAATGAACACCCTCCGCGGCCTGCGGCCAATGGCCTCCCGTTTCCAGCCGAGCACGCTCCCCCGCGTAGCCGGCGCCAGCGCCCGTTCATTCTCGGCCACGGCCACCCGCAGCTACGAGTACATTCAAGTCTCGGAACCGCGCCCAGGTGTAGGCCAAGGCACGGCCCCCTAATTCCCCTCCTCATATCTCCAACTCCCCTTACCAATACATCTCTAACAAACCCCCCAGTAACCCTCAACCGCCCCAAAGCCCTCAACGCCCTCAGCACCCCCCTCATAACCGAGCTCAACACGGCCCTCCGCACCTTCCAATCCAGCCCCTCCATCTCCGCCATCGTCCTGACCGGTTCCGAACGCGCCTTCGCCGCAGGCGCCGACATCAAAGAAATGGCCCCGCTCACCTTCAGCCAGGCCTACACCACCTCCTTCATCGAGTCCTGGTCGGATCTCACCACGGCGCTGAAGAAGCCGTTGATTGCCGCCGTGTCGGGCCATGCGTTGGGCGGTGGCTGTGAACTGGCGTTGATGGCTGATATCCTGTACTGCACGCGAACCGCGAATTTCGGTCAGCCGGAGATTAAGCTTGGGACGATCCCCGGGGCGGGGGGGAGTCAGAGACTAACGCGGGCGGTGGGGAAGGCGAAGGCGATGGAGTTGGTGTTGACGGGGAAGTCGTTTAGCGGGGAGGAGGCGGAGAAGTGGGGGGTGGCGGCGAGGGTGTTTGAGGGGTATGGGGAGTTGATGGAGGGGGCGTTGGGGACGGCGGAGACGATTGCCGGGTATTCGAGGGTGGCGGTGCAGGCGGCGAAGGAGGTGGTGAATCGGAGTCAGGAGTTGGGGTTGAGGGATGGGGTGGAGTACGAGAGGAGGGTGTTTCATGGGTTGTTTGGGAGTCGCGATCAGAAGATTGGGATGGAGGCTTTTGCGGGGAAGAAGAAGGCTGAGTGGAGTCATGAATAGGTCTTTGGAACCGGGCGAGATAGATATATGGTTGAATATTCTGCTTTACTGTGGTAACTTATCCAAGTAGCAAAGCTGGGTTAACAGGATAGGTAGATTACAGCCGCACATACGGCGCCGGAAACAGCCCCCGCGTGCCCATATAAAACCCATGGAACCACTCCCCATTCACATCCTCCACCTCTAACACCTCAGCCCCCCGCGGAAACAACAACTCATCCTGCACCCCAGCCGCCGGTGTCCATCCCCAGCCTGCAACGGCTTTCAATCCGGTCCCGCCGTCGGGGGGGAAAGCCTTGGTGAACCTTCCTTCGCTGGTGCTGTGGTCGTTACTGTTACTGTGTCCGTTGCTGTTATTGTGACTGTTGATGTGAAGACCAAGAGTCGGCGCAAGACTAGCCGTGGGAATCCCAACGTCTTCGGCGTATAACCGCTCCCATTTCTTTCTCTCGTTCCCATTCCCATTCCCGCCCTCACTCTGATCATCCCCCCACGACGCAATCCACACCCGCCCCTCATCCGTCCTCGGCACATCCACCTCCTGAAACCCCAGTCTCCTCCCGCCTACCAAATCCCGTATCACCCTCCGACGTAAATACCGCGCGAAATACCCCGATCCAGCCCCTGTCCCATACCCAGATCCGGGTCCACCAGATGGAGAAGCGGCGGTAGCGGCAGCTGCTGCTGCCCGAAGCGCCTCAGGATCAGCGGCATACACGACCACCACCATACGATGGCCACGTAAACACCGACGCCAGCCGCTGGGGCCGTTCTCGGGGGCGATGGTGCCGTCGGTGAGGAATGAGGTGTAGCAGGGTGTGCAGAGGTCGTAGCTGTTTTGTTGGGGCTGCTGATTCTGGTAATGTTGTTTGTCGTGGGGCGGTGTGGACGGGCCGTCATGGGCGTAGTCTGGAACGTGGACGAGGTTGTTGGACAGACAGGTGTAGCAATGGTAGTGGGGATCAGACGGGGCGATGGGGATCCGACAGGCCGAGCAGCAGGGCGTGGGCAGGACGGGTTGGAAGTTGTTTGTGTGTGGTGTCGTTGCCATCGTCGTCGTTGTCGGCGACGGAGGCCCCGACTCGTGATATTCCAGCGCCAGCAGCGGGTGAGTACACGCATTCCCCTGGCTCACGCACCCGCTACAAAACCCCCACTCGCCATCATTGCACGTATCACACCGCCAGTAGCACTCGTTGGTCCATGCCTCGCAGCGTGCGCAAAATGTGCCCGTTTGCAGCCGGTCAGCCGGGTTCTCCGGGGTCATGAGCATGCGGCGCGTGTCGGCGCCTGCGGGGATTTGTTTCGGGGGGAGGTAGCGGCGCGGGGCGAGGACGTGAGGTGGAGCGGCTGGTGGCTGCTGCTGGTTGTGGTCTCCGAGGGCGTTGTTGTTGTTGGCGTTGTTGATTTTCTCCCATCGCGCCCAGGCTGCAGCGCCGAAGCCGAACCAATGCAGACACCCCTTGCGTCGACGCCAGCAGTCGAGGCAGATGTTCCACTCGCCGCTGTGGCAGAGGCTGCAGTTGTAGTGCAGGTCGTACTCGATGTGCTCGCGGTGGCACACGTTGCAGCTGATGTACGGCTCTTTGTACCGGGCCGTCTGTTGTTGGGAGTCTGGCCTTCGAGGGGATAAAGGGGGGGATACGAGGTTTGGCGGCGTCGAGCTGGACCCGAGCGTGGGTGATTCCGGACGGACATCTATGGCGCCTGGCCTGTCTGACCTCCGTCCGCTGTGCGCTGAAGTAGACCGGCCATCGCTGGTTTGAGGCTGTATATGTTGTTGTCCTTGTGCTTGTGCTTGTGCTTGTGCTTGTTGCGTCTGGGCTTGAAGACCCAAGTTTGCGATGGCCCGCGCACTAAACGGAAGTGGAAGCCCCTGGTTCGCCGGAGAGCCCCGTCTCGACACCGGCCCGGTAGCACCTGCAGTCGTGGGTGAACTCGAACTCCTGACCTCAATCCCCATACTCGGCCGTCTGACATGTGAATCAGCACCACTAGCCCCCCGTGCCCGACCCGAGAGATCCGTCTGCGCCCGAGACCCCACGCTCCCGGCATTGCCCGCCTGTGTTCCGGCAGTCGGCACCGTGGGCAACGTCACGCTCCGAGCACCACTCGACGCCCGCCGACGCCGCGCCTGTTCCCCAACATCGAGATGCGCCGAGCTAGACGGCGGATACCGGCTACGGTCTCCATCGCTGCCCACACTCGGCGCTCTCGACCGCGCCGCGTGTCTGCTCGTCGGCCGTGAGTTGTCGTCTGTCCGGGACCGGGGCCGCGCCGCTGCGATATCCGACCGGTGCGAGTGCGCGCTGGCGTTACTCCGTCGCCCGCCGTCCCGCCTTCTCTCGCGGTGTCGTCTCCGGTACGCCTCGGTGATCTTGCGGCTGAGCTCGTCGTTGTTCTCCAAATCCAAGTTATCCAAGTCCAACCCATCCAACAACCCTTCCTCTTGAATCTGCCGCGCAAACTCCTCCACCTCCCGCTCGATATCCCGAATGTCCATGCCATCGGTACTGATCAAATTCCGCAGTGAGCTCTGGTGCTCGACCTGTCGCGCCCGGACATCCGCTTCCAACGCTGTGGCGACGGCCCCCTGGCCGCCCCGCTGTCTCGACTCACTCCGCCTGCGACCACCTCCGGATTCCCGCTCCCCACCGCTGCCGTCTCCTGCTCTCACCGTCACGCTCTGCGCCCTCCTCCTCCCTGAGCCAGTTGCAGCAGCAGCACCGTCTCTCTCCCTATCCGACCCTGACCCTGACCCCCTCACCCTACTCGCATCCCTACTCCTATTACGCCCTCCATTTCCATTTCCCCGCCTCCCGGCAGAAGCAGAAGGACCAGAACCAGAACCAGAACCAGAAGATCCAGAGGAGCCAACCCCCTCCGTGGCCTCCCTCAAACTAACCAACCTAACCTGCTCCAGCACCCTCCTCTCCTCCTCATCCGCCCACCTCTCCTCCTCCGTGCGGTCCTCCACCTTCCTCACCCTTGGCATCACCCTCTCCCCCTTCCGATACCTCGCATCCATCTCCCTCTTTTCCACCTCACTCTTCCCCCGGCCGGGATTCAACGCCAGGAACATATCCAACAGACTGAATACTCGCGCGTCATGCTTCGTGTCGCGGACGCCTGCTCGGCAGCTCGGGCAGGTGAATAAGGGGGTACCGGGGGGTGGGGGAGGGCCCGGGGACGACTCGATGCGTTGGGCTTGGAAGGAGAACCATTCTTTGAGGCAGGCGCCGCAGAAGGTGTGCAGGCAGTCGAGGAGGGTGAGGGGTTGGTGGAGGAGGTCGGTGCAGATCTGAAAATGTTAGGCTGGGGTTATGGTTATAGGTTGCTTTTTCCCCCCTTCTGTGTCGTGTGCTCATGTTTATTCGGGGACTCATCTCACTTGAGATTTGAGGCGGGACAAATGACAGGAAACTGAGTATTCAAGGAACAAGAAACCAAGCTCAACAGCCATCCCAAGTGAAACGGAGCAGGGCGACATGAGCAAAAAGCCCACCGGGAAAGACATCCACGAAAGCTAGAAAATAAAAAAACCTACAGAACAAGTAAGCTGCGCCTCCAAATTCGGCGCCAGCACCGGCGGCGTAGCACCCGCCAGTTGAGGCTCCGTCATCCTTTCCGCTGTTCCCCCTCAAAAACTTTATTCCCCGTACGTCAGACGAGAAACAATAAAAGTGCCGAAATGAAGCGCGCCCCAAAGAAGGACAAGAACGACGAAGAAGACAAAAACGATAGAAGACGCAGAACGGGATCGTGACCCGACAGTTCGGTTGAAAATCGGGGACACGCACGACACGAGATCCCGTTCGGATGACAGACAGGGGGGTCGGACCGTCTTTCGTCCCTTCGAGAAAATAAAAGGGGGGACCAGTGAGTGAGTGGGTTAAGCGGGGGAGGGGCTGTCGGGTGTCGTGGCAGATTATTCCAGGGGCTTTCCCTGGACTGCGAACCTATAGACACTGGCGGTGGACCTCGGGAGAGAGTGAGTTGCTGTTGACAAGTGAGCAGCTCAAAAGATCACCCCGAGTTGAAGTGAAGTGGGGTTTCGCAGCGGGCTCCTCGTGAGTGGTACGTGGACGTGTATATCCGTACTGGTAAGGGTAATGTTCAGCTGCCCTGTGGAAGGAATGTACTTGGCACTTTCTAGAACCAGACGACTAGCCGAAGCACCAAAATCCAAAGAAACAGCTGAACGAAGAAGAAAAAGGCAAAAAGAAGCGGTAAGCGGACAAGGCAAAAAAAGACAAGGCGACGCAAGACACCGAACTCGACTTAGAAAACACGAGGTCACCGTCAGTCAGTCAAGTCAGCCGCGGCTTCGGTGCTTCGGTGGCACTCGACGGACTTGGCGGGCTGTGAGGCGACCGAGGCGACCTGCAGGAAAGCAAGTGGGGCGTGGGGATTCGCTCTGGAAGAGTAAAAGGCGGAGGTACTCCGTACTTCGTGCTGGACTGGGCCTATGGACATCAAACAAAGTCGGCCGAGACACGAGGCCTCGTTGAGTTGTCACCTGCAAGGTACACGTATCGAGTCACAAGTGACTTGGACTTTTGCAGAGGGGCGGTTACAGGCAAGCTACTAAGCTAGAATCGAACGGAATGAAATGCACGCTGTGTATTCCTCCACTGCAAAGCCAAGCTTAATCTTAATCTTGCGGCCACTGGCGAATGACACAAGTAGTAGTAAAAAAAAATTCATAATTGCAGTATATATCTGTATGTAAGCTACGCTTCTCAACCCATCGCGAGTGCTTGCTCTTGTGTATCTGAAACTCCGTCGCGCCCAATACCAAGTGTATGTAACCCAAGAAAGGCCTAAAAAAGTGACCAAAACTAAAAACTCCGTCGCAAAATGTTCTTACATGTCCTCGTTACCCTCAGGGGCCTCGCCATCCCACTCCCTGCACCGCCCATACCAGGCCCGGTCAACGCACGTCTCTTTGCTCGGAGGCCCAGAGCTCGTCGGAGCAGCGGAAGGCGTCGTCGTGGGGTCCGGCAGGCTAGGTGGTGATGTGATAGTGCTGTGTCCCTCGGGAGTGGTGGTCGTAGTAGCGCCGGCCCCTGATGTCGTCTCATCGTTGCATCCCCAGAACCGGCCCGGTGTTAGGCAGCTGGTGCTGGTCTGTGTTGGGATAGTGGAAGTGGTGGTTGTCGCCACGATACTCGTCGTCTTGTCCTTGCACCCAAACCAGCCCCTAATACAGTTAGTGTGTTTCGAATCGACATAGAGGTCTGGGATATAACATACGGTGTAAGGCAAGTAGAGGTCGATGACGTGGACGTGGACGTGGTAGTCGTGACCTCGGACGTCTCCGTCCCAGTCGCCGTGGTGGTCTCATCCAAGCAGCCCCACCAGCCCCTGATTACAGTCAGTACAGTGATCAGACTGAAAGATTGCCCTCATAAAATAAACTCACGGTGTCTTGCAAGTCTCCGTCCGGGTACGGGTTTTGGATGACGTCGAAGTCGGAGCGCTCGAGGTCGTGGTGGTACTCTCGGTCCCGTTGCTCTCGTACATCTTCCAGTTCCCGCAATCGCGGCATTCCGGCGTGAACTTGCACTCGGGGACGGTATCATACTTCAAAATAACATCCCGGATGACCGACCGAATCTTGTGGGTTCCGATCCCCACACGCCAGCCCTTGTCACCGACAGTATCGTAGACACATTCCCGTCCGGTGTGGCACGCTGTCTCCAGGGCATAGCCGCCGAAGGAGCACGATGCCGTGGCTCCATTGCAGGTTCCAATGTAAATTGGGTCGGCCGTGTGACCGAAGTGGTATGCCCCGGTGTACTCTCTGGCCTGGGGCGCACTTGGGTCAGCTCCCGGGGGAATCGGCAAGCCCAAACGTCCGGCCGCGAGGGCATCGGGAACGGCCTGGAAAGTCACCACTGGAACGCCATAGGTGAGGCCGAGGAACGAGCTGACAGCACCACCCAGCGAGTGGCCGGCGATCCAGACTTGAGAGTTGGGGTACACTTCCGTGACGTTGGCGTACAGCTCGCGCGCTGCCTGGTAGTATCGATTCTCCTCGCGCAGCGCTCGTGTGACACAGGTGTTGTTGCAAGAGTAGGTGCCAGTCGCGCAATCGCAGACCTGGTGCCAGGTCCACGGCCCCTGCTGCGCGCAACAGCAGCTGAAGAAAAGGTTGTCGTTGACTTTGTCGTTGGTGGTGGTCCCATCCCCGTCAAAAACAGCGGGCGAGGTCCCCTTTAGCCCGATAACAATGGTCGAGTTATTCTCATCCGCAAACACGTGTCCCCGGAGTCCATCGCCCTCCCAGCCAAAGTCGAGGCTCCGATTGAAAGGTGCGCCGACATCTTCCCAGTCCGCATCGCCCGGGCCTGCCGCATATGCATCCGACGCCATCAAGGCGAGAGACAAAACGGTGCCTTTATCGGTGACGTCTGGCCCGGCAACATCGTCGACCGTCCACGCGGATGGCGACATCACCGAGACAAACCCCTGCTGCCGCGACTCGGCCACAATCGGATCTACCACACTCGGCCGCCGGTCCGCCAGTCTTTCGATCCGAACCGCATTGCTCCGCGCCCGGAGTGGCCCCATGCGCTCAGCCTCGAAGCCATCTTCAGCGGCCAGCCATACGTCCGCGCTCGAATCGTCGATGTCCTGTTTACGATGGAGTCCTGGGTGTCGGTGGGTGCCGTGATGATAGATGTGTCGAAGGGTCTAGAGATGGAAATCCCATATTAGTAACACAGCTCTTCATCACTTCGTTATCATCATCATCAACAACGGGTGGACGACTTACAAAGGTATGTTCCGCTGGGGCCGGTGGTTCGGGTATCAACGGAGCTACCGGAGCGGCCTCGATCGGGAGGACAAACTGCGCATCTGACCCTCCATGGTCAACCGCAGCGACGGGGGCCGCGGAGAGGGCGAGGAAAGATAGCAGCAGCTTGGCCGTGACTCGTCCCGTCGAGGTGCACCTCGCGCTTGTTTCCCTCCGCTTCGGCAACATGCCAGGCGGTGTTGTCAATGGTAGACCAAGCAGAGAGTGTAAAATGAAGATGCCGATGAAAGTGAGGTTGGTGCTGGTGTCGCGGTTTGGTTTAGTCCATCCGCTCGGTTGTTGACAAAGGAGTGCGTGGTTTGGAATGGAAAGATGGAAGAGAAGATGAGACGGGACCCGCGTGGCTCGTGAACGCTCCGGCGTCCAGATGACGACGGCGGGTTGGCTGGCAGCCGGATCGGAGTGCAGCGCCACCGCCAATCAGGGACCAGGCAAGCAACGGTGAAGCTGCGTTGCTGATAAGGCGGTCAAGTGGGTCTTGTACCGCTCCACCTGTCGACTGCGGAACCTGTAAGGAATTGACCGAGGGGTTACCCGCATTTCAATGGGGCTCTAACAGGCACATGATGCACACCCCCAGACTCCTGCGGGGGTCTGTCGTGCTGACCTCGACCGTTCCCATTGGCGCGGAGTGGGAAACTGTTGAGAATCGTCCCTCTTTGGAAGCTTCCTCCCACGGGTGCCTGAGATGTCCATCGTGCTTGCCTCGCGGGTAATGGACACGTCAAGATTTGATGGGGTGGCGGCCTTCCGTCTGAGGTCCTTCTTCTCCTTGAAAGGAAGGCTGACGGAAGAAAGGGCCCGGCGAGGCGGTCCGTCCCAATCAATGCCCGCGTCCGTGGATGGCCTAAACATTTTGGCCCTTTCTGAATCGACGGCCTTGGCCGCCACAGTGTGCACCTTGAAGGCCGTGGACTGATGGCACTAATACTAGGAATCGAGTTGTCTGTTTCTCAAAACCTTAGAACATTGTTTCAACTACTCTTTCATAAAGTTTCAGGATTTATTCAGTCTTGCAGTCGGATGAAGGAACTCAAGGGTTTCTTTCAGCGCTTCCCGTCGCATTTCGGGGTGCGATATCTGCCTGCTTTGTTAGAGCACCCCGTACCTAGACTGACCCGCATTGGTTTTGGGAGCTGCGCGCCCGACCCACAACGTTCCCGCTATCGCGTGGGTAGCTCCATCTTTTGACGTCGAATCCTCGATCGAAAGTTCGAGGTGCCCCATGTCCCGCTATCCCCAATCTTGTCCTCTTAGCACATGTGCAAGCAAGGTATCGACGCCGACTCGAATTGCGGATGTGCGCCCGTGTCGCTCAGCTTTGGATTTTCACCAAGTCAAACGGCCCGCGGCCGCGATCGAGGTGACCTGCTGATCACCCACCCAGGTCCGCTTGTTTCAACAACCCCATCTCGGGGGTGGCCCGCCCCTTCATGCGCTGAGGAAGCGAGCTCAGGTAAGGACCAAAACGGCCCCGCGTTGCCTGAGATTCATTATGCGAACAAGCGCCGTTGATAGTCAAGGGCTTCCCGCTTCTCGTCTCATGAACTCACCCTCTTTTCGTATTGTCCCACACACTCCTTTATTCCATATATCCCGACGTTGACACCATGTTATCTAGTCTCGGTTTCAGCAGCAGTCCTATGGCTTCCAACCCGAACCCGGCGGATCGCCAAAACCCGTTGAGACCAGTGCGCTCTTTTCGTGTTGAGCGTCCTACCTCTCCCCAGTCGACAACCCGACCGAAGAGAGCTAGTACTGTCGAAAATGGACCCTCGCCTGCGACAAGGCCGTCCCTCCGAACCAGCTCCGGGGCACAGGTAGCGCCAATATCGGGGACAGCCGAAATCGAGGAGCCGAATACTTTTGTGAGTCGGATCAGCGAGGAGGGTACCGAGCCGCCGAGAGCCTCCATCGACCTCGACGATCTCCCCATCGAGCTCATCAGCCTGACGGACCGCTTCATCGATTCGTTATCCGCTAAGGTGCACCGTACCCCACCCAACATCGACAACCTCTCCCGCATGTTCCAAGATTTCTACGCCACAGCCTCCTCGCATATTCAGACGCACGTCGACACTCTGGCTACGCGCCAGCGCCGTGAAGATGGACCGCCACTATCGAGTCGCACATCTGCTGCGAGCCTGCTCCGCTCAAAAGCCGCTTCACTGGGGGGCAAGGACAAGTCGAAACCAGTGCCTGCGAGGCAGGACTCGGATCAACAACTCCTTACGGCTGAGGAATACGCAAACAGGAAGAAGGCAAGAAGGGCATTGGAGCAGAAGAAGTCACTTCTGGAGGAGGCCGTGGAACGGAGGTTATGTGAAGGCATTTACAGCAAAATATACCGCCACCGCACCACTCAAGATGAAGCGCAGGACGCCAAGCTCCGTTCCAAAACCGCCGCTCTTGCTGTGGTCGGCATTGGCCTAGCCGATCTGGGTGTCGACTTGGGCACAGGTGATGATGTTGTCGCGATGGCTAAAAAGCAGGAGGAGGTGAAGGAGTGGTTAGAAGGGGCGAGGCAAAAGCTCGTGTTGATGAGCCAGTCGAGGTACCCTCTTGGGAAGTTGAATCAGCTCAAATCGGTCCATAAGAGCATCATCGACACGCTGTCTCACTTTCACCCTTCGTCGTCCGCCGACGAACTCATGCCCATGTTGATCTACACCCTCATCACGCTCCCACCAGAGAACCTCAGCGTCATCAGCGACGTCAACTTCATCCAGCGTTTCCGCTGGGAGCACAAACTTAACGGGGAAGCTGCCTACTGCCTCACTACCCTCGAAGCGACCATCTCCTTCCTCGAAACCGTCGACCTCTCCACCCTCCGCGCCGACGAGACCCCCACGGGCCCCGTCAAGAACCCCTTCTCTTCGCCCGCACCCAAGGACGAAACCTTCCCGCCCGCATTCTCACCCATCTCGCCTAGCCCCACCCGTGCTGAAGCGGCAGCCCCTAGCATTGACAGCGCATCAAAACGTTCTCAAGACCCAAGCCCCAGCTCCAGCCCGAACCCAGCCGGTTTCCGCGCAACGGTAAACGCCCAGCTCCGCACCCGCCGACTCAGCGACCTTATGCGCAGCACCCCAACCCCAGCCAAGGCCCTCAACCTCGCCTCCGACGCCGTCCTCAACACCGCCGATCAGGGCATCAAAACCATCGGCACCTCACTCGGCGACAGCTACAAATTCCTCCTCGGCAAGCTCCGCGAGCGCGCCCCAGACGCCCTGCTCACCAAAGACGGCGCCGACGTCATCGTCCCCAAGACCCTCGACGACGCTCGCAAACTCATCGGCACCCCTCCGCCCGCCGGCAGCCTCGAAGACGATCTCGCCAACACCCCGGACCTGTCGGTCCGCAGCCCCAGCCCGGCTGATCCGCTGCAGCAGGACCAACCGCAACAACAGCAGCAAAACGAGCGACCACCCCTGCTGAGCTTCATCGCCGGCACCGCTCGCAAAGCCTCCCGGGATCATAGCGCTGATTCCGCCCGCAGCGCCGGCTCGTCGCGTCGCGGCGGCGCTAGCGGAACCACCGGTACCGGTCTCGGCATTGGCGGCGGCGGCGGCGGCGGTGGTGGTGGTGGTGAAGACCGTGGACGCCCCGAAGTAGCCGGCGCGCCCGGTTCCACAACCCAGGTCACGGCTACCGGGTCGAGTCCCGTAGTCACCAGCCCACCGATCATGGACTCTATGCGGAATCTGGGGAACTCGCTGAATCCCATGGCGAGACTGTCGGCGGGGATTGGGGGGTTTAGGGGGTTTGGACGGACCGTTTCGTCGTCTTCTTCACCTGCTGCTGTTGGTGCTGCTGGTGGTGCGGCGCATTCTAGTCCTGTGGGTGGGAGCAGTTTGAGGGCGCCGACGCCGCCGGTGAAGGATGGGGTTGTTGCGAGGGGGGCGCATGGAGCGGGGGCGGAAGGGGGGGATTTGGCTACGGTATGTTTGTATTTTCTTCCCCCTTGCCTCTTTTCTAGTTTTCAGTCACTCGATATGCTTGTGTGGACACAAACTAACCTTACTTCTGCAGGCCTTCCCCGACCTCGCCAGTGTCCTCCCACCCAAGGAACAGGTCAAGATCAACCCGCCAAACAAGCGGTTTCTGGAAATGCAGAACGCCGCAGAGCTCAAACTGGGGGAGGTATTCGACCTGCTGAAGGATTACAAACGCCTGGCGGGGGCGTTGAAGGATATGGGTGCTTTCAAGGAGTAAGCGGTGGACTGTTGTTGGCATGTCAGTGGGTTGGCGTGGTTGTTGTTTGGCCGTCTTAGGCTGGTTTCATTCTCTTTTCCATGCTGGGATCATCGGTTACCTTGTGGCCTGTCACTCTCTTTTTCTTTCTCTTTTCTTTCCTGGTTCTTTTTATTCTTTGGCGTAAGGGCATAGACTGGGGAGCAGCGTGCATGGTTTGGTGTTTGTTAGGCTGGTTGGTTGGACTGGGTTGGGCTGGGTAGAGAAGCGTAAAGCGGCATAGTCATAAATGGCATGAATAGATATGGACTTTACGTCTGGGATACCTGATTTGACTGTGTCATGTCGTTGAGATGCTTCGTAAGTGGTTCTTGAGCGCGAATGGTATAAAAAGATGAGATGTGGGGGGGGGCATTGGGAAAAGTCGAGTCCATTAAGATCTATCTCGGATACTCCCTGATATTGGTAACAATACATATAAACGCAAATTACTGTGTCAAGCAGGCTGATGGAATGAAGTTTATTTATACCCTTTCCCAGCTCCGCTCTGATAAGCCATTCTGATACAGCTGTACAGCATGGGTGGATAGAAAAAGTGTTTGTTTTGTATCCCCAAAAAGCCACGCCCGCTATGCTAACACAATTGACCGTGAAGAAAAAAAAATAAAGAAAAAGAATTACCACGTAAAAAAAAGGAGATTTCCGAACAAGGGGGTTTCCCACTCACAGAGCGGTACCACCCCCATTGACGCTACCAAGCCAACAACCACCACCAATCGACCCAACCAAGCGTCGCCAGCCGGCCAGCCCCATTAGTCCATCTAATGCACGCCGTTAGCTCTAGCCGGACTGGACCGCCCGCTCCCACTTCTACTCCCACTCCCGTTCGCGGCCCCGTCCGCAATCATCTTGTCCATAAACGAGACATAATCAAACTGCGGCTGGCCGCGGTCCGTCTGCATATCCGGCCCGGTATGCGGCGGCATGATCTCGACCAGCTTCTCAATGACGTCGTCCGGCACGAGCGAGTGTCGCAAGTCCATCTCGGTCACGTACGGCTTCCCATCGGCGACTTCGCGGAAGCTCTGGAACACCTGCTCGGCCGTGTTCTGGTCCTCCGTCATGTCGACCATGAAGCCGATGAACTGCTCGAAGGTGACGTGGTCGCGCCCGCCGGAGGTGTCGAGGAAGGAGTCGCGCATCTCGTCCTCGGAGAAGGTGAGGCCGAGCGAGGCGAGAGCGGCGCTGAACTCGAGCTCGGAGAGGCAGTTGGTGTCGTCGCGGTCGAAGTGGCGGAAGACGGACTCGAATTCTTCGAGTTGGATGGGGGTGAGGTTGGTCATGTTGCGCGCGACCATTTGGTTTTCGAGGAAGGAGAGCTTTTTGGACACGGAGGATTTCACTAGGGAAAGCTCGTAGCAGAGCTCGTCGTAGGTGTAGGTGGTGAAGTCGTTTTCTTCGATGTTGGCTTCTTGACACTTTTCGTCGACGGCCGCGATCGTCTTGAGGAAGGCGTCAAGGGGTGGGAGGTTATCGGAGAGCTTGCGGACGTGGTGGAGTTGGTCTTCTACATCGCCTTCCAGGCCTGAGATGGCGAGTTGGATAGTATTGAGAGCAAGGGCAAAGTCGTTAGCCTTGTCGGCAAAGGATTTGCGGAGTGCGTTTTTGATACTGGGTGAAAGGAGTCAGCATAATGTCCCATAATCCTCCCGCAGCGGGGATAAAACTCACTCCCTGATGTTCTCGTTGATCTGCTGTCCCCGCGTCATCTCCATTTTCGTCAGGTTATTCCATTCTTGGTCCAGCGCCTCCAACCTCAGCTCGGCCGGTGGCTCGTACGGCGCCAAGCGGTATGTGCCTAGTTTGGTCTTGATATTCCCCAACAAGGTCGCAAGCTCGCTTTTCTCCGCAACCCACTCCCTCTTTAACCCCCTTTTGTATGCCGCAAAGTCTGCGGCTTGTGCTTTGGCATCCGCATATGTGCCCTCGAACTTGGCCTCCTTCCAGCCCCCAACTTGCTCGCGGATCACCTTGAGCAGTGCTGCCATTCTCCTTTCATAGGCACTTTGCATGTCCCAGGCACCCCGCATGTTGTTCACGAATTTCTCCACGCGGCGGCCCGCGTTCTCAACCTTTTCCATCTGAGAAAAGGCGTGGAACCAGTAGGCAATGTAGGTCATCAAACTACGCTCATCGGGCTTCGCCACGTCGCACACGTCCTCCACATCCAGCAGCTTCGGGATACCAATCTCCTTATGAGCGATATCGAACGCCATCTGCATGTTGCCGCGGTGATCAGACTTGTCGAGCGCGTCGTAGTCGATCAGATCGGGCCGGTGAATGTCGAGCAGAGCGCAGAAGGCGAGCCCGTCGTTCCAACTCGCGCTGAAGTCCCGCACGTCCACCTCGTCATAGCAGGCGGTCTTGCGTTGACACCACAGCAACAGGCCCTCCTTGGCCGTCATACCCTCCTCGTTGATGTCATTGATGGTGAAGCGCAGAATGAGCGTCCATATTAAACCGAGGATAATCTTGCGGTTCCCGTCTACCACGTCTTCGGCGCCAATGTTGGTCATTTGTATGCCCCGCGATCGGATGAAGTCGAGGGCGGTATTGGCATTTTCGAAGCACTGCACGCGCAACCTGGGTTTCGCGGCATAGCGGCCGAGGGACTCGTTCGAGAGGCATTCGAGGAGGTGGATCAGCATAACCTATGATGTGGAAAGCACAAGCAACTGTTAGCGTATGTTCGGTAACTTCCAGTCCGAATCCCATTCCCAGTGCCAGCCCAATCCTATCCTCCATGTCGAGCCAAAACGGAGTAGGGAGACCTACACCATCAGATAGGTCCTTCACTAGGTCCTGGACCTCGAGACCCCTCGCCTCTATCTTCGTATTCAGCCATTTTGTAAATGTTTTTTGCTGGACCTTAACCCAGTGCTGCTGTTCGGCGAAGGCCATTTTATTGACAAGGGACGACTGGCAGGGGATTTCTATCCAAATTTGGATCTTAGAGTCAGGCGTGGTCTCGTTGAGCTGCTGTCGCCATCTGCTCTTGTACGGGCTCTTGGTGCGGTAGTTTCGGGTGGTGGTGGTGGTGGTCGCGGAGGTGGCTGGGTTGTTATTGTTGTGGTGGTGGTAAGTGGTCCTCGAGGTGGGCACCGTGTGCGATCTCTCTCGTCTCGACCGCACCCTCGGGATGCATTCCAGCGTGGCTGGGCCCAGCCCCGCCTGCACAGTGCCAATAGCCATTACTGCAATCCACACCACCAGGTCTCGCAGCCGATTGGTTTACTTAACGACGACCTTTAAATTGAATCCTCCTAGCAGCAAATTGGGTTGCTTGCCCTGGATCCAAAGGCCTAAATGTTTGGTTTTGGTTGATGGGACCGTGTGACAACGGAGAGGGCCGATAAGAGATTCGATATTAACACGAGAAAGGAAATCAACAGCAAGTCGAATGCAACGCTAAAAGGGATGCCTCTCAGTTTATACCAGTTTTGAGTCCGTCCTCGTGTCTCCAGTTTCAGGCCAGTTCTAGCCTGTAGATCAACCAAACCTCATGGTCTTATGCCGCCCTTCCACTCCAGCTTACCTCGACCCGTTTCCGCGACACACTCTCCAGCAACTGTTTTATAAATTAGCCGAACCATTGGCCACCAGTATATTTGCTTCAATCTGCCCCTAGAAATTTTATGCTTTCGGTCAACGAGTTTTAGTCGTCTCGTCTATTCACGCTCAAGTAGCTCCACGACCCATGCTTGGTAACAAGAGCTTGCTGAATTGTTGAACGACCCCCCAAAGCTGGAAAATCTTGATTAGCTATGCTTTCCTTCTAACCCTATGTAAGATATTTAGTCTCAGTAAGTTGTGAACAAACTTTCGACAGAGCAACTGCGATTTTACACATCCTTTACACATTTCCGCCACCCCAAGGTGACTTAACACCACAGAGAGCCTAAGCTGTCAACCAATCGGAGTGCGAGGCACCTCCAAGTTTGGATCTTGATGCCCAGGCACGCCAGGGCGGTGAGATCCCGCCCCCACTGGTTCCACATACCCCGCGATTCTGCCAGGTCCCGTATTTTCGGGACCCACACAAGCACAGCTTCTTCACTTTTTCCTGCATTGACAGATGCTCTTACACGCATCTCCAAGCAACCGTGCAAACGGGTGTAGTTTGTATCCCCATTGCATTCATCAACATACATCTGAGCTTCTGATATCAAAGGTAAAGTTATTTCCCGAGATGCTGTTCTTTTCAATGCACTACCACCGCAGACAAGCCCTCTGCTTTATTTCGCGTCTGCTGGGCATGGGCATTCTGGTTCTCGTCGGCCAACATTTTAGCACTGCGCTCAATCGAGCATGAGAGCCAAAAGGTTTCCCTACCAAAGACCAATTGTTTTCATACCGCGTTCTTGCCTTCCAGGTTCCCAACTCGCATTGTCTCTACGCCCCCATCGCATTTCCTACTGAGGGCTTCCTCTCTCCCCTCCCCCTTTCACTCGTGACATTTCATTCTGCTCTCTCTATCTTCAACTTCCTTTCCCTTGCTTTCCACCCACTCCCACGATCCGCGCATTCGACACACATAGCCCCTGCTTCAAGACTAACATTTATCAAGCAATCGCTCTACTATTTGGTCGATACTTGACAAGTTCTGTCGACCGGTAGCTCCGGGCACCCTCGAGACATCCTTACGCAACTCAACATGTCTCAACGCCCGAGCACTCATGTGCCCGCTGTGCGTGTTGAAGCCGAGAAGTCTCTCGGTATCACGCAGCGCTCGGCCGCTATCAACTTTGCTTGGACCGGCGACATCCGCAAGCGGTAAGTCCATCTCATCTGCCGTCTATGATCCGATATTTGAGCACCGCCATGGAGGTTACAAGTATTTCAATGATGGAAAACGACTTCAAATCATCGGGAAAAGAGCCTTCAATTTAGATTAAAATTTAGACCGGTAACTAACTTCAGTTTAGCTACACCGATTTTCTTGTCAATGAAATCCAGCAGGATGGCACTGTTCTCCATCTCCGCGACTTTGAAGGCGGCGCGATTCCGCCTTCCGCTTCGGTTCGTGATGCGCCTCCGTTACGATTAGGTTGCTCCAGTTTGTCTAACTAGCCCACAGGTTCTGAGTGACCGGACCAACAACTCCTCCAAGAAGTCCGAGGCGAAGCCCGATAACAAACAGAATGATACCAAGCCAGACGAGATTAAGGACGAGACCAAGCAGAATGAAACCAAGCAGAACGAAACCAAGCAGAGCGATGACAAGCCCGAGATTCACCACATCGCTGAAGATGAACGCAAGTTTTTGTTTGAGCTCCTTGGCGAGTCTGTCGCTCTGGACCTCATTGAGCTCGATGAGAGCATCCAAGCCAAGAAGCCGCTGTCTCCTGAGAAGCGTTCGGTTGCTTTTGACGCAGTTACCGATAGGGCCAAACGTGGCGCCATCCACCAGGTATGTCCCCCACTCCCGTAAGGAGAGAAACATGAAAGGGAAGCGTTCGCTCACTTTTAGCAGGACATTCGCCGCATTTTCCGTTCTCGATTCGAGACCTCTGCCGACGGCAACGGCGTCATCACCGCAACCGCCGCCCAGTGGGTCAACAATAGCCGGAACAACAACCGTAGCAACGCTCGATCCGCTAACTGGGCTGCCCGCCGCGACGGTAATCGCGATAATGCCCGAGGAAATGTTCGTCACCGGGACCAGGCTCGTGAGTTTGCCTCGGCTGGCGGCGACTACCTCCACTTCACTCTCTACAAAGAAAACAAGGACACTATGGATGCTATGAACACCATGGCCCGCCTCCTCAAAATTAAGGCCTCCAACTTTGGCTTTGCTGGTACCAAAGACCGTCGTGCTGCCACCGTCCAGCGCATCAGTGTGTATCGCCAAAAGTCTTCCGGCGTGGTCTGGCTGAATTCTCGCATCCCCAACCTCAAGATCGGGGACTTCCAATACCACAAGAATCCGCTCCAACTTGGTCACCATGGCGGCAACGAGTTTGTCATCACGCTCAAGAATTGCCAGCCCCTCAGCGGTGACAACTGCTCGCTCGTCCAACGGATGAACATGATTCAGCAGGCTGTCGAGTGTGGCTTGGCCTATCTCAAACACAATGGATACATCAATTACTATGGCTTGCAGCGTTTTGGCACCTACACCATCGGCACCCACCTTTTGGGAATGAAGATTCTGCAGGGCGAGTATGAGTCCTTCATTGACGACATTTTGCATGTCGACGACGAGCTGCTCAACGATGTGTTGACCAGCCGTTCTTCTCCCCCATCGTATGCGAATGGCAACGTCGGAAGGGAAGCTCAAAACAACCGGGATGACCACGACCGTGCCCGGGCCATCACCTTGTGGAATACCACCAAAAAGGCCGACAAGGCTCTTGAATTCCTCCCCAAGCGTTTCAGCACCGAGTTATCCATCATTCGTCATCTGGGTAAGAACCAGAAGGACTTTACTGGAGCTCTGCTGAGCATCACTCGCGGCATGCGCATGATGTACATCCATGCGTATCAATCCTATGTTTGGAACTTCGTGGCCACCCGTCGCTGGTCCAAGTATGGCGCCAAGGTCATTGAGGGTGACTTAGTTTTGGTCCCCGGCACACGTCCTCGTGACCTCATCGTCGAGGACGAAGTCAGCTCCTACGATGACAATGAGGGTGTCAACACATATGATCAGGCCTATGCCTTGACCGAGGAGGATGTCGCCTCTGGCAAGTACACCATATTCGATGTTGTCTTGCCCACGCCTGGTTATGACGTCGTCTACCCTATCAACGATATCGGCGAATACTACGTGGAGTTCATGGCTAAGCCGGAGAATGGCGGCCTGGACCCATTCGACATGCGCCGTAGGCAACGAGAGTTCAGCCTGAGCGGTAACTATCGTCCCTTGATCGGTCGCCTGATCGGCTCTCCTCAGTATGCGGTCCGGGCTTACCGCGACGACACTGAACAAATGTATCCCACCGACTATGACTATGCCCTCCAGAAGAAGGAGGACGAAAAGGCCGCGAAGGCCAAGGCCCAGAGCAGGGCTGAAGGCAAGCTGACTCCCAATGCAGACCCTGTGGTCAACAGCTGGGCCCATTTTTCTCAGAACCCAGATGCGTACGATAATGCGATCGACACCACGCGCCGCCGCAAGGCCGACGAGGAGACTCCGTTGGAAAAGGGTTTTATCACCAACGAGACCTGGGTCCAGACAACCGTCGACGGCAGTGCCAAGCGCGTTAAGGTCGCGCGTCACAAGCAGCAGATCGACCCCGTGATTACGAACGAGCCGGCGTCCGTCCAGCCCGCTGCTGCGACTCCATCATTGAACGTCGACGGCGCCAACGAGGAAGAGAACGACGGCGGATTTCCTGTTGGCCGGGGCGCTTCCCTGCTTGCAGCGAGCCCGGCTCGCCAGGACACCCCCACCGCCATTGATGTTGCCGACCAGAAGGACGTGGAGATGAACGAGGCGACGCCTACCACGGCGTCTTCCGAGACCCCGGAAGTCAAACAATCCACATCCGACTCGATGGGTTGGTATGGCGGACAAATACCCAAGATTCCTACCGTTGCCACCGAGCCCATCGCCCAGGCCAACGCTCAAGTTGTCCACGGCGTTCCGGTCCCCGAGCTTCGCACCGTTTCGGACAACCCACTCTTGTCCCCGGGTGTTGCCATTGACGAAGCTGCCATCGACCCTGAGGCGACCAAGATCTCTGTGATTCTGAAGTTCCAGCTGAAGGCGAGCAATTATGCGACTATTGTGCTTCGCGAGCTCATGGGCACGACGGTTGAAGAGCTTACTCAGTAACTTGGTGATGAACTTGCCCTTGGAACAACCATTGTTATGTTATCTTTGGGCCATTTTCGACATCTGATCGAAGATGGGGTTGATTGGCGTACTTCTTTCTTTGGTTGGTCTTGGTGTGTGTATCAACCAGGGCAGGATTTTGTTGAGGATTTTGGCCGACATTCCGGCCGTACTTTCCCGGGATTTTATTCTTACGCTACACGAGAGCCTTGTCGCAAACGAAGTTGACTGTCGTACACACGGCTACACCTTGCTGGCTTCTCCCAACGAGGAGCTTCTTGACACGACACAATCCGGCTCGTTAGTGGCGTGTTACCTCTGCTTATTCTGTTGCAGAGGTCCACGCCCGTGGCACTGACTCCTGGTGGGAGTGATTCCTTTTTTCCCTTATTTTCTTTCTTTTTACTCTGCGTTCTACCTGCATAGTTAGCGTAGGTCTTGTCGATAAGGGAACGCCCGAAAACAGGAGGGCGTTGTCTCGTTCTGCTGCTATGCGGTTGGCAGATTGTGTGGGAGGGCCCTGCAGCACTAGAGGACCCTGGATTCACCATGAACACACGACTACCATGCCAGAACGCCTCTGTCTCTAGCTTGAGATCTTTTTCTTCTTTTTTCTTACTGTATTTCTCTCCTTCGGCGTTGGCATCAGGGACGGACACGGACATGAGCGATTTGCTGCCTGTTATGGTGCTCGTTTTTCCTAGGCAAAACAGGAAGGAAACGGATTTGTCGAGATGAATTTGTGATGAACCATTGAGATACCCCCCGCCGCATTTGATGGGATAGGTAGATGGGTCTATTTGTGTACGGATATTGGGAGTGATAGACAATACATACCATACCGCTGGGTTATCCGGCGGTGGAAAGGAAATGGTCTGTGTAATCATTGTGGTCAAGTTCGTTGGCATGTGGTGAGGTGATATGTCCTGGGTGAGTTAATGGGGGTTGACCAAAACAGCACGAGTCTACTTGTGAATGGTGGGTTTACTGTTTCGTAAAAGCATGGATGATGGGGTTGACCCGACTACTTCGTACTCTCGAATCACACATGATCATTTTTGGAGCGTACTGACATTACTGATGTTGGTATTGCCGCTACTGCTGCTGTGGCTGATGATGATGATGATCCAACCCGGGATCGTAACCTCTCCGTATCCCAAAAAACCAATATATCAGAAAAAGAAATCCAAAAACAGCCAAAATACAAACAATCCATATCCTTGACCCTACATAACTCCAAAAAACGCACTACCCCATTCCCTCCCCCTTATCTTCAGGGGATCTCATAAATAACAACTAGATGAAGAATAGCCTCGGCATTGACTTTTTACCCCCTTGGCGGCTATTTGTCGTCCCACCCCCATACTTGAGCGAGATAGCGGCGCATATTGACACGCTTGGTGGACATTTCTGTCATCCAGGGGTGTTCTAGCATACGCCAGGGGCTAGCACGGCGGACGGGCTCCTTTTCGAGGCTGTAGGGGGTTTGGGTTAGCGGGGTGTTGCAAAAAGGGAAACGGAAGAAAGAGGGAAGGAGAGGAGAACGTACCAGCACTCGATAAAGTACTTAAAGTTGTTACTCCAAAAGATATTCGCATCCGGCTCGTCCTTGAGCTTAGGAGTCGGGTGCTTGACGATGTAGGTGAGCAAGTCGAGCGGGGTAGCACGGGGCTGCATCTCGGTGCCGTCGGCGGGGAAGGGGAACCGATGCTGGGCGACCTCGAGGAGGGTAATACCCGTGGACCAGACGTCAGAGGTGATGGTGTAGGACTGCCCCGTGATGCGCTCGGGGGCCATGTAGTAGCTGGTGCCGATGAAGGTGCTGGCGTCGCCCTTGGTGCCGAACTCGCCTGAGACGCCGAAATCGCACAGCTTGACGTCGCCGTTGCGGCAGAGCAGGATGTTGCTGGGCTTGATGTCGCGGTGGATGATCTTTTTGGAGTGGAGGTAGGTCAGGCCGTGGAGGACGCCTTCGGCGATTTTGCCGAGGACCTTTTCGCCGGTACGCCCGCCGAGGCGCTTGACTTCTTTGTAGATGCTGTCGAGCGAGCCGCCCTCGCAGAACTCCATGGCGATGGAGATGGTTGCTGTCGCTGGGTCGACGAAGGCGCCGTAGTAGCGGCAGATGTGTTGCGAGGCACACCCCTTGTTGAAGCCAAGCTCACGGATGATTTGCCGCTTGGCGTCGGGGTCGGGGTTTGTTGTGATGATCTAGAACGCATTGTTAGATTTTATTCCATTTTCATCTCAGGTCTTTGGGTCCGTTGTCAAGTCGGATGCAAAGCATACCTTAAGCGCAAAAACGGTGTTTCCGCCGTTCAGCTTGCATTTCGTCACAGCACCACCAGCGCCTTCGCCCAAATTCCCAAGTTCAATGATCCGCTTCTCCACACTAACAATCCGCCAGCCCTCATCATCCAAGTCCTCTACATCTGCCTTCCTGGCCTTCTCAAGGCTGGCTTCGTCAAAGCTCTCGAGCCCATGTAGACTACCCTCGTCGTGCTCGCTCGCGTTCGAATAGAGCGAGCCCACCGCCGAGACTGGGTCACCTGTCTGCCTCCCGATCCCGTACTGGCTCGCAAAGGAGAGGGCACTGAATTGAGAACCGGCACTGGTGGGGTTGCTGGCACGGCCGTCCAGCGGCCCGAAGCTCCCACTCCTGCTGTGAGTGGCACTGCTTTCGCTGCCGCCGCTTGCACTCTGCAAGCTCAGGCTGAGGGTGGGCTTGGCTTGTTTTTGTTGTGGTAGATGTTGTTCTTGTGGGGCACTGTGGCCGCCCATCGGCATCGCAACGTGTAGGGCTGGAGGGGCTGGACGAGGCGGGGGACCCCCGGCCGGCTTCGCGTTCGGGATGGGGATGGCGAGTCCCAGACGGGGGGCACGGCCACCGGCCCGAGCGCCGGGGATGGCTGGCCGGAGGAGTGGTGGTGCGGCGGACATGTTGGGGACTGGCGAGGGAGTGTGTTGCGGGATGTTGATGGGGGTATGTGAAGGCTGCATTGTATAAAACGGACGTAAGAGATTAGCTTCAGAATCATATATATAGATATGGAATCTTGTCGGGTCAAAATGCAAGCCGGCTGGATGCCTCTCCTACCGCCAGGCTGCAAGGACAGACACACGACGCAGTCCTTGGGCGCTAACAAGTGCTCCGCTTAGGTACCACCCCAAGCCTCGCTCAGGGTTGGGAGTCCAGCTGTGGTGGCGATTCGTTTGAGACAGACAGAGGGTCCGATATCAAACGGGCGGGGGAACTATTAGAGAATGGATAAAAGGAAAGGCTTCATACCATGCCTGCAGCACCGTCGCTGCCCTGGTTATGAGGGGTGGCCATTATTGGGCGTGTGATGGAAACGAGGCAACGCGTGGGCTTCAATTGTTTCGCTTTGTCGACAGGCGACTGGCCACTGGGGACAACAAGCTCTACCGACCAGAGCGGTCCCCAAACAAACAGGGCGAGACCTAAAGAGATCTCGCTGGTTTTGCCTAAGGTGACTAACCCGTCGAGCTGAACCTCGGATTACCGTAATCGGACCAAAAGGTGACCCGTGATGGTGCCGTTGACCGGATGCGGGAAGACCTAGAGCGTTGAACTTGGAGTTGCAAGGCGAGCGTTATAGGACGAGATTCCTAGGTAGGTGTGTACTGGGCAAGAGATGCTGGATGAAGCACCTGGAGGCGAGGCTTGTTCCCGTTGTTACGGTATATGTCTGAGGAGTATTGTACTGGCTCGGGGAGGCTCGGCTTGGTGGGGGCGGAGGATTGGATCAGCAGGTCCTTTTTGGGTGTCCACGACGTGCAGCGGGAAGACGCAAATGGCGCAGGAAGCGGGCAGATTCGCAGATTTTGTGCGGTTGTGTTCCCGTCAGCGAGCCGCGCGTCGGTATGTGCGGTATCAACGGTCGAAAAGAAAGGGGCCGGTCCGCGGTAGGTAACGATAGACTGAGACTTTGATGGTCTCGACGCTCGGGTTTTGACCCTCTGGGGTTTTGTCTCGCTTGGTTGAGGTCCAGTGTCTGCAATCCGGAATGGAGCATTCGATTTGGGCGTGGGAAACTGGCTGCTTTGAACCAAGCACAGCGACCGGTGGGACGACCCCTCCACAGGCTAGGCGCCTTGACCGGGGGACCCTGCTCCACTGCCCACAGTGATTGCTGCCGGGCCGGCCAATGCCCGCGTCCGAACGGGATCAGGGGTCCTTGGCCCTGAAAAAGGCGGGGCGTTCAGGGACGAAGCTCAGGATGCCATTTTCCAAATGCTGGTTGTGGCAGAAAAAATCCAAAAGATACTACATATACGGCAACTGGATATCGAGAAAGCGGAATACACATTGGACCTAGAAGCTTATGATGATGGAAACATACACTACAACCCTGTTGAGTTGCGGGTTGGGTCTGGTACATGCTTGGCTGGATTCAAGACGTCGGGGTAGGCCCGTTTGTTGGGATTTGCATTGAATTCTGCAATTGCATCCTCCCACATCTGAGTGGCTCAGATGGGAAGTTGGAAACATCGATGAGCAGTCAAATCAAAACAGACCTCGCCGACACAACACAGGCGCTGCGGAACCAACAGACACACCCGTTGTCCACCTGCAGCGGAACCGAAGCACAACGCAATACGAGATCCAGCGGGAGAGAGACTCGGAAACTGAGCGACTCGGGGAAAATTATCAGAAGGAACCCGGCGTGCAGGTCGGAGTGGTCGGCGCATCCTGAGTGGACTGCAAGGGAGGATAGCCGCCACGGATCATCGCGCTGGGGACGCCACTGCCCGCTAACGATTAGGTCTGCTTGGTCTGGTGGCCTGGCGAGCTGGTTCAAAACCTCGCATTTGCCGTCACGGTCAGGGCCTGTGCATGGACGGATTGGAGGGTTGAGAAAACACAAAGGATTGGGATGCGTTCCCCAGGCCCCGCATCGCTGCACCTCAGTGGGGGGAGGGGATTGGATAGGCGGGCGTCTCCGGGCTCCAGGCTCGAGTCCTACGGCCTTACCTCCTCAAGTCCTGGACCATGTGGCGAACCCGACTCCTTCAACAACCGCCCCCCGTTTTGCTGCTGCTGCAAGCAAACGCTCTCGTGGCTTCTGGAGGAACCCAGCAGTGCCCAGCAAGCCAAGCAAGGCTCGCAAGGCCAGAGACACACAAAAACCGCACAGTCGGCGCATCACGAAACAGGCAAGATCTTGCAATCTGCGAGAAGCAAACACCCGCAAACTGCCGTTCCGCGCTGACGTGAGGGCGCAAGCGGCCTTACCGAGACAATGCCGTCGGCTCCCATGGGATGATCGATCTCATGAGTTCCCTTAGGCCGTTGTTATTTCGCTTGGTCCCCCCGCCGGGTCTCTCTGGAGGGGCGATTCGCTAGCGATGCGCCCGGATACCAGAGTACCGGCCTTGGTGGATCAGTTTTAGTGAGCCGATTCGGCACTCAGCCGTCTTGATGCGGCTACCGACACCGTGTGTGTGTTTGCTTTTTCTCGAGCCGCCATAGTGTGAATCGGGAATTCGGGTCTGCAAACGCAAAGCGAGAGCAGAGAAAAGCGAGACAAGGCTATGCGAGCAAAGCAAGGAAGGTCCCCAGGCTCATTTGCAAATCAAATGCCAAATCCACCAGCTTCATCACCCAGGCGAGGATCTTGAAATGGGAGCGATTGGTCGGATGCTTCGTTTCGAAATGTTGCTCTGTGGAAGCAGGACTGCAGAACTAGAAGCTCCCCCTGTCTGGCGCACGGTGCCCAGGAAGTCCAGACTGTGCTGGATGCAAGACCTCTCTTCTTCCAAGCGCCCCAGGCGGCGCGCCTGCTGTTAAGCGCCGTGATACGCAACGTGGTTGGCCAGTGCAGCATGGGTGGATCCGTTTGATCAACCGGTGGAAAGTGGGTCAGTCGGCAACCCCAAGCCTGGGTCCACTCCTATTCGCTGCCAAGTCCCTCCACTTTTTTTTTCTGCGTCCGAAACTTTTCGATTCTCATCAATAACAAGGAGAGCTAGCTTTTTACGCGCTCACAGCTGTTCGAGAGCCTCTTGTAAAATTGCAGGTCTAGCGCAGGGGGACCGAGTCTTGAATTCAGCCATGCCGTCATTCGCCGCTACAGGCCGGCGCAAGGGGGGTGTGGTGAAACGGACAAAGGAAGTACCCGAGCCCGTTCCAGATTCGCCAAATTCAGATGCCAGTTCACCAACATCTGAAGACGACCATGACACGGCTGAATCAGACTCAGATGCCGACTCTGGCTCAGAGTCGGGTTCAGAGTCAGACTCGCTAGACAGCACCAGCCCAAGGAAACGACAACGGATTTCTCCCGCAGTTGAGGATGACGATGCTGTTGACGGTGAAGATGATGCTGAGCCAAAGCTCATCAAGTCCGCATTGAATGTACCATCTCGCATCAAACGCAACCCTCGGGCCGATAAGAAGGCCGCAAATCCGCAAACCACCACCGACCTAGATCCCGAGCCAGAGTCTCGGGTCACGGCACCCCTCGATCCCAATACCACCTTTGAGTCGCTCGGTCTGCGGCCATGGCTGGTGCAATCTCTGGCGAACATGGCTATCAAGCGGCCTACCTCTATTCAACGAGAGAGTATACCGATGCTGCTTAAGGGGCGGGACTGCATTGGTGGGAGTAGGACGGGTTCGGGTAAGACGGTGGCCTTTGCAGTGCCTATTCTCCAGAAATGGGCGGAGAACCCCTCGGCCATCTTTGGCGTCATTCTCACACCTACTCGGTGAGTTCTTCATCCATTCTTCGTGTGGATTTTGGTGTTTCTTGCTAACTCTTCCCCGCAGCGAGCTCGCCCTCCAGATCTACGAGCAAGTAAAGGCCATCTCGTCCCCACACTCGCTCAAAGCCATCCTGGTCACAGGCGGCTCCGACATGCGGTCACAGGCCATCGCCCTAGCCCAGCGGCCGCACATCGTGATTGCCACGCCCGGCCGCCTAGCCGACCACATCCGCACCTCGGGCGAAGACACCGTATGCGGGCTCCGGCGCGTACGGTTCGTCGTCCTCGACGAAGCCGACCGCCTGCTCGCCGCCAACGGGCCGGGTAGCATGCTCCCCGACGTAGAAGAATGCCTCGGCGCGCTCCCGCCCGCCCGCGAGCGCCAAACCCTCCTCTTCACAGCCACCATCACCCCCGAGGTCATGGCCCTCAAGAACATGCCCCGCCAGCCCGGCCGGGAGCCCGTCTTCGTGTGCGAGGTCGACACCGACAAGCTCGCCATCCCCCCCACGCTGCGGCAGATGCACCTCCAGGTGCCTGTCACCCACCGCGAGCACTACCTGCACACCTTCCTGCTTACCCCGGTCAACGCCGCGAAATCGGCCATCATATTCTGCAACCGCACCTCGACCGCCGACTTCCTGCACCACCTGCTCCGCCTGCTCGACCACCGCGTCACGGCCTTGCACTCCAAGCTGCCCCAGCGCCAACGCATCGACAACCTAGGGCGGTTCCGGGCATCAGCCGCGCGCATCCTCGTCGCTACCGACGTGGCCGCGCGTGGGTTGGATATCCCCGAGGTTGGACTCGTCATCAACTACGATATCCCCCGGGATCCGGACGATTACATCCACCGGGTCGGTCGTACGGCGCGTGCCGGGCGGAAGGGTGATGCGGTGACGCTTGTGGGACAGCGGGATGTGGAGCTGGTGTTGGCGATTGAGCAGCGCGTGGGGAGGCAGATGGGGGCGTGGGAGGAGGAAGGGGTGAATTTGGAGACGAGGGTGGTGAGGGATATGTTGAAGGTGGTGGGGGAGAAGAAGAGGGAGGCGTTGTTGGAGGTGGAGGAGCAGAGGGAGGTGGGCGGGAAGAGGAAGAGGGGGAAGCAGAAGTTGAGGTTGGATTAAACTGTTTCTGGGCTGTTGTTAGACCCAAGTTTAAACATGATGCTCATGTTGTTTCACGATGGAAGTCAATAACCACAATGTCACACACCTAAGGCCGATGCTTCCATCTCTCAATGATTTCTCTCCTCTCTCAACTGCTTACACATCCAACCTCAACACCGTCGCCGCATTCACCCCCAACACCAGCTCAGCCTCCTTACTCCCCTCACCAAACGCCCTGATCACCGCGTCCACATTCCACTGCACACTCTCCCACTCCTCATCATCCGCCCCGTCCGCTTTCTCCCCCACCGGCGGGAAAAACGGGTGATCCGTCCCAAACATCAACCTCTCCGCCCCGGCTCCCGTAGCATCCGCCGCCGCTTTCAACCCCACATCACTGTACACCACCGCATCCAAATAAATCTGCTGCCTTAACACCTCCCACAACGTCCGTCTCTTCCTGACACGCTCCCCCTCCCCATCCCCCTTTCCAGCAGCTTTCGCCGCCGCGGCAGCCAACCCAGCATCATGCACAACACAACTCTCAATCCTCCCCGCCAAAAACGGCAGCGTCCCCCCCGAATGCGCCAAAATCATCCTCAACCCATCCACCGCATCAAACACCCCGGCCAAAAACATCCTTGCCACCGCCACCGTCGTCTCCATCGGAAACCCCAACGCCAGCGGCAGTACATGTCCGTAGTCGTCCGCGCGGGGGCCGAAGACTGACGTCGGTAGGCCGTAGTGCGGGTGGAGAAACACGGGCAGTTGCGCGGCTGCGAGGGAGGTGAAGATGGGGAGCATGCGCGGGTCGTCGAGACCGGCGCCGAGGCCGGAGGTGCCGAGGATGATGCCGCGGCAGTGGGGGAGGGTGGTGAGGTGGGTGATGGCGGTTAGGATGGTTTGTTGGGTTTGGTCTTGGGCTGATTCGGTGCCGGGGGTGTTGATGAGCGGTAGCGCGCCGAAGAAGAACAGTTTCCCCGGGTGTGCGACACACATTGCCTCGAACGACTCATTTATCCGCTTCGCCACGGGGCCAGCGTCCTCGGGTGAGAGGAAATCCAGCCAGGGGTTGGCGAGGGACACCACGGAGGTGGTGATGCCGTGGCGGGCCATGAAGGAGAGTTTGGCGGGGAGTGAGGTGAAGTGTTTGGTGAGAGACCGGCCGGGGAGCGGGGCAGACGGGTCGGCGAGGGCGCGCTGGAGGGAGGGCAGCTCGGATTCGAGCAGGATGAGGCGCGGGTCGGGGGAGGAGGGGAATGTGCGGACGAGGGGGAGGTCGGTGCGGGTGGAGAGGAGGTCGATGTACTCGGGCGGGTACATGTGGGTGTGGATGTCGACTATGGGGGCCATGGTGGTGGTTTACGTTTCTTTGTTTAAAATTAGGTTGATGTTTGGGGATGGTTGTTCAGGGGTTGGTGTTGGTGGTTGTGGATGGAAGTTGAGAACTTGGGGATCAGGTTGAGGATGAGGTTGAGGATGTCAGGTGAACTGTGCCTTGGGTTGTACGAGATTTCTCTTCGGTAATATTCTAACCCGCTTTCCCGAATTGTCCCCCTATGCACTACAACTATCCTTTACCGACGCCCACCAGCGTATTTCACGCAGAAAGCTCTTTCCTCATGCAATGGACGTTGTATCAAAGGCCGATTCGATGCCAAGCCGGAAGACACCCCGCATTTCAGCCCCACTTGCCGACGCCCAACCCCACTTTATCAACCTAAAGCTGATCGATTGCAGGGGCCGTGAGACCTTATCGGGCAAATCGACTGATACGACAATGCCACTTTCCCTTCTTCTTACGCCTGCCGCGGCTGCCCAGATGAGCCCGCAGATAGGCGCTCTTGTGGCCTGCGTGCGTGTCTCAGAAGACTCCCGCACTGGCTGGGCAATGTGTGATCGGTACCAGTGGCTCTCTGGAGCGTACCCCGCTCCCAGCTTCGACGCGGTCAGATCCCGTTCCACAGGCCGACGGTTGGGCAAATCGGGAGAGCCAGATCGAGAATCAGCTGGTTTGGAAGCTGTGTGATGCCCAGGTGTCTGTAATACTCACCAAATGTCACCTGATCGGGGGGTGGTCGTAACTCAAGTAGAAGGGCAACATCCGTGCGTCGGACTTCCCTGTACAGACTCGTAACCCTTCATCCTCTCTCTTACTTAAGTAGTTCAGAAGCCCAGAAAGCTACAGGCTTAGAGGGTATACCTGCCACTTCAAACACAAACTCACACACACTTCACTTCTAGCCATGGAGAAAGCAGCGGTGGAAGATGACGGGCTTGTCATCCCCGTAAGCGTTTATCTCAATCTCTGTTGTTCACACCACTAACACAAGCCAACACGGCAGCTCATCGACTTCTCCAAGTTCCTCGAAGGCACACCTATCCAAAAGGCGGAAACAGCCAAGGCCATCCTAACAGGCTTCCAAAACGCCGGCTTCATCTACCTGTCCAACATCCCCATCCCAGCCTCCACAGTCGCCGAGGCCTTCGAAACCTCAGCTCACTTCTTCCGCCTCCCAACCGCCACCAAAGAGTCCCTCTCCTGGACCACGCCCCAAGCCAACCGCGGCTACTCCGCCCCCGGCCGCGAGAAAGTCTCTCAACTCCCCACCAACGCCGACGTCGCCGCCCTGCGCACCACCACCCCAGACATCAAGGAGTCCTTCGAAATCGGCCGCGACAACGAACCCGGCCACCCCAACCGCTGGCCAACCGAGGACGACACCGCCCCCATCGCGCCAGACCTCACAGCCGCCGCCTTCCGCCAGACCATGTCCGCCTTCTTCGCATCCCTCGCCGAGCTGCACAAAGCTGTCATGCGCGCCATCGCGGTGGGCATGGACCTTTCCGAAACCCACTTTGACCCCTTCGTCGACGAGCGCGACAACACCCTGCGCTTGCTGCACTACCCGGCCGTGCGCCGCGACCTGTTCCGTCTGCATCCGGGCCAGGTGCGCGCCGGCGAACACTCCGATTACGGGTCTATTACTTTCCTGTTTCAGGACCAGCGCGGCGGGTTGCAGGTGCAGAGCCCGAACGGGAAGTTTGTAGACACCACGCCAATTGAGGGGACGTGTGTGGTGAATGCGGGAGATTTGTTGGCGCGGTGGAGTAATGATACGATTAAGAGTACGGTGCATCGGGTGGTGGAGCCGCCGAGGAAGGAGGGGGAAGATGGGGAAGGCGAAGGAGAGACGTACCCGGCGAGGTATAGCATTGCGTGAGTGGCATCCCGGGGCCGAAGTTATTAAGGTTTAATGCTGACCGAGACAGGTACTTTTGCAACCCCAACTTCAAGGATTTCATCGAGGCGATCCCGGGGACGTACGCTACGGAGGCGGACAAGAAGTATGAGGGTATCAACAGCGGAGAGTATTTAGTCCAGAGGTTGGAGGCCACTTATTGACGGGGGCTGAAAGGGAGAGTCAAGTTCCCGTGCTGGAACGGCCTACCATTTCTTTTTCACAAGGTTTGTGGAGATAGACAGCCATGTCACACTACGGGTCTTCATCTAGAAACTCAACCAACATAATCAAACTCGGGAGTCTATGGACAATGTAAATCTAACATGCCACGTCTGGCCCATGGGATATCCGCCGGTTTACCAGAGTGAGCTTCCCAAATCATTGAACCCGCAAACACGTCATACTTTATCAGCGAGAGGGAAAACTTCAAAAAGAACATCCCGCCTTTGAACTCAGCACAACAACACTACCAAACCCTCACATCTCTCCCAACCCCTTGCCACGATACTTTATTTTTAATCACAAAAACATCAACCAACGCTCAAAAACAACCAAAAAGCTCACCGCCTACCTCTCACTGTCCCCCCTATACAGGGGGCGAGGCATAGTAGAACAGCTACGAAAACCCGCAAGCGGGTTTTGCGAAGTGCAACAACCGGGCTCGAACCTGGGCGCACAGATTCTGTGGTGTACTAGTTCAAACATCCACAGCCTCCCCACTACGCCATCCGGCCGGGGCCGGTGTTGGTTTTGGGGAGGCGGTTGGAATGTGTTGCGCGGGCACTGGTTTATAATGGGTGGGTGGGTGGTGTGGACTGCGGTTGGGGGGGAAGGAAGGTCGTGGTGATGGTTGGTCTGGGCGCGGTAGGGACAAAGCCACCGAAGACGAGACGCTGTCAGGCAAGAGACAGTTCTGGCATTCGGCATAACGTTAAACTAAATTGATTTTAAAAAGCACCTAGGCTGGTATCACAAACTGAGTTATACAAAACGAGATCCAGGACCTCCTCACTTTGCCCACTTGTTAGGCAAACCTGGCCGAGAACCTCCCCAACTGCCAAACAGGCGATTGAAACGCACTCCAGTATCCTACTCCTGATCTTTGTCAACCAAGTTGAATCCACAGAGACTCCCTCTCTGCTCTGATTGACCCGAGGGCTCCTTGCTAGGAATGATTGCTCGCTATACTCCTTGTATTCTTTTCGTTCGGCATCATCCAGCTTGCCTTCGGGACAGCCCGGCGTCCCTCTACGTTGTACCCTCCTCCACGACGACCGTTTCAGTGGTGCTGAGCTTTCACAATGCCTATGCTCGCGGAGGTGGTGTCCTTGTCAGGTTTCTCTTTCGACGCTGCTGAATCCGATCCTAGTTAAATCTCCCGTTAGTCTTGTCCTTGTCCGCCGACCTCCCAGTTTAGGGCAGGGGAGTGTTTGAGCAGTTCCCAAGTCAAAAATGACTGCGGCAAGAAGGGAGGAACGATTAGGGACAAATACTAACCAAGCCCGGCGCTCTGCTTTTTTGCGACCTCCACGGAACCACGAGTGGACACGAGCGAACTCTTCGAGTATGGTCCAGCCATCGGTGGCCTGGCCATCTCCTTCACGTCGTTCCTAGCTGACCCAGCGGCTAAATTGCGTCCGAAGTTGGTTTTTGTGGTTCGATTTGGCAGAGTTCTCCTCGTCCTTAGCAAGGTTGAAAATACCTCCCGCCTAGTCTCCAACGTTAGTCAAGTATCGATAGTGCTGAAGACTCTCTGTCATTGTCATATTCTACCGTTCGAGGTCGATCATTCGGATCAGCATCGTCGACTGATGATGTAGGTCTTCCCGATCGATGGTAGCGTCAGAAAGAGCAAGGCTCAGAAAGAGCCAGCCTTGCCCTGGCAATGATTGTCTCTTTCGAAGCTCTTGTCTCGGGAGAAACGTCGTCGATGTTTCGGTACCTATTCCTTGTGGCCAAGTCCACGATGTCAAAGACTGTGGCATCGTCCTTTCGGGGCAAATCAGGAGGTGTCGTAGAATGATACATTTTAGAGGGAGGATGATGAAATGTCAGAGTATAAAAGGGTGTCCATTTGCTGTGGCAATAGACATTTATATTCTACGACATGTGCTAAAGAAGCCGGAGTCAATATTGCCTGCCTCCATTGAGACCTTCTCGGAACGGTGGACCCTTCCCAACTGTTGCATTCCTAATCCACAGCCGGACCGAGAGCCCTTTCTCACACGGTGTATGACCCAACACTTGCAATTTTTTACAGCAGGAAAGTGCAAAAGTATGACTTGGAGCGTCCGCCCTTACTTGGTGACTATAATTAACACGCCTCCAAACACTTTTCTTTCCTTTTCTTCTTCAGCTGCGTCGACATCAGAACTAATACCTAATACGAACTAGTCCCGCGCCTGCGCCCTTCATGTGCCGCACGCCTTCACAGTATAAAAGGGTCTTCATTTGCTGCAGCAAAAGACATTTGCGACATAACGGGAGAAGGAGGTTCTGGCGCCCAGTGGCGCCGCGAATGGCGTAAGTATTTCCAGCACCTTGACGTATATGTATATGTCCTTACAACCAACACCAGTATTAGCAGTCCGCTACCACGAAACGGCAGGCGACGGGGGATGAGGCCCCACCGGCTAAAAAGGTATAATATAATTATCACTGAGTGATGGTCCTAGTATTTCCCACCACTATCGACAACCGCTAACTTTTTTTCTTCTTGTAGCCCAAGGCGAGTTTGAGTCGGTTGGTACCTGTACTATCGGCTGCTGACACTTCTGCAATTAGCCTTTTACATCCGTAGCGGGTTCTGTTCCTGCAACCCTGCTCTATGTCGGGGAATATTGCACTCTTGCATGTATGGCTCCGGCTCACCCCCCAATCGGGGTAAGCAGGGTAAGCAGGGTAAGTAGGGTGAGCAGGGGTGAGTACGGAATACAGAGGTTCAGTAGATAAATCCTTATCTCTGGATCTCATTGGTCGAAATCTGCTTAGGTGGTGACATTGAGCGCCACACTGCCCATAGCTGGTCTGAGCTCCCGAGATAATAGGAAGTGTGTCTTAAAAAAATGTAGACTATAAGTCTATAACTCCTACCTTACCCCTATAGCTCAAGTCCTTACCTATATAGCTAAAGAAACGTAGCAGTAAGTGAGATTCCTCTATAATAATATTACGAAAGAAGAAAGTTGATATTTCAACTACCGTATAAGTGGAAGTTGGAACCTGGAACTTGTAACCTGAAATCAAAATGTTGTTTTGGTTCTGACACCCGCCTTTCTGCCGCCCACACAACCCACATTGCCTGCAGCTCTCCGAGCTCGGATCAGGGGACGTTACTTGAATCTTTACAAAATCGATCTTCGTTTCATCTTTTGAGACATTTGATGAAAGATTCTGTCTTTTCCAGATGCCTGGTGCGGCGCGCGGCGCTTCAGACGTCATCCACGTCATGAGAGTCGATTGTAATACGGTGTGAAGCTCTTCTCTCCTGCTTGATGAAGTCCCCCTCATCGGAGATATTCCCTTTCTTTTGTCCAAGTTCAGGGACATTGAGCCACCGCTGAATTGGCGCATATCTACCCTGCTCTTCTGTCTGCGTTGCCCAGCCCAGTCGCCGCATGTGATGGGGAAGAGCGGCTTGCCGCCCGCTTGAGCGACCGCCTCAGCAGTGGCAGTCTTTCTGTTGCGGGCAACGGCACAGCAACAAGGGTGGCAATAGTGAATGTCAGAAAGCTGGTGGTGAGACTCGTTGTGGGGAGGCTGCGGCCCACCTGGCTGTAGAAGTGGGCAGAAAGGCGCGGGTTCAGGGGTAGGAACATGGGCTCACGTGCTGCAATCTGCAAGGTAACGAACTAACGATGCAAGGCTCCCCGCACCAGCTCGGTTGGTTCTCGTCTACTCCCGAAAGCTCTCCCCTCCCGCTTCTCCTCCCTGACGCATTTGCGGTCTCGCGCGGCGTGCGTGAATTTCTGCTCTAGGCTCCCAATATCTGTCGCCGCCTCATGGCTAAGCTACGCCACCTCCGCGTTCACACCGAATGCGATGTCTGCAACGAGCCGGTGTTGCCAGATGAACCGTATGTTGTCCGTAAGACAGGCCGCAATCACAAGGCAAAATCTTCACCAACCTGACAAAGCGAGTTGCAGTGCTCGGAAACGCAAATTCTACTTCCTACTCCGTTGGCATCATCGTCTCAGCTCAGAGGACTCAACTCGCTCAAGACGCGTCACAATGGCACCTTTGCCGCGCAGTAACTTGCATGGCTTGCGAAGGCTCGCCTTGTACCTGCTCAGTCCATATAGAATGTCTCCAGGTCGTCATCCGGCACTGCAGCGCCCATGATGCCCTTGATCGGCTCTGGCTTGTGTGCGCCTGGCGGCGCCAATTGTGGACCGGCGCCCTTATTCCTCCACTCGGACTGACGAGGGATTCGATATTGGGCTCCGACATGTTAACCTTGCTTGAATGCGCCGAGCGCTGTGGGTTGCGGCAGCTCAAGGCTCTCCCTGTGGAACTTCTCAGGGATATCCAAACGCTGTCGCGACCCCACCTCTTGTGGCGTTATATCACTGCTGTGAATATGGCCAAGCAACTGTCTATTGCACCTTCGTACCCTCTACAGTCTTTTCCTCTAGGCGCCGTTGCTTCGTGGCAGCGCGGTAGCGCTCCGAGGCTCGCCGTCGATGGCAGATGGCATGATCTCCCCCCAGTTGTTCGCCTTACCATCGATATGAACGGTCTCAAGGCGCTTGATCGGCTATCGGAACCCCCGGTATACCAGTCACGGCGCTTCGATGACTTGCTTTTTATCACTGATATACAAAGCCGTTTTTCCGATACAACTGCACACTTTAAGGTAATACTCCTTGCCCAATACTTGAAACCTTTCCTCGGCTCAAGGCAATTCTGTAACCTGTGAACCCGGTCAGCTGATTCCCTCCATAGAACGGGCTTCTACATCTCACCGTGCCGGATATGGACTGCGGACTCCAAGTATGGGATACGCCAACTCCTCCTGACCTACAGAGATGCCCTGTTCGCCCGGAGGCCATCGCCGCCTGCCTCCGCTTCCACACTATCAACGTCAACGAATTAAGCGGCCTTACATTTTTCTTTCACAACGGCCGAGCAATGGCAATTCATGCGCACTCAAGAACAATGCCTTCGGCCAGCCTAGTATTCAGCAGTCTTGGTGATTGGTGTCAATCGCGTGTCGTGTGGACATACGTGCCACTCCCTCCCGGGGACCCCTTAACTCGGATTGGCTGTCTGGTGCGGCCAGATAACACGGGGGGGTATCACACTACGACTCAGTCCTGCTTTCTGGTATGTCCGCTTTGCTCACTGTCGGCCAAAAGTTGGGAACTAACACTCTCTCAAAGCTTCGCACTTCTTCGGCAGGCGACACAGTTGTTGGACGGTATCAAGCCGGCGGTGAGGGCCGATTCATCATCAGCAACCAGCGGCCGACGACTTTGATCTACTCAACGGGCCGCTTTCGCCCGATATCTGTCATCTCGCCATACTCGAATGCGGAGCAAACCGGCACACTGATAGAGCCTCGCACCTATCCACGACCGGAGCAGTTCCCATCCCCAGGTTGGCATTTTTCTTGTGCACCGTTGGACAATGTTAGGCGGATCCAAGTCTTCCTCGAGGAAGATAGCCTCCATTGCAGAGGCTTGCTGCTCGAGTACGAAGGTGGTGGACAGAGAGCGTTGGGGCAGTGCCGTCTTCTCGTAGATCAGACCAAGACGTACAGCCGGCCGTCGCGGATCGCGTTTACGAATGTGCTCCGCTTGCCAGCGGGCTCAGAATTCGACCTTGAGGCGACAAAAGTTGCGTTTGACGAGATACCAGAAGGTGGCGACGGCTGGTCGAGTTTTGGCATGACAGGCACGCTCTGGTTCTGGTTCACGGAGAAGGAGACGCGACTCGAGATGTACACGTCTGCTGCTGACCCCGAAAGCACAACAAGCGAGGAATGAGTCGGGTGGCAGTTGATTGCGAGACCAGGTCGGCGCTTCGTGCACCACCACTCTTTCAAAGAAAACCCTTGCTAGCAGTACAGATGTGCCTTTGTAATCCAGCAGCAGACCAAATCCACCTAGTCCTCCCAAGAATGCTTAGTTCGAGTACCCAACCTTTTCGCACTCCATCTCGTACTCGTCGCGCCCCATCCAGTCCGGATCTAAGACCTGAGCATCGGCCCACTCGCGACACCTTGCGTCAAGTGATTGATAGTACGCCTGGGTGAGGACGGGCGGAAGCTCCGACTCTTGTTCCATGCCCAGGCCGTCCAGCACACCCCGCACAACCTTGGAAATTTGAGCAAATGTTGTCGTAGTCCCTGACTGTTTCATCCAAGCGGCTTGGATGATTTCAGCAACGCCAGATGCCTCCGGCTCCAGTGGGTACTCGCCTTGGCGGGCCGTCTCTCGGAACGTCCTAAGCTCTTCGGCAGAGGTAATGGCTGTCACCTTGTTGTTCATATCGATGCCACTTAGGAGGTAGTACAAGCAGCAAGCGAGGCGTTGATGTGCGCGGTCTAGATGCCGGAGGTACGCGGCAAGCTCTTCTTCGTCGCCCTCGGTGGTGTTTGAAGGCTGGCGGGGCGAGGTGGCAAAGCCAATCAGCTTTAGCCGGCCCGTCCGATCAATTCCAAGGTCCCGGACAGAGATGCCACTAGGAACAAGGCCCAGCGACTCCAGATGGGCAAAAGCCGAGGTCATCTCGACAGCCCAGCGGCGTCGGCGGTTCTCCGTAGCGGCCGCCCAGACTGCCGTCACCGGGGTCAAACGCTCGGAGAATCTTAGTCCCTCCCGGCCGCTGTCAAACTCGACGACTAGATTTGGACACGGTGAGTCCTTCAACCGAGCGAAGGTTTCCTTTTCCAGGTCACCCGCGGAGAAAGCGCCGAGGGAGACGAGGAGAAGCATGTCGTCCGACGGCAGGTTGAGTTGAGCGACGGGGTACTGGTTTTGCAGCTTGAGGACGATATCGTCATCCAGAAGGAAGATAGAAGCGCGGCCAAAGTGCTCCCAGTCGCAAGGCAGGTCGGGGTCAACCTTGATGCGGAAGATGGGCTCCTTCAGAGGTGAGACAACGATCGGATTCGGCTCCTTTGGGAGCGCTCTGGCGCGCTCAAATACCTCCAGGCCGTCCATGGTGGGCTAATGCGGCCAAGATGAGAACGAGGAGTAGAGGCGAATGTCAGAGAATCTGAGATGCAGGGCTAGGAGGAGGCAGAGACGGGAGGGAAGTGAGTTGATGCGTTAAGGAACTAGAAGAGACGGTGGGTTGTACATATATATGCACGGCTTGGCGCGGGGCACAGCACTGCGTGGCACGGGCATTGTTAGGTGATGGTCCAATCATAGCGAGTTATCCGTTTCTCGGTCCAGCCGGCAACGGGGTGAATCTAGTGAATCTAGTCTAGACAACGGGCCAATGAAGTGTAAGTTCCAAACGTCGACCCGGTCCCTCATCTCTCTTGCAGCCGGCTCCCCACTGCCTTTGCCTCCTGCATCCCACATCAGATGATCAGCAATCAGATCACCAGTTCTCTGTTCCCTTGCGCGCAACAACCTGTCACGCCCACCACCTATGCCAACAACCATTACCAAAACGAATACGACGGTCCAGCCGCCCGCACCCCGTCCATCGGCATGGCCCCCAATGGCTCCCAACCGCCCCCAACACGAAAAACAAACCATCCGCATGGCCCCCAACCGCCCCCAACACCCAACAGTGACACGAAAAAGAAACCCTTCTAGCGGCGGCGGCGCCGCTCCCGCTCCCGCATTCTGGCCCTGCATTCGGGGCTGCAAGCCGTTGGGAGCTCCATGGTCTCTTGCGCCGATCTGCCGCGGTCCACAGGATGGTCACAATCGCGGTTTCCGCGGATTGGGCACCGCGACGAGGTTTTAGTTGGGTAGTAGCGGAAGTCATCATGGCCGCAGGTAAATGTGACGTGGAACATCTTGATCTCGCACATGGTCGTCGAAGTGTTGTGCGGTGACTCGGAGGAAGCGATGTGGGGATGGTGACTGGTCTGAGAGTGTTCCCGCCGGGGGACGTTGTGGTAACTTGTAAGAGAAGGTGTGGCGGCGTGGGGAGGTGGACTGTGTTGATAATTGTACTTGGGAAAGACTTGAAGGGGCTTGAGTGGATGGACTTTGTGGTTCTGTTGCTGGAAGCTTCGTTGTTGCTGGTCGGGGAAGAGACTTGTTGTCATCCTCGCGTCCTTTTATACCAAGTCGCTGGCCGGCTGGGGCATTCGAGCCCTCCAACAAGTGATGCCAGGTTTGAGGGTTTCAAGATAGCCATGTTGGCCTACAGTAGTCTCTCCCTAGTACTCGAAACTGGGTTCTTCGGTGGTGGCGGCCTTCATACAACCGTATGGCCGAAACCGAGCAGCCCTTTCTCTCCCCCAACCTGCCCGTGCCGGCAGAGGGTTGAAGGAGTCGAACCCGGAGGCGAAGCGCTGGAGACCTTCCGGTGCCCGTTTGATTCCCCCCGACCATTCCGGTCTTGTCAGGAAGGCGTTTGAAACCCGTAGGCGGCATGACCAGCTCCAGATATTCCCGCGCATCAGGGGTATGGGTGGCTAGCGCGATGAAACTGGCCTCGGGGACTCTGGGCCACCCACCGGAGTCCCTTGTGCTAGTTTCCTGGGTTGTTTGGAGTCTTTGGACATCGTTGGCGTGTCACTTGCCGGAAAGGGCCATGGCCGCTGTAGTTCTCTGCCCAACGCCCCGCCCCCACTCATGCAAGGTCAGGCACCCGCCTCCTTCACCGACCTCCCCATTGTGCCTGTTATCTCGCGGAGTGGGTACGATTTGGGGAAGTGTAAGGAGGTGCAGCTTTGAGTTCTAAACTTCTAACGCGGCCTAGACCTGCTGTGAACGGAACCGGGACCAAGCCTCTGCCCTACAAGATACTCTTACGGTACCGACGTGGCCGATACGGCATCCAGCCTCTGTGTACCGCGAGGTCATGAGGTTGACTGTCCGTGGCCTCCCGCTTCATGTCGCAGGTATGTACACTAGGCCAGCGTACGCGTCTCTTGAAAGGCCCTCGTAGCTAACTCGCCCAGGCTAGGACTTTCCAACGCGGTACAGAGGCCCAGGGTAGCCCGAGGGGCTACGAGTTACGTATCAGGTTCCCTCGTGTGCCTGCCTGCCTTAAATGGACAGTTTCCGCGCAGCGGGAGGATGGATGCTAATAATAAGTGCCCAGAGGCCACACACGGGCCGTCCAACAGGGAGACCGTGACTGACGCGGCGGTTCCGGTGCCTGAGACTGCAACGCCGCTGCTGGCTCGAAACCAGGCGGGTTGGGCAGTTGGAGGTTAGGGGGTTGTCAGCGCGACGGCCAGAGCTGCCGGCAGTGGGCGATGAGGCGGCGAGCCCTCGAGGCTTTCCCTGGCATATGGCGGCGTGATAGGAAGGAGGTGCCGCCGAGTGGCGGGGCTGAATGAGATGGCTCGATGGGTCATCTGGAACCCGTTTGTCGGCCCGACCCGTGCCAATCGACCAACAGGATCATGGCCTAATGTGGGATGCCGGTTGTGAGCTTCCGACAAAGGATGACTGCTGCAGGCGCTGTGGCGCGGAAGCATTTGTGGAGCGGCTCACGGATGAGATGGATAATAGGTGGGACTACAACGAAAATGATTGGCATAACTGTCGGGATTCCGGTTGGGTCGAGTATGGGATTCTTGCTTGCGAGTACCTTGGATAATAACCAGATCCCAGCCGTCTCGAATGTGGGGGCATAAGGCCAATCCTTTTCAGCTGTTGAGAAACTGGACCGCGTCCAAAAACCAAGCAAAGGCGCTCCCGCCCAACCGACGGCCCCCCTTTTTGGGATAGTTGGGAGGAATGCTGGGCCAGCTCCGTGGCTGAGGGATTTTCCTGGGTAAACGTTGGGGTTTAGTTGTTTGTACTCTCCTATGAGTGGACTATTGTGCCGCCAACTCTAAGCTTGGGCTAGGTACACTACTTACAAATGCGAAATTCAAATTCTAAAGTGGATGAAGCCGCCATGCTGCGTCTCTGCACTGGCTCTGGTCACATTGAAGACCAGGTTCCCAGGCGGCACCACGTGGAGGTTGCAGAGGCCGACTTCGCCGCCCGGCCGGCCCGTCTTCCATCAACAAGGAATCAGGAACCGACCCCCCGCGAAGCGAGGACGTGCAATAGGTAAACTCCGACCAGTCAAATGGCACCTCAAACTAAACAGCTACAAGACTATCATTCCGCATAGCAACGGGCCTGGTCAGACCCGAAAGTCCATTATACCTATCATCGCTCGTCAACAATTTAATCACGTTAGAAACGATGGCATCGTCCTTTCGGACTGAACTAGAAGACGCTATAGAATGATCCATTACTACTAAATAGATTTGATAAAGTCCAACGTATGATCGAAAAAGAGGTGAAGAAGCTGGAATCATTAATTATTTGATACCCCCTCAGAACGGTGGTTCCTTCCCAATTGATTGCATCTTCAATCCGCAGCCGGACTGAGTGCGGCTTTCCAGACAGGCATATCAGTGAAAACTTGTCATGTTTTGACAGCGGGAAAGTGCGAAGGTACAACTTGAAGTGGCTCCCTCCTTGGCGCCCAACTATGGAGGGCCTCGGAAACTCTTCTTTTCCTTTCCTCCCCAGCCTCGCCAACACACATTGAAACCGGTATGAAGTGACCCCGCATCGGTGCCATTCGAGTGCCACATAACTATTGACTGTTTGTTAATTATACTATACTAACGTTCCTCACTCAATCTAGCAAATTTGCAAGTGTCCTTCTACCCGTTACCCGCACCGCTGGGTAAACGCTAACTACTCGTTTACCTCTTCAAACAGCCTTCACAAAGTTGGTAGGACCCGTGGTACCCAAAATAGCTCAAGCTTTCCACTGACACGCTATATTTTCCACGCCGCAGAAACCAATCAATCAAGTGAGTTCGGTCATAGGTCTGTATTGTTGGTTTCTAATGCTAACGTGGTACGTAGGATGTGTAACAATAAGGTAGGTACTCGAGAATCGCGGGAGATACGAGCTTCGATACAAGACATAATAACTGATAAATATATAGAACGGGGTTGAAGTCCCCAGCGCGGAGGACATGGTGGCAGTGAGGACGCTCGTAATCTTATTCCCTTTACCATAGGTGTCTAACTTTGCGTTCAAGAATACAAAGCCAGAGCGAAGGTGGAAACTTGAGTATTGAGCGAGTTTGAGTGTAAGGCCGAGGAGTCTTGGGGGGAGGGGCTCCGAGTCACTTCGGGGGATGATTCGGGGTGGGATGGACAAGGTTATTGACAATGTGATTGAGAACGTGATTGAACAAGGGATTCACAGAATTTCCGATGTGATTGACGACGAGGTTGACGACGAGGTTGACGACGAGGTTGACGACGAGGTTGACGACGAGGTTGGCGGAAGGGTTGACGAAGGGATTGACCGCGATTGAGAATGACAACCGACAACGCCGTTGACAACGCTATTCCCCATGAGATAGATAACCCCATTGACGAGGGGGAAAATTCCACAATTAACAACGAGAAAAAGATAACTCACCAAACAATAAATGGGGTGAAATGGAGTTTAGTTACTAATTGAGTACCTTCGCTGCCGGGTGGTTTGCTGTAAGGTTTGCTGTAAGAGCATAATTACAAGTAATCTGGCCGGGGAGTTTCCGAAACACCTACTTCGAAGATTGCTCGGGAATTGAGCTGCTGAAGATGTTTGAGTCGGTGTACAGGCCGTTGGCGTTGATGGAGGAGGAAGAAAGGAGGCGGGTGCCCCCCAATGATGAGGATAATGAACAGTTGTGAGAGAGAGCCGGATGTGGTGAGATGGAAGGGGTTAGAAGGAAGAAAAGGGTTGGGAGTGAAGGAGGATAAGGGGATGTTGAGGAATGGAGAGGCCGGGGCTGAGGGGGTGAGTGTGGACAAGAAAGACAGGGCACGACATGCTTTTGGTGGGGGAAGCCAAAGACCAAGGGGTAAGCCTGCAAATCCAAAAATGCACCAAAATAGGCAAGAGGGGTGCACCGTACAAGAGCCGGCAGACAGCGAAGCAGCTATTGATATGATCCTACTGACTTGGGAACGTTTAAGTTGCGGTTTCTGGAACATGGATATATGGTGAAGGGTTGAAAGTCGGCAATCGCCGGTTGGGACAACCGGATGTAAACGAGGAAGGTAATTTCAGTAAATTGAGTTATTCCTACACCATTTTCTTGAATCTGCTCTTCAGTAATTCAGATTGGAGGGCCAAAATGCGAAAGAAGTATGTGTGTGTAGTGTAGGAAAATGTTATCGACGTCATTGCCCAAAGCGGCTAGCGTACTCTAATTTAATTCCCCGACGCCCCAAAACATTTGATCTCGACCATCCCATCTCAACTCAAAACCTCAACCTCAACTCCCACTTCTCCATCCCCCATCTCCCACCAACCAACTCCCCCACACAAACCACCCTCCCACAAACCATCCCCAAAATGGCCGACCAAGACCTCCTCACCTACGCGCAAGACGCCGCCTCCCGCGGCGACGACCTCTTCTCGATCCTCGGCACCGACGCCACCGCCTCCTCATCCGACATCCGCCGCGCCTTCCGACGCAAAGCCCTCACCGCGCACCCGGACAAAGCCGGCGACGCGTACGATCCGCAACTATACGAGCGCCTCGAACGAGCGCGCGATGTACTCACCACCGCCGAGGCGCGCGCGGTGTATGACAATGGCATGCGCGCGCTGCTGCAGAAGAGAGTGGAGAGGGAGCAGATGTCGGAGAAGAGGAGACGGTTGGTGGAGGATTTGGAACGGAGGGAGGCGGAGGCGGCGAAGAGGGTGAGGATGGAGGGGGGCGCGGTGGGGCCGGAGGCGCAGGATATGGAGAGGAGGGCGATGGCGGCGAGGGGACGGGCGAAGATGGAGGAGATGAGAAAGAAAAGGGAGGAGGCAGAGGTTAGGGAACGGTTGGCGGGGGAGAGGAGTGCTGCTGCTGCTGGTGCTGCTGCGAGGGAGGCGGCAGTACCACCGCCAAAACCTGATGCCACGGCAGATACGACACAAACACAAATACAAAAACAAACACAAAAACAAACACAAATACCAGACGACGGCCCAACGCCGGGCGAACAAGACTACGACTCGCGCATCGCAGACCTCGAGAAACGGCTGCGAGAATCGCAGCAGCGCAAGGCAGAGAAACAGCAGCGCAAGGAGGAGCGCAGGGCAGAGAAGAAGACGAGAAAGGGGTCACCGCAGGCACAGGCACAACCACACCTGGCGCACGAGACCACACACACACATAACTCCCATCACCCTTCCGCAGCGCACGCAGAACCACAGGCTGACGAAGATAGGGTGTCTGCGCCTGGTGAGAAGACGACGACGACGAAGACGACGACTACGGTATCAACAGAATCGGAAACGGGAGCGGGAGAAACAGGAGCAGCAGAAACATCAGGCGCACCCAAAGCGAGTGACAAGTTTGCGTCAACGCTGGCTCGGTTACGGGCGGCTCAGGCGAAACGGGAGGAGGAGAAGAGGAGGGCTGCTGCTGCGTAGATTCTCAGGCCTAAGTCGCCGAGCAGTGTATACGGTACCGGACGGGATGAGAACATTTTACGGTTTAGCGCTGGTGGTGTGTTCTGCCGCGATATGGAGAGAGAAGGTGGTGTGTAGCAGGATGGGATAGAGAGAGAGAGAGGAATGAATGGTCTTTAGATATACCCCGGGCAAGTCAATTCATTTAATTCTGGAGTGGTAGATAGAGATATTAGAGGTTGTAGACCTAGCCCATCGGATGAGTTGGCCAAGGATCCGGTGTTCTTTTTTTTATGTAGCGCGATGTTTAACGTGTATGGCTCAGGGGTTAATTACGGCCCAGTTCTGTTCACGGCTCGAAGTTGGTTGTACATAGATCTACAAGCTCATTCATACTCATACACTCAATAACTCGTACACGAATCCAGCACGCACATCCAGTACACACCTCCAGTACACACATCCGGTACACACATCCGGTACACACCTCCTAATGCCCTGACCCCCCCTTCCCAGCCAACCCACTCCTCAACCACCCCGGCACAAACGCCTTGACCCGTACCCTCCCGCCTTCACTCCCACCACTTGTAACCCCCTCCTTGTCAGGCTCACCATCCCCTAAATCAACATAAAACTCATCCCCCTCCACAAACCCCGCCGTCCCCGCCTCCCCAGGCAACACCACATCGGTCATGGTCTCCAGCCGACAGAGCGCGAGGCCTACATTCCCGATGCCGTGGAGCCATTTACCGGCGCTGCGACCGGATTTGGTGAGGCGTTTGATTGAGCTGCTGGGGGGGATTGCGCTGGCTGTTACATCGGTACTGGCATCGTCGTTGATGGCGGTGTTGAGTGTGGTAATGGACGGCTGATAATACGCTCCGAGGTCCGTCCCAGCAGTAAGGGAGGGTGGTGTCGAGTCGGCGGTATCCGGGTATAACAGACACGGCAGTACCCTCTTCCTTACCACCCCGCGATGTTCCGTGCGAATAGTCAGTTCCTGGCCGACGTAGCAGCCCTTGCGGAAATCTATAGCCCCTCCTGTAGTCCCTCCCACTATCCCCGATCCCCCGGCCGTCCCGGCCGTCCCCGTTGTGACGCCCATCAAATCCAAATTACTCTCATGCGGCAGCGCCGAACTAGGCGTCAACTCCCCCGCGCCCTCCGGTACACCGTTTAGATACCGACGGAGGTGGTACGCCGCTTCGGGAGCTGCCTCCCATTCCAGGGGAACGGGTGTGGAAGAAGAAGAAAAGGTGAGGATGCGATGCCCGAGGTTGGGAGCGCGGGGGTCGGGGATGGTTATCAACGACGACGACGAGGCCGCCTCCGGAGAAAAAGCTGCTGCTGGGTTGAGGTGGTTGGTATCATCCCACGCCTCCCAAACCCGCACCTCCTCCTCCTCCAGCAAGCGCACCTGCACCTTCGCCCGCAACTTATACCGTCTCAAATGCGCCTGCAACGCCTTTGCCTCTGCAGCATCCACTTCTATTAACCACCCCGCCTCACCTCCTGGTTCTCCAGGCCCATCACGTCCGTCCCGGTAGATGAACACATCATACAAAACCCTCCCCTGGGCATTCAAAAACGCCGCATAAAACCCCGCATCCGTCCGTATATGTTCGGCCGCAGGGTTGGGCGTGGCGTGGCCCGGGGTGATGTTGGCGGTGATGAGGCCTTGGAGGAATTTGGCTGTGTCCGGGCCGGTGAGGGAGAGGATGCGGCGGGTTGTGAGAAGGGCGAGGCCTGATGGGAGGGGGTGGGGGGGTACAGAATTGGAAAAGGTTCGGTGTTGATAAGATGAGGGTTGAAGTGAGGGTCGTGGAGATGAGAATGCGGGGCGGGTTTTGAGATGGGTTGGGGATAGCCGGGGAGCTCGGGAAGTGGTTGCTGTTGCGAGCCGGAGTGCTCGGTGTGTTGGTCGCATGGTTTTGTCCTCCTGGCTGGGTAGCGCCAGGTGTATGGGTTGTGTGGGTTTATCGAACCATGGGGTTGTCCGAAAAGTAGCCATCCAAAAGTTGCAGAAAGTCGGATTCGATGCTCACTAATTAATTCCGGGTGCCGAGGGGCATGATGGTCCGTGCACAGGTACTGAACTTACATAATTGTGGGGTTATGCCACTAGCCAGATTAGGAAGAATATCAACATCTTGCCTTTTTGGTCTCTCCTTTGACTTCTCACTCAGGGGGTTCATCTCACATGCCCGGGCTTTGTTCAAGTTCATGAAAACTCAACTCGTATTCTATCAAAAGAAGCCAAAATCCAACATCTATTCCCCGTTCCTCACACTCTCCCCCACAACCCCCGAAGCCCCCGCAATCCTCCCCGCCGTCACTGTCATCGGCACAGCAGCCATAACATCAAACACCGTGACCCCAGCCGCGCCACACGTCTTCAGCGCCCAATTCACCATCTCAATCGCCACCAGCGAGTCAATCCCATACGAGTGCAGGAACCGGGTCGTGTCGATTTCCGAGGGGTCCGTCTGCAGCATTTTGGCGACGCGGTCGACCAATGCTGTGAGAACGATGGAGGTGGCTTCGTCGAGGGTTTGGGACCGCGCCAGGAGGGTTTGGATGGAGGCTTCTGAGCCCGGGGTGCTAGTAGAAGTGGCGGAGAGGTGCTGGTGGAGGCCGGTTTGGGCCATGATGGCGAATTTGGGATCGTCGAGGTACCACGGCGCGTCACGGCCGCCGGTTACGGCACTACCTCCCGTTGCGATGCCCGTGACGATCTGCGGGGACTGCGACTGCGACTGGGACACATCCCCCGCGATAGCAAGCCACACCAGCTCCGCAACCTCCTGCGAACTGAGCCCATACTCCGCCAACTCCTTCAACGCCTGCGTCATCCCCGTCTCCGCCAGCACGCCCGCATCCGTAACGATACTCACATCCAGCGTGACGGCGTGTTTTCCCTCGGCGCTTCGGACGTGTGCGATGGCGTCTTGGAAGGTACTCCCCGCGGCATAGTTGGCGACGCCGCGACTGCCAAAGATGGCGGTGAACGACGCGAGGTTGACGAAGAAATCGACGTTGGGCAGGGCGCGGTGCAGGTTCCAGGTGCCGTGGATTTTGGGCCGGGTGGATTCGGTCCAGTCGGCGTGGGTCATGCTGCGGAAGAGACTGTCGCGGAGGACCATGGCGCATTGGATGACGCCCGCGACGCGGCCGAGGTGGGTGGTGCAGTGGTCTACGGCGTGGGAGACGGCCGGGGCGGAGGATACGTCGCAGGGTAGGACGAGGACCTGGGCGCCGCGGGATTCCAGTTGGGCGATCAAGTCGCGGGCGGCGGGGCGGGTTGCGGCGTCGGGTGAGCGCGAGAGGAAGCAGAGCTTGCGAGCGCCGTGGTCGACAAGCATTGTTGCGAGGCTGCGGCCGAGCCCACCCAACCCGCCAGCCAGAAGATACGTGGCCTCCGGATCGAGGTGAACCTCTGGCCTGTTGGGGGTCGCCAGTGTCGTCGGTTTAGCAGCCCACACAGGCACAACATCCTGTCCGTCCTCAAAAGACACCACAATCTTCCCGACATGCTGCCCAGCCTGCATCATACGGAACGCCGCCTCGACCTCCCCGGCCGGAAACACCTTGATCGGCCCGACCGGCCGCGTGACCCCCTCCCGCTGGAGGTCAAACACCCCGCGCATAATCTCCCCCATCAAATCCGGCTGCTCCAGCATGGCAATCTTGAGATCAAAAAACGTAAACGTCGCCTGTCTCGCAAACGGCCGCATCTCCAGCCGGCCATTATCTAGAATATCCCGCACGCCAATCTCAACGAACGTCCCCGAGGGCGCGAGGCAGTACCACGACTGCCGCAGGGCTTCACCGGGCAGCGAGTTCAGCACGATATCCACCCCGCGACCCCGCGTCATCCGCCGCACCCCCTGCGCGAAATCCAACGCGTCCCGCGAGTTGAAGATGTGATCGTCAGCAATCCCGTACACCTCCCGCAGCAGCTGCCTCTTGGGCTCCGACCCCACCGTCGCAAACACCTCCAACCCAAGATGCTGCGCAATCTGCAGCGCTGCCTGGCCCACCCCGCCCGCGGCCGCGTGTACAAGGACTGACTGCCCCCGACGCGCCCGGGCCAGGCGAACCAGGGCGTTCCAGGCTGTGCCGTGGACCAAGGGGATGGCCGCGGCCTCGGGGAAGGTCATGCCCGCGGGGATGTGCTGGATTAGTTCGGCGCGGGCGCGGTGTAGCGTGCGGAAGGCGCCGGGCATGCAGGTGGCTACGCGGTCGCCGGGGCCGAAGAGGGAGGACGCGGAGGGGCCGGTGCGGGTGACGAGGCCGGCGGCGTCGAAGCCGAGGTCGGTGCTGGGGAGTTGGCCCATTGCTGTCATGACGTCGCGGAAGCTGGCTCTGTCAGACGGCGCAGGGGGTAGATGATAAAACTTGTAAAGGGATACTGTGTAAGGGGTTAGGAACTTGACTTACTTCAATGACGCCGCCATAACCTTAATCTCCACCTCATCATCCCCCAACGAGACATCCGGAAGCGAATCCGGCTCAAAGCACAGGGTATCCAGCAGTCCCGGGGTGCGAACGCACAGTTTCAGCGGAGTGTTGGCCTGCTCCAGCGGCACTTGCCGCACCACCGCCGTAGCCTTTTCCAACTCCTCATCCTGCTCTCCCAGACTGTGGAGTAGCTCTGCACTCAACCCGTCATCTTCCACTACTCGGCTAACCTCCACCAGACCGTGGTGAATCCGGAATTCATTCTCCCCGTCGGGGTGGGTGAACACGTTCTCAACCAGTCCACTGATCCCATCAACACCCTCGTTGCGCTTCTCAGACTCCGAGTCGGGAGAGAGACCAAGATCCAAATGCAACGTATGAAACACAATCCCAGGCTCCTCACTCCTCACAACCCGCGCAAGCCCACTCACCACAGCATACCCGGGATCCCTGTCCGGCGAGCCACCGACCCAGAGAACCTTCTTGGCTGTCAAAAGCAGGGACTGCAAAAGGGTGAACTCGGATTCGGTGAGGTGGGACAGGACAGGGCGGTCTACTTCGACGAGGGAGATGCAGGCTTTGTTGGTGAATGTCGCTGGGTCACTGCTGTTGCTGCTGTTCCAAGCGTGGGAAGATACGGAGTAGCCGGTGGATTGGAGGCTAACAGAGAGTGATTGGGCGAGGTCTGTGGTTGTGGATGAGGGGTTGGTGGGTAGGAGGAGGATGACTTCGTCGGTTGGGGGAGCTGCGCCGTTGGCCTTGGGTGCTGGGGTCCGATGGCCGAGGAGCGCGCCGATGTCGAGCTGGGTCCATGTTAGGTCTGTCTTTGAGGAGGGGGCGCTGGTCTTGTCATCTTGTTCTGGGACGAGTGCGAAGAGGTAGCCGCCTTCTTTGAGCAGGTCTATGGCGGTTTCTAGGACATTCCCTTCATCGGACTCTGTGGAGGTTGAGATGCCCGGGGCAATGACAAGGTCGAAGGTATCCCGATCCGAGCCAGGCTCACCGTTGGCAAGTCCGGACTCCGGGTTCGTGTGAACCTTGACGCTGACGGCATGAGATGACGAGGGAATTTGGCTTTCCACAGTCTCCTTGGTCTGCACGTCAGGCACGTACAGGGTATAGCTGGCTGTTTTGAGAGGCCCGGCAATGTCGAGCGCGTGAAGCAGTGGCTGTGGGGCAGCTTTCGAGGGGGTGAAGACCTCGACGATGGAGGCAAGGGGATTGGTATGGTGGATGGTGTGGATGAGCTGGTTTGTTAGTCTGGCTCTCAACCCTAACCCTGGAACACTAAAAAGGGGTAAAGGAGAACGACAACAATACTCACCTCAGACAAGACCCCAATCCTCCCATACTCCCTCAACCCCCCCCGCTGGATAACACCCCCCAACTCCTCCAGACCCAACCTCTCCACCACCGGCCTCCACACAAGCCTACTGCAAATACTCCTCAGCACACCCCCCACCTCCTCCACCGGCGCACCCGCCAACTCCGCACAACACAACCCCACAATCTTCAACACCGGTCTCCCCCCAACCTCCTCCTGCATCGTCACATCCGCCAAGATCTCACTAAACCCCTGCCTCTTCACACTCGACACCCCGCGGATCTCCGCCCCCGGGTGGTTAGGGAACTCCGCGGCAACCACCACCTCGTCAATCGACTTGGGCACCATCGCCTGCATCGGCCGCTGCTTCTTCTGCTTCTTACCCTGCCCATGATTATGATGAGACAGCGCGGCGAACGCTACATGGAACACGGCGTCCAGCGTGGCCGGGTGTACGACGAGCGGTTTTCCAGAGCCCTTTTTGCCTAGGCCGGTGGTCGGCACGCCGACTGTGCCGACGCTACGGCCGTTCGGGGCTGTGTGGACGCGGGTCATGTTTTGGAAGACGGGGCCGTATTGGAGTCCGGCGACGGCCATGCGCTGGTAAAAGGGGATGATGTCGACGGGGGTTTGGCAGGTGGTGCTGGCTTCGGTGAGGCGGCGGGTCCAGGCTGTTTGGTGGGCGTCGTCGGCTGAGGGGGGGTTACTGCCGTTGGGCTTGGTTGAGGGGGGGCCGTGGGGGGGACGGTACTCAAGGGAGATGAGGCCGATGCAGTTTCTTTCTAGGGTTTTGCCGTCTGGGGAGCTGGAGATGGAAAACTCGATCCATTCGGCTGATGTGGCCTTGATGGTTGTCAGATGCGGCCGCAGACGCAGCGAGTACTCGGTGGCCGGGCCGTCTTCTTTCAGCACCAGCGGCGCGGTCAAGTGGATATCCCGTAGCCGGAACTTGGACACCTCGCGGCCGGCCGCAACAGCAGGAGAGCTCAGCAAAGCAGCCTCGGCAGCCATGGCGATGAACCCAGCCGCGGGGAACAAGATAGTGTCGTGGATCTTGTGGTCCGCAATCCACGGGTGCTCCGTCAAGCTGAGGTGGCCGCGCCAGGTGTGCTCGCCAGCGACAATCTTGGGCGAGAGCGCGCCGAGCAAGCTGCTGGGCAGCGGCTCGCGGAGGCGGTACTCGCGCGCGACGCGTGATTCGGCCCAGTGGCTGCGGGAGTGGTCCCAGGGGTAGGCCGGCAGGTCGATCAGGGTCTTCGGGTGGCTTGGGGTCTGGTTGACCGCGCGGAAATCGACCGGGTAGCCCATGGCGAAAAGCGTGCCTGCGAGCTCGAGGGCCGTTTCTCGGCCGTCGCGGTCACGGCGTAGGGGTGCGTGGTACTGCACCTCGGATATGCCCACGGCTTGCAGGCTTTGGCTGGTTGGGCCTTGGAGAGCAGGGTGCGGGCCGATTTCCACAAAGACGTCGATCCCTTCTCCATCGCTGTTTTTGGCTTCCGAGAGGACCTGCACGGCGGTCGAGAACTTGACGGGCGAGATGAGGTTGCGCACCCAGTACGCCGCGCCCAGCTCCGTCGCGTCGCGCACCCTGCGGCCGGTCACGCTCGAGTACATGACACAGTCCGGCCGAAGTCCAGTTTCCTTCTCCTTTTCACCCTTGCCGCGCCGCTTTGTCGTCCTCCGCCCTGGCGCCACATCCGCAATAGCTGCGAGATACTCCCTAGCCACAGCCTGCATATGCGGCGAGTGATACGCCACATCGACCCTCAACCGCCTGGCAAACACCCCCTTCTCCTTCAACACCTCCGTCTCCAGCCTCTCCACAGCCGCCTTATCCCCCGACACCGTGACACTCACCGGCGAGTTCTCACACGCCACACACACCTGCCCTGCCAACCCAGCCTCCCGAATCCAACCATTCACGTCCCCCGGCGACGCACCCACCGCCATCATCGCTCCCTCGCCTCGCGTCCCGACCTCACGCAATCGCGCGGCCGCCACACCGCGGCAGTAAGCAATCTTCCAGGCCTCTTCGCGGGTGATCGCCCCGGCGCAGTAGGCGGCTGCCATCTCACCGCTGGAGTGGCCGACCACGGCGTGCGGGTGGACAGACCAGGACGCGAGCAGGTCGAGCAGGGCAATTTGGAGGATGGTGCAGAGCGGCTGGGCGAGTGCGGCGGCGGGTAGGGGGGATTGGGATTTGGGAGTGGACAGTTCGGTGATGGCGGACCAGGGGCTGCCGAGCTGCGTGCGGATGTATTCGTCTGCTGCCTCGACGCTGGCGCGGAAGACGGGTTGGGTGGCTAGTAGAGCCGCGCCCATGGCTGGGTACTGCGCACCTTGGCCTGTGAAGACAAAGGCTGGACGGGGGGCACGGGAGGAGAGACGGGGGGTTGGTCCTGGGGTTGCGGTGGATGGGGAGAGAGCGGCGATCAGCTCGTTGATCGTGGAGGCTGTGCGGAAGGTCTTCCATTGTAAGGGGGAACGGCGTGTCGAGAGGGTGTAGGCGAGGTTGTGCAGGTAGGTGGCTTCCTCGTTTGCGGTGCTGGTTTGTTTGTGTTTCTCGAGGTGGGCGTGGAGAGATGCTGAGACGCGGGCGATGCCGTCTTTGTCTTGGGCGCTGAGAGGAAAGACGAGGAGGGGGTTGGCGTCAGTGCCATGGGGCTTGATTCCATTGGCTTTGCTGATGCCGTTGGCCTTGCTAACCCCGTTGACCCCGTTGGCCCCATTTGTACTGTGCACACCGTTCGTGCCATTCACACCATTCGTGCCGTTGACCCCGTTAACACCATTGACACCATTGCCAATCTCCCCCAGATAACTCGCCGCATCATCCAAAATCGCATGCGCATTCGACCCGCCATAGCCAAACGAGTTGATACTAACCCTGCGCAAGCCGCTCTCCGTCCCCCGCCACGGCGTCACATGCAACGGCACCTGGATGTGCCGCTCGTTCAGCTTCAGCGCCGGGTTGCGCGTCAGCAGGTTGATGTTGGGTGGGATCAGCCCCTTTTCGAGCATCAGGACGGCTTTGACCACGGCTGCGAGGCCGGCGGCTGCTTCGAGGTGGCCGATCTGACGAGTACATCATCAGATACCAATGTAATTATGATGTGGATACCAAGGTTCAAGCGTCGGTTGACTTACGTTGGTCTTGACAGAGCCTACGATGAGCTTGCGCTTGGCTGTGCAGCCCGAGCCGATGGTCCTCGACAGGGCGGATATCTCCTCGGCGTCGCCTGCTTTGGTCCCGGTGCCCTAAGAGCGTCAGAAGAGGATGATGCAGTGGGTAAGTAGTAAGTGGCAGTGAGTCAGTCTTACATGGGCCTCGACATAGCTCGTCTCGTCATACCCCAGACCCGCCCGCTGGTACACCTCCTCGATCAACGCCGCCTGCGCATCCGCACTCGGTAGCGTAAACCCCTTGGTATGCCCGTCCTGGTTCGACCCGGACCCCCGAATCACGGCCCGCACCGGATCCCCCAGCCGCACCGCATCGTCCACCCGCCGCAGCACCACCGCCGCAAACCCTTCCCCGCGCCCGTACCCGTCCGCCGACGCATCAAACGTCTTGCACTTCCCATCCGGCGACAGGAACCCCTGCCCACTCTGAAAGATAAACATGCCGGGGCCAATCATCAAATTACATCCGCCCACGACCGCCATGTCGATTTCTCCCCTCCTTAAACTCTCACACGCCAAATGCAGCGCAACCAAGCTCGACGAGCACGCCGTCGCAACCGTAAAGCTCGGCCCGCGCAGGTCAAACAGCCACGACACGCGATTTGACAGCGACGCCCGCTGTAGGCCCGTCATCGAGTACGGCAGCGCCGTCTCCGAGTCGCGCGCCACCATGTCGCGGTAGTCGTCCGTGAACTGGCCCATGTACACGCCTGTGCGGGACCCTTTGAGGGACGGGATTGTCTGACCCGCGGCTTCCAGCGCTTCGTACACGACTTCAAGCATTAGCCGCTGTTGCGGGTCCATGGCCCGGCTTTCATCACGCGAGACGTGGAAGAAGGTCGCGTCAAAGAGGGAGATGTCGGATGAGAGAAAGTGACCGCCGCGGGCGGTGTTGCTGGGGAAGGAGTCGGCGTGAAAGCGATCGGTGGGGATGGGCGACCAGGCGGCTGAGCTGTCTTTCAGCACACATATTTTGACTGCTTACTTGGGGGGTGAATGACTAGGTTCAAGTCAACTTACACTCGCCGTTAGATATGGACTCCCAGAAACTGTCCAGGTCCTTGCCGTTTCCGGGCATACGGCACGACAGCCCCGTGATGGCTATCGCCGGGTCTGCAGTCGAGTGTTGAGCCATGGTTGTTGTCTTCGTTGAGGTGTTGTTTGAACTTGCGCGCTTGTGTTGAGAAACGACGTGGACAAACGGTGGTTGCAAACGGCTCAGGCGGTAGTGACGAGTTCAGAGGTAATTGTAAGTGAATGAGTGACCCAATGTCAAAAGATAAGATTCCACCAAGACGGAAGGGTACTAGGCGCATTCTTTACAGGACGACATGACCGTAAGACCGTTTGAAGATTTTACGTTCGCATCATCTACCCATCCATCACAAACTGTGAGCATGAACTCGAAGGTTACATACTATGCCTTGCGCCCTGCGAATTACTATTGAGTTCCGCTCAGAGCAGCACAAAACCCCGTAGTTTCGAGAATGTACACGGTCCTCAATCTAACCGGCCATCAACTGCTCGCTGGCTCACTCGGGGCCCGGACGACGTTCGTCTGCAACCGCCGGTCGGTCCGCCGGCCTGCCGGCCGGCCGGTTCATGGCAGTGAAATCCGTATTCAAGGACCTAGCTATTGTTTATGGCCCGAGCGACGGCACGCCCGAAGGTTAGAAAAAGTAGGTACGTTCTGCTCCGGATCCCGGGGTTGAAGCCGGTCATCGGCTCGTATCTGTCCTTGTCGGGTAATTTAATTTGAGAAAGAATAATCGAAACCTGAGTTGCAACGGGGGCCGAATTCCGCAGCGCGGGCTCTTTTCCGTCCTTTCCGTCCTTTCCGTCGTCGAGTTGGCTCCGAGTTCTTTGGCCCGAATCTGGACAGCACCAACAGCATAGTCTGCTGCATGCAGGCCTGCACGTCGTCAAATGCAAGCAATCGCTCGGCATGTTTTGTGTTTGGGCGATGAATCTCGCAGCGTCTGACCCCCTCCCCCCTTCCCCCCATCAAATTATCCGCATTTCCTAGCGCGCGTAAGCAACCGGAGCCGACGGGAAGTTGGATAGTGAAAACTTGCCGAGAAGCGTATGCTTTTGTTGAGTAAACTCATTTTGTCACGGGGGTCCCGGAGTTTGGTGATAATTCGTCAGATGAGGAAAGGATCTTCGTACGCGGTACGACACTATGTAGAGTAGGAGAGCACGAGACAAGGAACCTCTGGCACGCGGGCGGGACCAAATGCATTGACCTTTGGTTTTGTTTTTGTGCGAACCGCTTCGGTGCTTATCTGTTTCGCCCAGGTCCAGTATCTGGGCATTGTACCGTGCCGGCAGGTATGTTGTGCATGGGAAGGGGAAGTATCGGAGGACATGCGTGGTACTTTGATCGTTCGGCTTGATCGATCGAGCGGGACGGCCCGGCGTGGCGGATGCGCACAGGGTTAAGAAGTGTCGGAAGCCAAGACCACTGCCGCGGCGGGAGGCGGAAGCTAAGACTGAGAAGCTCTTGAAGTCTTAGTAACAATGTCGGAGAGCCGTTCGAGGCTGGTTCATGGCCCCATACTCCCGCCGGCACCCCTAGCAGCTCATCATCGAAATGTTGGAGCGGCCATGCTTGCTTTTTGTCTCCCTCCCAAATACACATCTCCTAAAACTTTGTCAGTGCTCACCGAACAAACTCAAGCTACTCAACGACTATGACGGTCAGGTCGCCAGCCCAAGATATCCCCACGAGGGTTCTCGGGGTGATTGCCACGGAGCTCCAAATCCCTTTGAGTGAATTAGACGACGAGGCTGAGTTTTCTGAGCTCGGTGTGGACGATCTGGTAGCCCCTACCATCATAGCCAGGATCGCGAAAGAAACCGCCCTCCGGCTCCCAGAGGATGTTTTCCAGGATTCCGAGACCGTGGGCGTGCTCCTAAAGTATCTTGCGGCGCTCGCGCCGAGGCCACAGACACCGCCGCCCGATCTGCCGGTGAAACCACGCTTCGACCCTCGGTCGCTCGGGGTTCTGATCCGCAGGGGAGGCACCGTCGCCTTCAAAGCCGGCAACGTCCACCAACCCCGAAATCTCTTTCTCCTCCCCGACGGCAGTGGCGCGGCTATGGCCTATGCTCGCCTCCCAGCCCTACCCAACACCACCCTCTACGCTCTCAACAGTCCCTTTCTTCAAGACACCGCTGGTTACACATGCAGCATTGAGCAACTCGCCGCGGTCTGGGTCGATGCCATTACCGCCATCCAGCCCCGTGGACCTTATATGCTCGGCGGATGGTCGGCCGGTGGATACTACGCGTACGAGGTGATGAAACACTTACAGCGGCGTGGCAAGATTGTGGACCGGGTCGTGCTGGTGGATTCGCCGTGTCGGACAAATTATGAAGCGCTGCCGCTTGCGGTAGTTCGGCACTTGGCTTCCAGCGGGTTGATGGGGGACGAGAGCGCGACCAAGGGAAAGAAGGGTGTTGTCAATAAACCAGCGCCAAAGCGGATGGTTGATCACTTTGCTTCCACACTCCGAGCAGTGGAGCGGTACAAGCCGATTCCGCTGAAGAAGGGTGAGGGCCCGATGCCCGAAGTGTTCCTCATCTGGGCGTCGGAGCCTCTCATCAGCGAGGCGCAAGCTGAGGCTGCTGGGTTGGACTCAAGCGTCAAGGTCACCCGGCTGCTGTTACTACGGTCGCAGGCTGACTTCGGGCCCAACGGCTGGGAGAAGCTGTTCCCGGGGGCAAAGATGGCCATAGCGAGGGTGCGCTGCCACCATTTCAATATTGTACATCCACCAAACGTGAGTTTATGTTTACTTGCCCGACGCCGATCTCCAAGCTCTTGATAATTATCGTTGTCGTGTCCTGGAATTCAAACTGACTCCCGTGGTAACAGGCCGAGAGGCTTGGAAGTTTGTTAAGTGATGTAGTTCATCCGGAGGGTGAAGCGGAGTGGCGGAACAGCTGGAAAAGCAATCAAAAGAGCGATTGCGAGGTGGGGGTCACAGTGAATTGAATTCCCAGAATTTAGTGGATGCGAGCAAAGAGTTTGAATACCACCTAGATATACTTGTTTAGTTTGCTGTTAAGTAGCTGGGCCGCGGGCGGTTGAGCGTCGCTAGCCTAGAATTTTTAATTTATTAACTAACAGAGATTGCAACGCACGAATGATCAGCTGTGGGTTAATATCCCAGCAAGGGCAACTGCCCGGGCCATTCTTTCCTTGACGTATCTCGTAATTACATATTAATTAATAAGAAGAAGGGTTCAATGCCCTGGGTAGAAGAGTCGAGGTGCGAGGCAAGTGCAACCTTACACCGTAATTGATTCCCCGTCGCTCTTTCCGTCAGCTCTCTGTCTCTCTCTCTTTCACTCTTTTAGGTGCTCATGGCAGCCACAACCCCCAACCACCAAAAGCCATTTCGTTCCGCCTACCATGGACTTGGTGGTTAACGTTGACTGGTGAGTGTAAACCATCAAAGCTCTTGTAATTAACAGAGTACTTCTCGAAAGATAAAACCTGCTATTCTGTACTTTCGTAACACAGAACAAACTAATTGTTTAGAAATGACCCTACAACTAACTACCTCAAATGACGGACGGCCTGGATTCGGGCATTCTGCTTCCCCGTCCCCCCCCGCGTTCACTTCCGCTGAGCAAAGATGATAGAGCTTCGCCTCACCGGCGCATACGTCCTGATCTCGACAATCTCCAATCCAGCCCTACCGAGCAGCGTGTCCCACTGACCCTTGGTCCGCTCCGCTCCCTTCAACAACAGCATCATGTTGAGGTCCTGGCCGGTGACCCAGGTATCAGCACCCATGTCAGGCACGACTAGCTCGTCGATCAACACCAGCGAGTCGGGGCCAAGAGCCGGCACGAGACCACGCAAGATATCTACCGAGTGCTTGTCATCCCAGTTGTGCAGAATGGAGCGCAGGTAGTAATACTTTGCGCCGTGCACCGGCTGGGGCTTGAAGAAATCATGCGCCTGGAAAGTAATGCCCTTAGTCGGGGGTGCGTTGGCAACCGTTTCGGGCAGGTCTTGAACCACCAAACGGCCGGCTAAGTGAGGGTTTCCGGCGAGAATTCGCCGGGCCTGATGGCCGACGTTGCCCCCCACATCGACAAGGACGGGTCTACCACTCATCTGGCCAGGAGCCCCAAGATCCGATTCGCCAAAGGAGACGCAATCGAGCCAGTCTCCGCCACGGTCGACCGTCATCAACCCCTGGAAGGAAGACAATATGTCAGGCCGGGCCTTGAGCCAAGGGTAGAAATCGCTGCCGGACCAGTCCTGGAAAACGGATGGGCTAGTTGAGATGTCAGCGTAGCTGGTATGGGCGTAGTTGTCGCGAGCGAGATGTGAGTCGGGCAGGTGGTGAGTATGTTGCGCAATAGCAGCTTGGAAGAGCGTTGCACCACCCGCGACACCGGGATCGGCCAGGAAGTGCGTCAATTTCCGCGCTGCGAAGCGCCCTGGCCCAACCTCAGCCACCAGCCGGTTGGCGGCCAAGTACCGCACCACGCGGTCAACGAATTCGGGGTGTGCGCCGATCGGGGCTGCAAGTTGTTCGGCGTTCAGGGTCTCCGGTGTGTCGACAAGGGCTTTGAACACATTCAGTTGGAGCCCTACGCGGATGAAGGTAAGAAGGCGGGTCTGTCGGATGGCCTAACGTCAGTAACAGCTTCTCAGGGGGAACCGATTGATATCGAAAAAAAACGTATGAAATATGAAGGGGGTACGAACCGCGTTTCCAATCCGCATTATAAAATCAAACGGGGTCTCGAGGTTTTCGGCGGCCTCATACAGGGTGTTCATAACTGCGTGTCTACCGACATCGTCTAGCAGAGCAGCCTGGCCATTCACGGGGGAGACGAACAGGCTACCGAGCGCAGGCTTTGGCGTGCCGCTGATCGTGCTCTGGGTTGCCGTGGGCTTTGCGTGCTCGTCATGACCGTTGGTATGACCGTTGATGTGGCCGTTGCCGCTCCCATTGGTCGTCCCATTGGTCGTCCCATTGGTCGTGCCGTTGCTCAGACCATTAACCGTAGTGGTGGGCGCCCCACTGGTCACGCCGTTTAGTCCATTCGACCCGTTTGTACCCGCAGCTGCACCCTTCGCCGCGGAGGTTTCGGCTCTGACACCGGAACCCCGGCCCTCCAGAAAGTCTGCCGAGTACAACTGAGCTCGGTCAAGTTTGGCCGTCTCGGCTTTGGTGAGGCCAAGGTTTCCGCGCTCCAGCCTGGGCGTCAACCCGTCAATCGCATCAAGGGCGAAGCTGTCCATGTTGAACCCATCCTCACGAATCATGCGCCGGCTGCGCAAGATGTCAAGAACTAGAGCTTCCTGGGGGGTCAAGCTCTTTTCCAGGCTGTCCAGGGCTTTGATGATGGACTCGTCGTCGTGGGTTTGGTCGCCCAGACCCGCGCTTTGGAGCTTGTTCAACACCGCTTCTTTCTGCTCCGGCGTGACCTGCGAGAACGCTTTAAGGCAGAAGTTCACCGTGTTGGAGATGTCAGTCTGCGAGACTTTGCCGTTGGGGTCTGCGTCCGCCGTCCCCTGAATAACTAGGTAGCGTCATACTCGTCAGCCACACCTGTTTGTCTCTCTGCCCGGTGCCCAGGCAATGATTTGTTTGGACTGATTAATTAGTACTTACCCGGTCGGAACAAATTGAACGCGCGGTGAAACCCCTCCTCGTCAATGTCCTGGATGACAGGGTCCTCTTGCGCCCTGATTTGCTTCAGAGTGCTGCTGACAACCAGAAAGAAGCGGGTATAGCTCTCGGACGTCTTCTTTGAGTGCCACGACGCGGCCGCCGACTCGTCGCAATCGCCCCGAATCGACGCTGCGATTGTGACAGCGGCAGAGACCCCACCCAGCACCGCGAGATGAACGCCAGACGAAAAGAAAGGGTCGATAAAGCACCCAGCATCGCCCACAATCCGCGCATACGGAAAGGCATAGCTCGATGCGCTGTACGACCAGTCCGACGCCGACTTGATGTCGGAAACTAGCTCGCCATCCACCAGTAGCGCCTTAATCTCTGGCACCAGGTCCAGGGAATGCAAAAAGAACTCCTTCGTCCCCGGCGAGCCCAGCTGGCGTTTCTTGTCCGTAGCCATCTGCTGGTTCTGCACGATCCCAACCGAGTGCGTGCCGTCGTGCAGCGGGATGAACCAACACCACCCGCTGGCATCCTTCAGGGCCGCGAAGAAGGGGGAGCCAGCCTTGTGCGTGCCGACGCCGTACGTGCCGCCACCTTTCCAGTAGCCCCAGTTGGCGATGTTCTTGAGGTTCTGGTTGAACTTCCGGTTCTTGAGGTACTTGGTGCTCAGTAAGCCGAACCGGCCCGTCGCGTCAATGATGTAGTCGAACGAGATGGTGCCCGTGGTACCGTCCTTGCGCTTCCATGTGGCGCGGACGGGCTTGCCAGGGTTGACGATGCCTTCCTCGGTGTGGCTGGCGCTGTTGTCCGTGGTGCTGTTGGGGACATTTTCAAACTCGACAGCCTCGACCTTGGTGGTGTCGAACCCCTGGGCCCCGCATGCGACCGCGTGGTTAAAGAGCAACTCATCGCCTTCGGATCGGATGACGTTCCAGGCGTGCCCGTTGGGGCCGCCAGCTGCGATGAAGTCCGTGTCTTGGGAATGTCAGCTTCGCAATTTTGATTGTCTTTTCTTGGCCTTCCCTTTCTTTTTCAAACCGGGGACTCATTACAAAGCAGTGTTTACTTACACGCTTCAGGCTGAGTGTTGTTCAACCGGAATGCCGCGCCATTCTATGATCAATAATTAATCATCGCATCGTGTTAGCCCACGACCTTTCGTTAAACGTAAACAACAACAACAACCACAACAACAACAAGCCCACGACCTTTGAAAACAGCACAACCGGATTGACAGAAATATGAGAGCTTTTTTCTCATCCGTACCTTCTTAGTAAATCCATGCGCATTGAACTTCTCATCACAGTCGATAAACCTAAGAAAGTGGCGCATCGACGGCAGCATGCTCTCGCCAATGTGGTACCGCGGGTGCTTGTCTGACTCCAAGATCACGACGTCAATGCCCTCGCGCGCCAAGGCTGCGGCAGCAAACGACCCGGCAGGGCCACCACCAGCCACGAGAACCGTGCAGCTCTTGGGGATAGACATGGTCTAGGAAAAGAGCGATGAGGGGCAAAGGTTCGGAGCGGCGTCTTTGGGGACTAGCTGATGTTGAAAAGGGGCTTTCGAGGCACGAGTTGTATACTGGCGCAAGGTGTGTCGTAAATAACTGTGGTCAATTACTCTGCTGACCCCCTCCTTCGTCCCTGAATCCTTGGATGTTTTTATGTCAATGTCTCTTGACTCTCCTACTAATTATTCACCCCATCGGCCACTAATTACATCCCGATGTTTCCCACCGCAACAACATCCCGTTTCCTTTGGCTAATCCCACCGTTGTTGGACCGCGACTCCCAAGTGTCCATCTTCAAACTCGGCTTCCGTACATGTCCACGAAAGCCCCAACTCCGACAAGAAAAAAAAAAAGACCACGAAGGTTACGAAGCTGCTTGTGTGTGTGTGTGTGTGTGTGTGTGTGTGTTCATTCGGTCTCGGTCTCGGCCTCGCGCCAGCCGGTATTCAAACACGGACGGACAAAATCCACCGGGAATGAATCAGCAGAATTCATTAATACTGGCTCGAGGCGACGACCAAGATGATAATCCCGAACCGAATCCGAAGTAAGAACGGCACCACCCCCGCCCCTCCGCCCCGAACTCCCCAACAGAAAGGGCGGAACGCGGAACAAACGCACCGGTTGCCCGTCGGGATAAGAAAGGATACATGGGAGGTAATCTACCTCATTGTCTGCAGCCTGCCTGCAGGCGCCGGTGGGTTTATGGTGTGGGGGTCGAAGGGAAAAGTGGGGGAGGGTACACCCGTACAGTAACAGAGGTGTCCTTAAACTAGCCGAAGTCGAGCTCGAAACCGACGGGCCGAAAAAAAAAACAATCCGGGTAAGGGAAAGGAGGAGGGAATAGGGGTGGGGAAAAGAGGAAAAGACTTGGAAGAAAGCCTCATGATTGAAAATGATACATAATCAATGACCAACAATAAATTGGGAAGGTTAATTAATTAGAGAAAGGTCCGACAGTCCGACAATTGTCAGAGGGGATTCATGGCGTGGCAGCTTTCTCAGCGCTCACATCACAGGCATACATCACTCAAACAGGAACATTCCATCCCGCATGTGGCCAATCGAGGTGGGCAATCATATCTAACCGAATTTGGTTTATTAATCCACGATTATGGCCCCACAGGATGGGATAAAGTGGGTTGGGTCTGACCGTGATAATGATGGTGATACCAAAAGGTGAGAACGGGTTTCGGTGTTTTGGCGTGTGTGCGTGTGTGTGTGTGTGAAAGAGAGGGGTGTTTGTGTCTCTCGATCTGCATCTGCAGCTCTCGCCAGCCGCTCGTGCCTTTATAATCTGAATGTGACGCTGGGATGTCAGGGTCGTATTTGGTGGGGGTGTGGATGCGTGGCTTTTTTGGGGCCGGGAAAAAGTAGGTGCTCATGTCTTGTACGAGGGGGCGTAGGGGGGTTTATGAGCTGTGACGTGAGAGTAGTTGGTAAATTTGCTTTGGGGTTGTTTCCGTAGATTTGTGGTTGTTGTGATGATGGGATGGCAGGTAGTAGGGAATAATTACGTTGGTTTCCGACCTATGAGAACATGTAAATTAGTACCTTTTAAGTAATTAATTAGATCCAAACCGAGAAAGGCTAGATGTCTCCGGTGTCCGTGACAACCGAAGGGCCAACCGCGATGGCAATGAAGTAGATTTTAAGAATCAAACCCAAAGTTTTGGGCAGGTCTCATCCAGAGCAAACAAAGATTCATAGCGATTAGCCGTAGTATCCTTGATCCAGAACTGGCCCAGGATCATCATCCTAATACGTTATGTAACAGCCAAGTGATTCAGCCATCCAATAGCCCGTGGATAATCCGAAGTTGCTGAGCCAAGTTTCTGCCCCTAGACGCAGAGCTTATAACCCAGAGCCCAGTAATAAATACCTGTCCTACAACTCCCTTCCCTCCAAACCCCATTCACGCCGCTTGTCCCGGGTGTGTGGACATGGTTACACGACGTAACGGATCGCCCTGCAGCCGAGCCGCCGTGTCATCCCCCACCGCCTTGAGCCTCCTCTTGAGCAGCGCCGCCAGGTCTTGAAGAATGGGAGCCTCGCTTTCTGAACCACAACAAGACGACGTCGCCGTCAACCCCTGCCCCGACAACATAGACGACCCGGATCTGGATCCGGCCCAGCCTTCATACCGCTTGGTGAACTGGTACACCACGGCTGCGAACTTGGCCAACTCGTCAAGAACGTGGACCAGGATGAAGTTTACATTTTCGCGGACGATGCTGGTGCTGCTGCCCTGGCGGGTGAAGAGGAGGGGCCTTTCGGCAGGTGAGTACGCCATGATGTTCCCGTTTTCTTCCCCGCCGTTCGCGTTTTCGTTGTCGTTGACAGCCCCATTCCTGATGTCGTTTTGAGGGTGGTGGTGACAACCACAACCCTCAGTATCTTTGTTTCCATCCGCGCTTTTCAAACAACCTCCACTCCCAATTCCAGCGGCACTCCCACCTAATACTCCAAGCCGGTCTCCCGGTATCTCCTCATTGGCACCCGTCATACTATCAGCCGCCGACCGACGCACAACGCCCCCATATAAATCCAAAATGGACAAGCATGCCGCGCTAACCAACACCCCCGTTTCCAGTCTGCCAGAGCACGGGCAGATCAGAATAGTCGACAACTTCCGCATGGCCGCGCTCGCCACTTCAATCACGGACCTAGAACTTTCCCCTGGCCCCGCTCTCACACTGCCGAACCTGCTGTGAGGAACCGAAACAGAAGCAGACGATAACGTGGACTCCAATTGATTCTGCACCGCCATGATCAGGCTCACACAGTCGGTCCCAGTTTGCTCGCAGGTGCGAGAAGGGGGCGGGGATGCAGGCACCTCAATAGCGGGATGGTGGTGGTGGTGGTCTTCGCTGCTGCGAGACTGCCGACGAGAGCGCGCGGGGGGTGGAGTTGGGAGGCCTCTGTTGGGTAGGTGGGGGAGTTTTGGATAAGGGGAGAATTGAGAGAACGCCACGTGGGGAGGTTGGTGATCTGGGTTGTGGTTGTTGTTTTTGTTGATATTTTGGTTGGTATGGCGTCGGGGAATAGAGGACGCAGTCTCCAAGTTGGGGTCGATGTCTGTCGAGCCAGCTGTTGGAACAGTGGCTACGACCGCCGAGGCTGTGGCCACCGAACTACGCCGTCTTCGAAGGGCCTTGGACTTGCTCTTGGTGGCCGTGGTGGTAGTATCATCACCGTTGCTAAGATTGCCGTTTCGCCCCTGAGGACGACCCACACGTCGAGCCGGACTGTAGAAGCACGGGTAGTCGAGCTTCTCGCAGCGACCACACAACGGTTTCTGTTTGTCGCAGCGGACTTTGGACGCCGAGCACATGTCACAAGAGTCCTTCAACTTTCTCTGCGGCTGTCGGTCCACGAACCTGTGTATTTGTTGGCTGGATTTGTCCATTGTTGTGTGTGTTTGGGGGCGGTTGTTGTTGTTTGTTTTTGTTGTTTATCCTGTGATGCTTGGATCCTTGGCTCGCTCAGTTGCTCCGTACTTCTTTTTTCGCTTTTGAAACAAAAGGTTGGGAACCCGAAGCGTCCATCGGAGGACACAAGTTGCGGATGGGAGGAGAAAGCCAGAAAAAAAGAAATCGCACCTTGTTGAGAACGCCATCGGTGGCTACTCTAACGATCGGTTATCGGCCACCCTTTCCTGACTGGTTGAGTTCATTCAAAAACAGAAAGGTACGGTCCGCTCGAACCCGTCATTGTCACGAAGCATCTTCTTAATTAGCCGAACACGGTTGGCCAACGGGAGCGCTGCTGGCACCACCACCTCGGAGGAACTTGGCACGATGCTGACACGCGCCTCTCACCCATTATCATCAGCCCCTGGTTCTCGTTGCGAAGCTTTCCGAGGCCGGGGAAGCTGGGCGCGGGAGAAGGCGGGGTGCTTGACGGAGCGGCTTAGACCAAGGAATCCAGGGAAAATGACACCATAAAGAAAGAAAGAAAAAAGAAACGAGGAGAAGGAAGAGGAGCACAGAAAGAGTCGACCGGCCTATGCCCTTAGGCCTTTGTCTAACAGACTTAGATGAGTGCATCAAATAAATCTCCAGAATCAAGCTCCAATTGCGTATTCCCGCCGGTGCTGAGTGGCCGCGTATTTCTACTCGCCGAGTCCCCACATTTGACTGTCCGCAGAAGTAACAGCGCAGCTGCACGTTAAATCACGGTTGTCGAGAAAGGCCTGTTGCGAAAAAGGTTGACAAGGCTTACCGAGACGTCGGCGGGCGGACCAAGGGTACTAGCGGGCGGAAAGTCCCCCCCGTTAGATCCGCCGCTGCTTGACTTGGGGATGCGGGCCGTGAGCGAAGGCCGTTCCGACACGGTATTTGTAAGAGTACTTCTTGAGACAAGACCACCACGTTTCCGGAGTTCGAGGGAGGCTGGACAGCAGCACTAGACCAGACGGCGAAGCAAGACCTCGTGGCTGCTCATTTTCCCGTTAGGCCATTCGTGTATGCTCTTCTGTGTACCCAAAAGGGCTGAGCGAGACAAACATCGTTTGGTAACTCGGTGTCCCGTTGCTTCGTCTTGTCCTCCCCGATTTCCCCCATCCAAGCAGCGATCATCCACGATGGAATGGAGCTTGTATCCCGAATCCGAGCCGGCCCAGTTTGTCGGGAGAATTTATCAGTCCAACAACCGGCCAGGCGACGTCGGTCGATTCTTCAGTCTCGACCCAACAACAACAACAACAACAACAACCGACATGACCAGTACATCTCCGGACCACCGGGAGGATGAAGCCGAGTTTCTTTTTGGCCCAGCCGCTTCAGCACTGCCCAGTCTCCTCCCCGACCCAGACCACGGTTCCGTTGCGTTCGACGCGGTTGACTGGGGCGAATCCATGTCGTGGCATCTAGGCGATCTCGACACTGGCGACCCAGTAACTGCGTCAACACCACGATCATCTCCCTCTAGTGCAGAGGCCATGATCTTGGCAGACATGGGAAGCCATGCGGTCAGCAGTGAGTGCTACCAGAATGCCGCCACGAGCGCGGCACAGGCTCGTGGCACTCACGCTTGTAGCACACGCACACGCACTAGCCATACCGATCTGGCTCCCTGCCCGAGCCCGCAGGATCCGTCCCACCCAACCAGCCCCTGTATTGCCGCCGCCACCAACGTCGTCAACGCCTTGCACACCCGTGCCGAGATGTGTTTGTCAAGCCCCTCTTCACCGTCTCCTGCTTCGGATTTTGCGTCGTTGTCGTCGCTGTCTTCCTCTTCATCTTCGTCTTCCACGACCTCCTCATCATTCTCTTCGTCTCCCCCAACAACAACCATCGATCGCCAAGGACATCACACCAAACCATCAGGGGCTCGTGGCATCGACACAGTGCTGACTTCCGGTCGAGAAGCCACCTCCACCATCCTAGCCGCCCTTGAATGCGAGGCCTGTTCCAGCCGGCCGCAACTGCATCTTCTTGCGGCGACAGCTCTGGAGAAGCTGGTTGGTTGGTATCGGCTGGCGGTGACCGACCTGATCGCAACATCATCGACAACGTCAGCAACAACAACAATCCCAACAGTAACACCACCCTACTCTTCCCTTTCTTCTTCCTCTTCATCCCCATCAAAACACCAAATTAAAATCAACCCACCACCACCACCACCACCAACCTTCACCGCCAAGCCACCATCCCCAATATCCACAACGTCGAACGGGAACACCACCACCCCCACCAACTCAGCAGCAGCAACAGCCCCTTCCCTCACAATTGCCATCGGCTCTCACACCGTAGAAGCCGAATCCGCCCTCCAAACCGCTGTCGTCGCCGCCGTTGTGGCCTGTCGGTTGCAAGAGCTACATGGCGCAATCGAGGTTCTCGCGCAGCGGATGATGGCTGCAGACGGACTGGGCCGTCGTTGTCGCGACGGTGGTGATGATAATGACCGCCGGAAAGGGGGGAGGTGCGAGGGTGGGGGTATTAATAGTTCGATACAGGTGCAACTGCCGGAATCGGTGCAGGATCGGTTGGTGGGAAGGGTGCGGGAGCGGTTGGCGGTGGTTTGGAGGGAGTTGAATGGGGTAAGGGAATCTCAGGCGTTGTTGATGGGTGGTGGTGCGGCAGGGAGTTGGGTGTATTGATTGATTTGATGAAATGGTGGCTGGATGAATGTGATGGAGATATATGGCGGGTTAAGGTTCTATCTGTATCGGGGGGTTCTCGTCAGTTTGCTTCGTCTGTTTATAGTTTTGGTATTGTTATCATGTTTTCTCAATTTAGCGAGGCTCCGTGGAAAGATATGGGTCACTCGGATTTTTGTTATCGCTTTAAGAAAAGAGCAGCATGGTCCGCTGGGATCAAGAAGGTAACATTACCTATGTATGGTATGGTATGAACAATGTTGAATGGCAGCCCCATCAGTCTAACACTCCCGTTTCTCCTTCCCTGTATCGAGGCTGGCTTGTCTAATGGTTACCCGTAATTACCCGTCTCTCGAGATATGATAACGGCAAGGGCCATAATGTAAAGAGGGAATTAGAAACACAAGGAAGAAAGAAAGAGATCGAGAGAGACAGCGAAGAAAGGACAGAACGGAATCGGAAAAGCGGGGTGGGGCCAAAAGTTGTGTTACCGTTTGTTCTTTCCGTCGGCCGAATCCTAATTCCCTGCCCTATGCTCACATCGATCCTTCCTTCCCCAATCCTGAACAATCCCCCCTTACCCCCCGCCCCGGGCCATTTCCCACAACTACTTCTCTTCCTCGGCACTACCGGCTGACTCAGCACCACGCATCTTCGCCAGCATCAACGCGGCCTCCGCAGCATACTTGCATTTCATCCTTATTGCGGCGCCATACTTGTACGCTAGGAATGGAAACGGCATGCACAACACCGTCAGGAACGCCGGGATCGAACTCGCCCAGTGAATACCGAGGTTGGCGTACATTTTGCTCACAAACAACGGGAAAGCGGTCGCGAACAATGACCGGAGAATAGCGCCCGCCGCTAGCACGGACGCGGCGTACAACGTGTAGGCGTCAAGGAGATAGTTGAGACAGGAGAGAAAGACGAGAACACAACCGAAGCCGAAGGGTGCCGAGAGGATGATGCTGGCTGACCAGTGGATGCCGGGATTGTTGGTCCACGCGAATGCGAACATGGATGCTGGTAGTACAAGGGCTCCGATCAGAGCTGGGGGCAGTCGAGACTCTGGGGTGGCTGTCTTGCCGAGCTTGGTGTACCGTTTGTTGTCGTAGATGGTGTAGGCCAGGCCGATGATCATGCCCACTGCGAGGCCCAAAAAGGCCAGACCGCCGATGCCGGGGCTCCAGCCGCGCTGCTGTTGGTACACGATGGGGAAGGCGCCTAGAAACATGTATATGATGCCATAGAGAATGGCGAGGTACGTTGATGAGATGAGGACGATGGGTTCGAGAAAGAGAAGAATCCAAGGCCGTTTCAGGGCCCGGCTAAAGATTTCGGATGGTTTCGAGGTCTTGGCTTGCACCTCGAGCACGCTGACGTGGGGGTATCCGGTCTCCTTCGTAAGAGCCTTGGCTTTTCTTTGCAACAGGACTGGCCCGTATGTCTCCGGGAGTAGCAGTGACCCAGCGATCCAGATAACCCCGATGAAGATGCTACAGACGCCGTGGACCCAGCGCCAGCCGATAGTCATGGTGATGAAGCCTCCGATCACGGGACCGAGAACGGGGCCCATGAAGGGAGCAGCCGCAAAGATGGTCATGGCGAGACCACGCTGGGCCGGTGGGAACAGGTCGGCAATCACACCACCCGAGTTGGTCATCGGTGAAGCCCCAAAGGTACCCGACAGGAATCGAAACACCAGCAGCGAGGCCATCGAGTTGCAACCCGCCGAAGCTGCCACAAACGCCACAACCACAGCGTGAGTGGTGACAAACAGAATCTGACGGCCGTACAACTCGGAAAGCGGCGCCCAAAAGGCCGGTCCTACCGCAAAGCCTAGCACAAACAGAGCGATACCCAAGGCGAATATTTCAGAGTTGGAGTTGAACTCGGCTATGACCTCCGGTCCTGACGACGAGTAGGCGGACGAGGTCAGTGTAATGGCTAGAATGGATGTCGTGACGATGAAGGTGATGAACCACTTCCGGGCAGGCGACCAGTTCATTGGATTCTCCGGGTCCCCCGGTGCGAACTCGACGACCCGTGGTTGCTGGCCGGGCTTTCCCATGACTTCGGTGGTGTTGTGCGCTTGGGGGATCTCGTTTGAAGTTTGGGATGGATTCGAAGTCTCGTTTTCTGGCCCTTGGCCTTCGATGTCGCTCGGGTTACCGCCGGCTGCGTTGGTGACCGACCGTTCGGGGCCGTGCTCGTGGTTTTGTTCGATTTTTTTTGTTGCCATTTTCGATGAAAGACCAAAATTGTGATTTATTGAGACCAGACAACCCCCAACCCAAAACTTGATTCTTTTTTCTTTCTCCTTTTTTGGGATTAACAATCGGGATGTGATATCACCAACTCGACCAATGTTTGTTTGTTGGTGTTGTTTGAGCACCAGTCAGTCCCGATCCGCCAGTCTCTTTCTTGGCATGGGACCTTTTGGCGTGGCCAATAGTTAATGAGTCCGTTCCGCCTCTCCGCCAGGAAAGCGCAATCCATCCCGCCCACTTGCCATTTTTGTCTGGCAAGACGATCTCATTTGCTGTCATTGCGCGGCATTGGCCAATCATAATCCTTCCGCATCCGCTGTTCCGCTCCATTCCGCCCTACTTCCGCCATTACGTCTGCCCCGACAACAACCCCCGCCCTCATCCATTTGCCCAACTTGCCTTTTGTCCCACAATCCCGCTCTCTTTCCTTCCCTTCCACCGACCCCATCTTTACGTCCGAATCCATATCCGCCTATTGTGTTCAGGTCTTTCGGACTAGTTCCGCCCAACGGCCACGCTTTTGCAAAGACAGCCAAATCTCACATTCCACACGCACGAGATTGGACTCATTAGAGAATGCATCATGTCAGAGACAGACGAGCGATCGCCGGATCGAGTCTACCGCCAACAGCGGGCCAAGAGGCTCAAGATCGCAGTTGCTTGTGAGCGCTGTCGCACAAGAAAAAAGAAGTGCGACGGAGCACGACCAGGTACGTGTAATTACCATTTACCAAGGGCTGCTCATTCAGCATGCCGCGGTTAGTACCATCCTTGGTAGTTTGGAACAGGGTCTGGGAGGCGGTGTTGGCGGGTGTTTGAAGTCCAATCAGTTCCATGTCGCTCCTCCATGTGTTCCCCCCACACCCTGCTTTCGCAGGATTCATCCAGGGGATTTCGACATATTACATTTTTTTCTTCAAGCTTTCTCAATCCCCGAGTCCAAGGTCTAGCTAATCTGACCAGCCCGTGGGTGCATATACAGCCTGTAACCATTGCCAGAAGAAAGGTAATCCTTGCTCTTACCGCAATGGCTTGCTGCCTCTTTCCAACGGCACCCGGGCCGTCGACTATGTCGATCCTCGGGGCCGTCCTCTTCTACGGATGAGCGCTGGCGGAATGAGCGAGTTTCCTAAGACAGCTGCTGCCCAAGAACCAACGCCCCGTCCCGTCCCGAGCCGTCCTTCCTCCCCTACTTCCGAGCTGTCGGGTCAGATTGATCCAGACAGAGTGCAGTCCGCAGACCCACAATCTGGGGTTGTCCACGAGGTCTTTGTGGGGGAGGTCACAGCCGCCCTGGACGCCAAGATGGGCCGCCCGTCCAGCAAAAGGACCAGCATCGGAAAGACGCCGCTGAAAGACGCCCCGCTGTTTGATCTCCACCTCGACACCGGCGGGAGTGAAGATGTCGACAGCAGTGTGCTTCCCCAACGGAGGCACGCGGACCAACTCGTCAACATGTTTTGGCGGCATCTGCAGCCTCTGGAGCCAATTCTGGAAGAGGAAGCGTTCTACCGCTCATATGAGGCTCTCTTTGCTGGTTGCGCTCTGCCGGAGAACATGGATGAGCGCGTGTTTTTGAGCATTCTGAATACCATATTTGCCCTAGCCACGCAGTTGCAAGAAGACCGGGCGGCCGACGAACGGAATAAAGCCAGCAATGCGTACTTCTGCCGTGCCTGGGCAATCCTCCGCCCAGAGACCATCATATGGGAGCCTGGATCGCCCGAGATTGTTCAATGTTTGCTTCTTATGGCCAGGTACCTACAGTGTTCCGACAACCTGCATCAAACGTGGATGGCTGTGGGCGTGGCAGTCCGGATAGCACAGAGCATCGGTTTGGACAGGCCCGCTTTAGCCGCAGACAATAAATCTCCAACTCGTAGTCGCGCTGCTTTCCGAGATCAGTTGTGGAACTTGTGCGTTTACATGGACAGGTAAGGGGGCCACCCCAATTTTCATAATTTATTCAGTTATGTTCAAAATATGGGGCGGCTGACGGCGGAACGCCCGCTCTAGAATGGTCTCTTGGGTATCGGGGCGGACACCAATGGCTGTCTGGTCCAGCCAGCCGCAGGATGGCCCTGAAGAAGACGGGAGAAGCCGATCTCAAGCCCGGACGCCCAACTACCTTGAAAAGACCATGGATCTCTATGAGCTTTCAGATCGCATATTGCATTCACACCTTCCCGTTCGATCCGCGAGGTTGAGCAGCCCGAGCTTTCCGCGTTTGGGTCGGTTTGACGAACATATCAGCGACCTGCCTAAATTTGAGGCCTATCTCAACAAATGGGCCCAGGATCTCCCATTGTCGTTGCGACACGGTCACGTCGACCTCCGGAGTAATAGCGTCGTGTTTACACAGGCACTTCTTCTTCGACTTCGGTACGTTTGGTGTAATTTGACTTACACAGGTTCTTGTTATTGCCCCTTCTTCTTTTCCTTTCCCCCCCCCAGCGCGAATATAGTGTACTAGCTACCATGGCTTACACCGATCATCTTAGATTTTTTCACGCTCATGTTACTCTTTTCCGACCGATGTTAGCTCGCCACTGCCTCTTACGCCCTCAAACTACACCATACGATACGGATGATGGCACAAGTGGGAGTCTCGGTGTCCAGGTAGTCCAAAATTGTGCCGCGCTGTGCATTGAAAACGCGCAAAAGGTGATCTCGCTGGTGATAGACGAGTGCCGCACCCCATCACCGACACCCAACCACCAGGATGAGACCGGTTCCAATCCAACAGTCACGATCGGCCTGATCCCATGGTGGTATCGGGTGTTTTACTTGCACGTCGCCAGCACTGTGCTAATGGCAGCGACCCTGCAGCCCAAGCTTTGCACTCCGGCGGTGTCTGAATCGTGGAGCCGAGCGATGGAGGCACTCCGGGCCCACGCGCATCTGAGCCCGTTTGTGTCGCAGTGCCTGGCCACCTTTGAGACCATCTCGTCGGGCATGGCGATGGCTGACCCCCACCATTTCCATCAACATGTTACTAGCGGTGGGGGTACCGGGCCCCAATTGGGGGTAGACGTGGGGACGAATGTTCCGAGGGGCCAGCCCGACCTCGGGCTTCCTCAGTTTCAGGATTTCCCTTTTCATGACATTGTTTTGGACACGGGAGAGCCCTTGTTTGCCATGGAGGATATGTCTTGGGTGGGTGGTTTAGGCTTACCCTTGTAAATTGAATTAATCAGGTATATTCATCATTGTACTTGAAATTTGAACTGAATGGACTGATTTTGCCTAGGGACACACCCAAGATTTTCAGCGTAGCGGCGCCCGGTGTAAGAGCCAACAGAGTGCAGCGGTATTATGGCCCTTTGTGGTCGGAGAGAACCATATCACACATTGGCGGGTACCCAAAATTGTCCGATAAGGGCTACATAGTAATGGACTCAAAGTCCCAGGCCCCAAACTGCCCGACTGCGCGGATCTGGCCCGGCACAGGTGTTAGCGCTGGGAACCCTGGTCCCTGGCAATACCGACCATCTTCAAATCGTTGGATATTATCTCCAATTCTACCGGCTGTATGATCGGCAATCACATGATAATTTTATGATAATTTTCAGCGGTGTCATTGCTTACGATAATTACTCTCCAGTCTCGGAAGCCGAAGGTGGCAAGGTCAGGGTATAAGGGAGAGTATCAAAAGAAAAGCCAAGCCATCCAACTCCCCCAGCCGTGGTAGTCCACCCTCTTACTCTTGTTCTTCCTTTCAACAGATTTTATTGCCCGGAAACAGTCTCATCATGGGCAGCTTAACGCCACCCAGACATCTCCTGCTATTCGGCGATTACTCGATCGAGAAGCTCGCGTCGGTCAAAGCACTCGTCCAGCATGGGAAAACCGTACCTGCCGCGGAGCGGTTCCTCCGCGAGGCGACAGAGGTGATCCAGACTGAGTTCAGCCGGACGGACAAAGCCGTGCATGGCTGGGAGGGGACAACGGCGTCTCTGCTGGAGATGGCTGAGGCTGTGGATAGCCCGGGAGGTGGCAACTTGGCTGTGGCTACTGTGCTGTTGTGTGCGGGCCGGCTGGGGCAGCTGATTGTGTATGTGGAGAGTCACTCTCTTGTTAGCTTTTGTGTCTCGTTTAACTAACCATGCGCTGTAAAGACACGCGGATACAGACCCTACCATCCTCGGATCTACGCACCAGCCCGTCGACATCATTGGGTTTTGTGGTGGACTGCTTCCTGCAGCAGCGGCTGTAGCGGCTCAAGATACGAGCCAGCTCTTTGCCTTGGCTCGTGAGATGGTGTCGATCAGCTTTCGATTGGCCTGTGAGGTTGCCCAGCGAAAGCGGCTGATCGAGGATGGGCCAGCAAGTTGGGGAAGGACGTATGTGGGTTTGGGACAGGATCAGGTCCAGGGGATTCTTGATAAGTTTCATGAGAGTGAGGTATGTACATACTGTGTACCGGAGCCTTAAGGCCGCTGTGTGGTGCGGGAAAGCCGGAGTCTAACAACCGCCTAGGGGATCCCCGGCCCTCGAAGAATTGCCATCGGAGTGGTAGCCAAGGGCTGGCTGACCCTCATTGGGCCTCCGTCTACCATGGCCTCGCTATCATCGTGGTCCCCGGAAATTGGCAATGCCGCCAGTGTGCCCACCGATGTCGACGGTCCCATGCACAGCTGCTGGTCCCCCAAAGTCGACGCGGTCAAGATTCTCGGGAGCTCGCCGCTGCTTCAACAACCCCTGGATCCGACCAAAGCGCGCATGCTCTCACCAGCTGGGTCGTGTACAGCGTACGACCACCCCAGACTTGGGTCTCTCGTGGAGGAGATTGTTGTCGATGTTGCTCACAAGGCATTGTACATCACCGACACGATCGGTGAGAGCGTAGCAGGGTTACCGCAGCGAGGTGAAGGGCTTGTGAAGCTCTGGGTCATGGGCCCGACGAGTCACCAAGCAGCTACCACACAGGCGCTCAAAGCAAATGGTCTCGAGTACGAGGTCCAGCCATCTAGTCAAGAAACCCCCAACCCAGAAGACACAACCCAACAAGGCCGTCCCAACTCCGGTCTAGTGGCTATCGTGGGCATGGCCGGCCGGTTCCCCGAGAACGACACAATCGAGGGCTTCTGGGCCGACCTACTCGACGGCAAAAGCCACATCAAAGAAATCCCCCCCTCGCGCTTCGACATCAACGCCTTCTACGACCCGACAGGAACCAAACCCAACTCCACCACCGCCCGCCACGGCGCCTTCCTCTCCTCCCCCGGTCTCTTCGACCACCGTCTCTTCAACCTCTCCCCCCGCGAAGCCTCCCAAACCGACCCAGGCCACCGCCTCCTCCTCACAACCGCCTACGAAGCCCTCCAATCAGCCGGCTACAACCCACAAGGCGGCATCGCCGCCGGCGGTGCCCGCGTAGCAAGCTACATCGGCCAAGCCGCCGACGAATGGCGCGAGATCCTCAACCAGCGCGGCGCCGACATCTACTACGTGCCCGGCTTCAGCCGCGCCTTCGCGCCCAGCCGCCTGCACCACCGTTTCCGCTTCGGCGGCGGCTCCCATGCGCTCGATGCCGCGTGTGCCACGAGCGCCGCGGCCGTCGCTATGGCGGCTGCTGCGCTGTTGTCTCGTGAGTGTGATATGGCCCTCGCCGGCGGGGCTAGCGTACTGGTGTCCCCTACCACGTATGCCGGGCTCAGTCGGGCGGGGATGTTGTCGACTACGGGCGGGTGTCGGACGTTTCATGAGGATGCGGATGGGTATGCGCGCGGGGAGGCGGTGGGCGTGGTAGTGATGAAACGGTTGGAGGATGCTGTTGCTGATAATGATCGGGTGTTGGCGGTCGTGCGGGGCGCGGGCAGGGCGTATGGGGTGGATGCGCCGTCGATGACGAGACCGTGTGCGGCTATGCAGGAGGTTGCGTATGGGAGGGCGTTGAGGCAGGCGGGGGTTGAGCCGGGGGAGTTGGCGTATGTGGAGATGCATGGGACGGGCACGCAGGCGGGGGATGTGGAGGAGGTGAGGTCGGTTATTGGGGGGTTGGCCGGGGGGAAAGGGGGGAAGAAGAGGAAGGGTTTGTTGACGGTTGGTGCTGTGAAGGCCGCTGTTGGGCATGGTGAGGGGGTAGGTGTTTTGCTTTCCTTTTTGGTTTTTTTTACATTATCTATTCCGAGTGGATACTAACACTGATATTTAGGCCGCCGGTATCACGTCGGTGATCAAAGCCATCATGATGCTCCGCGAGCGACAGATCCCGCCACAGCCTGGGTGGCCGTTCGAGTTGAACCACAAGTTCCCCGATCTGGCCAAATCGGGGATCAAGATCGCGACGGAGCCGACGGCGCTGCTTCCAAGTGCTGAGGGGGATGGTAAGATCAAGATTGTGGTCAACAGTTTTGATGCTTCGGTGCGTATTACGTCCTCCTTCCCCTCTCATTTTTCTTGATTTCTATGAGAAAATGTTGGCCAACTATTTACATCCAGGGCGGCAACGTGTCCATCGCCATGGAAGAGCCCCCCCAACGGCCCCCTAAACCAGCAGACACCCGACCGTGGCACGTCGTGGCCGTATCAGCCCGCACGCCAGCCTCCCTGCGACAAAACTCCGAACGACTCCTCGCCTTCCTCGAGAGCCACCCCGAGACCAACCTCGCAGACCTCGCCTACACGACCACGGCCCGACGGATGCACGAGCAGTTGCGCCGGGCCTACGTCGGCGACTCTATCGCGGCCATTGTCCGGCAGATCCGCACCGATCTAGATAAGCAAAGCGACGCGGCTCCGGCCAAACCCAAAGTGCCTAGTCGGGTTTTCTTGTTTACCGGCCAAGGCTCGCAGTACGCCGGCATGGGAGCCACGCTGTTCCGCACGTCGCGGCGGTTTCGGGAGACGGTGTTGCTGTATCAGCAGATGGCGAGTGCGGTTGGTCTGCCGGATTTTGTTGGCCTCCTTTCTGATGTGAATGGGGGACAAGAGGAAATCAACATCAAGCCCCTCGACCCAGCCGAGGCATCAACAGTACAGATCCAACTAGCCATCGTAGCACTCGAACTAGCCATGGCCAGGCTGGTAAACGCCTGGGGTATCACCCCCGATGCCGTCATGGGCCACAGCCTAGGCGAGTACGCAGCCCTGTGCGTGGCCGGCGTGCTATCAGCCAGCGAAGCACTCCTCCTCGTCGGCGAGCGTGCCAAGCTCATGGAGAAACACCTCGTCGCGGACGCCTACGCCATGCTGGCCGTGAGCATGCCGGAGGAAGACCTCGCCCAGCAGATCCAGCAACTCAGTCTCCGCTCCTGCGCCGTGGCGTGTGCCAACGCACCGTCACTGACCGTGGCCAGTGGGCCGGTAGCCGAGATCGGGACGCTCAAGAAAGCCCTCGAGGCTGAGGGGCAGCGAGCCACGCAGCTGCGCGTCCCGTACGGATTCCATTCCAGCCAGGTCGAGCCGGTCCTCGATGAGTACCAGGGTATCGCCCGGGGCACGCACTTTGCCGAGCCCGCTATCCCCGTCGTGTCCACGCTGACCGGCCGCGTGCACCGGAAAACAGCCGGCGTGTTTTCTCCGGCGTACCTAGCTCGACAAGCCCGGCAGAAGGTCGACTTTTGCGGAGCTGTTGAGGCCGGTGTTGAAGACGGGCTGTTCGCCCACGACCCGCAGACTAAGACGCTATGGTTCGAGATGGGGCCCGATCCGGTCTGTCTAGGCCTTGTGCGTCGCTGTCTTGACGGTTCAAGTTCCTCGGGTTCCGTATTTCTACCGTCGCTGAAGCAGGGCAGAGACTGCTGGGCTACGCTGTCGGAGTTGTTGAAGGGGGCGTATGAGGCCGGCGTCGAGATTGACTGGCCTGAGTTTCACAAACCGTTTACGGGCTCGCTGACGTTTATTGACTTGCCCACTTACGCGTTTGACGAGCGGGACTTTTGGACGCCGTATATGACCACCGTGGACGCTGTGGCGGCCGTGTCTTCTGAAACAGCCACAGGAACCTCCGGGTTCCCGACAACGACGCTGCAGCGTGTGGAGAGCGATAAGACGGAGGGCACGGCCAGGATTATTACGTTCACCTCGCAACTCGCTGACGAGCAGCTACTAAAGGCGATCAAGGGACATGTGGTCGGCGGGTTTGAGATTTGTCCGCTGGGTGTGTTCCAGGACATCGCGCTCACAGCTGCAAAGCACATCTTCTACCGCGTCCACGGCAACGCCACCGCGCTTCCGGCCCTATCTCTTCGCGGCGTGGAGCTCGGACAAGGCCTGATCCTCAACCCAGACACGGTCCCGCACACCGTAATCCAAGTGACGGCATCGTACCGCGTAGCCGACGCAGCGGTCGAGGTGGAATTCGCCTCGAAGCTCACTACCACCAACAACAAACTCACCCACCACGGCAAAGCCCACGTCGCCTTCGACATCACCTCCCCCTGGAAAACCACCCTCCCGCAAACCCTCTACCTCGTCAAATCCCGCATCGACACCCTCCGGAAACAAGCCGAGTTTAGCAGCGGCGCCCGCCATCTCGCCAAGCAAGAAACCTACCAGCTCTTCTCGGGCGTCGTGTCCTACGCCGAACCGTACCAGGGTCTACAGCAGGTGATTTTGAGTGCGGACTGCGCGGATGCCGTGGGGAGAGTGCAGCTCACCGCTGGGGATATCAGCAGGTCCTCGTTTCATATCAGTCCGTACTGGATTGATGCCGTGACGCATCTTGCTGGGTTTGTGCTCAACTGTGGGCTGCGGTATCCAGAGGATGTTGCGTGTTTGGCGGTGGGGTTTGAGGCATGGCATCAGGTACGGGAGTTAAAGGCTGGCGGGGTGTATACTGTGTATACGTGTCTGCAGGATGAGGTTGACGGCGGAACGGGGCATGGGGTCAGGGGGGATTGTTATGTGTTTGCGGAAGGGGGGGAGTTGGTGCAGGCTACGCTGGGGATCAAGTTCCTGCGGTTGAAGAAGGCTGCACTGGAGATGATTCTGGGCGGCGGTTCTCGTCCGTCAAAGTCGAACAACAGCAGCAACACCACTCGCACTTCGGAAACCACTCCCGGCCCGGTCCCCTCACCACTCCCAGCCAAGTCAAGACAAGCCACAGACCACACGAGCATGATCCAAACCATGCTCTCCATCATCGCCAGCGAAAGCGGCTGCACCCCCGACGAACTCGCCGACGACACCGCCTACACCGACCTCGGCGTCGACTCGGTCATGGCCATCAACGTGCTTGCCCAGCTGGGCAAGGAACTCGATTTGCACCTGCCGGCGGCATTTTTCCTGGAAAACGAGACGATTGGCGATTCGAAGGCTGCGTTGCTTGCGCATTTGGCTGAGATCGGTGGGTCTGATGGGGGGGCTGGCATTGTTGGTGATGATGTTGATGCTGAGTCGGAATCGACTACTTCGGATTCAGGATCGAATTCGGAGTCGGCGTCGGCATCGACACCGACGAACCCCTCCCGTCTCCTCACTCCCACAGCACCCACCTCCCCTGTCCCATCCTCGGACTCACTCTTCTCACCCCCGAAACACCACCCCGCCGACAAAAGTGGTAACGACAGTCCGACAGCAGCAGCAGAAACAGCAGAAGAAGAAGAAGCCCACCTCTTCCACTACCAAGGCCCGCGCACGTCCGACTCGCCAAAGTTGTTCTTCCTGCCTGATATAGACGCCGCTAACGAAGGGGCTGATGATGAAGGTGGAGGTGTAAGTGGTTTGGGCTCGACATTTGGGTATTTGTCGCTTCCGCCGTTGGGGAGTGCGGAGTTGGCGGTTTTTGGGGTTGAGGTTTTGGCGGGTGCTGGCGTTACTGGTGGTGCTACTGCTGTTGGTGGTGACAGTGGTCATGAGGGTGGTAGTGCTATCAGCACCGCAACAACAAACGCCCTAGTATCCGCGATCAAAGCCGAGCAGCCTGGTGGCCCGTACCTCCTCGGCGGGACGGAAAGAGGGGTGATATATGCTGTTGCGGGGGCTTTGTTGAAGCAAGGGAACGGGACGAAGAGTGGGGGGGTTGGTGTGCTTTTGCTGGGCGGTCATGACAGCCTCACAGAAGGCGATGCCTCAACAGCAGCAATCAATGCTTCTCTGGGAGAGGGACAGGCCGGGGTGGTGTGGTCAAAGAGTGTGCGAGACGGAGTCACGTTGGAGGTTGTCGGGGGGAGGGTTGGTGATGACGGAGCGCAAGATGACAATGAGTGGACGGAGCGGATTCCGGCGCTGGGGGTGGTTGAGGTTGAGGTGGGGTTGGGCACGTTTGATGAGTTTGTTGCGGCTGGTGGGTGGTGAGGCGTGGATAATGTCCAGTACTAGTTTGTCCTGGGTTTGGTGTTCAGGGGTAAGGGTTAGAGAGAAGTGATGGACCCTAACCCTAACCCTAACCCTAACCCGAGCCCGATATTTCTCTTACTTGCTCTAAGTTGAATATATATTTCTCTCGTTTTTCTTATTTGTCTCCATTCTAGTCATTTTTTATCCTTAAAAACATTCATTCCTCCTCCCCATAATATTTCTCCACTTCTCACCTTCTTCTTGAGTGAGAAAATCCAACAACCAACCGCAACCAAAATCCACCTCCACTTCCCTTCTCTTCTCACTGACACCCCAACTCAAAATTGGAGTCTGACGAACGATGTAAGTCTTACTAAGCTGGGAGTTTACTATAGCAGTTAAGCACAACGGCTCCAACCATACCCACCACTTAAGCTTGGGTGAGATCTCTGTGTTAATAATGTCGCTAACCTAGTTGTCTGGCCCAACTCATGTTTCACGACCCCAAAGTATTCACCAGCCACCTTATCCTCCCATGATCCCGTAGAACTTCAGGAACGGTGGCTCTTAGGCACGAACACGAATCAGCGTGAGCCGTGGTAGTGGAAACGTGGTGCTACTGACAAGACAGTATCGGTTGCCGGGTCATGAAGATGAAATTAGTAACTGAGCCGAGAGGCATTGGATAGCGGTGGCCGGTAGGTAAGTTTCAGGATAGAGGGGGTCCAGGAACTTGATAAGCGTTCGGCGTTGAGAGTTCGGTATATAGTAACGATCGTATTCTGACTAATTATTATTCCTAGTATTATAGAGCAAGGAGGTACCTGGAAAGGGAAGGTGAAAGTCTACAAATGCTAGTCATCATACCCTCCTGACTTGTATCTTAAGATGCTGTTATAAGTAGGAAAGTATTAACCCCCGAAAGTTGAAGTTTGAAAAGTCCACCGGGGATAGGTTTACAACTAAGTTAGAGAAAAGTATAACGTTAGCAATCAATACCACTATTGCACTCAGACTCTTACATAGCTAGCTAATTTAGATATGTTTATTAACAATATATAGTAGATGGTGTTTCTCTCTTCTTCTTTCTTGCCCTTTATCATCATTTCCCCTTTTCTTTTTCTTATTCTCTCTTTCTTTTTTGCTCCTTTTCTCCTTTTCTCCTTTTCTCTGTTTCTCTGTTTCTCTTTTTCTCTTACTACAAATCGATCTTAGAAAGATCCTGGAGGCTGGTATCACTCTTTTGAAATCGATTAATGGGCATTTGGTGCTTGCGTGCTTGATCCATGGATGACTTGGGATCGGGTTTTGGAAAGAGGTCAATAATTATCAGTTCGGATCAGTCCTCGACACGCTAATGTTCTGTTCTATTGTTTTAGGTTGATTTGCTACATGTCCCAGTTATTTTAACCTTAAAATCATTGAATAGAACTTTCCCCCATGAAACATACCCATATCTACCAATCGGATACCTTCTATCGACTCTCGAAAATCCCAGTATATTCTACTTCTCCCTTTAAATTCCACCATCTTCTCCAACCTCATTCCCCCTCCTCGGCTGGCTTCCGGCCCAAACTCTCCAGCAACCGTACCGCCCTCGGATCAAGTTGTGAGTGCGAAAACGTGTTCAACCATCTCTGGCTGAGCGGCGCAAACCTAGTGTCGCCCCGGTATGTTTTCACCAACCACTCCGTCGACCGATTCGGGTCCTCGATCCAGGCCGTCGGTACCCAATGTTTCCACATGCTTGACTCCCAGCCGGTGTACGCACCACCAAATGGAATGGGCCAGTACCGCATAATAGGCGACTCCGGCTGGGTCAGGGCGTATGGGTCATCCGGTCCTAGTTGTCGGGGGTGATCGTCGCCATAATAAGTAAAATTGAACAGCTGGGCGACGTTGAAGTCGATGATGACGACTTTGCCATTGGGCCTGACGATAATATTATGCGGTTCGATGTCGTTGTGAGTGAGAAGTCCTTCCCACCAGATGGTGATGTCGGTCTCGATAATGTTACGCATGACTAGGAGGCGAAAGTCTTCCGGGGGGAGTTGAGAATAGTCGGTGGTGGTGGCGTAGCGCCTCTCCGGGGTGGGGCTGCTCACTTCGGCCTTCTCCATCATGTCCACGAGGCATTCGCCAGCGACCAGCTCCAGCAGAATCATTCGTACCCAGCGTCGGCTGGGTTCGAGCTTGGGGTGGTCTGGTTCTGGGTCTTCATCGGGATTTACATCCGGACTGTTGACATCAAGTGCAAAGGTCCAAGATCCAAAGTAAGCCGGGGCCAGGACGCCGCCAACGCCAGGGATAGGCTGCAGGGACTAGTACGCGCAGGCTTCGACGCTGTAGTCCTTATCGGCGCGGGTTATGCAGTCCCAGGCGCCAAATACCAGCGGATAATCGGCAGCATCGTAGATCTTGGCCACGTATTCCACGGTCGGATCCCCGTCGAGAAAGCATGTGAGGACGTGGGCCCCGCCTCTGTCACGACCAGTAGCGTCTTTGTGGCGCCGTGTTTTGGAGCCCGTGATGGTCAGTGTGCGCTCATGAGCCGGAGTGGTATAGCTGGTAGGCTGGGTCTCGTTCTCCATCGGTGGGTAGGCGAGAGCCACCTCAACGCGGCTGATGTACCGAGGCAAGCTGTCCCAGTCGACGACGGGTCGCGGGCTGTCCCTGTAACTGCCATTGATTCCGAATGGTGCTGGCGGGCGGTGTTCGCGGATGAGGAGGGTTTTGTTTGGTTGATAGCGCTCCGGAGTACCCTCGATAAATGACATGATTGTGGACGATGGATATGAAGCCCTGGAGATGCCTGCGTCAATCGCGGGATTTGAAGAGCGGCCAACTGTTGACTCTTGAATTGTCTTGGTGATGGAGAGGAAGTGAGTCCCCCAGGGGGTAATTAGGACCAGAAACTGAGGGGCCAAAGAGAGTAAGAGAGAGACTCTTAGACCGAAGCTTCTGCTGTGGTGCCGTGCTTCTGCCTAACAAGAAAACTCGTACCCTACAGGTTGTGTGGTTGGGACCACGGGTCCACGATTCGGGACAAATGTATCGGTGAACATTTCACCTCAAAGAGGAAGGCGGGGCAAACATTTCATGATCGATCCAACCACGCCAACACAGTACTTGCGGTGAATGGGAGGGGTCCTTGTGGGTTTGACACTTCAAGTCATGGCCGAAGAACCTTACAGCGTCGAAGGAGTGTCACCAAGGACATGTAGAGAGGCCGGGGAGTACCTTCTCCTTCAAGCGCCTGTTTTCCCTTCTTATTTCACTCAGAAATGGCACGTTATCCAATAATTAATTAAGTCCATAATTAACTGTTCAACTACAGGACTTCCACAAACCCTGGGCTCAAATTTTCAAATAATTAGGTGGCTTTGTGGCCCTAGATTTGAGGAGACCGGGAGCTATTATCCAAGATACTCGCAAGCAAGTATCCCATACTGGACCCAGCCCAAGCCACGACTGGGATGCCCATAACTTTCGCCGTAGCCCCACCTGGTCTCCATATAATTCATGAGCCGCTTGACATATGCTCCGGCGCCACAGCAGGTGCAGCAGTCATCCTTTGTTGGAACTTCAGTGCCGGCATCCCACATTAGGTCATGCCCAGTCCAACGTCCTAATTGCTTCTCCTCCACTTCCACAAACCGGCGATCCCTCGCATAGAATACTCTTGGAGATTTCCCCCCGTGCGCTTTGGGCTTGGCCTGTTCCTGGGCGGGCTCCTGGTATCTCGCATTGCGCTTGATGCGATAGTCGATGAACCAAAGAGTGAATGGACCCGCCTGCGCAGTGTTATAGGCGATTTCGAAGTATAACACCGCTTCGGGTCCTCCTAGGAAAACACGTCTATGCTCATTATGTGCCATCCTATCCCACTCAGGATTGTATTCGAGAGCCATGTGGCGTTCAGGTTCAACCCAAGCTAATCCCCCCAAATCCGTCACCACGAAAGTGTCATGGGGGAAAACATCCCAGATAAACTCCCAGTCCACGGCCGCAATATCGTTTGGCTGTAGGATAAAAAGGTCCTGGCCCGGGAAAACGGTGAGATGGCGACATTTAGCGTCCTCGGAGACTGGAAATGTGATTCTCCCCATCGGAGTGAAGCGGCCTCCTTTGTCCCGGTAGATTTTTACCACTGCGGCGCTCCGCCCTTTTCCTCGTCGTGCTGGATGTTGGAACTCCTTCTGGATAATGAGGAGTGATTCTTTGCAGGCCGTCCAAAGACCACTGTCGATGAGGTATGTCGACGGGTTGTTCAGCGTCCATGAATTCGGGGCTGACACGGCCGAGTGAGAGTCCAAGTCAATCCCTCTCGGCAGGCACTTCGGCGCGGCAAGACGAGATCCTGAGATCCACCAGGATGTATTGCAACGGAGTGTATGTTCAGAGTCGGCGTAGTCTAAATCGTTGGCGTCGTAAACTGTGAAAACGTGCGCTCCTGGGAGAGCCGGTCGGACTGCGAATTTCCAGATCTTTTCCCTGAGCTCCCAGGGGAGACGGGGGAATGGATGAAATTGTCGTGACATTCTCGGGTTGATGGTGCAGACATAATTACCTACATACCATGGTTTGGAGGTAGGTATCCAGCCACTTTATATAGGCTCTGGCGTAACAGCGAACGTGAACCTTAACTCTGTTAGCTCTATGACTGACATCAGGATTGCGATGCTGGGACAGAGCTCTCAGATGGCAACGCAAAGCTTCAAGTAACTAATAAAAGTCGTCCTGCATAATTATGTAATTAGCTTCAACCGATACTCGAAGTCCCCCGGCCGTGCTAACCAGAACATGGAACGCGATACACATCGCAGCTGACTGACAATTAGACTTGAGACCAAATCTGGGGTACATCAAAATCTAATTATTTGACCTTATGGGAGGAGGTGGTGGGGTGGTGAGTGGAAAAACCAAGGATTTGATGGCCTTTTGCAAATCGTAGTTGTGAATAGCTTCGAATGCGAATGTAATGTGGGTGATGGTGAGACATGGGTGCGGGTGTGGCTAAAGGTCGGCTAGTGTTTGATGGCTGCGGCGATGATTTCGTGAGTTGTGAATACGATACGTAGGACTCGGCGAAAGAGGTAGAAGAACACTAGGTTCAAGAAATAACTGACGATGATGTGGTTCCCTCACGTCATAATGCCTTCTCCCGGGGATATATCATGAAATAGGAGGATCAATCGCCACGGCAATCATTCATCAAATATTACGGCAAAATTATACGGTTAATGATAACTAACGTAGCTAATCTCTTAATTTATATTTTCATTGGTGACATGCTTATCTTATGCTCATAACTGAGGATCCGCGTCAAGACTCTTCCGTATATTTTACCCATTTTCATGCCCACCTCTGTCGCAAGATTATATTTTCCCACATCTGATGTCCTCTCTCACCCTCCAGCGCGTCCCGCTCCGGGAAAGGTACAGGCTGGCTGGTAAAGATCCTAGCTGAGTTGAACTCTGGTTATCATCCTCTGTGCTACGCATCCCGAGGCGATGCGAGAAGAGTGAAGCTGGGTCAAAGGTGGGATCATCCGTCTAGGGTTACTGGACATGAATGCGTTACCTATCAAGCCATCCAGGCCAGCTTCGTGAAGCTCATGAACCAAGGCACCACTGTTATGGGTGACGTATTTCCAGTAAGAATAGCACCGCCTTTTCTAACCGCAGCGATTGAAGCCCAAGGTGAAGCCCAGCCTTCTCACCGAGGCTGGGCATTTCTAGGTCGGCCTCACGTGGGGCTGAGCCTGAATGAGAAGTTCGGTTGGGTTGGGCTATGGTGGAATAGGTCGTGGTCGTCGGTAGGTGATTTAGGTTAGGTAGGTATGTAGTCGGGTAGGAACCTACTAGGTACGTAGTAGGTAATTGAAGACCTTGAGACCTACTTGACCTGCAGCCAATTCCCGATTCCCGACCGATCACTGAAGGTCTTGAATGCCCCACCTTTCTCCGGGTGCCTTTCTCCAGTACTTCAGTCTCACTTCGCCCTCAAGAAAAGAAGGGCTCTCACCATGCAGGTGCGCACTACTCTAAAAGGGCGCTAAAACGCTCACCGAATATTTTTGCCCACCTAGAATCAACAGATCTTTTATCATTATCTCGCACCGGCCCGATTCTGGCCGCAACCGGAGGAGACTAGAGGGGAAGTGTGGCGACCTTTTGGGGCAGATTTTTCTTGCTTGTCCACGTTATCTCCCACCTGATTAGATCTAGGCGCCGCAAGCGGGAATGAGGGGTTGGTGTAGCCTTTTGCTGTTGCGATTGTTGTCACCCACAACCTTTTCTTTCCACCCTCATCCGTAAGGCGTTGATCAACAATTCGGCGAGCAGCCCGAGTGATTGGAGAGGGAGCCTGGGGCCTCCGCATGTCAGTCATGCGTTCAGGTGTCCAGGCTGTTGTTGTGCCTTTTTCCCCCACGTAAGAAGGTGTGGCCCTACTGGGCAGGTCATTTGACTGGCGCGGGGGACTGTCCACGTCGCTTGCCAGGTCACGGAGTGATGGGCTGGCTGACGGAATATGTGGTGCATTGAGGATGATAGGAGCCCAGCCCAAGGCTTGGATTTGAGAGCTTTCACTCGCTCCCCCATAATCAATGTGGATTAGGTACCGATTTGAAGCTCCCGATACCGAAGACCCGAGGTGCTGTACCAAGGGCGGGAGCTTACACGAGGCGGGTAACGTTGCGTCGTGTGAAACAACGAAATATAAAACCAAGAATTCCAAAGAATCTGTGAAGGATAAGATTCCATAATGGGTCGCACCTGCGGTAAGGTGACGGATTACGTTGGATTACAGTCGGTTGCGGTTGAGCCAGGAACGAGGTTACGAACATTACAGCGGCCCTGGTGGATTTGCGGGGCTGGATCGTGCCTGGCCGTTTCCTCCCCCAGCCGCGGCAGATGAGCCACTCCTTCATCTCATCGCCGGGCCACCATTTGCTCTTTTTGCTTCAAAGTCACCCCGGATCGGCGGGGCTTGATAGATGATAGGGCGCGATACCCTGAGTCAGCCTAAAGGAAGTTGAAGCATTGCCTCCTTTGCAGGAACCTCGAGCCCCCGTAATTTTCATGCACCTGGTGGGATTGCAAACGGGGTTTCAAAATGCAAACGCAAACTTTCGCAGGCATGATCGCGTGTCGATTGCAGGCGGTGTGTCAAATGGAAATGGTCGGTGTATGGATGTTGTGTCCAACAACAATCACAACGACTGACCTGACATGCAGGCGCACGACACACAGCGGGCCCCAACAGCCGCGGTGCACCAACTCCGGATCGACTCCATCTCATCCCCGTCTCGTCTCGTCGTTGCGGCGTGATGCAAATGGTAAAACCCAACTGGACCCCAAAAATCAATAACAACCCGTCCCTGAGACCACTTACTCGTTGTACACGAGGTGCGTTGGCACCGGTACAAACACACAAGTTGTTTCCCCAAGAATCCTGAAACCTCGAATTGGGTCCAAAATCGGCGTATCAAACAAGAACTCTCCGCGACACTCGGCCCTGGATTCGGGGGGAGGAGGCCCACGGGCCCGTCTCGGCCTCGACCACGGCCCCGAACACCGCCTTGCGGACCTTGTGTTTTCCCCGCCCCTCCCTTGGTGTGTGGTCCGCTTCAAGCCCCCGCCCAATTACAAGGTCCCTGCAAGCACAACCGCCACGCAAGGATCGTGAAGCGCTGGTGGAAATGAGGATGATGAATCCATTGCGCAAGCGCATCCGCACCAACACCATCGGGAAGGGGGAAGGCAACGAGATCACGCAGCCGCCCTTGAAAAGGACAACAAACGCTCGTCGGCAACAACACCCAACAGCCCACGTAACCTCCTCGCATTCCAACCGGAAGGGGACCGGCAAGCGCCCCGACAGCAACCAACTTCACAAACAGTGAACCCGTGGACGCTTCGTCGGTTAACTATCCCCCAGGCGGCGACTGAGCTCGGTCAGGTACCGATCGGTAATGTATGGTTGAAAAGGTCCAGAATACGTAACTTAACGTTCGGTTCTTTCTCCACGTCAGCGGTGTCAAAACGACCTGCCGACGATGAACACAGATTCTTGCCCAAAGGAGCAAAAGTTAAGCGAATGCAAACGCCCATTCGCTGAGCAGCCCCGAGCCCAGCCCAGCCCAGGCAGGCTCGCCAGGCACTGCGCTCTGGGCGCTGGGCGCAGAGCAGGCAGAGAGGGACCAAGTCCAGCCCCAGGCTTCGGCCGAGAGAAACGGGCGAGCGGACGAACCGGGCGAGAAGTCATGGAGCGCGCCCTGTGAACTTTTTTCTTGATTTCGTGGAGAGGACCGGCTTCGGGCTCTCGTTCGCCAAAACCCGTTACCGCGAAACGCGGGAGAAACCCACTTTCACAATTGATTTTTTTTCCTGCTTTTTTTCTTCTTTTCTTTTCCGTCCCCTGGCCAAAGCCAACCAAAATTTCTCGGCTGAGTCACCTGGACACACCGATCCTCCAATTACCGTTGACCCGGCCATCTCGCCGGGGCCGCCCCCCATGCCGTATCGCCGTATCCCGTATCGCCGTAACTTATCGCCGTGGCTTTTTTGTTTCGCTCAGGTTCTGCTGAACGTAACGCGCGAATCCCGCTTCCGCCTTGCGCTTCTGGCGATCGACGAACTCGGTAACCTTATCCCGGGATCCCATTCGCACAAAACCAGACAGACGGCCACAAGGCAGGCGCCACAAAAGCCAAAGCCGTCCAAAAGTCCCTCTGCCCTGGTCAGGCACCGATTGATCAGATCAAAAAAACAAAAAGAAGCAAGAAGATTGCGGAGGGAGTGAGAGAAGATATCACAGCTGAAAGTTTAGCGAATGCCGATGATTCTCGATTCACGATCATTTTAAATGAGCGATGACAAAGCACCAAAAGGATGAGAAACACAGCCAGCGCTCGGACTTGAGGCGTGCAAATGTAATTAAAAGCCGTTTTGTCGTAAACCCCGTAAAAGCCGTACGGTAACAGCATGTATGTAACATCGCGGCTCCGCACCCCGCCCTTTCGGTTTGTGACTAACCTGACCGACTCCGTATTACACACGCCCACCGTGTGTTTAAACATCTGAGTACCCTCGAGGACCCCGAGCGAAGAAACAAACAACCCTGAGCAAAAAAAATGGAAAGAAAGAATCCGAAACTGCGAGAAAGAGCCAATCCAAGCAAGGGATTCTTCTTCTTCACAATCTACGACTCACTGCCAGCTTTGACAATGAAATCACTGAGGAGCAGGATTAAGAGACTCGCATCGCTAATACATACATACGAACGAATGAATGAATGAATGAACCATTGTGTGTGTTGTCCTGTGGCCAAATTCGAGAAAGTAACATGTTCCAGCCCGAGTCCCCGATCGCCAGGTCCAGCCCGAGGAACTCGATCGAGTGCTCGAGCCCTTCATGAATCAAAAGATGGGATGATTTATTCGGGTTTTACGAGCGGCGGGATACTGGGTACGAAGCTCTGCGGCATCAGGAGAGAGCTGAAGAACGACTTGGGACGGAACTTGCTCCGCGGAGGGAGGTGATGATGTCAATCGGGGTCGAGAATTGGGAGACTTGGTTTGTTTGTTCTTTTCATGCTCGCATTACCTAAACAAGTCATAGCGAAGAGCAGGCGAAAAGCGATTTCGGAGATTCATGTGAATTTCTGGGGGTCTGTTGATCAGCCCTGTGCCTAAGCTAAAAAATGCTTCCCACTCGACCTTGACCACCATCTTTTGGTGGAAGGGAGCGGGTGCAATGTGTAGGAGAATTTGTAGTAGTGATGAGAGTTGCGTGTGAGTCCATATCCATCCATCCATCCATCCGTTCGTCGATGCCTCCCGTAGAGTAAATCGGTACAATGTCCTCCTTCTGTCCACTCCCCCTTATTACACATTTGAGTGGTGTAAGACGCAATGATGCGATGCGGATAGTCTTAAATCCCAATGCCATGAAAATATGAAAAACAAGAACCAAAAAATAAAAACCAATGCAACTTTTTTTCCTTCGCCTTGTCGCTTTCCACCCAAAAAATATGCTTGGTATCATTTGCAAACGCCGGCCCATGCTGAAGTACACACAAAAAGACAAAGTAGACACGGAAGGGATCTCGCGGTCTAATAAACTGATATCGCTGAGATCAACCTCCCGGGGCTGCGTGGTGGGAGGTAAAACCCCTCTTCGTAGAAGGAGGCCTTGTCCCCATGGTCTACCGTCAATGTGCTTGTACTTGAGCTGGCGCTGCTCCCATCCATCTTCTGTTGTTGTTCTGTCCCCGCCGCGAATTCTGGGATGAGTGTTGTGGGCGGTGAGGGAGGCATCGACTCGTCTTCGGTGGAAGCGTCCGAGTCGTCGTCGAGCTCGGGCGGTGGTGAGACGGGGGATGCCGAGGCCGAGTGCGAGGGACTCCGTTGCAGGGCAAGCTGTGCGTAGTCCTCCTCATCGTCCTCGTCCATGTCGTAGTCTTCGCGGTCGGCGCCAAAGGGGTAGGCAGCCTTGTGCGGGAGCATGTTGTGATGCGAGGGCACCCGCTGGAGGGGGACGACGTCGGCCATCTCGATGTCCTCGTCGTCGTCAAAGTCGGAGTCGGACTCGGAGTCGGAATCAGAGTCCGACTCGGCGTCCTCGGCACGCCAGTCGTTCTCGGGCTCCTCCACGATGGTGTCGGCCCACTGGATGTGCTTCTCTGTTGGTGCTGGGGCCGCTGGCGAGGCGCCGCGGACGGACTGGTTGAACCACGATTCTTGTTCCCGCTCGGCGTCCGCGAGTTCCACCATCAGCGAGTCAAGGAGGTTGGCGTGGCCGACAAGGAGGCGGAGGTTGTGATCTGGGCGGGCAGCTTCCGAAGACAGCTTGGCCCGGGCTTTGTGGGCCAGGAAGTAGGTTTGGGCAATGGACATCTTCTTGTTGGCTCGGGGTCGGAAGGGAGACGACAGAGCAGGTGTGAAAGATGCCGGCGAGGAGCCCAATGGGTTCTGGTATGGTTGTTGCGAGTTCGCAGGACGCGGAATGGGGAGAGGGGAAGACATTTTGAGGGCAGGTTGGTGTCCCAAAATATTTGATGTGCTATGGCGTTTTCCCGGGTGACTCAAGGCGCGAGAGCCGGTTGCGGAAACGCCAAGTTAGGCAGGCTTTGGCTAGGGGGGCGTGCGTTCAGGGCTGCGGTGGGGTGGACCCAAGAAAGCCCTGATTGATAACAGAGCGTATCGAAGCGGCGTGCTGTATGTAACATGTATTGACGATACGCTGGTACTGCACTCAGGTAAGTTGGACTTGGTGCAGTTGAGGAAGCTGTTGTCTTCTTGTTGAATGTCGAAGCGATGTGAATAATAATTGCTTTCGAGACGAGATGAAGTGCTGGCCTTGTAGGTCGACGATGAGCTTGAAGGGGAAGGGGGGCATGTGCCCGAGAGAGGGCGGCCACGGGTTCCTTTTGTAACTGTTGGTGTTCGGGTTGTCCAAGACACCGCCGGTCACCAGAACCCGGCTCGTTGTATCATCCGCAGCAGCTGACAAAAGCCCAGAAGTCCGATCTCCGTCCCACTTGTTTCCTCCCCACCATCCCCCGGCCCGCCTTTCTGTCTGCGCATAATTTACCCTTGCAGGTTAGCAGGTTAGGACTTTCGGCCTCGACCACGCCCTGCGCCGCCCCTCCTGCAGCGAAAAGCTGTCCTGGATTGAGACGCCGCGGCGGTGAAGGGATGATGAGGCGGCGCCTTGTTGTTGGCCCTTTCTGCAGTACCTTTTTGGGGGGCAGTTCGGCCATTCGACACCACCTGATCTCCCGCGCCTACTGTAGTATGTTTGTAGGGCCGCCCTCAATTGAGCCCCGTCGGGTCCCAACGCAAACGCAATACGTATCATCATGTTCTTTATTTTTTGGTGCGTTGTCCGCCCGCCGTGCTGGCATCGCTGGTCTTCGGGCGGGACGAGGCCTGCTTGGGCAATTGACGGGGGATGGAACGGAGGGTGGGCGAATTCTGCTTGGGCAGGGCATCCCGTTCCGCACCGTCGGACGGAGTTATGCCACAGCCCAACGACAGGAAACCCGTCCCATCCTAGCAAGACGCGGCTTCAGACTGATTGCAAGTGCGGACTCGATTCTGGATGGGTCCGGCGTTCGCGGGGTTACGGCTGGTTACGCGGTCCCGTCGCAACCGAGAGCGACCTTCGCAGTACGAATATGGTCGTCGTTCACGTTATCCACTGTTGCATTGTCGTCGTCACAGACTCACAAGCGAGAACTCTCCGGGATCTCTGGGTTTCTCGTCGGCGCGGTGTCTGGTGAGCATCGATAGTCCGGCCAGATTGTTAATCAGCAACGCGGGACCCCGAATCCCCCGCATCCGCACCAGCCGTTTCGCAGTCTTTTCGGCATCTTTTACTCTCTGTCCGCTTCTGTCGCGCTAGGGTTTTTTTATCGCACATGCTTGGGTTTTACCTAAGCACCAGGCTCATTATTAACCAAACGTTCCCTTCGCTCTCTAATCCAACCAGGAATCATCAGCTACTGTGAGAATGATGCCAAATGATGCGTTACTTCCCTGCAAGCGATCCCTTCAAATGATCACTGCTCACTCCCGAACAAATCTCCCCCATGGTCCAGCGAGCGACAGCGGGGTGCGGGTTTCGTCCCTTGATTTCTAATTGCCCAAACGGGAAGCAGCATTTTCCACCCAATCTTTCTGCGGTAAGACTCATTTCACATCGACAATGCGCCATCGTCGGTCGAAGTCGCACTCGTTAATCTGCCGCAACTTGCAACTCAGAACCCTAGTCGAGTTTCGGAGACAAATCCAAACGCCGCGATCGCCAAACAAGCCAATATCAACGCCGGACCACGGAGCAACGTTAAAGACGACGCAACCCGTTTTGACGTCCAACACCAGCGACCGCGTATCATTGCATGATGACGGTGGATAGTGGCAGAGTGAGCCGCTCATCTCCGTCAAAGCAGCCCCGGAACTGAACAACTACCCGAAGCGGACCGGCTATGCCCTCCTGCACTCCACCATCCTCAACTTATCATCACCATTCACAGTCAGTTCCTGTGTACCGCAGTAGGGCCATTTACATGCAACCTCGCTAGGAATCAAGGTAGTCGGTAGCGGACGAGGTAACTTGCACAGCCTCATCTGTCTTTGCGTACCTATCGTATTAAGCTGCGCCCAGCGGTAAGGACTCATTGAGAAACAGCAATGACCTTGTTGAACACTGCAGCAACAATAAAGGACGAATAAGAGATGCGCGGGTTCGGCTACGATCGTAACACCGAGTTGAACAGTGCTCCCTCATTTGTGGGGTGAACGAGACAAAAGAGAGAAAACGAGATTGTGGACTCGCTACTGGCGCAGTCTGATTGGCCAAACACTCCGTAGGGCTGATTGCTGACCTGATCCGCACGCCAGAGAGCCGAGAAAAAAACCACATGGCGATCGGGTCGTCTGCTTCACGTCAAACCCGACGAGTTGCGTTGCCTGGTCGCAGCCCAAGCCACGAAACACTCTGTCGGGTGGCCTCTGCACCAAGCGAAACCAATCATCAACGAGGCGGCGTCGTCGTCGTTGCCCTGAATTTTGTTGGCGTCGAGTGTCGTGTTCATCGCGACCTAAAGCCTCAACTCGAAGACCTTTCCAATTTCGAAACTCTTTCCCTTTCAGTACATAGTAAGGGAGGCTACGCAGCCAGCGGGCCGCAGCGACCCAAACCTACACTATTCCGATCACGATGATGAATCATCCTCAGGTCGACAATCCTCCCATGAAACCTCAATCTCTCAGGCCGCGATGAGTAGGTACGCAAAGAACACAAATCAACCCCGGGAACCTTTGCCGATGACGAATCATCAACCCGTTTCGCTCGCGGGCCAATCACGAAAAGGCCTCCGCGGTGGAATCGAGCATCGCTTTCGCTTGCTGCCTGGGTTTCCGGGGTGAAAATACGCAGTCATCTTGTCACCAGCCACAATTGGCAGGCTCGGCAAACCAGGACCCCGCGTGGGCATTTGGTAAGACCCAAGCAGTCGGGGTCGGGGCATCGGTACTTCCGCCCTCCGTCGGCGTGCCGTTTCCATCCATGTCGCCGGTTTTTTTTCTCCTGTCTTCACTTTTTCCACGTTGTTGCCCCGGTCCGGATTTACGATACGCGTGGCCCTATGAATCCACCCTCCCGTGGTGGACACGGGAGGGCGGGGTCATAAAAACTTTGAGCCGAAGAGGAAGTCATCGGGTTTAACGTAATGACCGGCGACGTTCCTTCCCTCCCTCGGGTTTGTCAACCGACGAATCCTGAAAAGCCCGGAAGAAAAGAGTCATCCCCGTTTCAAGTCCAATTCCATCCCGGGTCTTCTCACTCAACTCCAACAATGCTCCCGAAACCGTCCGACCCCACCACACCCGGCGCTCCGGTCAGTTCCTCGCCGAGGCTTGGCATGAGTGAATTCGTGGATCTTCTTTTTTCTTGTTTTCGTGTCTGCTATCCCATGACCCAACTCAAAAAGCAGCGAAGCGAGGAGCCGAAATAAAATAAAATCCCACAACGGAGCAAGTCGGAACGGGACAACAACAGACACTCCCTCACTGTATACCAAATCCGGAAAGCCTCAAATCTGGGCGAGGAGTCCTGTACGAAGCCGTGTCCATGTTTCCATATGTGACCGTTACAAAACCGACCCACCGCTCGCGGCGCTCCCATGGGGCCGGGACACCGAGCACGCAACAACAAGCGAGGGAACACAGAACTTTGGGGTAGCACGCGGCAGCGGGCGGGAGCAAGTGAGGTCGGTGACTTATCGTATTGTTCGTACCTTTTCTCTCTCGAAACCCGATGTGTTCAGAACCTTGCAGAAGTCCGTTCCGTACTTCGTACCACCTAGCTCGTTTTCGTCCGAGCTGAATCTGGCTGTCTATCTGTCTCTGAACTTTTCGTTGTCTTGATGTTGTGAATCCTTGATGTGATAGTATACGTCGCGAAAGTGTATATTCTAAGCGAGTGGTGTGTAACAAACCCTCAAGGCAGCACATAACCTTTCCAACATCGCTGTTGCACCAGGTAGATAGAGACAGGTACGGCTTTCGGCGGGATTCGCGTTTCGGTCTGTCCCCGCCCGACGCCCGAGCCTTGCGTGTAGGCAGGTACCTTGCTGTCCGGGTGCCCTGGTATGCCTGCCCACGTTAACCCAACTGCCGGGCCGTATCGGAGCTATCCGGAGCTGCGCGGACCTACGAAAACCTACGTACTACAAGGACCTTTGACCCGTCCGTAGGTCTCCGGAGGATTATGTAATATGCAACCCCAGGGGTTGTCAATGAAAGCGCCCGAGATCCTTCGTAGGTATGTATGTAGGTCTCAAGGAGCGAACCACCATCAGGGGGATCAGGCGATCTAACTTAGGTTCAAACTCGTGTCTGCCCGTATGTAGTGTAGGTCCCGTCCTGCGACGTGTAGGCGGGCGGCACGTCTTTCTTTTTAAAAGTCGCCGGGTTCCTGGCGGTTGAGGATGAGGGGGGACAGTGCCGCAGCCACTTTCAAACCCGGTGTCTAAGCGGAATCCCACTCTGTTTCAGGGCAACTCCTTGGGGAGATCGTTCTTTGCCCGGTCGGTTATGAATAGTAAGTTGACGTTTTGGGTTTCATTTAGCTTTTATATGGGATTGCGTTCATACAGCTGCTGACCCGAAAGCTTAGGATCGGGCCATTCGCCTCAACACATCAAAACGGAAAAGAAAAGAACGAAAAGGAAACGGCACAAATATCACACCCTCAATGCATGTCCCAGTCAACTCTTAGACTCTACTAGTTTATCCAGTAGTTCCACTTTCCGGCCTTGACAATTTCACCTCGCCGGCCCAAATCTCACAACACGCCCTCTCAGCCTACCCTAGAACTTCCCCTTAGCTATTTCAAATAGACATGTCTTAGTACACTACGAGCAGACACGTACCAAGGAAACATCAACATTTACAAGAGAGCACATCAGCCTACCGTGATCACACCATCGACAAATGAGGAGTAGAAACATCACAATTAGAGTTACCGATTCATCACCAACTGCACGAGATGAGTCTCTCTATCCTCCCCTTTCTCCCACTAGTTACTCCAAGAATGATTCAAATTAAATATCATAAAAATAGAACCCACGGCTTTTTCCTACATACGATAAACCGTACAGCGACAACCGACGCTAGGGTGGAGGGGGATATAATCAAATTCCGAAAAAGAAAAAAAACAGAGAAAGGAAAAAATATGGGGTGGTGAAGACGAACGTAGCGTACATCATCGCCCATGCATGCATGCATGCACCTTTGACCGGTCGTAAGTCAATGATCTCTCCAGTGGTTCCTCACCCGAAGCTGCTCATCCAAAAACCTCCCCTCAACACCTAACTACCAACCTGTCCCTACTCCACCAACCAAACAACCACCACCCCTCATCTCATGTACATACCAATCATAACATAACTTCATCGCACCCCATTCCAAAACCGATCCCACTCCCCCACCAACCACCCCAACCCACTCCCAACACCACCACCACCTCCTCCTGCTCCACCAGCATAGCCCCCATACCCAGGGGGCGACTGCACATACAAATAATGCTTCGTCACCCACAGCGCCAGCCCACCAAGCACACTCAAACTGCCCAGCACCTCAAGCGCAATCAGGCCCTTGTGCCGCAACTCGTCGGCGACTTCGAGTAAACCGAGTGGGTCCTGCCTGTTCCGCTGGCGTGGGTGGCTCGCAGCGTGAAGTTGGGTTTGGTTCTGGCTCTGGCTGGTCCCAGTCATGGTCATTGTGCCGATGTATTTCTCGCTGCCGTTGGTATCGTTGCCATACCCCAAGTCCTGTCGTCGGCTTCGTCTCCTGCCCGATGGGATGGCCAGTTCGTTACTGCCACTGCTACTCCGATGTCCTCTTTTATGTCCCGCTTGCTGTTGGTGGTTCTGCCTCTGCAGGCCGCGCTCGGCAACAACCACCTGTCCCGAAGGGGGTAAGCCCTCCAGTCCACCGTCCCTCACACACTCACCCATCCTCTCGGCTAGCCATACCGCTCTTTCCCCGCGCGCCAGGGCCGCATACTGTTCCCTCTCACGGGCGATACTCTTTTGCAAGTCGGCGGCCCAGTTCGCCAGTCGGACCTGTGCGAGGCGTTCTTCGCGGTGGGTGTGGTCGGCGAGACGGGCAAGGGCATAGCTCGTGCCCACACTGGCGGGCGCTGGGTTGAGAGATGGGGATAAAGGCGATGGTGATGGGGCCGGGGAGGAGAAGGACGAGAGCTGCTGGTTGGGGATGAGCGGGGCGGTCTGGGTGCGGGATAGAAGAGAGGGCGGGCGAGAGGAAAAGAGGGAAGGAAGGTTGGTTGAATCTGGGTTGCGCCAGTGAAGGTATTTGCGTGCGACGGAGTGGCGGAGGTGGGTGATGCCCGTGGGAGAGAAGACTTGTGATACGAGAGTCGAGAGTTCGGTTGGAATGAGTGGTTGGACGTAGTCTGATGACATGAGAAGGCTCGCATCCATGGTGTCGTGGTCGGAACCCGTGGCGCTGGAAATGGCATAGATGCCTTGGTCATCGGAAAAGTTAAAGAGCCGGATGCCAACTTCCTTGAGCTGGCTCTGGATTTGGGCTTTGCTAGCGGCGACTTGTTCAGCGGACATGAGATCCGATTGGGCGAGAAGTATGATAATGTTAGTGAGAGGAGCGACTTGACGAAGATACTCGATATCCACGGGGCGGAGGCCTGTAGTTCAGGTTAATAACAATCTTAAACCAAGGATTTGGAGACAGCACGCACGGTTTGAGACGAGGTAGAGAACGGCGTCAACCTGGACGCCTCCTTCTCCACCGATTAGGTTCAAGAGATCTCCGTCAGAAAGGAGGTTGGCGTTTATCCTTTGCCAATGTGCCTCGATATATTGCGTGACGGGCGTGATCGTGTCCAGGGACTGTATTTGTCAGTAAGGCGCAGTTCTGGCTCACCGAAAGTAGAACAGAAAGTCAATAACTCACCGATGAACCACTACCGTACCCTGGAGTATCAACAAAGCAGATATTCCGGTCCAGCACCGCATCTCCCATGCTCTTCTTCCGCCCCAACACGCTCAAATCATCCACCTCAGACCACCACTCGGGGTATGGCTTAGTGCTCGCATAAATCTCCGTGATCTGGCCCGGACGAATCGAACTCCCCCTCTGCTGTTGCTGCTGTTGTTGCTGTCTCCTACTACTCCCATTCCCACTACCAGCCCTCTGCCTATTCCTATGAACAGCCGAAACTGCTGAACCGGCGCCCAACAAACCAAACGGGGTAATAGGGTCGACGTGCACGATGTGCTCGCACGACTGCACCACAGCCTTGATCAGCGATGTCTTGCCAACACCACTATCCCCAGCAATCAACAACTTCAAGCGACCCATCCGCTTGCCATCGTCCGTGAACGGCCGACGACTCGGCATCTTGATACTCGGCATGACCAGCTGCGGCGCCGAACCACTGTCCATCATGGATGACTGGGTACTCGTCTCGCCGCTGACATTCACGCCGCCGAGAGCGTGTCCCTCCCGTCCACCACCATGTTCACCCACATACGCGTGCATGCTTTCCGCATCCTCATCCTCAACAGCAACATCATTGTCATTCATCTCGCTACGATTATCACCCCCATTCCCATCATTCGTGCTCGGCGGGCAACTCGCCAAGTCGTCGGATAAACACAGCGAATTACGACGCGACGAGACGCTGCTGAGCGCGGACGCGGGACCCGTCGAGCTGGGAAAAAGAACCGGTGTGAGCGGCTGGGATAGGCTCGGGGTATCGGCCGGTCGGGGGAAAGGGGAGGAAACATCGAAGTCATCGTGCCCATCATGCCCGTGTCTGTGGGCAAGGCGGTGAGGGTGGTCAACCACGGGGGCCTTGGAGGAGGAAGATGAGCTGGAAGGCCGCGCACTCGCGGTGGCGGCTTCTCTATCACGGTTGCGCTCAAAGTCGTGATGCGATGGCAGGCGCTGCTGCCGTCCGGGATGTTCAGCGCGCAGTGGTGGTGGTGGTGGAACTGCTGCTGGTGTTACGGGCTTGTGGTGGTCTTTCACGCGACGGTGCGGGGGTGCAGAGGGCCCCGGGTGATGTGGCGACGACGAGGAACTGATGGTGGACTCGTCGCCGAGGGAATAGGTCATCTGCGGCGCGCTTGGGAGTCGGAACGTCGAGAGCCCGTCGTCGTCCGAGGCGCGTGGACGCGCGTGGGCGTCGTCGCCGGGAAGCGGCCGCATTGTGGAAGGTAGGACGGATGACGAAGTGGGTTTCGGTTCTATTTTACATGCAAGGAGAAGAGGAGATAAGGGAAAAGGGAAACTGCTAGATGCAGCCAAAGTCGAAGCGCGTTCGTTCAAAACTGTATTGTCAAATTGTCAATCAAGACGTAGGACCGAGAATTCACGCTTCCTCAGGCGTCCCAAGTTTGATGTTGGGTTGCAACTCTCCCAACAAATGATGCCAAGTTCGTTCCCGGAATAGCACGACATTGGAAGTCTGAAGGGGGGGAGAGTCTCAACCAAGTCGGGAAGGACGGGAGGTCACACACACCCGTCATCCAGACCAATCGATGGCCCCAAAAGGGAATGAGGGGCAGTCACGCAGCACGAAGGGTCCCATGCGGTCAGTTAGCGTCGATAAGCGGGTACAATATAACCGTGCCATTTTCCCATGTCTTTCTTGGTACTGCGCTATTGTTGACTGGAGGGCCCCGCCCAATGATGACATGGTTTGGGAGCCGGCGAGCTAGGATGCTTGCAGCGGTGATCGCTCGGATCCGTCCCCCGTCTTGCCCGCTAATACCTCTTTGGGCTTTTTCCTCAACAAGACACCGCTGACGGTTCTTCAACTCCGCTGGGCATTGAATGTCAACGCGTCTTATTATGTCATACTGTACTCAGAGATAAGAACTACTCTCACTTGCTACATAATAAACATCGTTCGATATGGCCGGCAAAAGAAACGCCTAGAAATAGTTGCCACCACTTTGGACTACCTAACTTGAGATAGACGCGTGGAGGGAACAAGAGATGATGCATGACTTCAAAGTCACGGGATGGCTGGGAGCGAAACAGCAGCGCGACATGAAGTTGCGCTACTCGCTCCCGTGGTGGAGAACCTGCAGGCGTCGTCCCAACCATTGCAGCTTGGCCGCGGTGAGTGGCTATTGTGTGTTTGCATGACGAGTGGACATATCAGTCGAAATATCGCCTCGCGAATGCTAGGTATCTTGAAAAGGGAAGCAGGTATCTCAGGTGTCAGAGCGGAATTGTGATTTCTGTTAGATTTAACTGATCGCAGAGTTGCAAAGTGCTTGTCTTCGCAAGATATGCGGTGTAAGCAAGCCGAGTTACCAAATGCAGAAGGCAATCATCCCATGTCAAACTTCCTGGGTAACGGCCTCGCTTGAGATCCGTCCATCACGGCATGTTTCCTTGCAAACCTAGCAACTGATGATTGACCCCACGGGTAGTCAAATGCATTCTTCGTACAATACATGCGCCGTCATCAATGCATATTATCATCGAGTCCAGTCCATATCCCCGATCACAAGTAACTCCCCCCTTCCCCATGTTCTTTCTTAAGTCATCCCTTGCTATGTAGGTGCACCCCAGGGAATTATTTAGCTAAGGCAAGTAGGTAGTCAACCACTTTGCCCCCCTCCACGTTTAATCATCATCTCCCTTCCCTTCCCCAGTAGTCGCCAGATCAACAATCACCTCTCCCCTTCTCCCTTTCCGTCGACTATTCTTCCTCCTTTCCCTATCCTTCTCCCTATCTCTATCTCTGTCCCCCCTATCTCTATCCTTATCATCATCCCCTCTGTAACCACCACCAGTACCGTCTTCCCGATCCCGTGCCCTCTTGATCCCCGCTGCTGCTGCCGCCGCACCCGCAAACCCGGTTAGGCTAGCCATACGTCGTGTCTCGCGTAGGAGGCGCTCTCTATCGCGCGCTGCGCGCTCGGCGGCGTGCGCATCGACGGCAGGCGCGGGTGTAGATGAGGAGTGGTGGTTATGGCTGTGGTTGTGGTTGATGTTGTTGTTAGAGGAGGCGGTTGGTGCGGCAAATGAGGAGGATCGCCGGCTGCTGGTGTTGGTATTATCAAGTCCTTGGCTAGTCACCGCAGGCGCAGAGCCCCGGATTTCGAGGCCCATGTCGGCACCGGGTTGCTCAGCACTAGCATCGCCGCCTTCTGCAGGTGCCGCAGACGGGTCTGAGTTGGAATCGGCTTTGCTGCTGCGGTGGTGCCGGTCACGATCCTTATCACGGTCCCGACGGCTATCCCGATCCCGCTCTCTGTCCCGATCACGATGGCGCTCCTTCCTGTCCCTGTCCCTATCCCGGTCCCTATCGCGGTCTCGGTCCCTTTCCCGATGACGGTCACGGTCGCGGTCACGATCCCGGTCACGCGTCCTATCACGGTCCTTGTCCCGCTCCCGCTCCCGGTCTCTATCCTTATCCCTTTCCCTATCCCTATCCTTGTCCCGGTGTGAGCGATGCGACTTACGCCGGTGCTCGTCCCGGTCCTTATCCCGGTCCTTCTCACGATCCCTATCGCGATCTCTATCCCGGTCTCTATCCCTCTCTCGGCGCTTCTCCGGATCGCGGTCCTTGCGGCTACTGCGGTGACTACGCCGGGAATCATCGGCAGGTGGTGACGCCGATCGTGATCGCTCGTCCAGTGGTTGCTGCGGCTGCTCCTCGTCCTTGCGCGACTTGGATTCGCGGTCTTCATCAACGTATGACGAGTGCTTCCTGCGATGAGATGAGCGGTGATGACGGCGCTCCTCACCGTCTTCGGCCCCTTCCTCTTCCGCGCCGCGAGAGTACGACCGCTGGCGTCGACTACGTCGGTGTTCCTTCCGGCCGGGGCTACGACTGCGACTCCGACTTCCGGAATGCTCCCTATCCCGATCACGGGTCCGCTCACGGTGTCGGTCCCGGCCGCCGTGGGCACGGTCCCTGCTCCCGTCTCGGTACCGCTCGCTGTGATGTCGGTCACGGTGAGATCCATGGAGGGAGCTGCTCCGCGAGCGGCCGCGGTCGAACCCTGTTCCAGCGACACTGGTAGGCGTGGGCGGCTTGTTATGCTCATCCACCCATCCCCTCGCTTGCAGATGTTTGTAACTCGTGTTGGGGAGACCCTGCATCATGGCTTTGGGGCCCTTGGGCGCATTTATGGGTATGTCCGGGTTTGGTTGCACAGGGCCACCTTCTCCAACTTCAAAGCCTTCGTTTAGGCCCTGCTGGGCTGCAGGATCTAGGGCGCCTTGTCCTTCTTCGCCCTGTCCTTGCTCACCGCCAGCACCGGCATCACCTGTCTCCTGTGCTGTATCATCCCGGAGGGCACGTCCGAACTCGTCAACATTCTCACCCGCGGCACTGGCACTGGCGTCTCCGCCGGTTTGCTGATCCATCTGGCCGTTGCCGTTTTGGTACTGTTGTTGCCCATCATAGCTTTGGTCATGCCAGTTGTTGTGGCCGCCGTATCCCTGCTGGTATCCTCCTCCACGGCCATAGCCGTATCCGTAACCACGACCTCGTCCTCTACCGCCGCGGAACCCGTACTGATTCCGGCGATAGTCATTGAACTGGTTTTGGTGGCCATAATTACCTTGATTGTATCCTGTCTGGAAGCCAGAGTTAAACGAGCCATAATCACCATTGCCCATGCCAGAAGCGCTTGGATGATTGAAATTATCTGGGCCGACATTCCATGATTGCTGCTGCCCGTTCCAGTTATCGGTTTCGCCCCCGTAGCCACCCATGCCCATATTCATGTTCATGCCGTTCATGCCCATGCCTTGAAACCCTCCATTCATGTACATCTGCATCGACATCGGGTCCATGTTCATGCCTGGCATGCCTGCAAAGGAACACGTTAGCGGGAATTATGATGAGCGAGGAAACAAGTAGAACAACGCACCCATCATAGGAAAATTGCCAAATCCATTTTGCATGGCCATCATCATCTGTATCTGGTCGAATCCAGGAGTGAATCCACCAGCTGCCGAAAATGTGCCGCTTGCACCGCCTTCAGTTTGAACAGGGCCGGGCCCTTCGGGGTTGACTTCTGTCACGCCATTCTCGTCGTCTTGCCCGGCCTCTCCGTCGTTGCCACCTTGGACAACCTCGGAGCCCTGTTGGGCAGGGACCAGTTCGGTCGAGGTATTCACTTCGCCTTCGCCGTCCGCAGGCCCGTTCTCGGGTTGTTCCTAGTTTTGGTCAATCATCGTAGCTCAACGTAATAGCGAAAGTGACGTACCGTATCATCAGCAGTCTTCCCAGCCGTAACACGCTGATCCTCTTCAACGCCAAAACCTCTGCCTCCCTGATCCTCCCAACGAGCCTCCACGCTCACATCCTGTGTCTCCGTCCCAGTAGCACCCCCATTCGCCTCGCCAGCCCCAACCCCCTCTTCAGCAGCCGCAACAACCGGAGCGAGTTCAGCAGGAAACCCCGCCGGCGCAACCGCCGACACAGGACTCGGCTCCACAGGCGTAATCGGAGCACTCCCAGAAACACCCCCTCCTCCTCCTGCTGCTACTTCCTTCGGCCGGCTCGACTCGCGCTTCTTCTCCTCCGTCCGCAAAAACACCCGAATCGTCGTGCGCAGCGCTTTATGCGGCTTGCAGTCGTCGGCCGAGAGCGGGGCGTGCTCACACACGGGACACGAGGCGGGCAGCGTGGCCTGGCAGCCCTCGCAGATGGCTTGCTCGCAGCAGGGCAGGCGGAACGCGTTGACGGCGAGACTACTGCAGATGGCGCAGCGCAGCTTGGCGGGGATGTCGTCTTGCGACAGGGAGCTGTTGTATGATACCAAAGGGTTAGGAAATCTGTGAGCTACCTGGAAGGAAGAGGGGAACATCAGTTGCAGCGCGCTGCCTTACCTGATCAGCTCAGCCTGCGCTTCTGTGAGAGCTAATGAAGCCGCCATTTTCGCGCTGGATTTGCCGGGATGCGCGGGACGACACCCAAAACGAACGTAAGAGAGGATTATGAAGTCGAACGCATCGAGAACTGCGGAAATCGCCGAAATGTGGTGGCTGGAGGAGTGAAAAATGTGGAAACTGTTGAAAGTGCTGGCAGCCGTCGGTTACCGGTCGAAGAAAAATCGTCAGGTGTTAATGGAACCCGGTCGGATAAAGCCGGTCGTAAACGGCCGTTGTGGCGGTTAGGAAACCACCCGGAACAAAGACCTTGTTTCGTCCCCCGTGGAAAGTGTTCGAAATTGGCGCGTGGTCGGTATTTGACGTGGCGACGGTCGTTCCTCGCGTTCTTGTTTCGACTTGGAGCGAAAATTCGGGGCGGGTCGTCCACCGCACGTGCGAGGTGGCCTGGGCAGATACAGTGCGGTGGGCTATCAACACCGTTATCTTACCGCAGATCTGGCGGCAGTTGCACTGTTCATCACACTGTATTCACGGCTCGCCGGGACGGCAGGTTCCCTCGCGATATGAATGAGCTCGTCGATGCTTCGAGTCATCGCCGTAACCCAATGGCAACTAATTGTAATATCCTGCCATATTTTCCCCGTGTTTTGCTTCACTTCAGAATGCGGTGCGTAGGGGAGGACAGTGAGAGGTGCCGTAATGGAAGAATTAAACTGGATAGAATAAATGAGGACTAAAAAGCACGAATTACTCCTGGTTGACCTGCCCAATATGACCGACCACTCCAATAGACCATGTAATGATACCGAACATGAGCACGCTCAATCCCAACTCTTCACCCCTCTTACTCCCCTCTCTCTCCTTCTATCTCTCCCTTCTTCCAAATATAATATCCTACCCTATCCTACGCACTAACAAACGTCCTCAGCAGGCACAGCTATCCTTAGCCTCAGCGTCCCGGGGCCCATTGAGGTTCACCCTCTGCTCCTCCGTCCGGCCAGCCGCATGCGACGCCCCCGGCCCACGGGCCGTCTTCAGCGAGGTTTCCGGAATAGCGTTGGCAATCGCAGTGAACACCTCGGTAACATTGTACCCGGTCTTGGCACTAGTCTCAAAGAAAAGCAACCCCTCCTCTTCCGCATACCCCTTCGCCTCCTCAGTAGAAATCTTGCGAGCGTCGCCCGAATCCTCCCCGCCGTCCTCCCCGCTACCGTCGGCGGCATCCCCGGCCCCGTCGCTCGTCAGATCGAGCTTGTTGCCGACCAGGGCGATGACGATGCCCGGCGAGGCCTGTCGTTGCAGCTCGGCGACCCAGTGCTTGGCTTTGATGAGGGAGGTCGGTTTCGTCAGGTCGTAAACGACTAGCGCGGCTTGGGCGTTGCGGTAGTACATGGGCGCGAGGGAGGCGAAGCGCTCTTGGCCGGCGGTATCCCAGATTTCGAACTTGATGGTGCGCGTCGGAAGGTTGCATTTTTGGGTTAGGAAGGCGGCTAAACGGACAGAGTCAGAAAGCGGAGGGCTTCTGGGAGGGCCAAGAGGGGGGCGGTTGGGGGGCTAGATGTTGAACGTACCGCCTATTGTTGGCTCCTTGTTCTCTTGGAAGTCGTTGTTCACAAATCGAAGCACGAGAGAAGACTATAGCAGGGGCTATGTTAGTGTTGATGCGGGCAGTTGGAGTGGTTGGAGAAGACCGACTTTGCCGACGGCAGCTTCACCGAGCAGCACCAGCTTGACGCTGCTGCTGGGTTTGGGAAGATTCGAGTCCGCCATCGTAGCTGATTCCGTGTTTCGAAGCGTGCGCTTGGTCGGGTCAAATTCGAAATGGTCGTCGCGGAAGTCCGCGATGGGTGGTTCTTTCTGCGGGAGACTGGTTTGCGTGCCTGCGTGCGTGTTCCGTTTGAGATGGAGAGTGACGTGATAGGCAGATGCTGAGTGCAAGGACAGAACCGGGATGAATGCGACGACATCTCGAACCAACGCCAGGCCGAGAAAGGCTAGCGTTCCAAGTCCAGGATTCCGGCTGCATGGCACGTGCCGTGCCAGCCGTCGGCCTTTGTCTCCCAGGTGCCCAGGTGCTCAGAGCCCACTGCTGCCCCACTAAAAAGTTCAGAAGCCCGTCAAAAGTTCGACCTTTTTTTCCTCCAGGACCCTGCATCACCTCGAAAACTTACCCTTCTTGCGCTTTCCGCCAGCGTCATTGGGTCCGAGGATCGCATAGAAATTTTCAACATGGCGTCAACCTCCGCGAAAAGCGCAAAGGGCGCCGGCCCGGGTGAAAAGAAAATTGTGCCCAAGAAGGGTATCTTCGACGACTCTTCGAGCAGCGACGACGACCAGGACGATGGCGGCGCGACGCTAGGCTCCTCGGCAGAGTTGAAGATCAATGCAGAGTATGCCCGGCGTTTCGAGCACAACAAGAAGCGGGAAGAGCTCCACCGGCTGCAGGAGAAGTACAAGCCGGGCGGCGCGGGCGAAGAGGAATCCGAATCGTCGTCTGATGAAAGCGAGGACGACGAGGCCGTGCTGGCTACCGAGGACCTGGACGCCGAGATCTCGGCTACTCTGGCGGCTATCAAGAACAAGGATCCCCGAATCTATGACAAAGAGGCCGTCTTCTACAAGCCTTTCGACCCCGCCGCGGAGCCGACGACGACGAAGGAGGACAAGCCCATGTTCCTGCGCGACTACCACCGGGAGCGGTATTTGAGCGGCGATGTTGGCGCTGACGATGACAGTGCCGGCGGAGCCGACGTGCCCCGCACTTACAACCAGGAGCAAGCCGACATCAAGAAGTCGATCCTCTCCGAGATCAGTGCGGCCGCGGCAGCCGCAGCCGAAGACGACGACGAAGAAGAGTGGAGCGACGACGATGCCTTCATCAAGCCCGTCAAGAAAGACAATGCGCCTGTCTCCAACGGCATCCACCCTTCGCGCGCAGCCAACCTCAAGCTCACCGAGGCCGACGTCGTCAATGCCGACCGAGACCCGGAGGACTATCTGTCCAAGTTCATGGCATCCAAGGCCTGGGCGCCGGAGGGGGCTGGCTCGAAGTGGCAAGCATTCGAATCCGATGAAGGGGAGGATGCGGACGATGTGGCTGACGAGTTCGAGCATGCCTATAATATGCGATTCGAGGACCCTACCAAGAGCAACGAGTTCCTGAAGACGTACTCGAGAAACATGGCCGCGGCGCGCTCGGCGAGAAAGGAAGAACTGACCGGCAGGAAGAAGCAGAGAGCGCTCGAGAAGGAACGGAAAGAGGCCGAGAAGAAGGAGCGTGAGGCCGAACGGGCCCGTCTGCGGCGTCTCAAGATCGAGGAGGCATCCGACAAACTCGCCAAGATCAAGAAGGCCGCCGGCATGAGCGGCAAGAACCTGACGGAAGAGGAGTGGATGAAGTTTCTGGAGGACGGCTGGGACGACGACAAGTGGGAGGAGGAGATGCAAAAGCGGTTCAACGATGACTACTACGCCGAGGCAGACGATATGTCTCTAGACGAGGATGAGGGCGAAGACGATGAAGAGACGGACAAGAAAAAGACAAAGAAGCCCAAAAAGCCCAAGTGGGACGACGACATCGACATCAACGACATCATCCCGGACTTCGAGGACGACGCCAAGCCTGCGGTGTCCCTCACAGACGACGAAGCCGACGAGGCACAACCCGGGGCAGACTCAGACCAAGACGACCAGGAAGACGACGACGAACGTCCCGCCAAGAAGCGCAAAACAGCCAAGGACATCAAAAACGAGCGCATCGCGGCCAAGCGCCAGGCCCGCGCCGACCTCGCCAAGATTGAAGCCCTCGTCGACACCAAGATGGAACTCGACAACCCTCGGGCCCTCCAACAACCCAAGGGCTCCTCCTCCTCTCAAGCCAAAGCTAAAGCCACCACCGGCTTCCGTTACCGCGAAACTTCCCCGCAATCCTTCGGCCTCACGGCCCGCGACATCCTCCTTGCCCCGTCAGACTCTGCGCTCAACGAGTTCGCAGGACTCAAGAAACTAGCCACCTTCCGCGACGCGGAGAAGAAGCGGAAGGACAAGAAGCGGCTGGGTAAGAAAGCGCGGCTGCGGGAGTGGCGGCGCGAGACGTTTGGTCGTCGGTTTGAGGAGAGCGGGCCGACGTATGGGTTTGAGAAGCTTGTTGGTGACGGCGAGGAACGGGGTAGTGGAAGGAGGACGGCTGGGAGTGGAGCAAATGCTGTGCCGGCGGGTGGGAAAACCAAGGAAACAGGTAAAGCGGCCGAGGCAAAGGGCGGGATTGTGGAAGGGGAGAGGAAGAAGAAGAGGAAGAGGCCGAAGAAGAGTAAGAAGGCTGTTGAAGCGGAAGAGTGAACTGAGGGATTGGTATCTGTGGGGCTGTGTCGCTCCCGGGTTCCTGGGCGTTGGTGGTTTTGTGTATCTTTACTTATGTTTGGGTTCTGATCAAAATACTGTGATTAATTATTCATTTAGCATCATGTTCTCTCGTGACATTTAATTCCTCTAGGTAGTCCCGTTTCCTCGTGCAAACCTTCAAGCCTGCAAAACGCCATCCTTGAATTACACACTTTTTGCACCGGAGACATCTACTAATAACACACTATCATCATAATTCATCAGGAACATGAAAACAAAAATGAATGACATAAGAAATACAAAAAAGCTCACTACCAAGCGCCTATCTCCATCCGGAGGGATAGCGGTTGGTGGCTACGAAAATCTTTCCGGTGAAAGATTTTTCTTCGCTGGCCCTGGGAATCGAACCCAGGGCCACTTCGATTTACGGCGGCACCGGCGATGCTCCTCCCAATGCCGCTGGGCCAAACACGCTGTTTGGCACATTGGGAGGAGCTGGTGACAGGAGCAGCGAGCAGCGGACTTATATGGTGTGGTTGGGAGTTGGGAGGGAAGGAAGGTGTGGAAGGGGGGTGAAGCTGCTCCACTTGGGAAAAATCCGGTACTCCCCATAGACATTACTTTCCATTCTGCGAATGTTTAGCAAGTAGCTGCGTACAATGAGCCTGGGCTGAATTTATGTCTGGCGAGGGGTCAACGCCGTGGCTACTTCAAGAGAGGAATGAAGCCAAGATGCACATATAGTGTGGAAAGGATTAAGGAGGTGTCTTGGGAAACAGCCGGCCATCGCTTGGGGATTGACAACGACGCTCGGAAGCAAAAGGCAATATCTGCCACCGGGGGGTTGGGTTCAAAAATAAGTGAGGAGGCGTGCGGTGAACTTTACTGGGAAGGACAGTCGCACTCAGCCCACCATGAAGGAAACCTCGAAGACTCCTTTGCGCCGGTCCGTTCCTTTTACTATTCCTGTGGAAGGCTTGATGCTAACCTTTGTCCGCGCTTGATAAGCAGTTTATGAGTATGTAACATGGGCCCAACAGCACGGTTGAGCTTTTTCCCGCTCCGAATATAAAGTCAAGTTCGGACGTCAACTATATGCCAACCTGCTCATCCACTCAAATTCGGTAGGAGGAATAACTAAGTCGGCGAGAAAGGCGAAACTGTCATCCCTATCATAGGTTCCGAGGGTTAGGACACATATATACTCTTATTCCTGGTTCAATTCTACTGACATTAACAGGAACTGACACAGAACCTCCGAGATTACAAGCCGTCTTCGAACTAGCACTAGTTGGAAGGGTTCCCTTGAGACTTGATCAGTCTGGCGTCATATTTTGTGTATGGGTGACCAAAATTTAGACCCCTGGTGTCAACTTCCTTCTTTAATGCGCAAAAAAAGAGCGCCTTGTGAGGAAAGCCCTTCGCCAGAATACAGTCAAGCATGGCCGCAATTGTGAAAGATAGGGTGGCAGTCCCATCCACAAATAAATGTAACGGAGTAGCTTTCTCATATGTCTCATTGTATGTCCTTCAAGTCGGCAGCGATAATTGGAACCTTCTAATCGGGGATTTCGCGTCTTTTTGTTTATATTTTAGCTCAACCGGTGTCCATAAGCTGAGAATAAGGAGCTGTGTTTACTTTCCACGCGCTGGCAACAGGAGAAATAATAAATAAAAGGAGACTTGGGCATTAAACTACAGCCCTCTGCTCACAGCCCTCCATTAGCAGTGATGTAAACTGGGTCAAGAACCCCGTCTCTTTGCATGAAGATGTTCATTTCCCAAGTTGAATCCTAGATGCCACAACTGATGGGATCATCACGAATACAGGAGACATATCCCCTCGGTCTCGCAAACAGCCATCCAACTCACAAGCTCACATGCCACTCCTCTCACCGAGATAGCCAACCCTCGGTTGACATGACCAAGCGCCAGACGGGGCGTGAGACTACAAGTATGCCTGTCTACTATTACCTGCCTGTCCTTTCTGTGTGCAGCGATGTCGCCACAATATACACCCGACACATGATCCAACTTAATGTCGGTATGTTAAGCCGAGCTTTGATTGCGACCCTCCGGTCAGCAATATTACCCTATTGGCTACCGGGCTGTCGAAGCCTTGGAAACCCGCTTCTCTTCTTTTTTTCCCTTTTTCTATCCCTCGAAGGGATGTAACCTTAGAACGGCAAAGGGGGAGAAGGATGGGGGGGGTCAAAATGAAGCGGGGGCGGCTGGGCAGGTGCACTTTGTGGTTGACTGGTTGTCGTACGATGGCAGTGTAGTGGTGATAAAATCTCCGTTCGCCAAAGGTGGAAAGGTGTCGTAAACTGAGATGCGTGGTTTGCGTCGATGATGACATTCTTATAGTCTGACGAGGAATAAAGTAATGACGCCGGGACTTTTGTGGGCGGAAAGTGGCCTGTTTTAGTACACTAGCCCACCTTTCCTCACTATCACTCGCTGCCTCCCTGCCTCCGATTCCCGTTGTTCGGACCTGTTTGGAGATGGGCTCTAGCCTGAACTTGGCTGCTTTTGTTGGGGGCGGGACCGTGGGTTTGTGCTTAAATGAACGTCGCACCGAAGATGGCCGAAAGAAGCAGGTCGAGAGTCGAGGTAAATTCGGGGTCTGAAACTAAACATGGGGGTGTGCCAATATTTTGGATGAGAGAATAGAGTTTTTGGTTCCAAGAAAACAGACCCCGCATCACCATCGGAATTCCCGTTGAACGGGGTTTGGGCATCCAATCGGAGGTGAAGGGTTTCTCGGACCGTTTCTGGCAGTCGGAGACATCTTGATCCCTTAACGTTAGTCCATGGAAGGCTAGTTGACTGGGAAGGGTTACCTGGGGGCTGGAATAAGTCGTGATGACTGCGTGTGACTCTGTATTATGCTCCTGCTAGGGCATAGCTCCCCGGCCATCGTGTTGGTGGCTCGAAAGAAGCGCTAATGATGCCTGATTGTGGAGAACGAGGTATCATGTGTCTCATGGAGGATCGAACTAGGTATTGCCTCAGACTAACTTAAGGTACCTATGAAGGGGTTGATCATCTTATGACGAGGCTCACTTGTATATAAATAGTGATTGATCGTTTCTTGGCCACCCTGGCAACAAAATAGTGTAGTGTAGTGAAGGTGTTCGTTCATGAGTATCACCGCTCCACGTCGGACTCGCCGCTTCACGGATCTGGCCTGACAGTGGTTGGGAGTGATGAAGCTACGGGGGTGTGGGAGCACTCGCCTTTGGCTCGACCCCTTCCCGAGTGCAATAGCTCATGCACACAGTATTTGATAGCCTGCTTTGTTTTTCAGTGTTCACAACCTCCGATGCATGCAAAGCAGCGGGTGTCAATGCACTAGCGGTAAATACCCCTTTCGACCGAGGCGGATAAGTCTTGGAGGCACAGGTCAATCTGTAGATGCGGACGCTGGAAAGGCAAGACGGATCGAATCGAGCCGTGGGAACCGCCGATTGCAGCCGGGTTCGGGGTCGCACCATGCGGTGCTTGCGGGTCATGTGGGACCACAGCGCCCAAGATGGTCGAAAAGGCGACGAGACCTCTTCCGTTCAGTCTCCTTTGTTGTATCGTGGTCCTCGAAACCCGAGATTGCTTGCAGTGCCGAGGATTCGGAGAATGTGCTACGACCGGGAAATGGCATTGTCGGAGCTTTCCAGTGCCGGAATTAACTACATACTATGTAGTATGGCTTCTTGGTTGGTGTCGTCTAGCCTTTGGCCCGGCTCTGTCTCTCATCTTGGTTCATGACCTCGAGGGGATGCGTCGAATTTAGAAAGTGTGGAGAAGCGGGGCATGCTCCCTGCAGGATGGAAAAAAGCCGACAGGATCACCTACCATCCAGCATTCTGCCAATGACTGCACTGCATGGGCGAAATGTTTGAGAAACGTGTTTTTGGGGCGGATTGGGCGACGAATTCTCCTTGTGGGGCGGGCTGAGAAAATGGTTGTCCGTCTCGGAGTGTGCGGATGGCCCCTTCCGTTTCTGGACATCAGTTCGTCTTTGATTCTTCCCAATTTGAACTTTTTAGCAGGGTTGTTCCTGCTTTGCCTAACTAAGAGAGCATTCCACTCAGATTCTACGGATGCTATCACACTACCTAGTCCTACGTCTTCATCCTGTCACCAATATACACCGAATGCGTGGTTGATTGCTTCCATCGTTGACCGAGGGGTGATCACCGGTTGACAAAGCACTCACGAATCCTAACCCCTGTCGGCCTCCTCGACGCCGCTCCGGTCCGCCCCCGCAAATTCAACATTCCGCCAACGCCAAGGATCTGCCAAATGATGGTCACGAATCCACCCGAGCCTCAAACGGTCCAAACAGCGGGATTGCAGGGAAACGGGCGAAACAAGACGCCACGGCGTCCGATTGACTCAGTGTCAACGCCCGCACCCTGTCCTCTTCCGAGACATCACCAATTCCCAGAGCGTGAAGATATCACAAGCACCCGTAAATACACAGTACACGTAGGTACAATGAAGGCAGCGACAGAGGCAGGTTTGGCCCGATATTACGGCGGATTCTCGGGGTTCACCGTCGCTCATATAATTACATCCGGGGCCCCTGCATGTTTGCGCGCCAGTAACGTTCAACGCTCATGCGCTTCACTTTGCCAGGCCCTCCAACGCCTCGAAAAGGGGAGACAAGCTCGTGCGCAACGCAGCGCGAAACGGGGACATGGAAGAAGAACCGAATTCTTCCCTGTCGAATGGATCGCCAACATCGCCAGGGCTCTTTAAGAGTCTCGATGGCTTGCCTCGAGCTTACCTCACCGGCACACAATGCAGTCCCCCCTCCCTGTCCTGATGCAGCCAAGTCGCATGCATGGAACAATGTGGCTGCTGCATGTTCTTCCAAACGAGACAGCGCTGAGGGGTCCATTTGCGACCCTGGTTTGTCTCTCCTTTCCCCATCGCGGTGAATTCAAAGGGGGATAGGGAAAAGAGAAGGATAGATTGAGGAGAGGGCACGCGCCCAGAGGATCCATCACTTCTTGGCCGCGGGCCAATCTATTACGCCCATGGACTGAATCTGTACCAACCTTAATTCCTTGTTCTTCCTAGCCTTGACGTCTGTTCTCACAGGCTTAGATTGCCGCATACTATGTACACCTCGCCTCTTCTATGGTACGGGTAGGCCAAGACCGCACTCAGTTTGGTTTCCGCCGTTTTCCGTTGCCTCCAACGCTTCTTCTTTCCCTCTTTTCCTACTGCGCACACAATCCCATATTATTGAGGTTCCGAGTGCCAGCAACGGAGATCTGCTTTGGGAATTGGGATCGTAGTATGTAGACCACGCACATAGCGGAGATCGGGTGAATTCCGGAAGTGCGAATCCCATTGTTCCCTGTTCTCCCTGTGCCGCCGGATGGAGTCGCCTCCCCGGAGGGCCCAGAAAGAACGACCGGGATGTTACCCCACAGTTGAACCACGCGAAAAAAAGACCTCTCAAGGCTAGCCTCTTTGCCTCGTAAAGGTCCATCATCGCTGCGGGTGGTCCACCAGAAAGGGAGGGTCGGAGTTGGCCCCAGTTCGCCTCCCCCTCTGTGCCTCTTCCCCAAACCTTCAATTTTTGGAGACGAACAGAAGAACGCCCTTCGGTCTTTTGAAGGAACACGAAGAGGAGTCGAGAGAGTTGACGTGTCTCGTCTTGTCGTTGACGCGCTCGTCGCAGCTTGTGCTTCGCCCGACTTATTTTCCCTCACTGACGCTCATTTCACTCGGGATTTTGCGAGAGAGGGAGACGGACGATGGGATACCCCCATGTGACGCCCTCGCGACGCTCTTAAACAGACCAGCCGGATCGAGTGGAGAAGCTTGTGTTTCGGGGACTGCTTACCTATTGTGTGGGGTGATTTTGACATCGTCGCGTTTCCTCTTCGTTGCTCGTTTCGTTAGTTGTTGTCTGTCAAGACGCGACTGGACTGTTTGGAGGGTTGGTTGTCGGACTCCGGCTCTCTGCGCCACCGTCTCGCCATGTCACCAAGCGACACCAAGACCGACAACCTCCAAGGATTCACCGCCACCGAACTATCATTCCCCCCTTCTGCGGGCGATTCCGATGCCCACCTAGCCCACACGGACATCCAACTAGACGGCCCAGGCGAAACGTTGGATAGCATCACAGCCGCCGGCAGCATGGCAGACACGGCGACCTTCGGCGACTTTCAGTTCGCATACCAGGAGGCGCTGCAAGGCTCGCCCATGAACGGCCTGCCGCCTACCTTTGACGACCACACCCAAGATGTCTTCACAACACCGCAACCACCCTCGATATCGCCGATGCGCGACCCCCAGGACTCGGCGGGGGGCTCGATCACCGTCCACCCGTCCGCCTACGCCAGTGCCAATGGCCACCCTCACAGCCCCGACGCTTCCGACGACGGCACACCAGACAGCCACACGAACGGCTCCAACCTGCTCGACGACCCCCTAGCGGATGAATTCGGCCTCGCAACAAGCGGGGGCGGGGGCGGGTTAGGCGGAGATGGGACAGACCCAGACGGGAAAAGGGGAGAAAAATCCGATGCAGCACCGGCATGGAGCGAACTCAAGACGAAGGCGGGCAAAGAACGCAAGCGGCTGCCCCTGGCCTGCATCGCCTGCCGGCGCAAGAAGATCCGCTGCTCAGGCGAGAAACCGGCATGCAAGCACTGCCTGCGGTCGCGGATCCCATGCGTGTACAAGGTCACAGCGCGGAAAGCAGCGCCGCGGACGGATTACATGGCCATGCTGGACAAGCGGTTGAAGCGGATGGAGGAGCGCATCATCAAGGTCGTGCCCAAGGCTGAACAGGACGCCATGTCGGCGTCGGTGACCCGGGCCGTGGTCAAGCCTGCGATTCCGGGGACGCTGTCGTCTGCGGGGGGCGGGAAGAATGCCGCTGCGAAGAAGAGGGGTGCGGACGAGGCGTTTGGTGCGGATTTGGAGCACTGGGCTCGCGCGCCGTCGAAGTCGAAATTGGATGGGCCGAATAAACCGTCGACTATTCTTGTGCAGGAGGAGGAGGAGAGTAAGCTGCTGTTGGAGGGCGGTGATGCGTTGCCGTCTAAGGATATTCAGGAGCACCTGGCTGAGGTTTTTTTTGAGAACCTTTATGGCCAAGCGTATCATCTGCTGCACAAACCCAGCTTTATGAGGAAACTCAAGTATGTCTATCCCCGATCCCTTTTCTCTTTGTCTTCGTCCTCCCTTTCTTTTCCTCTCTCATCTCTTTCGGTCTTGACATGGGCTAACGTGAATGCAGGGCCGGCGCACTCCCACCCGTCCTCATCCTTTCCGTGTGCGCTATCGCAGCGCGCTTCTCGAACCACCCGAAGCTCAACACCAACCCCAACTTCCTCCGAGGGGAAGAGTGGGCGTCCACGGCGCGCGATATCCTGACGAAGCGATACGAGTGGCCAAACATCACGATCTTGACATGCCTGCTTATCCTCGGTCTACACGAGTTCGGGACGTGCCACGGCGGGCGGAGCTGGTCGTTGGGCGGGCAGGCCATCCGCATGGCCTTTGCCCTGCAACTGCACAAGGACTTGGAGCACGACCCGCTGCGAATACCGGGGAAAACGCAACTTAGCTTCATCGACCGCGAGATCCGCCGGCGGACGATGTGGGCGTGTTTCCTGATGGACCGATTCAACTCGTCCGGGACGGACCGGCCGACGTTCATCCGCGAGGAAACGCTCAAGATCCCGCTGCCGATCAAGGACAAGAACTTCCAGTACGACTTGCAGGGCCCCACGGAAACGCTCGACGGCCAAGTCCTGGAACCGCTCCCCGAGGGCCACGGAAGCAGTGACGCGAAGGAGAACATGGGCGTAGCCGCGTGGATGATCAAGGCCATCGCGCTGTGGGGGCGCATCATCAACTACCTGAGCCAGGGCGGCAAGGAACTAGATCCGCACCCGATGTGGAGCGCCGAGTCCGGATACACAAAGCTGCTCAAGCAGACGGACGACTTCCTCTCCGAGCTACCCGAGTCGCTGGCGTACAACGCGGAGAACCTGAAGCTGCACGAGACGGACAACATGGCCAACCAGTTTCTTTTCCTGCATATCTCGATTCAGCAGAATATCCTGTTTATGAACCGGTTTGCTGTCTCTTCGCCCAGCGGGCACGCGCTGCAGGATGTTCCCAAAGCCTTTGTGACCAAGGCCGGGGCCAAAGCCTTTGCGGCTGCGAACCGGATCTCGGAGCTGCTCAAGGACGCCGAGTCGCACTTTATCACAGCACCCTTTACCGGGTACTGCGCATTTCTGTCGAGCACCGTCCACATCTTCGGCATCTTCTCAGGGAACCCGGCGATGGAAGCGACGTCGAAGCGGAACTTGGCGACCAACGTCCGGTTCCTGTCCAAGATGCGACGGTACTGGGGCATGTTCCACTGGATGTCAGAGAACCTCCGGGAACAATACCGCACCTGCGCCGACGCCGCGCGACAGGGCAACCCAGCGAGTGAGAGCGCGGCCTCGCCCATCTTTCAATATGGCGACTGGTTCGACCGGTATCCGCACGGCGTGTCACAGCACGACTTCCTCGACCCGGCCACGTACAAGAAGAAGGAAAAGGGGGAGGACGCCGTGCTCGAGCAGAAGCCGGAGCTACACACCGTGGAGGAGTTCTTCACCACGCTATCTCCGAAGAGCGCTGAAAACGCTGCTAACTTGGCCACTAACAACAACGGGTCCTCTCGTCCAGGCCAACAACAACAATCACAACAACCACCACACCCCACCTCAGCCCCATCAAAACGCAAATCCATCGTCCGCAAAGCGAGCATGACCTCCCGCAGCGGCGGCACCGACCACCAAGGCCTCGAACCCCTCCAAACCGACTTCGCCCGCGCCACAGCCGAACAACTCCAAGCCGTCCGCCTCCGCCAGCGCTCCTTCTCCACCAGCAACGGCACCGGCAACCCCAACACCAACGGCACCAACGCGCCCACCAGCGCCCCCAGCGCATCCTCCTTCAACCCGCTCTCCTCAGGCGGCGCCTCAGCCTACCACGCAGCCGCCCTATCCCCCGTCTCCCCCGTCACCTTCTCCCACTCCCACTCCGGACACCCCCACGCCTCCCCCCACCAATCCTTCTTCCCCCCAGACCCCTTCACCATGCCCGCCCTCGCCGCCGCGCACGGCGGTATGTCCCGTCTCGACCGCCAACTCGTCTTCGGCGCCTACGGCGGCCACTCCCACGCCATCGACCACCCTTCTCTCGCCGGAGCCGCCGGCACCGGCGGATGGAACGACGGACTCAGTCCGGCGGCGGCGGCTGCTGCTGCTGCTGCTGCTGCGGCCGCTGCCCACGGCTACCCACCCCACGGCCGGCACCATCACCCCCATGCTGCCGCGCTTCATAGTCCACATAGCCATCTCGGCGTCCACCACCCCGGCCATCCGGGCGCTGGAGCGCAACAACATCCCGGAGGCGGCCACCCCGGCCACGCCGGACATGCTGGGCACGGTCTAGGCCACGGACCGGGAGGACACCCAGCAGACGCGGCGTTGCACGCGGCGTTTGGGGAACCGACGTCGGCGTGGTTTATGCCGTTTAATATGGAGCCGCCGGAGTTGGGGCCGGAGGGGTTGGGGGTTGGTGGTGGGGGGTTGGGGGGAGGGTTGGATGGGTTTGGGGGGATGTTTGGGGTTGGTGGGGGGGGAGGGGGGGCGGGAGGACGGTGAGGGAATGAGGGAAATGAAGGAGGCAGGGGAAGGGGAAACAGAGGGGAGAGGGAAGGGAGAGATAGTGGGGAAGAAGGGAAAAGGAGTTAGGCTGGGTATGCTGGTGGGATGGATAATGATATCATGGTTTTCGGGTGTTGGTTTTGGTTTTGGATGAGAGCGATGGGTTTGTTTGGTGTTGGTATATGGAGATGGAATGGATGGATTTACGGATGGATCTATGGATGCTTTACACAGTATGGAGGGACGGATCTAAGGCATGGCATCGAACCCTTTTGTATCATGTTTCTCCCCTTTTCAGCTCTTGGTTCTCGGTCCTTGGTTTGTTTTTAGCTTCTCAGTGTGATATCCTTTCTTTTACCTTTACTTACTCAAATGTGTACGAAACAAAATGATCAAATGGGTGGATGAACGAACTGGTCTAACTAACTGTTTTATATTTGTTTTTGTATATTTTATTGACGGGTGCTGGAATACCGTATTCGTGTCGTTCAACCGCCGCGGGGGGTATGTTATGGTTATGGCTGTGGAGGGCGAGGGCGGTACGGGCAAATGGAAGGGCGTTATCGCTGTTTTTAACTGTATGCGTTATGTCCAACTGTTTTGTTTAGGTAGGTGGATGTGAATCGGCGCGGGACAGCGGCTGAGGATGAAGAACATGAGGAAGCTCTTTGTAATCTAAGATGGGGAATTTCCTTGGTACGGCTTTGAGATCATACGCGCGAGTTCAACAACAGCGAGGTATGGGAAATTGAGTCTATATGGTTACTCACGGAGTTACTTACTCCCGGTGTGTTGATATCTTGTCGGGTTGATTACTCTGCACATGTTAGGAAATGCTGCTACTCGGACCGAAACTATCAGGCCCGTCTGTCTTTGAAACCCTAAGCGCGAGTTTGGAGTCGGACTACCAAAAGCTGTCACCATACGACTGGGTATTACAGCTCATCAGGTATGTACAATACCCCCCTGAGGAAGGCCCCGTCCGGCCGCGCGATCATGAAAAGAGCCGCAGACGTGACAGTTATCATGGATTGTTGGCGCTACGAGATATCAACGGCCGAGGAAGTTAGTATGCGGCTCAAGTTAAAGGTGGAGATGACCTTGAGAGTAGCAGATCTTTTCGCGTTGCTCCTCGAACGACGCTTGACGACATCCCTCGTAACAATAGTTTGAGACCTGATAATACCGCCTCCGGAAAAGCGATAAAAGGTAGAAATATTCGTTATCGTGATACCGATTTGACTAAGTCCGAACCGAACTACTTACACATCAATGGCTTCTGGCCACGGTTTCAGGCGTCGTCGATCTGCTTCGTACTACTGCCTTCCTTCGTGTAACCACCCGCGTGTAGTCGCCGTTTTCCTCTTCCCAAAAGCAATGTACTTTCTCTTAGGATTTGAGTTAGGTATCATTCACCCACCTTTGCGGCCCCTCGTCTATATCATTACTACAGTATGTAGAAGTTGAGGCAAGGTCCTCCGTGGGGTTGGCGGTTATTCCGGAGTCTCCTCTCCGGCTGATTCACACCAATGTCACCAAGCAAACTCGTGAAACACCAAAACCGTTCACGCACAAGGCGAAATTGGCCTCAATCCAAAAACAACCGCGCCGTTGCCACTGTATTTCCGCGCATAGCCTCCTTGCTGCACGGGCTTTTCCCAATGCGAAAAGACCGAACTCGCCAATTGGGGTCGCTGGACGCGGGTACCTAGCCTCGCATGGCCCGCAGCGGCACTGCCCGCTGTTGATCCTTCTAGGACTTTATGCGCCCACATACTACAGGTGTAGGCACCCGAATAAAACAAGAAAAAAAGGTAACATTTAGAAATCAAGCTTTCGCCAAGTTTTGAAAAGATGTGAACCTCAAAATGGTTCGGTTCCCTTAAAGAACCAACATCAACGGAGCGCAGACAAGGAGCGAGCGCATCAACAACACTTAGGTACGCCTCAAACCTACCAAAATGTCGTCTCCATGGAGCGAGCCCCTCGGCTCTCTCACGACGCTAGCCATGGACAACACCACCACCATCCTCCCTCGCTCCTCAAGCTGCCAGCTATCCCCCGCAGGGAGCGCATTCGCCGCCATCATCTCCGCCTTCGTCGGTTCCGTCATCAACGGCGTGACCAACGGCTGGTTCGTGGCTTTCATGACCGGCTGGATCGCCTGGCTCGCCATCTTTCGGGTCCTCCTAGCCGGTCTTTACATGCTATACCGCTCCGTGACCGATTCCTGGGGCCCGGGGCTGGGCCCGGGGTCGTCGGCCGGTGCGAATACGGCGGAGATGACCGGGTATGAAGGAGGTAGCAGTGGAAACGCACCACCAAGCTACCACCGCGTCTTCGCCCACGACGTCGAGAACGGCAACCCCCAACCACACAACGCGTGGCAGCCCATCCCCGATCTCCACACCATGCAGGCGGAACAGGCCCAGCAGTACAAAGCCAACCTCAAAGCCAACCTCTGGCCCAAAGCAGCCCTCGTCCGCTTACACCGACCCCAACCCCTCGCCACGGCACATCCCGGCATGAAGACCACCGGCCCCTTCCCCAACACCATCACCGACCTCGACCGCAACGTCACCGTGCTCGGCTGGTTCAGTCTAGCCTATACCGCCATCTGGGCGCCCATCACCCAGATTCTCTTCCTGCTCGCGCAGTACTCGCGGCACGACAACGGCGGGGCAAAGTTGGTCAAGGGACTGACCGTGGCTGTGTCGGCGCTGCCGTTGGGTGTGGACTGCCGGGTGCGGTATGCCGATGCGATGCCGTGGTCGTGGGCGAGACGGAGCGTGAATCTTGTGACGGCGTTGAGTGCGTTGTTGCAGGGTGCGATTTGCGCGGTGTTGTTGGTGACGGGGGTGATGGATTTGTTGAACCCGCCTGAGAAGGAGGAGGATCCTAACGATCCCTGGGCTGGGTTTCCGTCGTCTAGTCAGCCGACTATACCGGTGCCGGCGGTGGTGGTGCCGTATCTGGTGTTTGCGGTGATTTGGATGCTGGCGAGTTTTGCGATGCTGCCTATGAAGGATGGGGGGAGGATGGGGGCCGGGAAGAAGCATTGGGCGGGGTATATTTTAGATGTGGGTATGGGGTTGTTTGCGGGCGTGTTCTTGGCCGCGCCGGCGTTTGCGTTGATGTCCAACGCAACGTTTGCGACTGACTCGAGTGGGTGGGGTGATCTCCAAGAGTATCTCTCGTGTGAGAAAGATGTTTGGAGGAGGTTTGCAGCTGTGGTGCCCTAAGACGGGATGCTGAGATACCTAAAGGTCTTGACGTCCAGCTAGTAGCAAGCAATCAGTTTGATTTTACAATCGTCGCTGTACTGGGTTTGAAATTCGATGCATCGAAAGGTGAAGTCGGGGGTATCATGGTTATCCCTTATGGACTCATCCCGTTGCTGAAGAGCGTATTCCCAACCGGCCGCTCGGCCACTGGGAAATATCGAAGCTGCCGCCATATTTCACATCTTTTCATTCACAAGTTTCCGACGCCTTCTGGAGTTCCCCAACACTCTCTGTTCCTGGAGCGAAGTCTTCGGTCGTTTAATCCTGAATCTCAACTTGAAAGGAACTTGGGAGGAAGCCGCAGCTCAGGAAGACGCGATCCCAGTGGAGCCCAAGCCCTAATCCCGCCGGACCAATCACATCCCATACACAGATACCCCACTTCCAATCCGCGCCCCACTCTCCAAACTGCCATAAAAAAACTTTCGCCGACCGAAACCTTCTTCTCTTTTCCTTTTCTCTCCTCATCAGCAACGTCAAAGGAAACAGGCGGCCCCGACCCTTCCCGGTGACTACACCGCCACGTGAAGTCGTTTTTGGGAATTCGAGGTCGTCCTGTTTCTTTTGGCGTTGTTGACTGGCGGCTCCACATCGTGGCTTGCTGAGGGTTATTCCTGTTCTTCCATGAGTCTCCTTCCGTTCCCGGCCTCCAAAAGCAACGTCCTTTTCGGCGCGTCTTTGACTGCCTCTCCCTTTACTATAGCCGCGGGCGTCGACTCCCGAGACCCGTGGCCGTGGGGTAGTCTCGACATTTCTTTGTATAGCATTGGCAGACTTGATGGGGTTTCATGCCCTTTCAAGTTACTACTGTAGAAAACCCTGTGATGATGGGAATTGGTTTGATCCGGTCAACCGCCGGTCAATCACCTGTGTATCACTATCCTCTGTCCTTTACGGAGGCTACGTAATTTATATCAATCGCTGGCGAAAGTACCGCGACACCAAAAACCTAAAACTATGGCGGTTCTCGGTTGGACTTGTGTCGCATTCTCTTCGAATGCCCGCAGTCACTCTTTGCAAAAGTGACATCGCATCCGCACAAGGTAAACAAATGTCACTGGCCAAAAGAAGAATTGATATCACAGGGCAAACATCATGTCCATTGATCATACTACCAGGCTTCCGCCCGGCCAGGTCTGACTATGCTACCAATAACGAATGCCCCATGTGGCCAGAGAATGACCCCCAGGCCCTTTTCCATTCCCCCGTCAGGCGAAGAAAGGCTCAGTAGATGCGCTTGGGAGGCGACATGGTAGCCTTGATGGTAAGGCTACCAACGTTCTGCCAGCCCTTCTTGAGCAGGGAAACCAGGTAGTTGATGGCCAACATGATGTTGGCAATCAGCTGGTCGGGTGTCATGCCGACGTTGCCGACGGCGACACCCATGCACAGCACCTTCTTCAGCTGGAACTTGACGGTCGACTTGACCTCGGTAATCTTGGCGCTGAGGTCGTCGGCGTGCGAGACGGGGGTGGGGAACTTGCCGGCTGCGGACTGGTTAGTCTTCCGACTAGACAACAAATAGCACGTCTTAGGAGACGAGGGGAGAGGAGTTGTCACATACCCTTGGACAGACCAGGACCCAGCAGACGGGGAATCTGCTTGATCAGGGTGTCGGAGGCGACAAAGGCATCGTACTTGCGAGCCAGCTTCTTGATGAGCTTCTTGTTCTTGTTGAGCTTCTTCAAGTCGTCGGCGCTCATGGCATCGACACCGCCGTGCTTGGCACGGTCGATATCGTGCTGGTCACCCAGAATGCAGATGCTCATGTTCGGGCGGGGGACCGAGGGCAGCTTGACGGTGCCCGAGAAACGCTTGTCACGCTGGGGGTCATAGTTCTTCAGGCCGATCTGGAGCCTTTGTCACAGTTGTTAGCTTTTATGTGCTTTGGATTCCACTTGATCTCGGTCGCTCGGGGGTGGACATACTCGACGGTCTCCAGGAAGTTGCGCTTCTTCGTCTCGTTGCTGTACTCGAGGAGCTCAGCGACGTTCTGACGCACACCGGCTGTAAAATGGTCAGTTTCGAGGTTGCGGCGTCGATTGTGGAAGCGGGGAGTTCGTACCGACGGTAATCTTAGACATCTTGACCGTCTTCCAGTAGAATTTCTTCTATAGGTGAGGTTTATTGCGTCGTGACGAAAAGTTGCAGGTTGGTTGATCCCAAGAATTGAATTTGCGGGTTCCCGGGTCCTTTTTTTCAGTGCGGGAATGGTGGGGGATTGTGGACAGACGCTAGTCCCAAAACAGCTGGCCGCTCTTGTGGCGCAAATGGCGACAGCTGGCTGCCAGCTGCCTCTTTAATCGCTTTCTCGTGACCACATCCCCCTTTCACCAAATTGATGCCGCCGAGGTCACCTCTCAAGCCATCATAGCTTGAGAATATGGGCCTCATATGAAACCCAGAACTGAGAACCTCCTTGTAAGACTAGTGGTCAAAACGATCTCAAGAAACTGCAGAATATCAATCCAGTGACAGATCGAAGTCAAGAGGTCTAGGTGATATTAATGGACCGGATTATTTCCTAAAAGCTGGAATGACACCCGTTGAATGCCAATATTTTTGAGCAAAGCTACCCGATAAACACCACAACCGTCTCAAAATCACCAAGCATCTCTTTTCTTGACCGGGATCCCCAAATCCGACCTGACTACACCATTCCCGTTACTCCCACATCCAGGCACCTTCTCTAGCGCTTCGTGGGATGGTACACCACCTCTTGTGTTCAACCCGAAATGCAGGCATTCCGGCCCGTCCACCACCGGAAGTAATTGTGAGGGCCCATGTTTATCCCCTCTTGTTGGTAGCCGTAACCTAAAATTCTCCGGAATTAATGAACGTCGTCGGGGACATGCTTGTCTCCAAAATAGCCATATCCGCTATCTCCGAATAGCTCGTGGTCGTCCGGGCCAGTGGGGTGGTAGCCTCTTACCTGGGTCAAAAGGGGCACCTTCAATCTCAACCGGTGTCGTATCGCTTGGTTTCGTTGGTTTAGTTTCGCAAACCGGGAGTGGCTTCTTGCTTAACATTGCCGGTCTGGTCATGATTCCTGACGCCATACTGAAGTTATTCAGGGCCAGTTAACAGAAAAGGAGAACATAAGCCGAATCATAGTCTGGATTCAAACCTGGGCCATCAACCCTCCCATCGTATTTGAACTTATAGTCTCCGTCCACCCAACCCACCATTTTGCCCTGATGATATCACGGGAGAAGTCTTGAGACCAAGACGATGTCCCCCACGCGACATGTTTCGCAGAACCAAGGAGGCACCTAACACAAACCGCCGCTGTCCGACCCCAACCCTAAACACACAAAAGGGGATCCAGTTGGCGGCGCCTAATCATCGCGGATCCTTCAAATCTCTCCACACAAACTTTCCGACTGAAAGAATCCGAAACTGTTGCCTGGCGAGGTGTGCAGACCGCCATTACGACTGGCTTAGCACGGCATACAAGGAGTACGACGATACCATACGAACATAAACAACAAAGCTTGTAGAATAGTTCGCCCAAATCGGACTATCGACTGATCCCATTACGACACAGTGGCGCAGCTTGAACCTAGAATAGGCAGAGACAGGTCAAGAACGGTGTTCGTGAACCGCGAGCCGACTCAAACGGGGTTCACACTCAACATTAGATATCAAGAGTTTGCTCACGGCAAACATTACTGCATCGCCGCCACGACCATGGCCGAACTGAATACGTAATACGTATCTCGCTCCCATTCACGATGCTGATTCATGACATCAAGGTCCCCCTCTGTTTACACCTCCCGAGCCGCCAGTTATTAGCTCAGCCCTGCTCATCAAGCACGGGGAAGCTAAGAGGAGGATGGAAACTAAGAGCAAGGGCAGAACCAAAAAGGCCCTCCAGCTACGTACACCCCAACGATTTGAGACAACCGTCTTGATCACGCGAGGGGAAACTTGGGATCTCACTCAGATACTACCAACTTAGACACAACCCGTGGAACTCTGTTATCCCCGCCGACGAGAAGCAAGATGCTTCACAAGTGACACGTTGCGCTCACACGATCTGTAAACAGCCGCCAGGGACACCGTCAATGTTGACACTGACACATCTGGACGACGGAGGCGAAATGTGGGATCCATTCATGTCCTCCTGCAGCGTCTTGGCCCCGCGCCATATCCTTCCCATCACGGGTAATACGCCGATACAACACAATGTTTGTGTATTAAAAGTTGCAATGTCTGGCGAGTCTCGTCACCCAAAAGCCCAGAACCATCAAAGGCCAGGTTTTGGGTCCCCACGGGGAAAAAGTGACGAAATCATGACCAGAAGGTTCGTCTAGCACGCAATATGACCGATGGCGAGTAGAGCAAGTAATCATAACCGGTTGATTTATGGTGCGAAAAAGTGTAAGGAGAGAAAAAAAGGAAGAAGGTTCGTTTCCAAGCGGAGCCGCTGATGAGGAAGGTTTGTCGAGTGGGTCCACTGCCGGCGCGTCTCGGGCCGGCGAATGGTGCACGGGCCACGGAAAATTTGGGTCCCTTGGTCGCCAAAATAAAATCGCAGGCAGGAAGAATTTCTCTTCTCGACAACAACAAAAAAAAGGTCTCTCCGGAAGCGAAAGCAAAGTGTGCAACACCACCCCGAGCTCTGGTCCGAACGACGTCGACGTTTTCCAATTGTAGTTCCGTCAGTGCCAAACGGAGTACGATTGATGGATTCTTTTTCATCTAGGAACAACACCTCGGGCTCCAGGGCGGTGCTCACACACTTTGCTTTTCCCTTCAACATCTTCGCGGCTGAGCAGCTTCAGCAGCTTCTCACTTCCGAGACCGCGAAGAGAGAGAGACATCTCTTTTTTTCTTGTTTTCAGCGAAACAAAACAAAAACCACAATTTGCCTGCCTCTGTGCTCCTCCCGTGCGCAATAGGTTAACTTGATATATCGTTCGCAGTGGAAGAACAACCCCACGGCCTAGACAGCCAGTCCTATCCACCCTGCTGCCGGGCGTACTTTTGTACGGTAGCGGGACTAAAACGGACACACATGCCTCCTACATATGTGTATCTTTTGAGAAAATAGAAATGGAAACATTGCAATTGCCGTTGCATTCATTGTTGCGGAGTGAACTCGTTTATCATCGACTTGTCATATCAACATGTCCTGTTTGCTCCATGGGTATGTCTCTATGCTACGCTTCATCTGCGGTTTTCATTACACACATCACATCAAACATCTCTTCCCCCACATAAGATTGTAACGTTGCAACGCCAAAAAGAGCAAAAGAAACAACAAAAAACCACCGAGAATATGTCCAAGAAAATCGTCACATAATCAACTCTTAACCCCATCCCACGTCTTCGTATCAAAGACCCTTCCCATCAAAGATGTACCTCTCGTCGGTGAAAGAGAGGAGGAACTTGGCGACCAGACGGCCAGTGTAGTTGTACGACATATTGCGAGGGTGGAGGTCCTCGGCGCTGGGCAGAATCGGGTCGGCCGTCAGGTAGTCCAGTTCAGACCCTATTTCGCTGGTTAGCCTTACCCTGACACGAGGAGAGGAGGAGAGTAGAGTAACTGGATAAGGAAAGAAAGAAAGAAAAAAACTCACAATCATCATCAATAAACCGCCTCAACTTGCGCACCATCGCAGCCGCCTCGTTCTCCAGCTCCCCCAGCTCAAAGCACGTATCATCCATAATGGGATTAAAGCTCCGCGCCGCCGCATCCCTCGAATGCGTCTGATAGATCTGATGAAACTGAAACGCAAACTGCTTAAACGGCATATTCTCAATCTCCCGATTCACACCCAACACAAACGACCGCTGCCACGCCGGCGCATACTGATGCATCAGATTGATCTGGTTGTCAGAAATAACAAACAAATCCGCCGCCGTCTCCACCGACTCCATAAACAAACACAACACCAAAAACGACGCCAAACACGGCGCCCACTCCCGCCGCAGTTTCGGCTTCAGCGACTTGCTGAAGTTATCAAACAGCAACTGCATCTCCCGACACAGCATCTCGTCCACGACCGCTTTAATCTGCCGGTTCAGCACGCGGGGGGTAACCCACGGCACGCCCTGGGGTACAAGCCCCGTGGGACAGAGGTCGACGACGTTTTTGGCGGTCAGGCAGAGATGGCGGGTCATGACGAAGTGCATGGCGTAGATGGAGAGCGCGCGGCGGACCATGGGGACGTCGCAGCGCATGGCGTAGTCGTGGACGATGCGGAGGACGCGACGGGGGAGGTCGGTGTGTTGCGGTGCTGGGGTGACGAGTTCGGCGAAATGGGGCTCGTCGACCATCGCTTGGACGTATTCGCGTACGCGGCGTTTGAGTTCGGCTTTTTGTCCGTCGCTTCCTCCGGAAGTGCTCTCTTTGCCGCTGCCGTCTGAGGAGGAGGAGGATGACGAACCCATCTCCAGCCCGATCGGTGCAGCCCCGCGCGAAGCGAGATCCATCCCGTTCCTCCCCAGCTGCGCATGCCAATGCTGCAGGACATCGGCGGTCCGCGCGGTGAAGAACTTAGCCTTGATCTCCAACACCGTTTTGGCGCCAAACCCAACGCCTGACACCAACTCAACCGTACACGGCACCTCAACTCCACCCACCCGGAAACTCTCCACGCTCCCTTCCACAAACTTGGCCACCTCCTCCCGGCGCAGATGTCCACGGATAAAACCAGGGAACAGCACCGGCGTAAAATCGCCAAACTGCCAGCACACGACCTGGGGCACAGAGCCCGCAAGCCGGACACAGTTACGGCAGGGGCGCTCCTTGTCGCAGCGGACTTTGCGGGCGTGGCAGCTGAAGCAGGCGCCCATGCGGCGGACGACGAGGGCGGACTGCTTGGTGTCGGTGGCGAGGGGGCCCTTGCGGCCGCGCTGGGTTGGGCCGCGGGAGAGGGCGTCGAGGCACTCGAAGGGGTTGAGGTTGGGTTGGGTGGAGGAGTTGTGGGAGATGGAGGAGGGGGTGACGATGAGGAATTTGGAGGTGGCGCTGCTGGCGCTGGTGGAGGCTGAGCCTGATGCGGAGGTCGGAGATGGGTTGGGGGCGGAGGTTTGGGCTTTGCGCTTCTGGACGCGGTTGCCGGTGTTGAGTTTGCGGGTGGTCGGGATCGGTTTTGGCGCGGAGGTAGCGGCTGCTGAGACGGCGGGGGATCTGCGGCGATCGGGGAGGCCGGGCTCGAACTTGATCTGTGTCGGTGAGCGCGGGCTAGCGGTGGCTGGAGGGCTGGCGGAGGCCGACTGCAGAGATGGCGAGTAGGTGTGGTGAGAGTGGTGAGATGGGGAGCGCGAGACAAAGCTCGGGTCTTCCATGACGAAGACGTGGGAGCTCTCGCTGGGTGGCGGTCTTGGGTGGTTGATCTGCTGCACTGTGTATTGCGCGGTGTGCTGCTGCGTGGTGTACTCCCTGGGGTGGTGCACTGGTGCTGCTGATGCGGTTACATCTTGGTTGGCCCACGTATTGACATAATCCCAGCTTGATATCCCGACGTTCGCTTGTGGGTTAGGAAAGCCGATGGCGGTCCGCTGCTGCTGCTGCCGGGGTGGTGAGTCCTCCAGGATACTGGCGGAAGAAAACGGGTTAAACACGGCATCGAAATCACCGCCTGTACACTCGCAAGTCAGTTTTCTGTTTCGCAAACGACACCAAGTTGAAAAACGAATCTCGTAAAACGCACTCTCACTGCCAAACTGATCCAGCACCAGATCCGGCGGCCCCTGCGCCGAAGTCATAAACCCCAGCCCCTGACCTCCCATCCCCTGGAAAAGGTTCACGTCCTCAAACTGAGCCCCATTCCCCGTCTGGTCCAACGTCGCCGAGTAAGGACTCATCTGGCCGCTGAGAGGTGACCCCAGCGCCGCCGGCGACGGCTGCAGTTCCACGAGCTGGCCATCTCCCATGACAACCCATGAACTCCCCAGGCTGTTCGCTGGGCTGGACAGGAGCCCCATGGACCCCGTGCTGGGGTTGCTGATGGTCGTCCAAACGCCCTCGTCCGGATCGCCTGTGCCGTCGGGGTGTTGTGGGAACTCAAATTCGAAGCCCGAAAGGGGCGACGTGCCCGATGTGACGGATGCCGATGCCATTGTGATGTGTGTGTGCGTGTGTGCGTGTGTGTGTGATGTGTCTTACCGAGCTTCCCGCCCGGTGTGCTGTTTTGCCGTTTATTCCGTCAGACCGTTGTTGTACTGTGTCTATCGCTTGTCTCTCGTCTTGGAGTTTGCGTCGTAGTTGTCTCTCTCCAGTCTGCCGTCAACCGTGGATGTGTATTTTGAGCGCAACCCGAATTGCCCTTTTGTCGTCCCCTCGGTCAGGGCTGGCGAAACGTCACGCGAAGGGGGGGTGAGTGTTTGCGCAAGTTCGTCCGGTCTCACAAGAGCGCTCGTGTTCGCTCCGGCTCGATTTCAGCAGTGCCCGATTTACCACAATCAAACCAAAAACCCAGCAACAATAACGATAGAGCGATATTTGAATAATAAACGACGGAAAACAAGTGAAACCTCGCCGTCGACACCCTGCGGGGCGCAAGGTTGATCTTAACGCTGCGAGCGCCTCTCTACCCCCATGCTCAGCCTCGAAAGGGGCTAAACCTGAACGAGCGACCGACTGAATACCAGTGAGAGAGCAGGCGGGCAAAACGTGCAAGAGACAGGGGTCTCTCTCTCTATGGTAGTCGTGGTTCGCCCCTTCTTGGCGGAAGCTAAACCCGATTGGATCACCGAGGCCACTCTGTCGGGCCGCTCAGCAGCCTGCTGTGTACCTTTGTACACCGAGGGGTTCCGAAAGAGGATGCGCAGTTGAAGGTATAAAAGAGGCTTCGGCTTCCTGCTCGGTGACGAGCCGAGCGAGATCAAGTTTGTTTGGAGTTGGCTGCCAATCGGGTGTTGAGTGACTACTGTCTGTGAAACAGCTCAATCGTGAGCCTGTTTCTCGTTTGGTGGAGGATTTTGTGTCGAATATAAATTGTCGAGTTCAGCGACCGGATTTTACACTCGGCATCCAACACGTCATCCGCCAGGCCAACTCACTTATACTACGACAAACAGCAAGCAAAAAGAGTCCAAAACATCCGGGAAAACATACTTAGTTTGCAAGGCAGACTGAAAAACAAAATCAACAATATCATACGCGTGCGAACCAAAAACATAAGCTACGATGCAGTAACGTAAAAAGCAGATTGCCTCCAACCCGATGCTCCCCCAAAAAATCGCAGATCTTGCCACCCAAAAAGATCTCTACATAGTGAGCGTCTGTTTTAAGATCGAGGATGCCTCCCCTTTTTTACCCGGCGCCCGTAATACGGCTTTTACTCCTTGTTTGCGTCTTCGCCAGACTGCCACTCCCCTTTTTGGAACAATAAGTGACCAGGTGGCCGGCGTAGGCCCAAACCATTCGGCGCCGGGTTGAGTAAAGAGATGTGGAAGAACCAGGCCGGACAGGCAGACACGCGTACCTTGTCCCCTGTAGAAAAAAAGAGAAACAAGAGGACGAAAAGATTACCGCAATAGAGTAGGAAAAAGGCGAAAAGGGAAAAGAGGAAGCAAAACATCAAAGGTGTGAAGAAGTCATAAGCCACGACAGGAGCATTTTGGAGAGACAGTTACCATCCGTTTCAGGCCATCCCTCCGTCAACGAACCAGCCAGCCGGTAGACAGCAGCAAAACGTAAGTTTTTAAAAGGAAAAAAAGGAAAAGAGACACAATTGTGGTTTGGTTGAGTTCCGGGTGTGTCCAGTGTTCCTATCCGTCGGTCCCATCCCAAACCCCACCGGTCGTTCAGGTGCGCCAAAGGTGCGCAGAATAAATCGGTATCGTTTGTGTGCCGAACCGGCGAGTTTTCGTCCCATCCAAGAGAAAAATAAAAAGAAAATAACGTAGTCATCGTTGTCGTGTCCTCCTTTTTTCTCAGTTTTGCCACCTTCCCCTTTTTTTGTTCCGATCGTAACATCTGCCATCCATTTCCAGGAGGCTTCGAGGTGTCAAAAAAGGGGAAAGTTGAAAATAAAAAACCATGGCAAAGCGTATTTAAGCGTGAGAGCGTTCAGCATAAAAGCGTGAAGCGTGAGCGTTGTTGGCAAATGAGAAAAAGGAAGAAAAATGGGAAAAAATGAGTTAGGAAAACAACGTTGTCCGGTTGATGTTTCACAACCATGCGACCGTTTCAATTCTCCAAAGAGAAGAGCCGGTGCAAAAAGTTCATCGAGAGGCTCGGCTCTCTGATGGAAGTCTTAGCGGAATCGTAGGTTTCCAGAGACGGCGGCAGCTGCCGCAGCGCGCTCGTGGATCCGTTGTTCCGTGGAAACGTAGAGTCGGTCAAGGTAATCCTGAAAAGGGTGAAGCGAGTTAGTGATAAAATTTTGGATTATTGTTTCCGAGGTAGAAAGGTGTGTGAAGAACAAAACGTACCATGGCCTGCGCATCCTTCAAGATCTTGGCCACCTGGATACCAGCCGAGATAAGCTGCAAGATATTACGGTCGTCCTTGAGCGGACGGCTCTGGTGCTTGGCGGCGTGGCGCATCTCCAGCGAGTTCTCGAGGATGGTAACAAACTGCTTGATCTGGCCGTTGTACAACACGCGGGCCGGGATGCGGCGCTTGGTCGCCAGACGCTTGAGCAGGTACACCCACTCGGTCCACTCGCGGTCCTGCGGCCGTTCGACGGGCCGCATGTCCTGCGTCAGCGGGATTGGGAATTGGTACTTGGCCACAAAGTCGTACGCGCACTGCGAGAGCCGCTCGTTGACCTGGTTCAGGACACTATCCTGCTCCTGCACCAGCAGGTGTGTCGGGAGTCGCGGAAGGTCTCGCTCCTGCATGGCCACGTACTCGGGAGGGGGCCGCTTGAGGAACTGATGCGGGCCGTCGAACTCGTCCCGGTTGGACGGGCGTCGTTGCGACCGAGGCTTAGATCCGGTTCCGGCTCCGGCCCCGGCACCGACCCCTGGTCCACTGCTGACCCCGGCTCCGTTGCCGACGCCGAGCCCATTCCCGGTCATACGGTGGCCGCCATGACCACCGCTGCCCGGGGCTCCCGGGCTCGAGAGCGCATTGTCTAGGGAATAATCTGACAGGCTCGGTGAGCCCAGCTCATCCATGGAATCCGATGGCGAATACCTGCCCTGGTAGGGTCCCTGGCCGATCGCGGTGCTGGGCCTCGGAAATCCGCCCGTTGGTGGCTGGGGATGAGGGTCCCATCCCCCCCATGGCGATGCTGTGCTCTTGAAAGAAACCTGCCCGGATCCGGGCGCCGGGCTAGTGGTTGTGGCAAAGGGGATGTTTTGCGTCACTCGGGGATTGCATGCTGGAGGGGGGGAGAAAGCAGGCGGGGCCGGTGTACTCCGAAGCTGTGATACCCCTCCAAGCGAAAAGTTGCTCGCCGAGTTATGGGTGGACGCAGCAGCGCCTGGGCTGTAGGACACGCTTTGTTTGAGGAGCTATGTTATTACTCGTGATCTGGGAAAGGGTAAAGAGAAGGAAAGGGGGGAAGGAGGGCGGGCAGTGTAAAATGAGGAGGCTAGGAAGGATGAAAGATGAAAGTCCCGGTCCGTCCTTGTCATCTCTTACCTTGGTTGTGAGAGAGACGGGGTGCTCCCCGCGTCGAACCTGGCGCTATAAAATGGAGTGTTGTAAATAGGACTTGAAAAAGACGTCGTCAGCTGCCATGTATTCTTCTCCTGTCGGACAATTTTGAGGCTCTGTTCACACCTTCTCGAGGACAACCACCGGTCGTTGGTCATGGGCGCTGGTGCGGGTGGGCGGTAGGCGAAATCTGCCATCATATGTTGCTCTCTCGACTTCCACACTCCGTCTTTGTCCTTTCCGTGGATCCTGTCCTGGCTGGCAATGTTTTTATGTCTGTTTCTTGTTTTGTTTTTGGTTCTTCTTATTCTCCAAAACGGCTTGTCTCCTAGGAGGGAAGTGCGGGCGCACTCGATCACTGCAAACAATATCCTCGGGGTCCTCTGGCGGGGTAAAACGGCCAAAAAAGCAGGGAGAGCAAAAAAAACGCAGAAAAGAAAGCAAAGGAAACCGGGAAACGAAAAATGGCCCTGACTATCACGACTGCCAAATTGTGGTTCAGTCTTCGATTCAAAGGGCAAGCAAGGCAGGCCGAGAACGAGAAAAAAACCTGTGACCGGGATGTCCTGGGATAAATGGCCACCAAATCCAATTTTTGAGGGGGATCCACGGCGGTTGCGGCGAGAAGCGTTCACCGGGATTTGTGTTCTTCGGCGTGTGGTTTGAGCTTGAGCTTATGGTAGGCAGGAAAGCTCTGGTGGTCAACGACACCGGGGAACGGTCGGGCCAGACTGGTGAAGTCCACCGCAATGAATTTGTAGGTGTGTCTCTCTCGGGACGGTAGACAACGTGGCTCTGTTTCAACGCTTCGAGAGTGCTGTCTCGCCCAAACAAGGGAGTGGGGTGTTTGGTTCGGGTCGGCAAAAGAGGTTCGATGGAGACTTCGTCCCAAAGATGGAGACATATATGCTTTCCCCGCTAGGGTTAGGTGGCAAGGTTCCCTCCCACTCTCAGGTTCCATCCCACTGTCAATCAGGGCTGCAGCGCGGCAACGCAAGCCCTGGCAACTCAGCAACACCACACCCAGCGACAAGCGAGCAAGAGCAGCAAGCTGGGTGGGCAGTTCCAAGCTCCAAACGCAAAGCTCCTCCAAGCTCCGGACTCCAAACTCCCAGCTACAAGCTACAAGCTACAAGTTACAAGTCACAAAAGCAACAACCGGCGCGCGGCTCACCCACTCAGCCAAAGCCCTTGCACATCCGCACGAGTTACAAGACACCGATTCGCCTCTATTTGCGACTGCATCTGCGTCTCCGGCCCGGCTCGACAACAGCCGGCGATGAAGAGCAGGGCAGGGCCTGGGGAAGAGGAACCAAGCGAGCCGAGAGGATCAAGGCATCGAGGTCCGGTGAAGTCGCGCATGCAGTGACAGCTTCGTGACCTTGCTTGGCGCCTACTAAATGGCCAAAGGTGGAGAAGCTAGAAACATGTTGGGCGAGGATGAGCGGGACATCGCGGGCGCAAGCGATGATTGCTCGAGGGAGAAATGGTCGACCGAAGATGCAGATGCAAGGGCAGTCCAATCGAGAGACAATGGTGGAAGGCATGGCAGAAAGCAGAAAACCCGCGCGCACACGCACACAGACCGCACGGCCTTAGTCGCGAAGCTGCCCAGGCATGTCATGCTCATTCTCGGCTTGCTGTGAATCCCCTCGAGGACACAAAAGGACACATACACAGATCGAGGGGAAACGCGGTCAGGTACCGTTGGGCGCCGATGTGGCATGCCGGGGATGCGTTTGCGCTGTCGCCCAACGCCTCGACACCGGGGCCGGCCGCGATTGGTGCCAGAACATACTCCGTTCCGGACAATGGCGGTGACGGCTCGAGATGATTCGAAAGAGGAGCGGCAGCGTTGGGCACGAACGCTACGTCGGTGGGCGAGCCCAATTCTTCCCGCAGCGCAACCCATCTGCCTTCTTGGTTTGGTGCCACGCATCATGCGCCCGATGCAATTCCGAGCCAGTCTGCGCTCGGCGTCGAAGTGACGGTTCGAGCCTGCCGCGTGCTGACACGCAGCGCTGCTTTCTCGTCACCTCTCTGACGGCCAACATCTTAAAGAAAGGGAGCCTTGTCCGGGAGTACGCTGCTTCTGTCTTCGTCCGGGGCCTTTGGTGCGAATTCGGCATCGCGGCGCTGCAGCGTGCCAAACACGGCACCGCTTCAGCCCAGAAGGGACGATTGATAAAGACTCGACGCAACGCACCCAACACATTGCTTTTCATCGCAACATCTCCCTTCACGTGCCCTCCTCTCTCGTCTCTCTCTCACCACCCTCCGTAACCGACCTGCCGATTTCTTGAATTTCCGACCCGGCCCGAGCTTTGTGCTCTTCGGTACACTCTCCTCTCTCCGGTCATGGGGACCTAAGCCAATTCCGGACGGAGCCTTCTCCATTTGTCGCAACGCAAAAGACCGGCCTCTTTTCCTCTGCCGAGCATGGAGATTTTGGACATCATTGTCGCCCGCGGCGCTGCCGTGGTGTAGTCGCCCTCAAATGCGTGGCTTGACCTCTCTTTCTGCCCCGCGCTGGGTTAAGATGGAGTAGGACACCGCGAACGGTAAGGTTAGATGGTTGAAAGGCCATCCTTGGATCTTAAGCTCCCTTCTTCCTTTGGTGTAGGCCCCATGCCACTGGGTGCATTATCATACCAAGTCCAACCGGACCGGAAACACTTAAAAGGGTAGATGCTGTGAGAGTGTGTCCAGAGATTTGGCTGGTGACGCCCGGGTACATGCGTACGTCACCAATGTCATTTCGTCACTCTCCGCCGGTGAGACCCGAAAGTCATCTTCAAACCGCCCAGAACTTGCGAGCCAGAACGCTTTCGCACCGCAGCACGTCTTCCGGTCTCCAGTACGATTGCGAGGGGCCATACGACGGCCAATATTCAACCTCTAAACTTACCTTAGATTGAATCCATACGGTACGTGCATGAGCAGCAGCTGTACATGTACCGCCGCTCGGACATCCCTATCGACAAAACACCACTGTGGAGGGGCGTATTGCTGTACCTCGCCAAGCACGCTGGTATCGGGACGCTGTAACGCAGAGTCGCCCTCACAAGTCATTTAGGTGAGCTTTTCTCCGGACTGATGATGCCGCAAGATGTCGGGACCCAGCGACTGACGTTGAACAAGATGCAGTAACCGTCCTTTCGACATGTACAGCCTGGTGACTGCCCAGCTAGGGCACAGCCTCAATGTGAGATCTCGGCATTGGGATATGAGGCTTTGTCGAAGTTGGTGGCGTTGTCACTGGCTCTGAACGGCGTGCCGCCTTGAAACTCCGCGATCAGCCCGCCACCGGCCCTGTAGACAAACATCTGGGGCGTCACCGTACGTTTATGCGCTTCACCCGGCTCCGGATGCTCGTCTCGTAACTTCTTGTATTGACCGTAAGCTCCAGGTGTCGGCCCGTCCTCAACACCTCCGTGCGCAACTTGGCCCTTAGTTGCGGGCTTCGCGTTCTTGCGTCGAGCACCCTGGTCATGGTTCGGAAAGAGGCATGACAAGGCATGACGGCTCTTGTTCTTGAGCCTGTTCCATGACCTGAGTCAGAAACGGACGCTTTCCTCGCTGTCGAGGTGAGTCTCCAGCGTCCCCTTCCGGACCAAGATGCTCACAACCCTTTTCATCTGCAGGTTCTGGTCTTGGAGAGCAACAGCTCTTGCCCACCTCGTGTGTCAAGAGACCATGGGATCAAGGGATTTGAGCATGTTGTGAAGAGATGGCCGGTGCTCTTCAAAGGCTTCAAGGCTCTGAGTTGGCTTGCTGCTCATCGGTTTTGTTGGCAACTCTGATGATTTGTAATGGGGTGAGGATCAGCAGAAGTTGAGTGACTCAACTCGCTAGAACTTCGGGAGCCTCTCGTCAGGTTTCTCCGAGCTAGGCGCGGCAATCGCGCAAGCCGCAAGTCACTTGCAAGCCAGCAATGCCTTTCGCTGATGCACACAACCGGATTTGGTCGTCCTTGGGTTATCCCCCTCTTTCGCACTTTCCCCCGTTCTCGGTTGAGTGAGGCCGAGACGCCTTGATTCTGAATTTGCTGATAGTGGAGATAAACACTGTTACTGACCACAGCAATCACAGGATGCCACACATGTCACTGCTTATCCACCATGTTCGCCAGGTTGGCATTTCTCCCAACGACGCGTTCATCCTTCTGCATACAGCAAGAAAGTTGTCGTTTCGAGGTTACGGCGCGGAGTAGGCGGAGAAGGGGCGGCTCCTCTCTACGTGCCGGTGTGCCGGGAGCCATAGCTCGACGCCCGTGATGTTCGTCCGTCCCAGCCTCAGACGCTCCTCCCAGCAAGCCTTTCGGAGAGCGGACCACACGTCCTTCCTCGCACTGGCCGTCACCCCCGAGTTTGGAGGGCGATTCCACAACATATTTCGACCCGTCAACAGCGGGTGGCGGCCAGTCAGCTGCTTGATCTCGCGTCAAAGGCGTCGCTTGGTTCATATTGGCCGGCGGGAGTCCTGTGTGTTGTGGTGATGGCATGCCAGCTGGCTCGTGTTTCGAATGCGGCTCTTCCCTCCTCGCGGGGCATCTCACATCAAACGGCTTCACCTGAGCAATGCGGGGTTCCCACGAGGCTTGCGGATCTCGTCGGCTTGCGTCTGCACGAGCAACGCAGGTGATCTGATTGACACCGAAGCCAGAGCATCGCGGGCGGCACACGCGGACTCGGGCAACCGTGTCGGCGCAAGTTGGGGCTCAGTGTTGTCCACGCCAATGCTTCCCTTCTTCGATCCTGCATCATGAACCGGCGAATGCGGAAGCAGAAGCACCTTCTTCCCCTCACGAGAAGGCCAAAGGAGTGGGCTAGTCTGTCTCGTCTGTCTGCAGTGATGTGTTGGCACTTTTGATGCTGCGTGCTAGCCCCTGCAAGTGTTGCGGGCGAGCCGTGGTTGGTTGGCGTGATAGGTCCAAATGGCCTCGTCTGCCCCGCTGCGAAACCCCCCAGCGAGAAGAAACAAGACTGCGACGACCAGTCAACAGCGGTGAGCAATGCAGGTGTGTGGGGCTGGCCTATGGGAGACGCAGGCCGGTGTTGCCAGCTCAGCTTTGGCCAAATGTGACGGGCCGCGAACGCGCAGGCCGGCGGTGCATCGTGAAGAATTCGCACGCAGATTGGTGGTTGAGACCGTAGAAAGTGCAGAAATCGCGGGAGAAGCGGGTGAAAACATTGGGATGAGCACGCGCCGAGCACACCAAGCGGGGCGCGCAATCTTTTTGACGCCGTTGGCTTGCAAGGGAAGTCGTGACCGGGGAGGTGATGCCCCAGGATTAAAAACCGGCTGCCCCGTCTCCTGCCCGACTGGCTGCTCTTTCCCTCTCAACTTCAAACCAAAGCCCAACGACCCGCAGCCATTTCTGCCCAACGCCGAAACCACTCACCTCTGGATCTTCTGCTCTTGCGCTTACTGCCCCCACCCCTCTTGGTCTTACCTGCTCTTAAGAACACACAAATCACGCCACTCGCCTTGCCTGCTCTTTCCCCTTTTGCAGCACATCACACACCAACTTGCTTCACTCTCACTCCCAGAGGATCATCTGTTGTTCCGCAGCATTTTCTTGCCGCACGACATCAGGTTCATTCGACCCAAAGGAGATCAATCTGCCACTGGGACTTGAGACACACGGGAGCCCCCGTTGTTGTCTTCTCGGATCTGAGCAATCAGCTTGCTCGTGAATGCCCCTGGAATGTCTTCCATGGTTATGCCCCGGACTGAGACCATGCCTGGCTACAACACCCACCTTGAACTGGACGAGGTTCACACCCCCTCGAGGTATTTTGCTATGCTTTCATTTTGTTCCTGGGAGGTCCATTTGCATTTTCGCGTCTGCTTTTTTCATGTTGCGAACCAAATCATGTCTCTCCTACTTGTTCAAGCCGAGCCCCAAACAGCAAGCCTCAAGGAGGCATGTCTAGTGGGGACATCGACAGGCAAACTACCATGAGGACAGCCAAATGGATCATGAACCGGACATGGACCTATGGAGACCGTTTCTTTTTGCCGGACACTTTACACCAGGAATTTATCGCGGACTGCCCTGAACTGGACTCACGGGACCCGACTCGACCGAGTCGTGGGCAACGAACAGCCGACGAGTCTCTCGAAGGTTGCTTCAAAAACGTTATTATCACTTTCTGCTCTTGTGAGCTTGTCTTGTAAGTATCGTCGACATTTGCCAACCTGGAAACCCAATCGCCATCAACAACACAAACCTGGACTTTCTTTCTTTTTTCTTGTCATGGATCTTCAAATCTCTAGGATTGCTTTTCAGTTGAGGAACACAGCATCAACCTTGGATCGCCGACATGCCAGATAGTGGAATCTTGCCTGGCTTTGCAGTCTTTCCTTTGCTTTTTCTGCCACCTTGCCTCATGAAACGACGACAGTCCGACAATGACCCGGTTTCCTTTCCCAGGCAATCGCCTTCCAACGTCAACGACATACCGGACACGATCATTTCGACAAGACTCGCGGGTGCTTCCATGTGTTATCAGGACGCTGTCCGCGGTGCCACCTAGTGATATGACGACCTTCCCCAACACTCCTTGCCGCTGGCCTCAGATCTTAGCCAACCACTCTTATCCCATGGGACTCTGTCAAGACCTCAACAACGGCTTCCCACCTTCTTTCTTTGCTCCTGGATATTTTTCTGGATCTCAATTCTGCACTTGTGCCACGGATTGCCCCTGATGTGACCGGATCTCTTGGCCCTGGATTTGCAAATTCTGTCAATTCTTTCCTTGCTTGTTTGCCTGGAACTCGACATCTACATGCTCAGTCTGGTCTGTAACCATCCCCAAAGTGACACGCGGTGCTTCAACTAACCCGACTCGTGCTGCAGGAAACAAAGTTGTGCCATCTGATGCGATTTCTTTGATCTTTTTTCCGATCTTGTCGAGCCAGATGGTGGTTGAACAGCACACTAACTCTACCCAGCGATTACAGCTTTGCTCAACCCAACATGCTTTCCTCCAATGCTTCTGGGATGTTTTCCTTTTGTCAAACAGGACCAGCGGACCTGGCGGGTTCGTCCTGGGATGCGACAGTTGAAGGAACACAGAACTTCCCTGAGCTTGCAGATGCAGCAGACTACTACACTGGAGAAACCGAGGACTTTGTTCTTCCCTTTGGCCAAAACACCCCGAAGCCGGACCACCTGGATGCCGCAGATGAGTTCCAGGCCAGATGGGCACCTGCCGTCGCGGCCGAGAGCAAGGCTCTGAAGGCCGAGCCCATGCGGAGAGGGACTTCGCGCAGCTCTGCCGGCAGCCACAAGAACAGGAGCAGCAAAATGTCTGCCCAAGGAGTCAAGAAGAACCGGTCACGGGTCCAGACCATCCTCTCGCAGGCGTCTTCGCAGATGCCCAAGCTTGAGATGCCAGGTAACACCTCGGCCTATGCCCAAGGCCGCATCATGGACGTCCAGCAGTATCTTGCTCAGGACCTAGACACTCTTGCTGTTTCACCCCAGGTGAATGGCGCTCCCTTTTACCATGGTCTTGTGGGTTTCACCGATGGGCTTCCCTACTCAGGAGATCTTGGCGCTGCCATGTCCCAACACGTGAACCCGCAGATTTTCGATGCTGGCCTCATGGCCGCTTCGCCGCACTCTTGGGGCTCGCTGAGCCCTGTTGATTCGCGGTTGTCTTCGCCCGGTCTGCAGGACGGATCAGACGATGTCTGGTCTGCTGCCCCTTCTGCTTCTTCGCCTGGTGACAGCCAGAGCTCAGACTCACCGGTTTTGCCCGGCCAGTCTCCCAGGTAAGCTGCGGTTCCAAGCCCGCCTCAGCACAGGATTCTCACCATTTACTGCCACAGGATGACCCGCAAGCTGAATGATTCGCAATATGTTACCTCTGATGATCTTCACGGAAACATGATCCCCGCCATTGGAGAGGATGGCTTTGCCCTGCCCCAATCTGCTTTTGCCTCGCGCCGCATGAGCGGCGAGGGTGAGTCCGCTCGGGACCACTACCTCTACAAGAACGCCTTCCCGCACGCGGACGGTCTCTTCCACTGCCCCTGGGAGGGACAGGCGAGCTGCAACCACAAGCCTGAGAAACTCAAGTGCAACTACGAGTAAGAATCAGCCTTTGCTCCCCACATCGAGTGGCACGCGAACTAACCCTATGGCAGCAAATTCGTGGACTCCCACCTCAAGCCTTACCGCTGCAAGGTTGAGGGCTGCCAGAACGCCCGCTTCTCTTCCACTGCCTGCCTCCTTCGCCATGAGCGCGAGGCGCATGCCATGCATGGCCATGGTGAGAAGCCATACCTGTGCACCCACGATGGTTGCGAGCGCTCCATCGCCGGCCACGGCTTCCCCCGCCAATGGAACCTGAGGGACCACATGAGGCGTGTGCACAACGACAGCGGCGCTGCCGCCCAGCCCGCTTCCCCTCCTGCCTCTGGACCTTCGGCTTCGAGGGGCCGCAAGAGGAAGAGCGACGCTCCCGAGAAGCAGTCTAGCCAAGAGAAGGTTAGTTCTCGGAAGTCGTCCAAGGCCTCTGTCGAAACTGCCCCGGCCCCCAAGCACGCCGAGGTCGTCTCTCACCCGGAGATCGACCAGTGGTTTGAGCACCAGAAGGCCCTGCAGAACGTCATTCAAGGCTTTGTCCAGCCTGACGACCCGTCGACCCTCAAGTACATCAAGGACGCCCAGGAGCACCTCAACGCCATGGGGAAGCTCTCCAACGGTCTCATCCAGGAATCCCGCCGCTCGTGGAGGGGTTGAATACAGTGAGTCTACCTTAACCCGTTGCTACATCCTCTCCGCCCATTTTACTAACTCTGATCGCAGCATTCGCCCATTACATGTCTGAGCACGCTGTGTCGGACATAACATCTGCAAGTGCAGATCCTTACTACCTGGACCTCGATTGAGATGCCATTGGATAGTGAAGAGTGAGGACGCCGCGGCCTTTCCTGGCCGCGCCCACACATACACGGCGCCAGCCGTCCCCGTATGGGATGTCGAGCCAAGGTCGACACCCTGAACGGTTTGCCACCCAAAATGTGACGTGGTCTCATGGGTTTCGGGCTTGAGCATGCTGCTCCTAAACTGTTGGATGTGGAGGAAGAATCGGAGAGCGGGAAAGAAGAGAAAAGAAATGGGGTTAAAAATTGAAAAAAAAAAAAAAAAAATAAAACAACAAGAAAACGAAGAAGAGAAGAGGAAAGAAAGAAAAGGAAAAAAAAGATAGAAGGGGCCATAAAATGGTCACCTATGGTACGGCCTCGTCAAAGATACGGGGCAAATGGGAGGAAGGCTAACTGGTTACGACTTATGACTGATGGCTGATGACCTTCCCTTTGTTTGATGACCTTTCTTTTGTTTGGGTTTGGGTTTCGGTTTGGGGAGTTTTGGTTTTGATTTTGGCTGCGAAATATTTGGATTGTAGCTAGACACCTCACGGAAACATGGGACTCCTTTGTTGATTAAATACCGGTTTTGGGGGTTGGGTGAGATAGATCTCGTAGCCTCAAGGCAGCACTTTTAACATGACGTACTTTAAACAAACCATTGTAATCGTGGCCTGACAATCGCGTACTTGTCATGTATGGCAGAGGGACCGTGATCTAAGGATGATCTTGCGTCCGCCGTCCTGAAGTCCGTATTTAGTAGGTCGAAAGAGGATCAAGGCCGTTTCTGCCAGCGCTTTGAGAGATTTGATGCTTGTGTATTGAGTGTAATTAACACAAGCGTAACAGCACCACCAAGAACTGAAGCACCCCCCTCATTTTCTTCCTAGGTACCACATTTCCACTTCCCAGTACCTTTACCATCCATCAATCTACCCCCTTTCCTCCAGCCATCCCTCGCCTCCCCACCACCCTGTCCTGTTAAGCCGATACAATTCACTTCGGCAAAACATTCTCACCAGGAATCACCTCCCCGCTCTCGATCGCCGCCCGGTGGCCGCGCGCCACCATGCCGTAGGCCGGCATGTAGCGGTCCAGCCAGGGGAGGAGCTCGAGGGCCCCAGGCGTGTGCCGCCAGTCGCGCATGAGGTCGCAGACGATGGCGAAGAGGGAGACGACGTTGACGCCCGCGCGGAGGAGTTGGTCGTTTGAGATGTCGCGGATCTTTCCGTTCGGGTTAGTTTTGGGGGATGAATAGGGGGGGGGGTTGTCTTTAGGGGTGCTGGGGCAAGGGGAAGTTGCAAAGGATGGGATACGGAGGTAAAGACAGCGGCGTGTGTTGAGTGGAATAAGAAGGCGGGGCGAGTTGGATAAATGGACTTGCTTACCTCCTTGGTGGTAGTACCGCTAGCTTCAATGTTGGCCCAGACAGAGTAGCCCTCCGCACGCAGCGAGCGAGCCAAGAAAGCGGTGCCTTTCCATCAATCAGTAATTTACGTCAAACCAGCTGGTGGAACAGGGGTAAAACGTACAAACATCCGTGACAATACCAGCAATGATGATCTGCTTGCGGTTGGTAGCCTTGATAGCAGCGCGGAAATCGGAATTGTCCCAGGCGTCGACCTCGCCCTGGCGCTTGATCAGGGGAGCGTCGGGGTACAGGTCTAAAATCTCCTGGGGCAGCGGGCCGTTGGGACCTGATGAACGAATGGGTTAGTATCGGCTTGATCAACACTGTCTGTCTCTCGTCAAGGGACAAAAGGGGCGGGTCACTGACCGGTCTCGGCGGAGGTCGTCAGAACGACGGGCAGGTCCTTGAAGGCGGTGCCGAGGGCTGAGTGGGCAATCATGTTGTCCCGGAAGAGAGTGGCATCTTGTACGTGGGCTGGTTAGCCATGGCTGCCCTGGGAGGCCGGGGAGGGGGGTAGATGTGGACATACCCCAGTCACGGGCCAGGTTGAAAAGACCCTCCTGGAGATCGAGGATCACAAGCACCTGGGTTACGAGTTAGTGGGCAGCGTGATTGGGGGGGGCTATGGGGCGGGAATCCGTACGGAGTCGTTCTTGTTCAGTCTCTCCCACGCAAAACCTGTGTATGGATGTTGATTAATGAGCTGCCCATTATCTTGAGACATGGGACTCCTTACTGTCGGCCAGCGCGGTGCCGGCCATGAGGCCGGCGGACAACAGAGCAGTCGCGAACTTCATGTTGATGGGCTAGGCAGGTAGATGCAGTGATCCTAAGGTTGTTGGAAGACAAAGATGTGATGATGAACGGTTTGTCTGAAGAAACCAAACTACGCCTTCAGTCATCCCTTTTATACACAATTCCCTCTCCCCTCACCCAGATTCGCTCCGCATCGGAGGACAACCCTCTCCACCATCTCCTCGCAACATCCTGCACAAGACCCATCTCGATTCTTCATCCATACAACCCATCCCGTGGGCAACGACTCGGTCGAATCGTCGGCATCTTCTCTGCTTCCTCCCCCTTGTCATCCAGGACATAGCACGGAGCTCGATGCTCAAGCAAGCATGCCGTAAACGTCAACAAAGCTCCAGCTCAGCATTGGCTCATCAATTTCTCGGCATCCCACAGCTGGTGGAATCTAACAAGGTACCGGCCAGGGGCTTCACTGCGGAATTGTGGCCATCACGAAGTGATACTACGAGAAAGAGAGGGGGGATCACATCCGTAATCTGCAGCTCGGCCGAAGCGAGCCCGCCACCATGGGGGCCTGGCCAGGCGATATCCCGTGTTACCTAGGGTGGTGAATGACGATATTCCTCGCCTCGGGATATCACAGAGGAGGGTTTGAAAAGGCGGCGGACGAGGTTGATGCCCGCGTCAGATGTGACTAAGCCGTCGTTGCGTCGTCTGCTGGAGGGTCTTGGCAGTGGGGGGGAGGAAAGGGTTGAGGGTTTCTCTGCAGGAGATAACTATGTGTGTCAGCAAGGGCTCAGCGGGGACAAAGACTGTGCCAAGTGCTGTGTAAATGCTGTCCAAGCGTGGATGCAACTCTGGAAAAAGGTTTGGGGTCGGGTTGGATGATTCAGCGCCCAAAAAGCCGTTATTTTATTCCGCTCTTTAGGCGCTTCAAGCGGAATTAGGTAGACAACGGCCGGCAGCATCCAGGGAGAAGTGTAATTAGATAATAGTTGTTCAGGATCGGGTCATCGTGAACGGCTGTATTCACGTGTTTTGTGAGGAGTTGAGGTTGAGTGGGGTGGGGGAACCGTTGAAGAGATCGGCGAACTGCTGTGGCTGGCTCGTGCAGAAATTATTAAGGGGATCCTGCCCCACTCAGGAACACTCCGACTTCCCTTCGCCGCAAATGGGAAACCTGTGTCTTTCCATTTAAATCACTTTTTCTTGTCTTCAAAGTTGCCTGCGCCTTAGTTCACGGCCGTGAGGCAGTTGTAACGGTTTTAACATCCTGAAGAAGGGATTTCCCCTGGGAAAGAGATGCCAACAGGGCGCCTTCTGAGGTTCCCGGCTACAATGCCAGATTCTCGTATTGTTATTTCCCGGAGGCGAGCTTGTCCCGAAGGATGAACGCGCCGTAGCAAGCCAGACAATCTGGGCAATCCAGGCCATCAGCTCGCCATGACGGCGCCCAACCGGATATGTCTGCGGCAATGGCACGGTTCTTTATATGTCTCATCTCATGTTTTAGACATCGGAATGGCGAAAGCAACGATTTGATACAACTCGTCCGTCAGCTTGTTCCGTCCGACTCCGTCCGACTCAGTCCGCCAAGGATCTAGCTCTGGCTGTCGAAGGTTGCCACTAAACCGCTTGGTCCCTCTCGGCGTTACCAACCGGAACTCGGGACGTCTGCTAATTTTGCTCGCAACCCTTTGGTGTCAACATCAAACGGTTCACCTGAGAATACGAACTTGAACTCCCAGAGCGGATTATGCCTGTAGGGTTTCCGTTTGAGTGAGGTGCCGTTCAAATACCGGAGAGCTCGACTTTGTTACCTCTTGATATTACCGGGCTAGCCGCCATGGGATTCACCCTCTGGACCTTGATCTTCCTCAGCTGGCCATTGTTTGCCCACTGTGACCTCGGCGGGACTGAAATATGTACAACTGGTGATGACCCGATATTCCAACACTACCCAGTATGCATCTCACGTGGGAAGAGCAAAACAGTAAGTTCGCACAGCTACCCTGGAATCCTTGTTGGTGAGATGCTAAGACTGAGTAGTCCCTCGAGGGAGATTATCATCACATCGAGATTAGCCATGACTGGACTCACGCGTCTCCATGCTTCAAGGGTTATGGGGCGGAAGCCCCGATTTGTGCCTTCACGGACGAGACTTTCGCCGGCGGCAGAGGCATCTCAATCATCACAACACCCAAACGGGCAAACTACCTCGCCTCGACGCAAGCATTTACCGCGCCAGACCTAGTCCACGGCATCAACCCGGCCTCCGACCAGCCAACAACATCCAAGTACGAGATGCGCCTCGTTCCCGGCAAAGGCATGGGCCTTATCGCAACCTCTCGAATCCGCCGCGGCGACTTGATCATGGCCAACACAGCCTCCCTGATGATCGACTACCGAGCCTTTAACGAACTATCCGTATCCCAATACACCACCCTCCAAGAATTCGCAGTCACCCATCTACCCCCACGCCACGCCGCTGCCCTCCTCGCCCTCTCCCCCCACACAACTAACACCTCCCACTTCACACGCGCCCAACTCATCGACGCGATCGCAGCCACCAACGGCTTTGACATCGACCCGACTGACAACGACCCCGATCAACACCACAGCTTCTTCGTCCTATTCCCCGACATCGCCCGCATGAACCACGACTGTCGGCCCAACGCAGACTACCGCTATGAGCCGCACCGGCTGGCCCAGCATGTCCGCGCTGTGCGGGATATCAACCCCGGAGAGGAGATCACGCTGACTTACATCGACCCGCTGGGCCTGCGTGCGGCGCGCACTGGGCGGTTGAAGAATACTTGGGGTTTTGAATGTGCGTGCCCGCTGTGCTCGTTGGGGAGCGCCACCACCGGTAACGGCCCTGAGGATGCAGTTGGCAAGGCCCGGTCTGCTGCTAGTGACCAGCGGATTGAGCGTATCATTGAGCTACGGCAGAAATTACAGCGGGTATGGAAACGTGACGACGATCACGACGACGATGACAACGGGCTCGAAGATGACAATGACACAGGAGGGTCTGACCCGAGCAAAACAACCAGTCCAGCCATGGCCGAATTGCTTGTTACACTGTATGAAACAGAACGGCTGTGGGGCGGGCTACACGAGGCGTATATCTTGGCCGCGCTTGAGTACAGTGGCGCCGGGGACGCGTGGACGGCGATCAAGTATGCGAGTTTGGGACTGGAGTGGGGGATTCCGATGCTGGGGGCGGCGGATGAGGATGTGGTGGATTTGAAAAAGTTGGCGGAGAATCCATGGGGGCATTGGAGTTGGAAGAGGACCGTGGGGAAAGAAGGGAAAAGGAAATAGGACTATGAGGCTGGATAGGCAGGAAGGGTGTGGTCTCGGTTTGGTATATATCGCCATAGTAGCGGACTAATACGATACTGGTGAACACAATTCTAAGCTCTCCTCCTCAACCTCTTCAAAGACGTGCGACTTCTGAACCATCCAAGATCGTGATCACAGCCTGAGCATATGTCACCCCCGAGATAGAGATTTAATTTCCAAAAATCCAGCAGCGTCGACAACGCGGGATCTCTGACTGCGGTGAAACCAGGGCTGGCCCGTGAAAGGGCCCGAGTTCTTGTGATACCCCATTCGGAAATCACACCCGGAACGCGTGCGTATGCCCGCATTATACTCCGAGCGTCGGGTTGGAGGGCATCTCCTACCGTAAAAGAATGTCTGAAATTATACATAAAAGTATCATGTTGTACTATGTAGGTTTATGAGGAGACCTCATTCAATTGACCGGCAAGTACATACACAGTCCGTAGTTGGTAGGTAAAGCATAGAAGGAGGGCTACAAAGTAGGGATCCCCATTTTGGTGCGTGGGCTCGGTGGGGCAGCCGGGCCGGGGGGCCTAGGCTTAAGTGGGGCGCGGGGTACGGTGATGTCAACGCCTAGAACATCCCACCCTGAGGGGTCCGTTCTTTCAAGCAGGGTGCGCGTACTGTGGACATTCCATTCCAATCTTCTCCAAGCCAACCCCTTCCATTTCCCCTGACGACACGCGGTATTTACAGACTGCGTACAGTACATAGTAACCACGCACCACACCACATCTCACATACACATCCGTCCATAGGTGCCCGTACGTCATGACGACCGAAGCACTAAAACCCGACCCGGCAAAGGCCATCGAGGCCATCCGCGAAGCCCGTCCGCCCGCTACCGACCGATTCACATACCTGACGATTGTGGAAGCCAATCTCATCCCAGAAGTGCTGCCGGCACTCAACGAGGTGCTCCAGGACCCCGAGCTTACCCAGGAAATAGGCTGGGACCTGGTGTTTGGCCTTGTTGGGCTACCTGGCTCGGAAGAATGTCTCGAGACTATCGCCCGCCTGGGAAACCCCCGGGAGGTGATCTTGAAGGTGCTGGAAACGCTGGCGCTGCTCGATGCTGAACAAACGGAAGAAGAAGTTGCAGAGGCGGAAGAAGAGGAGGAGGAGGAGGGAGGAGATCAAGACGCAGCAAACGGAAAACAAACACAAAAGTCAGGAGGATCCCCCGTCGTTTCGTCCACGCACAAGTTCATCACCCTCCTCGGCATGCTCGCCATCCTGCACAAACGGATCAACACCAAATACCCCAGCCGCTTTCTCGCCCAGACCTTGCAGACTGTCTACAGCACGTACCGGCCGACCCCCGACATGACCGCGTCCGTCCTCAACCTCGTGCACAGCCTGTCCGGCCAGCGTCGGCCCCCGCTCCCATCACGCAAGTCGAGCGTCAATGTCGCCAACCCGGACCAGACCGGCGATGCTAGCAAGAATGCGCCGGACCCGGAAGCTGACCGTGGCGACGAGCGTGAGGACCCGGATGAGACGGAGTTGCAGCAGAAGTTGCTGCTGAGCTTTGCGACGTGTATTTTGGAGGCGTACACGAATGGGAATGAGTTGGAGTGGGCGGCGAGGTTGCTGGAGTTTTATAATCCGGAGAAAATTGTGCCGGGGAGGAGGACGTTGATGGCGGCGTTTAGGGAGGAGCAGGAGTTGTTGTCGCGGGATTCAATTGTGGGGAAGTTGGTGGTGAGTGCTATTTTATGTCGCTCTGTTGATGTTGACTCGCTGGGCTTGATCTGACTTCTTCTCTAGGCACTTATCGGAGATCTCGGTCTCGACTCTTGTTCCAAGTCCTTCATCCAACAGATCTTCGAGGGTCCAATGCACAGCAACCCACTCGAGGAACCGGACCTGACCAGCCCTTCCAAGATCGCACTCTCTACCGGCGGTAGTGTTTGCTTGGTAGCGTACTGGGTCTTCTCGTCGACCGTCTTCGACTCCAAACACCCGGAACCCGAGATGCGCGTCTTCCCCGAGCACTTTGCAATCCTCGACAAATTCCTCCAGGACGATGCCCACGCCCAGATCCAGAGCTCCGTCGGAACCATCGAAGCTCTCGTCACCATCGGCCTCTGGCTGCAGTCCAACAACCTCCTCAGCACCAACCCTACCTCCCCCCTAACCAACCCAACCACCTCACCAGAGGACCCCACCTCGGATTTCATGCGATACATCCACCTAACAACCCTCATAGCGCTGTACCACCCGGCAATCCAAGTGCGCAACGCCGCGAGCGTTCTCGCCGGGCTGATCTTACACGCCGATCCCGAGGAGGAAGACAGACTTAAAGTTCTGGAGGATCTCCTCGAGAACTGCATGTTTGCAACCCTCAAAGCGAGGGCTGTGGCTTGGCTGCGCGAGGAGTTGATATCTGCCTCAACACCCTCGCCGTCAAAACCGCCGCAGCAAACAACCCTCTTCGCCACGCCCCAAGCCCTCGAGGCAGTCCAATACTCCGTCTTCCCCCCGCTCGCTCACCTCCGTACTCTTGTCACCGCCGACGTGGTCGAGTATTTGAGTGCCAACGCCCCCTTTCTCATCCAAGCTGCCAACTTTGCGCTGTTCCTCTTTGGTGGTGGCAGCTCGGCAATATCATCAACATCAACTACCACCACCACTACCAACGAAAAAGCAGCAGCAGCAGCAGCAGCAGGAGCAGCAGAAAAAGAAGAACCAAGCAAAAAACCACAATACAGATGGGCCCACATACTCCCCAACAACATGGAAGCGACGGTGCGCGAGCGGTGGTTGGAACCCCTGCGGGAGGCGGCGGAACGGGTGGAAAAGGAGAGGGTGTCGGGGGAGTTGGAGAAGGAAGGAGGGGTTGGTGATTTGGGGCCGTTGGGTGGGGAATTGGAGGTGTTGAGGGATAGGGTGGGGAGGTTTGGTGTTGGGGTTGGTGCGCAGGCTTGAGGGGGTAGGTTCTCCCGTTGATATGAGGAAATGAAGGGGGAAAGGATGGAGAAAATGTTGGATATGGATTTAGTTTCTGCTGGGGATGGGGTTGGTTCTGGAGGGGGTTTGTTTATTTTTTTTTTACGCCGGCTTAGGGAGGCTGAGCGTAGTTTGTTTATTATGTAGGTATGTTTGATAGCTTTGTGATGAGGCGGGCGAGGTTAATCCATAAGGTTTTTTATTTTGTATGGATTTGGATTTAGGTGATGGATGCGTCTGGAAACGGCCGGCTAACTCACTTACCACATAGCAAGTTAGTTACTAACAACACGAACATACTTCATGAAACTTTATAGCCGACATTCTATCCACCCACACATTTATCTTATTATTTTCTTAGAGGCCAGCCCCTTTCCCTTTCGCTCTCCCTGTGCCTTTCCCTTTTTTCTATCCTTACTATGTATGCCTAACTAGTCCAACCTTGGTAACGGTCAGCGCCAAGATGCCTGCTATGTAAGTCAACTCAAACCGCACGGGGGCCGAGCTTAGGGCGGCCGTGGTGACGGCCTCAACAGTTACGGATACTAGCGCTGAGTTTAAATATGTAGCTCATGTTCTTAGAGGCTCAGTGAGCTGTGCTGGTGGTGGCGTGACCTAGAGTTTTAGCTTGAAGGCTGTTCGAGTTGTTTAAATTTTTAAACCTTTAGTTTGTTCCATTGTAAGCGGCCAGAGATGGGTGCTCGAAGAAGACAACTCCATGGTTATGCAGTTCTCGTTGTTCTCAGTCTTACTTCATCATCATCAACAAAATGATTCTCACCGATCAACGTTTGATGGACGGATCTTATGTTACAAACCACAACCTGTGCCGCAAATCCCAACGAAAACAAACCCTCTTAGACAACAGTATAATGAGCCCTCCTCCCCATATGGAGCTACCTTCATTTTCTTCCACTCTCTCTGGCCACGTCCTGCAATCCATCCGACGGCCTCAATCGGTCCACCCGGGTGGTCGTCGATGCGGTCAAGCAAGCCGGAATACGTGGCTACCTCCGAGTACCGTGGCGGCTGAGATGCTAGCAGAAGGGGGGAAGATAAAAGAAGGAAGAGAAAAAGGGGAGGAGGGACAATAAGGGGGTTAAACAAACGGCACAAACCCTAACCCTAACGACACACCCAACTTCCCAACTCACCAACTCCGACTCTAGCCTTGTAGTGGACAAGACCAACAACCCCCCCTCGGAATCGAAACAACGACACACTTACCCCGCCCACGAGGTCCTGCATCAAGTTACACCCACGACACCACCCACCTTGCAGCACCCCCCACGTCCACGCCCGCATCCCTGTCGACCTACCTGCCCGTCCCTCGGCCAGGGCTGGCTTGGCTTGGGTTGGATTGAACACCCCGCGCCCCTACGGGAGAAGATTGTGATGATGGAGGGGATGGTGGTGAGGTGGGGGTGGTGAGGGGTCTGTGGGAGATGAGACGGGCGAAGAAGCAGGAGAGCAGGAGACGCAGAGGCAAAAGGAGAAGGGGAAAAGAATCATGGACCGGGCTGGTGGCGTTGAGGCATGCGATGCGAATAGCGTGCTTGAGAATGCGGATGCAAGTGATGTGCCAAGGGCGGCGACGGAAGCGCTCCAGAGCACGACGCAGGAATTGATTCCTGCAGAGAATGTTGTGGAGAGCTGGGACGAGGCATATTGAGGCGCTCGGGAGCGGGAGCTAGAACAGAAGAAGAAAAGGCAGTCGGTTACTTTTTTGACACGCCGTTCGGGACCGACGGTGGAGAACGCGACGGATTGAATGATGGAGCACGGGTAACTTTCGTCAACGACCTCGGTGGATTGAGAGGAGAATCGCTGCTACTATGTACAGACGACGGCATTCTCGGGCCGGATTCGCCGCGCGATTCGGCCCACAACGAAGAACCCATCCGGCCAAGGTCGACGGGCTGTCCCGGAGTACACTAGGGGGGATCGAAAGATAGCGGTAATAAGGCGGGTCATCATGTGGACAGGCCGATGAAAGCGAGAGTTACAAGGGCAACGACGACGACGGCGATGGCGATGACGACGGTGGGAATCCATCCGCAGCTTCCACGACGGTCGCGAGGAACAGGACGGAGAATAGAAAACCCCGGTTTCGTTGGGTGTCCCCGAGACGTCTTCTCGAACCCGTCCGACTTTCTCAAGGAACCCTTCCACGTGCCGGCTGGGAGCATATCCAAAATGACCTGGCCGTCAAGGTGCATCTGTCGTCCCCGGATCGTGGGTCAACTCCTAATTAATTTCTACACATGAGACTACACTAGGAACTAGAACACACGATATCCCGTCTTCCCGCGATTCGATTCTTCATGTTCTATTTTTTTTCTTCGGCGAGACCCTAGAGTACAATATCCCCACCAGTTCGCAGACACTAGCCGCTGTGCCGCTGTCACCACATGGCGATTTAAGGGGGATGTTTCGACATGGGTGTTTCGACATGGAGCTTGGGTTGCGGGGAGTGCGGCGCGGGTTCTGGAAGGGGTGTTGGTGTAGTGGTGGGAATTGGGTTTGATTTTGGCGTTGGTTTTGACGACTTACTTTTCTGGTACAGTAACGAACAGGCGAGAGCAGCTTTGAACGGAGAGTTAAAGTTGAGGGGATTAAACGCTGATAAGCATAGGACCCGGGCCTACATAACGCGCAATTGATCGAGGGCCAGACTTTGACCAGGATCTTTGTCTTTTCTGGACAACTGACAAGGCAAGGGAACTTCTTGGTCTAGATGTGAGAGCCACAAGACTTGCCCAAAGCGGAGAAACGGTCATGATCGATGGCTCAAGGATTGGGCAGGGCCCGGAGAACTGCCGACACAGCATGCCGGTTTGATGAATGAGAGTTGGAGAATGGTGCCTAAAGCTCTCATTTTGACTTCTTGTTATTCTTTACGAAGACTTTGGCTTGATTACTCAAGACAACACCCGAAAAACGAGACGATGATGAGCCCGTCAGAGCCCTCGTAAAATGCTCGCCGGTGAATCGGCCTGCGTTGCCTGCCAAGCCCGCAGAGTCGGAGTTAAGCACTGAGGCACCGGCCCCTCTTCTCCACTGCGCACGGGCATCGGTCTCGGCATCATTTTCCCAACTCGGCGATCTGCGTTCCAGGTTTCCCACCCCCCAAGTTAATGCAACATCAAGCTTTCTCATAACGTTACCAAGGCCGAGATGCGAGCCGCGCACTACCAATCGCGAGTTCGCATCGCGAAACGAGCGGTCGGTGCTCCGCCGCCCCTGGATTGGTGTTCTCTCCTAGACATAGTGTAGTGCTGCATAGTGTACTGTACACTACACTAACATTACAGTAGAGTACCTACTGCGGAGAATCCCAGCAATGAGAACTTTGAGAAGAAAACTGTCCCAGGCGTTGGGCAGGCTGGCAGGGCTGGACAAATGTCCAATCGAGTGTTTGGGGGGCGCCGGCAAAGATCAGCACTAGCGGCCGCGCGAACGCCAAAGCGGCAGCGTCGCGTCGGCTGGGCCGCTGTTGGGTTGTGTTGTGACTTGTCTGAGAATGGTTCAGACGGGCGGCGGCGAATGATGGAAAATGGCGAGTGTTGAAGACGGGAGGGGAATTGCAACGACGACTTTTTCCTCGGTCACTTCACACACTTGTTCTCGACAGGGGTTCTTTCACCCGTCGCTCTCAACTCGGAGACAAACCTTGGATAACTAACGTTACAAGGGCCCTAGAGATCTTGGGGGGTTACAGCAGCCGACGCGCGATCTCACCACACCCACCCCTGGCAATATTGACGGCGATACTCTGGACTTGGACTCCTGGGTGAGGAGAGCTTGTCTTGCGGCATGGACGGTGATTGGGGGGGCTTCTGCTGACGTTGAGTTCATTTCTCGGGCTGCATCCGCTCTGGTCCGTGTCAATTGACTTGTTCCCGGTTTCTCTTTTTCCTTTTCTTTCTGTTGCCTTTTTTTCTCAATGCAGTAAATTCATTGCACCGACTCAAAGAGCATGCCTTGCCCACGGTAGACCGCACATCACCACACACCGTTGAAATACCCGAACGCCGATCGATCGAGACGATATCCCTCACTCACAATGGACAGCTCCATCCAGCCGGGCCTCAGTCCCAGCAACAACAACTACCCCAACAACCCCTTCGACAACAACCGCCAGAGCAGCACCAGCAGCCACCACACCACCCTCATCATCCAAGGCCGCGACATTGAACTCGCTCCATCACCACCACCACCTCCTCCTCCTCCACCACCTGCTCCACCTGCTGAACCTCCCCTCCCCCCCTTACCAACAAAACGCGACTTCGAAGAAAACCTCGCCAACCCAACCCCCGAAGTAATCCCCCACTCCACCCTCGAACCCGCCGTTCCCGTCCTCCGAAACCACTACCACCAACAAAACCAACAATACCCCCAAAATCAACACCCACAACTCCACCACGCAACAAGCTACTCCTCCACCCACAAAACATGGGACGGCACCCACCACCACCATCCGTCCACCCTCCCCCCGCCATTTCCCGGCACCATCCGGTCCGATTCGGTTCGCAGCTACGGGCATTCAGCAGTTGGGATCCTGCCGATGGGTGTCGCGGGGGCTGGGGATGCGGGACGGTATAGTTATAGTAACTTTTCCAGTCCGTTTGTTGGGCATGCCGGTGGTGGTGGTGGTCATGGTGGAGGTGGTATCGACGGAGGACTTGATGGGAAGGGAGAAGGGGGTGGTCGGGGGAGGGGGGATAGGATATGTGGGGTGAAGAGGCAGTTGTTTTGGATTGGGTTGGCGATTGCTGTGTTTGTGGTTGTTGTTGCGGTGGCTGTGGGGGTTGGGTTGGGAGTTGGGTTAGGGGGTGGTGGTGGTGGTGGGGAGAGTGAGAGGTGAGTTTGTTTTGTTTTGTTTGGTTTTGTTTTGGAGTTTTGTCTTTTTTCTTTTTATTTTGTCTTTTTTTCCCTTTTGTCATCTTTCCTTTTCTTTTGTCTTTCTTCTTTTTTTGTCTTTTTTTTCACTTTTTCTCAACCCCCGTTTCTAAACCATACACCCACCGACTAACAACAACAGCAGCACGCCCACCCCCTCAGCATCATCAACCCGCACCCTCCCCGAACCCACCGCCACCGCCGGGCCCACCCAAACCCACATCTCCTGCCCCCTCAACAACCTCACCCTCTACACCCCGCCCTCCAACCCCGACAAGTCCTATATCATTCTCTGCGGCCGAGGTTTGTCCTTTCTCCCCTCTTCCCCTCTTTCAGAAGACTGGTAGTGCTAACACGAGAGAATAGATTACAACTCCCAACTAAGCACCACCCTCGACCTCTACAACACCCCGACCGACTCCCTCTCCGCCTGTGTGGCGCTGTGTGCGGGACAGGACGGGTGTGTGGGAGCGGGCTGGGGGGCCGGGGATACGGCGGGGGGCCAGCCGGTGTGTTGGTTGAAGAGCTCGTTGGGGGTGTATAATGATGCGCCGACGTGGAGTTTTGTGGTGGAGGATACGGAGGATGTGAGGAGGTCGTTGAGGCTTTTTTAACTGGTGTATATTATGTATTATGGCAGGGATGGGTTGGGCGTTTTGGATGGGTTTGGGGTTGGATGATGGAGGTGAATGATATCCCGGGAGTGTTGTATGAACCCAGATTTGGAAGATGGGCTGGGTCTCTTTGGTAGGCCAATGGTGTTTTATGATCCAATATACTTTCGATGATCAATATACTTTCAATGATCCAATATACACAGCTACATTACGACCACATCACGTAGACACACTGTCTGCCATCACTTCTCATAAAAGTTGACCCCCAAACCAAGACTCTCACACTGCGGCCCCTCCCTCGGCTTAGCCTGGACCGGCTTGGGATAGTCCAGCACACGGATGGTCAAATCGCCCTTGGTGCTCGGCGTCCTGGAATAGTTAACATTAGCGAGGAGCCATAACAACGCAGACAGAGGTATGTACGAGCAGAAGACGGCAGAACTAAAAAGAAAATCCCCAAAAAGGAGAAAAGAGGGAGAAAACAACAAAAAAAAGAAGCTTACCATCTCCCAGTCTCTTTTACCACCCCCAGGGTACTCCCATACCCCCTAGCCCTCAACCACCCCTCCCCCGCATTCGGCGTCCCCGTCCGCACAAACGCCGCAAAGCTATCCAACACAAACCGCTCAAACACCAAATCCCCCTCATCCCTCACCGGCAACCCCTGCCGTGCCAAGTTCCCGAATACGTAATACAACTCCCCACTATGACACCTCAGATACGGCTTGCTCGGATCACCCTCTGGGTGTGTGGCGGAACGGGGCGCATCGCAGACGTCGGTGCCCGGCCAGCCCTTGGTTTGGTACGTCCGGTCGAACTCGTAGTAGTAGATTTCTTTGAGGCGGTTGTGGTGGAGCAGGGAGGAGGCGGTGGCCGTGTCGATGCAGCGGAAGATACCGTCTGTTGCGAGACGGGAGGCGGTGTTGTAGAGGCTGAGGGTGTCGTTTTGGGGGGTGGTTGGGGTGATGGGGAAGAGTTGGGCGGAGGGGACGTCGAAGCCGGAGGAGGTGAGGTAGGCTGTTTTGTTGGTGGTGGTTGGGAAGGTGAGGAAGGGCGCGCCGTCCTCGGCCGTGGTGCCCATCATTAGTTTGAGGGGGAGGGGGCCGCCGGCGGTGACGGGGAGGTGTGGGGTGGTGAGGTAGGTGCCGTCGACTACGAGGTAGCGCACGTTGCCGTTTTGGCTGAGGTCGGAGGCCGGGATGGCACGGAGGCAGTCGGCTTGGGAAGTAGCAGGGCCGGTGCAGTTGAAGGCGGCGAGGAGTGGTTTGGCGGCTACGTCGACTTGCTCATCGATGGTGTAGTACTCCGAGTAGGTTGTCCCGTAGTTGATACCTCCCAAGTTACTAAGCATGATAGCCCCCGAGAACTTCCCGACAGCCTTGGGCGATGCGATCAGCGCGCGGACGGAGCCGGCACCGGCAGACTGCCCAAACACAGTGATGCGGTCCTTGTCGCCGCCAAAGTTGTGGATGTGCTCGCGGACCCAGCCCAGCGCCGTGATCTGGTCGGCCAGGCCGAAGTTGCCGTTCGTCTTGCCGTCCTTGAGAGCCAGGAACCCAAAGGCTAGCAGGCGGTAGTTGATGGCTACCAGCACCATGTCGCCGCGCGAGACGATGTTGGCGCCGTCAAACGTCGGGTCGTTGGCCGTGCCACCCGTGAACGCACCGCCGTGAATCCATAGACCGACGGGGAGGAGCTTCTTCTTAGGCGTCCGGGTGTTGGGGTTCGGAAGATGGGGCGTCCATACATTCAGGAACAGGCAGTCCTCGCTTCCAGTGCCGAACTGTATGCACTGAGAGCCGTACTCGAGAGCTGAGGCGTCCTCTCCGGAGCCCTTGAACAGGGTGGGATAGGTAAACCTCTCGGGCTGCTTGGCGTAGCGAATGCCCAGGAACCGAAACGACAGACGGTCGCGGAACCTGTTCTCCATGGTTAATCCCGTCTTATCTCAGGTAATGTCAAAGCAACTAAACAGCGACACCTACCCTGTCAAAGTCTGACCATTCACATCCAAACTAACCTGCCACCGCTTGCCAGTATCCTGGCCACTCTGATTCGAAAACGGCGCAGAGTTGGTGCAAAACCCAGGGAACCGCGATTTGGCTGACCCCTTGACCGTCTTCCCAGCAATGTCGACCGCGTCCTGGCCAGGTCCTGACGAAACCCAGAATTTCGACGACTTGCTAGCCCGCCCGTCATACTGAAGGTAATCGGCAAACGGCACAGAGGCTGGCGCAGGTTTGCCCTTGCCCTTGCCCTTGCCGTTGTTCCCTTTAGACGACCAGAGGGTCTCGCCTAGCTTGTCGCAGACGTGGGTGATGTCGTCGCGCGTGCCGGCGTCGGTGAGAATCACGGCTGAGTCTGCGTCTGGGTTTGCAGTTCCTGGTCATATAAATCAGCGTGTGTGTTCCGAGTCGAGGGGAGTCCTGTTAAAAAGAAGTACCTTGGAGGTCATTGTGGACGAGGATCGTGAGACTCGTATCCAGCTTCTTGAGGGCCTCACCAGCCGCCAGACCGGCCAACGCCAGCGCTAACCCAACAAGCTGCATTGTGTCAAGTCAAGCTGCCCTTTCAATATAACACAGACGAGCAGCGCGCATATGAGCAATATAGATATATGGAGAGGACTACACTCTGAAAGGGGGGTGATCTTTTTTTAATAAATAATAATATGCAGGTTCCGTTCCCGCGGATTCGAGAAGCATGCAATCCTCCCCCTCGTCCCTCGCGAGAAGCGAGATCTAGCCCCCCCTCACAACACGACGTCCCTGCCGTCTAACGTTATCCCGTTTTCGTCTTCGGTTACCACCGAGAATGTGGTCCCGAGATTGGGTCCAGCATCACGGAGTTCCCTTCCCCAGCTGCGCCTACTCCATAGTATGTAAAGACAGCGCAGCGAGTCGAGGCGCGCGTCCAGCCGTCCCGTCATCGCTTGGATGCGTTCGTTGGAGATTTGGAGTGAAAAAAGAGAAGCTAAGCTTCCCCAATCCCGGAAACATCGGGGCCGCCATGTGGGTGTGCGTGACATCGGACGGACGGCTCTATAGGCTAAATCGGGGAACCCAACCGTGCACTGAATATGTGCCTCGGTGGAGAGCGCGCCGGCGAGCGGACATCAAGCCATTGGGTTTTGGTCCTTAAAAGTTTGCTGTTTTTTTTTGTTAAGAACAACAAAGAAAGGCGCTAGTGTTCTTCTTCCGCCCGGCCGAAGCGCACACAAATGACCAGGGGTGTTCCAGGTTCGCGGCGAGGGGGCCTCCTCGGGAAGTGAAGATAGTCGACGATTTTTGGACGCCGGCTTATTTCCTGGTTACGCAGTTCGCTGTGGATTTGCTGAGGTTACAACGACCCGCAGCGAAGGACCCCATGGGGAAGGCCTCGATGGATCCTACACTCCAGGACTACACCGTAGCAGTGGTCAGATCCGGATCTCCCCCAACTTCTTAACGACATCCTCGTGAAGAACCATCGACAGTCTCGCAGCCACGGCATCGTCCGTCTCGTCATCGCCCTCAGACAACCCCAATTCCTTTCCCCCCGCAATGCACTTCCACGAAGCCGTCTCATAAACAGCGCCCATGGAAGCACCGAGTTCTGCGATTTGTTCCTCCTCCAGGAGCGTCTCTCGAACCTTGAGCGCGATCGACGACCGGCCCCGTGCCGCGTTCAAGTCGATGCCGAGCACCTTTTCGACTGTGGCCCAGTGCGCAATCTCGACGAGAAGCACGCCGAGGCTGTAGATGTCGAAGCTCTTTTTCGAGCGCTCCCGGTCTTCAAATCTGGTCGACTGTGCCAGGGGGTGTCGGTAGAGATTGTACTCGGCGTCGTCACCGGGGACATCCGTCATCTCGTCCGCGCGGGCGGGCCGGGAGAAGTCGAAGCCTGAGAGGTACGGTTTCGCGTAGTCGACCCGGCCGTCGTTGGACCGGAAAAATATGATGTTGTGGCTACGTAGCCCCTTGTGCAGCCAGTTTACCGCGTGGAGATAGAGCACACAGTTGCTGATGGCATGTGCGAGCTTGACTCGGTCTGTCACACGGGGTTTGCGGGATGTTTCGAGCAGTTCGCGGAGCGAGACGGGTGGTAGAGAAGCGTGCAAGTTTGCGTCGAGTGGCCGCTCGAAAACGAGCCCCAGCCGCATGTTTAGGATGTCTTCCTCCTCATCCTCCACCCCGTTGGAGCTCGCTTTGTCGAAGAACCCTAGGCAGTGCGGGGTCCTGAAGGCCTCGGGTTTGGGGGAATGGTTCAACAGTGCAGCCAACTTCCGAACCCGCTCGTAAATAACCCTTTTGGGAGGCGATTGATCTCCCGGTCGCTGCCGGTCGTAGTCCTTCCACTCAACCCACACCTTCTTCTTCGTCCCGTCCGCCAGGTTGAGCGTAGCGTCGCACCTTGTATGGTCAGATTTCTCGGCTGCGGGCTCGATGCTGACCATGGACCGGTCAAGCTCAAGATTTTTTGGTTGACTTGGCTTCCCTAGTTCGAGGTACATGCCCGCAGCCTCGTCCCATGGTGTCTTTTTGGAGGACTCGATTGACTCGTTGAATGCCTTGAATTTGGCCAATTGAGAAAGCAGTTCCAGGCCATCGGCATTGGCCCGCTTCTGGGCTACTGACAACCGGGACTCTGGAACCGTTGATTTGGACTCTAGTTTAAGATTAAGCGCCATGACAAGCCGCGAGAGGTCCGCGATCTTGTGGTGTAGCTGAAGTACGCCGCGATTGGTGTCTTGGACGGTATGGTGAATCTCAACCTGCATTCGAGCATCCAGAATGTTCGTCATACTGTCGTTGAGTGTTGAAAATCTCGATAGAAGAAGCTCAAAAGCGGCTTTGTCGAAGGAAACCCATTTGAGCCTCTCAGCAGCGTCTTTCGACGTCGACTTGAGACTCTGCATTGCCTTCTTGATAAAGTTTCTCCGCTGCTGCGGCAGAGGAAAGTTCGCCTCGGCAGCGTCCTTCTCTGGTTTCTCCAAAACGCCATCTTGATCAGGGGTAGGTTGAAGGCGTTGGTGCCGCAGTTGGTGCTGTTTGAATTCCTTGAATAAACACTCCACCTGCATTAAGAGGTCGAGTACCGTTTGTCGGTGCAAGACAAAGGTGTTGGATTCGAGGATTCTTTCTCTGTTCTTCGAATCCAGATCAAGAAGCCCCGATGTTTCGCTCCAAGCAAATAGTCTTTGCTGGAAAGGTGTTAGAATGTCGTAACTGTTGGACATGTCCGGGTGAAAATGGTGTTTAGCAGTTTACCTGTTCCATCCGCAACCGAAGATTCAGGTAGCGGCAGTCTTCTGGGAAGTTGGACGCCGTGATGAGTAGTTGGATGCCTTGGATGCAGCCCGTGTACACCTGGAGGCCAATAGACGCCACGCCAAGGGCCAACCCGGCAACTGATATTGGGCTGTTCAGCCTTGTTAGCACCTGATGTATTTCCTAACTGGGACGTTGAGAGCAATCCTGGTATGCCCAGACACTAGCATGCCTACATAGTAGTTATTGGTAGGACTAGTCACGGTGAACAAATAAAAAGACAACCTAGGGAAAGGGAGGCGAAGACGGAAGAGAGAAAGGCAAGGCAAGGAATGGGCTCACATACTCCATGATGGTTACTGGTTCAGCATAAAAAACACAGCTTCAAGTTGTGGGGGCCGAGGCGAAGGAAGCTCAAGCAAGAAGGGAGGTGGGTTGTTGAGCCAGACTATGCTTGCCAAAAACCGAATATGTATCCTGCAAATAGGAACGCTCTACTCCGTACAGCAGGCTTAACCAAAAATCGAAGGAGGGCTGCCCAACCTCCTGGCCCATTAATTCGTCTGAAGAGTGTCGTCTAATGTTGATCACCCAAAACGACAAACCTGTCGGGGGAGGGGTAAACTGACGAGACACAAGTCTTGGCAAATGGTCTCAACGGGAAAATAACCCTAACCCTGGTGAAATCGAGCTCCAAGAGTGCACTCGCTCGGTCCTTCCCGTTTGTAGTCGAATATAAAATTTGCCAATTCGTCCCTTCCGTTCCCAATTCCTAAATCGACAGCTGTTTTTAACACTCTTTCTTTTATTCTTCATTTCTTCCCATTTCGCCTTCATTGGGAGCCCGGCCTGACCAATTTATTCCCCCAGACCTGATAGCCTTGATGTCTTTCTTTCTGGATTTGACTCGACGAATCTCACCCTTAAGGCAACAAGCAGGGCCGTTGCAAATCTAGAACCCAAGGACTCGTCCTGGAACGCTTAGAAATCACCACGATGCAGCTTTGAAGGGCCCCCCCGCTTTGTCTTCGGCATCGAGCACAACTTGGGGTACTACACCCATGTACACTGTGGGCAAGCATCGTCAAAATGGGCCAGTGACCGGCAGCAAACTTTTCGCTTGCCGTGTTTGGGGATCTCACCCTTGCGTCCTGGCCGCGAGGAACAGGCTCACAGCGTCGCCGAGCCAAACATCTCGACATAAGTGGCTTGGCCGCCGTTGGGGAACTGCTCTCAACGGTTTCCCCACTCGATGCCGCCAGGTGCCCACCGCTACTGCGGTAAAGACGAGCCGGATCCGACCCGAAACGTTAGAAGGTGGGGCCAACCGTTAGGAATGCCAGGAGCCGCGGTCTGCCGGGCCAGCGAATACATTGCTGTTTGACGACTGGATAGAGCTTCTCGTCTCTCCTGTCTCTTGTCCTCCGCTCGAACTTTCCGATCCCGACACAGTCTCGGATCTCGGACGACTCTGCTGGCTGGCTTTGGGGTACCACGCATGCCATGCCACGCAACCACGATGCCTTGCTGGCTTGTCGCGCCGACTCCTGCAGGTGGATGGGGAGTCGACGAACAGGCTAGCTCCGCGGGCGCCAGCGTTACATTTCTGCCGTTTTCACTGCAACTTTGCAAAGGGGGCTTGATTCCATCCCCAATCAACGGTCTTCGATCACCAACTTTCGGCTGCATTGGCTTGCCATCGCCACGAGCTGCCAGCAGCGAGGCGGCAGAGACTCACAAACCTCCGAGGGCCGTTGGCCGGGCCCGGCTCGCCCGGGTTGGATGTGGATGCGTGCGCGCGTGGGTGCAGGTGCGGTTTTGAGTCCCCCAGTCCAGTGGGAATTTGCAAATGACGATGGAGCGCCACGCATCCCACGAACCGCTCAACCTCCTCACCTCGTGCCCCGGACCCTGCGTCGGGCCCGCATGGATCCTCTGCAACCCCATCACCGTCCGAGGCTCGCACCGGTTGCCCTTTTTTGTTCTTCCGGCCCTCAGAAGTTCGAACTTTGAAGTTTCGCCATCGCCCATCGCCAGAACCGACTCGAATTGCGGGGCGAAAGGACGCCCGCTGTTGGAATGAACTAGTCTATGACTTGTCTCGCCTCTATCACCAGAGCTTGACCCCCGCCAAGCTCGATTCGTTCTTGATCACCTCTATCCGCCATCCCGCGCGGAGATCTCGATTTCACCAGGCAAATAGCGATCTGGTTTGGGTCGCACGAAATGGCCAAGAAAGAACCTGGGATGAAGGCTAGAGGAAGGTTACTAATAAAAGAGTCGCCTCGAAAAGCCTCCAAACCATTCCCCGCCGCTTTCATGGCTGATCCCTGCACGTTTCCGCGGGACGGAACGGCGGGGACGAAAAGAAAGGCTCAAAAATCGGACGAAAGCACAAGGGACCGTAAGAACCTTTTCGATAACGCGATACGGACGAAAGGCTAAAGGGAGGAAGGATGAGGGGAAACTGGCTAGATGCTTGTTCAACAACTCGATGGTGATGCCTTTGCCTCTGGCAAGTCGCCCCCATTTCCATGCGTTTTGACATGCTGTCGACTCGCTGGTTGGCTGGGGCGAGAAATAACCCCGGTTCCAGACCCTCAGGGCAGAGGAACCAAAACGTCTCTTGGCCGTTCGACCCAGGGCGACAAGGGAACCAGGGCAGTGCGATGCCTGCCATGCTTTGGACTGCTTCTCAATTGCGAACCCTGGCTCGTCTCCTCAATTGACTGCCCACCATCTTTCTCGAACGCTTCCGTGCTTTTCCCCCATTTTTCTCCATCCAACCTCGTAGCTTTTTTTTTTTTGTTTTGACCGGCCGACCTCCCGTCTCCTTTACCACTCCCCCAAGCATCGCCGACTCGTCTTTCCGCTGTTCGCCGTCCGGCTCTTGGATCCCCGCGCGCGTCCCGAATTGAAGCGTCCCTTGACCTGGTGTGCCGACCATGGACACCTACGCGACGGTCGCCCCACAGCTGTCGGGCTCTTCTGCCACTGGCTCGCCAGCGGTGTCCAGCGACAGCCCCGGAACGGCGACCTCCTCTGTATCGGCGACCAGTGATGCCCGCCTCGGCCAGCAAGCCGCACCTCCTTCAGTCCCCGCTGCCTGCCTTGCTTGTGTGAGTGTCAATCTCTCTCTCGGCCCGTGGGAGCAGGCCCCCCCTTTTTTTCTTACTCTTGGTTTTCTTTATTTCTTTTTTTGAGTGCACCCCCTATTTCCGTGGTGTCATTTTGGAGAAGGGGGAGGGGGGTGCGTATGAGAGAGCGAGCGAGCGTGTGTGTGTTCGTGTAGATGTACCAGACCAGTATGCTGATTGACTCCGTTCGGGATGCACCCGTACAGCGCGGCAAGCATCTCAAGTGCGATGGGAACACCCCATGCTCACGATGCACCAGCTCCAACTCTGAGTGTCTCTATGTACCCTCTCGTCGCGGCTACAAGGGCCCACGACGGGGTACGGCGCACAATCCAAACAAGCGCCATGCCTCGTCCTCCCCACCTTACGTTGGGGCCGAGGATGCTGCCACGGCCTGCCCCATGATGCTGGGCCATGGTGGTGTCCCCATTGCGGTTCCTTCACTTGCGGGTTTCAACCCCGGAATCGTGCTTCCGGAACAGTCTCCGGTGTCTTATACTGCCGCGTCCCCCATGACGAACGTGCCTCTCTACCGGAACTCATTCGCCCCAGCCATGGATCCCAACGCCCTCGCCTTGACGACGACCACCACGCCCGCCGCCCAGGTGGTTGCGGCCCCCCCGCCGGTGCAGCCGCCGGTGCCTACCCTGGCCGAGCGCTGCTTCGACGCCTTCTATCACTTCTTCCACGCGGGCCATCCCTTCGTGCTCCCTAAAGAGCCCTTAATTCGCCTTCGGGAGGAGGGGTCTACCCCCAACCTCAACGTCCTGATGGCCGCTATGAAGTACATTGGCTCGCTCTATGTTGATGCCGGCCCCGCCAAGGCGACCTACTTCGATGAGGCCGTCCGTCTCTGCTACCAGCCCGGGACGCCCAAGGACGGCTTCCTGATCCAGGCTCTGCTGCTCCTCATCATTGGCCTGGACGGGCAGTGCGATCAGGGGAGGGCGCGCGAGCTGCTTGCGGACTGTGAGCGGTATGCCATCGAGATTGATCTCAATAAGCGTAACTTTGCTACGATCCACGGCCGCGGGAACCCGGTGTTGGAGGAGAGCTGGCGGCGGACGTGGTGGGATCTGTATGTTTGCGACGGCATGATCGCCGGCGTTCACCGCATTACCAAGTTCCTGCTGTATGATATCCAAGCCGATGTGGGGCTGCCATGTGAAGAGCAGCAGTATCTCACGGGGGTAAGTCGTTTTCTACTCTACACTAAAGGATCCTGAAGCCCGAAGCCCGGGAGCTTCTAGGGGTTCTTCGTAACTAGTTCCCCGAGTGGCCCCCGATCTCTAGGCCTATTATGTCTTACTGTGAGCTAACCCATTGGCCAACAGCGGATCCCCCAAACGTTCTACATGGAGGACTTTGACGATCAGACCTTTTCTGACGAGGAGGTCGACTTCTCGTCGTTCACGTACCGGATCGCTGCAATGCGGAACATGGGACGCATGATGCGCATGCCCCCCGTCATGTTCCCCGACGACGCCGCCATCGACCGCGTGCAGTCGCTCTTCACCAACTGGCGGATGCATCTGCCGGACGGCAAGCGCGACGACCTGACGCGGAACTGCCAGCTCGACGAGATGATGTTCCAGGCACACTTTATCACCCATGCGTAGGTCTTCTCCTCGGCGATCAGACATCCCATCCTTTGCCCCTCCTTTCCCCGTCGAGGTCGGCGAAGGGGGGGGGTGCTCGGTGACGTTGTAATCCCGCAAACACTTACACACTAACTAACTTGGAATAGCTGCACCATCATGCTCCATCAGCCTCTCTCCCAACTCGACACCTCCCCCGTCGCAGCCGTCAACTCCTGCGCGCCCCACCGCCCGGTCCCCTCAGGCGACAACTTCAACCTGCACACCCGCCACACCCTAACCTCCGCCTCCGAGATCTCCAAGATGATCACGCAAGCCGTGCCCGTAACCCGACACACGCACTTCTTCACCTGTGTCATCACCCTCTCCTCCATCGTCCACCTCTCCCGCTGGGCGTTGTACTTTGTCGACGACGAAGACCACCTGCGCCAGCAGGTCCGCCTCAACATCGGCGCGCTGCACAAGCTCAGCCGCGTGTGGAAGGCCGCGGACACCGCGTGGGGCCAGGTCAAGGGGGTCGCGCAGGATATCTACCGGCAGAAGAAGGCGCAGCAGATTAGCCCGGCGTTCTGGGTGGGGTTCACGCAGGAGCAGATGATCAGCAGTATCAATGCGGACGAGGGGATCATGAGCGAGTTTACGAATGTTGGTGGGGTTGGACCGGTGAATGCGGTGGGGGTTTTGGGGCCCGGGAAGGGGTGAACCCGGGCTCTTCCCTAAAAGAGGAGGGGGGGTGCTGGGAATGGGAACGCAAAAGGGGAGTGTGAAAAAGGGAGGGAGTGTGTACGACGCCGAGGTATTCTTACGGTTGGGCTATAATGTGGGGGGTCTTTTTTCTCGGGCTGATTTTGAGGGTACCCCTTTTTTTATTTCTATTCTCTTATCTTGGCACAAATCGGCAGGGTGGGCGGGATGCCCAAAGTTACAGGAAAGGAGTTGGATATTGGTTACTTGTTTCCTTGCGAGCTCTCTGCGGAACATTATTTTTTATTCCTTTTTTTTTTTAGGAGGACCGGGTCACGACATCGCCCCAGGTATAGATCTAATCTGTCACTACCTATTTATTATTCATGGATTTGGTTTTGAATATGTGCGGCTTGAACCACGGCGTGTATTGAACATGGCTGGTATATTGGAGCTTTGGACCTACACCTGACCCTTCGTCTAAATCTTGGATACCACCCCCCCTATCTCCCCATCGCGGGATCTACTAATCGCTCTCCTGTCTGCCTATATCGGGATCTACTCATACTTTGTCCCTCAGGAACACCGGCGAAGGAATATCGACGGCGACTACCCCCCAACCCCGTCATCAACAAGAAGGGAAGGTCACCTCGCCGTCCGGGCTCTACAAAGTACGCACCGTACCCAGTAGCGAGTGGTACCGACCATCCCCTATTTCGGCTCCGGGGACTACTACTATGTATGTTGAGAGGTACGGATTCAAGTCGGCGACGTACATCCTGCCTGGCTCGGACCTGGTTCCGCATTTCCTGTTTGTGGGTGTGTGTTGAACGGATGGTTGAGTAGACCACAGCAGCTTTGGTCATCAAGCTTCAAACGAGAGACCCCTGGCTGAAGAGGTGAGGTTTCATCCCCGATATCATCCCCGGTCCTGTGGCACCGAGGATTCGTACAGAGTTACATACGAGTAGGTCAGTAGCGAGTGGTCCCCGATGAGACAGGGGCAGAGGGGGAGAGAGAGACAAGGGACAAGGAGAACAAGGGAAGAGACCGAGACCGAGACAGCGGACTTGGGTTCCGGTGCCATGTCGGCGGGTTCCCGGGGAAGGGGTTAAGGTGAAGGGGGTAGGGTGAGATAGTGGGTCCCCGTCGAGGGTGTTATCCCGAAGGGGGTCTTGGCCTCGTGGATTTGGGGGGGCTCTCAGGTCCCCGGTGTTACTATGTATGGGGGGAAGGGATCGGATTGTGGGTGGATCGTGGATTGTAGAGGCCGAAGAAAGAAAGATAGCAGGGACTTCAGGAGGGCGTGCCCGAGTGATACTGACACACCTGCCTGCTCAGATTCTGGTATGTACCTCGTCAGGTGGGTCGCCGAAGTTGATGATGGTTCCATGCCCAGAGGTGAATGACTTTATGAAGAAGGGGGTGAGGTGTGAGTGTAAGGCCCTTGGCACTGGATTGTGGATTATGGTGTGTTCCCGATCTGACATGCTTGTTCATCCATCCCGAACGATGGTGGCCGAAGGGGGGTGTGAACTTTCCGACTTCCGACTGCCGGCGTCCGACTCCCGGCAAGTGAGAGTGGATGTGAGAAAGATGTGAATGATCCACGGCACATGCAGCTGCTTCACGGCCCGGAAAATCGGGGGGCCGCCAAGACGAACCACCCCGAAGTGCAGATGTCTCACCACCACCTCCACGATAGGAGTCAGGTCAGTCCCAGACCAACTAGCTGCCGTCTCAACTCTCAAAGGCACCTGAGGCAGGTGGCATTAGGGCTTCAGCTCGGGCGGCGATCCCGCGCTGCGTGGGCGGGGAACAGCGGGGAAAACAGCGGGAGTTGGAGCGCTGCGATTGGGACGGCGACCTCTGTGGGGAAGGGGTTTTTGGGGGGAGTGCTGCAGGAGTCAGCTCCGAGCTTTGTGTGCCCGAGCCCCTGGACCCAGCAGCCGCTTTGATCGAGATTTTACTGCCGGTGACCTTGACAGTTTTTTTTTTTAGTTTTTTATTTTTTTTATTTTTTATTTTTAGTTTTTAGTCTTTTTTCGACTTAATTTTTTTCTTCCTTCCTTTTCTGCTCTTGTTGAATGTGCTTTTCTCTCTTTGGAAGGCACAGTAAACCCCGAGCTGAGTTCCCGGGGTGGAGTTGCCATCCATTGTGCAGTCGGCGACTTGAGAATGTACCTCGACGAATCGCTGCTGATGGTTGGTTTCTCATGAGCAACCTTCTTCATCCGGGACGAAGGTACCATGGATTCCTTCCCGTCGGGCCGTCAGCGGGGCTGCTCGGGGAGCAAGAGGATATGCCCGCTCACGCACCTCCATTACGGACTACAATCAGTTCACACCCTCCGCAAGAACCGAGATGAATTAATGCAACCCCCTTTGCAAAAGTACTGAGGAGTGTAAACCCCGAGATATCTCACGGAGAGGCACACCGCGTCCCCGATCTCAGCATGTCGAATTTTCTACGAGTACGAGTGACTTGTCAGCTTTGCTCGAGCTGGCAATGCAAAAACTCATCTCATCTCTCCACCACCCATTGACACTCGGTCAGGAGACAGTCCAATCCGAAGGAAGGAGAAAAAGGAGCCCGAGTATCCGGACCCTTGCCCGCGATTGGCCGCCGTGTTGACCGCCCGCATCGTCGCATTGTTCGGCCCGGGACCGCCGTCCGGTCCGGTTCGGACGTGGGATTGCTTCACCGATTTTCTGCTTCCGGTCATTGCACACCCACACACATACACACCGAACGTGTTGATGAAAAAAAAAGAGGAAAACTAGACCGGGTGGGAAAGAGTGAAAGAGTGAGTTGGTTGTCCGTAGTATGCAAGTGAGCAAAGAACCGTGCCTTCTGGGTACAGTTACATGTAATTACTCTATCTGGTTTCTTTTCTACCTTACCCCTCAATCCGGTAGCCACGAACTCAAAAATCAACAGCACATAATTCTCGGACTCCCCTCCGAAGAAATGGCAGCGAGCGCCCGGTAACAATCGGTCAGTTGGCGCCGTGTTGTCATTGTCGTTGTTTTACTTGCTGGCCTTGTCTCTGATGACGCGCAGCCCGAATAATGGAGTGGTGTGGGGCTTTTCGCTGGGGCTTGGCTGTCTCGCCGACCTTTTACGGGGCGGGTTAGGGTACGTACCGTAACGTACTGTATCCGGTGAAGCCCGGGGACTGTTTTTGGAGGAGAGTTTACAATGGTTAGTTACCCTTTGTGTAACGAGTGTACGCGGTACTGACCGGGGTTTGTCTCACTCAGATCCCCCCACCGCTGGGCTGGCGAGTAAGACAAGCCCGACCTTAATGTTGTCACCGTTGGACTTCGCTGGGTGATGTGGTTGGTTGGTCGGATATCTCTGATGAATCTAGGGATGGATGGGTGACAGCGTAACTGAGTGACTGAGGAGCTGAATGGCCGAACAGCTGAATAACCGAGTAACTGAGTCGCCGAATAAACTACACGTGTAAGGGACTGAGTGATTATGCGACGAGGACGAAATAGTGGATGGCTGAATCCCCGAAGAGATGGTGGGTTGACTGTCTCTTCGGGCTCTGAGTTGTTAATTTTCTTCGGTTCTCGTGCGTCGGCTGTCGGCTGTCGGTCTAGAAGAGATAGACTTCATGTGTGAAGCCCGAATTGGTGGGCGCATGAACCTGAACCTGGACCCCGAGTTGTGATGGAGAAGCGGTGGGGACGATGAAGTCGGGCTTCAGGGAAAGGGCTGATGAAGTTGGTAATCAATAGGTCTTGATGTCTCAAACGAACAAGCAGCCTTGTCGTTACCGAACCGGGCTTTAACATAGGCCCGGTCCAATATAATCAATGTTTTGCTATAAGAGTCAACCTCTCTTCTTACTGGACCGGAGTCTTTGTCTGTGTAACTTCTCATCGCGCCCCATACTGTCGCCATCATGAGTTCCTCCTCTGCAGCCTCCTGTGGCGGCGACCAGTCGCCAGCCAGCAAAGAAGTCCAGACTATCGACGCCGACATCGAGCGTGGGGCTGACTCCCACTTCCTCAACACCACCGTACGCTCCCTCGCCTGGAAGGGCATCACCGTGACCGTCAAGGACCGTGAGACCGGTCTCCCCAAGAACCTCGTCGACAACGTTGACGGTTTCCTCGAAGCCGGTTAGTCCACCCCTTCCCATCTCATCCTCCCTTCTTCCTCCAACAATCCAACCCCTTACTAACCTCGGCAATCCTCCCCCCTCAACAGGCGAAGTCCTCGCGATCCTCGGCCCCTCCGGCAGCGGCAAGACGACCCTCCTCAACCACCTCGCCACCCGCCACCAAACCTCCGCCTCCTCCACCTCGTCAGCCTCCTCCCAGGGTACCCTCCTCCTCAACGGCCAGCCCCTCCCATCCATCTCCACCCTCCGCTCCATCACCCGCTTCGTCGAGCAAGAGGACTCCCTCGTCGGCGCCTTGACCGTGCGGGAGACGCTTGCTTTTACCGCTCGGTTGTCTACCTCTTCTTCTTCGTCCTCTTCTCCCTCTGGTGGGTCGACGAAAAAAGAAGCATGGCGCGACCGCGCCTCCCGCATCGAAGCCCTGATCGACGCCTTCGGCCTGCGGAACCAAGCCGACGCGCTAGTCGGCACACCGCTGCGCAAAGGGATCAGTGGCGGGCAGAAGCGGCGGTTGGGCGTAGCATGCCAGTTGGTGACGGCGCCGCGGGTGCTGGTGCTGGATGAGCCGACGAGTGGGTTGGATTCGGTGGCCGGGTGGGAGGTGATCAAGTTTTTGGGGGAGGTTGCGAAGAGGGAGAGGCTTATTGTGATTGCGTCGATTCACCAGCCTAGTACGGCGACTTTTAATCTTTTTGATAAGATCTTGCTTATGTCTCGGGGCAAGACGCATTACTTTGGTCCGGTGCGGCAGGTCGCGGGGCATTATGAGGCTATTGGGTACCCGATACCGTTGCATGTCAACCCGGCTGAGTTTCTGCTGGAGATGACTAACACCGATTTTGCGGTGGACCGGGACGAGGCTGGCCGGCGGTTGGAGGCGATGCAGACCGCGTGGACTACCTCCGAGGCTGGTAAGGCGGTGCGTGGGGCGATTGAGCGGGCTGAGGGGGAGGGGGAGAAGGGGTCTGGAGGAGGTTTGAGGGAGGTAGAGGTTGAGGCGGCGTCGAAGAAGCCTGGGTTGCTGAGTGTCGTGCTGACGCTGCTGCATCGGAACTTTGTGAAGAGTTATCGGGATGTGGTTGTGTATGGGATTCGGCTGGCGATGTATTTTGGTAAGTTCTGCATGAGATCTTGGAGAGTGTTGGTTGTTGAAGGTCGACGTACTGATATGTGGTGTGGTACCAGGTCTTGCCATCATGATGGGTACCGTCTGGCTGAGGCTGGATGCCGCGCAGGAGTCCATCATCCCCTTCATCAACGCCATTTTCTTGTAAGCTTCCCCTTTCCCAGCCCTTTGATGGAGTCATGTGTTAACAACACCACTGCAGTGGCTCGGCATTTATGAGCTTCATGGCCTGCGCCTACAGCCCGGCGTACCTCGAGGACTATATGCAGTTCATCAAGGAGAAGCGCAATGGCCTTTCCGGGGCCACGGCCATGATCATCTCCAACTTTCTCATCGGCGTGCCTTACCTGTGTATGAAACCATCCTTATCCTTTTACCTGTCCACGTGGATTCCAACTGACACTCTAACCCTCACAGTCATCTTCTCGCTCATCTTCTCCGCCATCACATACTGGCTCTCCAACTTCCAGCCGACCGCCCAAGCCTTCTTCACCTCGGTGCTGTGGATCTTCCTGGACCTCGTGGCCGCCGAGAGCCTGGTGGTGCTGCTGGCCTCCATCTTCCCGTCCTTTGTCGTCTCGCTCGCGCTGATCGCTTTCGCCAACGGCTTGTGGATGAGTGTTGACGGGTTCATGGTGCCGCCGACGATTCTCAACGTGTTTTACCGCTACGTCTTTCACTTCTGGGACTACCAGAAGTATGTGTTTGAGAACATGATGGTCAATGAGTTTAGCGAGCGCGTGTACACGTGCGCGACAACGGCCACTGGGTGCCAATGTACGTTTCTGCGCGGCTTCTTTTCCTCCTCTCCTCTCGAACTGTTTTGGCCGAAACTGACAACCGAACAGGCATGTGGCAGACCGACCTCGCCGACCAGTGCCTCATTCGCGGGCAAGGTGTGCTGGACCAGTATGGCTATCAGCCGGGGTACATGGGCAAGGATGTCGGCATCATGATGGGTATCATTGCTGGGTACCGCATCGCCGCTTGGATCGTGCTGAAGCTCAAGAGCTAAACAAGCGCGTCATCGATGAACGGACTTGGTCAAGAATGGATGGGAAGAAGACCGAAAAGGGATGGTCGAAGTCTAAACGGTAAAGGTAATAATGTAGGCATATAATGCCAAATTTAGATCATAAATCTCTGCTCACAGCAATGCTGCAATATTCCGGATTTAATAATAAACGGATTAATTGTTCAACGTTCAACATGAAATGAGACCCGAAACCGAAGGTGAAAGAAAGAGAAACAAAGTTGACAGTGAGTGGGTTGGTGGGGTCGCTGAAACCCCACCGAGGCCCACCACCGCGCGCAGACCCTGGTCGCCCCACTTATCGCGTGAGAGAACGCGACGCTTTGGCGCCCTCTTTGTGTCTTTGAGCGCCAAAGTCGGCAGCGCAGCCTCGTCCACAACTTCCTTTTCAGGTTCTCCAGAAACACCCGCTCGACAACTCAGATACCCGTCGCGACCTACCCGCACCCCTCGCCGGAGCGGCGGTTCTGTCGCCTTAATCATGGAATTGACATCGCCCCTCACCACGCTCGGTAGCATTTCCACGCCCGAATCGTTTTACACGGCCCACGACTCGGCTGCCGATGATACAACACTGAGCAGCCCTGTGGAAGATGTCCTATTCTGGGAGGAACCAACGTATCGCCCTGCTGTCCAACTGCCACGCGAGCTGAGGCAGCATTGCCAGATCCATCTGGAGGAAGAACTCTGTCCGTTACCGGCTCTGCTTTTCTAATCCCAATCCCAAAGCTTCGTATTCTAACTCTCAACCTGCACACACACAGACGCTGCCGCAATCCACATCCTGTCCGGCCTCATCGCCGATGGCAGTACCACCTCGTCTCATCAACGCTCACGCTTCCCACCCCCAAAACAAAAACCGAGACCTGTCCTCGTCGCGCCTCCCTCTCAACTCGCCCTCCTCGCAACCCTCATCATCCACCCCTCCTTCACCTCCCGACCCCCAGAACTCACCCATCTCCACGCAGCCTCACAAGCGTTTTACTACCTCCGCGGTCTACTCGCCACAGTCGGGCCCATCAACGCCAACCTCAGCGCCGCATTCAGCTTTTCCAACTCCAACTTTGGCAGATCGACCACGACGACAACCACCACCAGATCTCACAGCAACCGACGACCAACTCTCTACCCACCCCCCGCCCCACGAAAAAGCACGGGAAATGCAGACGGGGGCAACGACTCCGACGACTCGCTAAGCTCTGACACCACTGCGCCTGGGCGGAAAAACGGTCCACTAGCCCCTGCACACCTGCTGTTTCGCCGCGCACCCGACTTCTGGGCCGTTTTGGGATGGACGTTCCGGTGTGCCGCGGAGGCGGGGCAACATCCACGCTGGCGTTACTGGAGTGTGTGGCTGGATATGATGGTGGAGGCGCTGGAAGCGGACTGGGATGGGAGGGTCACGCTTCAGAATGAGGGGGGTGGGAAGATGCAGGAAGAGAGTTCTTCGTCCAAGTCGGTGTTGCGGCAGGCGTTGATTGTGCAGTATGTGGAGGACCTGCAAAGGGAGAGGCGGAACTGTTTGCGGGAGGTGTTGAAGGCCGTCTTTGCTTTCAGTGATCCCGAGAATGGCGTGTCGGATCGGGCTTTGTTTCGGGAGGTGTTTGAGCGGGAGACAGTCGTGAGGAAGGAGGGCGCGCAGAGCAAGCGGAAACGGGAACAGGAGGCGGTCGTGGATTTGGAGAATGACCAGTTCGGGGACTACCTAGACGGGGACGATTTCGAGTTCGACGACGAAGACGACGAAGCGGGAACCGCCCCAGCAGCTCCCAGACGAGAGAGGCGGCCAGGCCGGAAACCCAAAGCCGCCAGCGCAGCATCATCAGCCGCCTTCACGCTCACCGACGAACTCGCCGAAACCGTGCCCTTCCGCCTGCGCATCTTCCGCCTCCTCTCCGCCGTGTCAGACGCCTTCCCCGACACCTTGGCCTCGGTCGGCGAGCTCTACGAGGGCTTCACCGACCAGGTCCGTTCCCTCCCACTGCCCATGTTCCGCCTCTTTGTCGATCGGATCGCCCGCGGCGTCGGCGGCAGTGGCGCCGCAGACAACCTCCTCATGGCCGAGTGTGTCCAGGTATCGTTTCTGCGCATGCTCATCGAGGACCTTCTCCCTGCGACACCACCACCGCCAGCAGCACCAGCGGCATCAGCAAAACAAACCCGCCGGAGTACTTCAGCCAGGCGCCAATCAGCCCGGAACCAGAATCAGAACCAAACCCAAGCCCAAACCCAAACCCAAAAACCCCCGAACGAAACCCCAGAAAATGATCCTGCTCCTACCAGCAACGAAGAAACAGAAACCGGCATAACCCTCCCCCTCCTACAAACCCGCTTCCTCCCCTTCGCAGCAAGCAAAGTCACAGCCCAAGACAACGCCAAGCTCTCTCTAGCCCTCGAAGCCATGATGACTTTTGTCTTTGCCCATATCGATGTGGCGTACTCGGCTGGCTTGCGTAGGGCGGTGGAGATGGGGATTCAAGCTAGGGAGGAGAGGGTTAATGGCGGTGGGTTGGGGGGTGGTGGAAGGAGGGGGAGATGGGTTGGTACTGGGGCTGGGGGTACTGCGGGTGGAGGGAGTGCTATGGAACGGGAGGCTAGGGAGGTTTTGGCACGATCGGGGAGGAATTTGAGGTCTTTAGTTGATGTTATTGCTGTTATGTCAGGGAGGTGATTTGTGTTGTGTGGGTTGACTGTCAGTGTCAGTACGAAAATATGTGGGAATGGGTTCCTTGTTTGGTGTTGATTGTATTTGGTTGGTTGCTGGATGGGATGGGTGGACGGCGTTGGTTTCCTCATGTTCTGATACCCCATGGACGCCGAGTTGTTTGAGGTTTTGCTGCATTTTTTTAGACCGGTGACTGGTCGGTGTGGGATACTCTGCAGGTTCGGTGTTGACTACCTACCTGTTCGGTTGCTCATCAAGCGGCTTGTTTTGTCTTGGAAAAATCTGGATAAATGGAATGACTGGATGGAGTATTGATGACTTTTCCTGTCCTGCCCTGCCATTACGCCATACCCTTATTACGCGTACATACAAATTCCCTAGTGGGCTCGGACAACCCGAATTGTACACTTGTTCACACAACCACCACTTTCACCTCTTCGCCGCTGGATCCCACGCCTTAGGCTGCCATGTCTCGCCCGGCGCACCCCTGGCCTGTTGCTGCTTCCACGGATCTGGCCCCTTTTCCGCTGCAGCGCTCTTCCTTTTGTTACTCTCCTCCTTCTGCATCCGCTTCCAGGTATCTTCTCGTTGGTTCACGATCTCGTTATCTCCCAATTTGACCCCTTGCTCCTGCCCTTGCCCAGTCCCGCTCAGCTCACCAGCATCAACTCTCCGTTTCGCCAGCTCACCCCCTTCCGTATCCAACGCCGGTTCCCTAACCCCCAACACCGACCCCTCCGAACCCCCCCTCCTCCCTCCAACATCCTCCATAACCCTCGGTTTAGCCTCCCACCTCGCATCCGCCTCAGCAGCCAACACCTTCATCCGCGCCTGCCTCACCACTTCAGCCCGCTGTTCATCCAGCGACGGCGGATCGGCACGCGTGTGTCGTAACCATTGATGCCAGGCCGGCGGGACGGTGACTGAGTCGTGGTGCGGTTTGTTGCTGGGGTAGCGGACGATGCGACGCCAGCGGATGTTGGGGGTGGTTCCTGGGGAAGGGGGGGATGATGGGGAGGAGGAGGAGGGAGGGAGGGGGGCGCCGCGGTCGAGGAATTCCCAGTAGGTGTTTCCGGAGAGGTCTTGGCCTGGCGAGGGGTTAGTAAAGCTTGGTTAAATGGGGGTGCTAGAACACGCACCAGCAAGAAATTGGCGCCGCCAAGGGAGTCGGAGGGATTTCCACTGGCGCCAGGCCCGCGTGAGCGGGTTTAATGGTTGTGGTGCAGACATAGCCCGAGAATCTCGAGTTGGTCGCACTAGAAAAGTGGCGTTTGATGCTGTCGAAAATGTTTGGAGATAGCTCCAGAGCTTCGAGGAGGTGGGTTCTTGCATGTGACGTCGGTGCCAAGCCAAGATGCAAGCCACAATTGACAGACACCAGCCTTAAATGTGGCTTGACATGCAATCACCCCGCCAAGGCCCCACTTCATCCCACCAGCCATTTGGCTGCAGCGGGGTGTGCCTGGAATGGCGAATGGCATGAATGGCAGATGTGCAATTTTAGGAGCCAGAGGAATGACGAACCCCGGGCCAATCTCGAGCCAATGCAACAACCAAGATTCTCTGCACATCGCCCGGTTGCCTTCCAGCCACCTTTCTGTTCTCTTGCAACAGCATCTCACGACTTGGGACATCCCCGCCATAAATCAATAATCGCCAGCACCGATTGCTCTCGACCCGCTGCACTACACAGGCAACGGATACGGATAGACGCTTGCTAATTCGACCCCGCCACCGGGACGCTCTCGGAGATTAGCTTGATTATCAGAGTACAGCGCAAATCCCTGAAGCCCAACTCGAGACGGCTTCCTGCTGCTTGAACCGTTCACACCTCCCACGATTTGATCCGAGCTGCCTCACACATCCTCCCACCTCGCAAATATCCTCATAACATTCGTCGTCCAAGAGACTCGCCGCTATGGCGTCGGTGTCGTCACTAGACAAGGACCTGCGCAGGCTGCGCCTCGACAAGTACACGCCTGCCGCAGCGAACGAGGCGAGACAATGGGTCGAGGACATACTAGACGAGAGGCTACCCGCAGGCGATCTGCTCGAGGCTCTGAAGGACGGCGTCGCATTGTGCAAGCTGGTAAACCTCGCTGTTGGCCCCCCAGGCGTCAAGTTCAAGAAGTCGGCCATGCCCTTCGTCCAGATGGAAAACATCTCGCACTTCCTGCGCGCCAGCCAAGCCCCGCCGCTCAACCTCCAACAACACGACATGTTCCTCACCGTCGACTTATACGAACAAAAAGACCCCGCCCAAGTCCTCCAATGCCTTGGCGCCTTCAGCCGCGCCGCCAACAACGTCAACCCCTCTGCCTTCCCCACACCCATCGGCCCACGGAGCGCGCGCGCTGGCGTCTTGAGCCCCGAAGCGACCGGCCCCACTACTCCGACCGGTCTCCGCGGCCGCGGTGTCTCCAATGCCAGTAGCAACACCTCCTCGTCCGTGTACGGCCGGCCCCCTGTTGCCCCCGCTCGTACGGGCGATTCCGCGTCCGGCCGCTGGAGCCCTACTAAGTCGCCCACGCAGCCGGCCGGCGCTTCCAGCCCCCCTGCCCCGGTCAGCAGCTGGAGTAAGAGAGAGCATGAGGGCGCCACATCGCCGGCCTGGAATATTGCCCAGTACGGGTACCTAGGAGGGGCTAGCCAAGGGAACTTGGGCATTGCGTTTGGCGGGCGTCGGCAGATTACCAGTGCTGGTCCGTCTGTTCCGAGCTTTGCCGAGAAGGAAAAGAGGAGGAAGGAAAAGGAGGCCGAAGCCGAGCGGCAGCGCCAAGAGGAAGAACGCCAGCGGCAGGCCGAGCTGGAAGCTGAGGAGGAGAGGGCGCGCCTGGAGGAGGAGCGCCGATTCGAGGAGGAGACTCGTCGTCAGAGGGAGGACGAGCGGAGGCTGCTTGAGGAAGAGAAGAGACGCTGGGAGGAGGAGGAGCGTGAATGGAGGTTAACGGAGGAGAAGCGGCGCAGGGAGGAAGAGGAGGCCAATGCCCGGCTAGAGGCAGAGCGGCGGACCGCACGCAAGAGCAACCCGCAGTTGCGCGGGCAGTTCCTCAGCCAGTACCAGGCCGAGCAGGAGACTCCAGACAAGGCGCGCATCCGAGAACTAGAGCAGCAGCTCGAGCAGGCCCGCCAACGCGAGGCGAGCTACGAGAAGGAACGTCAAGGGCGGTCCCTCCGGCCCGGCACCAGCGACGGTAAGAAGGCCCGGTCCCGGTCGCGTAGTCGCGCAGCGCAGCCCGTCTCTAGGCAGGATTCGTGGAGCGTGCGCGACGAGCGCAACTTCATCGCCAGCCAACGGCCCCAGCATCACCCGCAGCTCGAACAGCACGAGGAAGAGGTCGAGGAACCTGCCCTGTCACCTGCACGGCTCGCGTCTCCGCGACCACTCCCCAATCCAGCAGCTCTACCACCGCCTGCTGCGAAAGTTAAGGCCCATCGCACAGGCGAGGGACCACCGCCGCCTCTCCCGATCCGTTCGCAGCACACCGGCTCACGCCCTCTTCCCGATCCGGCTGCTGCTCAGCCTGTGCAACAACAACATTATCAACAACCACAACAACAACAACTTGAACAACCGCCCCCGGCACTCCCCGTCCGGAAACAACATACCGGATCCCGGCCTCTGCCCGAGCCCTTCGAGCCGGCGGCACCACCTACACCGGTGCGCAAACAACACACTGGCTCTCGTCCGCTTCCCAACCCCACGACGTACAGCTCGTCCTCATCCCCCGAAGCACCCCGCCAGCAGCGTCACCAACCACCACCACCGCAACAGCAACACAAAACGTTCTCTCCGCCGCCTCCACAACATCAAACTTTCTCCCCGCCACCCCCACAGCCCCAACAACAACTACAACAACAGCGCTTCCAACCCCCCAAACCATCCCCCGCCTCACCCCCCACCGCACCCCCCAAGAAAATGTCCCTCCTCGAACGCGAAATGGAACTCGAGCGCCAACGCCAGCGCGAATGGGAGGACGCTCAGCGTGAAACCGCCGCGACAGCCGCGGCCCAGTCCGCCGACGGCGGTAACCATGACCACGGAATTGACGGGATTGGCGGTGGGATCGGTGGACGCTGGGATGTGAGTCAGTGGACTGGGTTTACGGGGGGTGATAGTCAGAATCGCGGGGCGCAGGGGATTGGGGCGGGGAGGAGACAGATTGTTGGGCCGAGGCCGCTGCCGAATCCGCCGAGGTAGACACCCTATGTATATGTCGTGGTAGGAGGCTTTACTAGATGAATGGCCAAGGTGTTGCCGGAGATTGTGTGAGAGGAAACGTAGGTGTTGTTGTTGGTATTGGAGGATAGATTATAGAATTTGTAGTGACTGAGAGAATAAGACTGGGGTTATCATTCTACTTAGTGACCTGACGTTAGCTCATTTACTATAGTTGACCGAGACGTCTCTCAAACCAACAAAATATAAAATTTTATGAAAGTTTGCAAGTCAAACCAACAAAACACCACTTATAATCTGGCGTAATATAAAATGGATCGCTCCCTGTAGCAATTGACAACTTCTCACGGTATAAAACGGTACCCGTTTGCTGCAGTACTCAAGAGACATTTCCTTTGCGACAAAACTCCGTCTTGTGACATGATTCATGTAAGTGATTAACATAAGAGAGTATATAGCTAGTAGGTACGTAGGTAACTAGGTCGGCAATGTAAAATTATCAAACACACATCCCATTATACCCATACCCACGTCGCATATGATGATGAGCCAGTGAGGCCATTCCTTTCTTTTCCTTTTCCTTGTTCGACCGACAATCGACCGGCCACCCGCCCATTTTCCGACCCCATTTCCCTAGAATTCATCCCCCTTAGTCGTATCGTGTCAACATAGTAACTCGTACAACAAGACGTAAACCGTATCCCCCCTTTTTGAGCCTCCCATTTCCTTTTTTCCGGTCCCCTTCCTAAGAAAAACCCCATTGGTCCCCAGCCGATCCCAACACAGCTATGACGAACAGCCCCCTCTCGTACATACATAGATACATATACATGCGTACACAGCATCGATCCGCTGGGGATTACAAGAGAGAAACGGTACATGAGGGTATGATGGATACATGGATTAGAAAACGGGGTCAGGGATAAGACCAAACAATAATGAAAACAAGATCCCGAGGATAACTGGGATAGCTGGGATATCAGGACGGACGTTTCACCTCACCTCTTACATTCCGCCCCCCTTTCATGCCCCTCATGTCATCTCACATCCTCATCCCATCCCTCAATGAATCCCATCTCCCATCTCACATCAAACACATCAGATCTACACCCGCGTCGGCGCCTTCCCCCCCGAGCCCGTCGCCCATTTCCCCGCAGTAGTAGCCGCAGTCCCCCATTTGTTCGTAGTAGTAGCAGCCGTGCCCCATTTGTTTGTAGGAGTAGTACCCCATTTATTGGTAGGGGTAGTACCCCATTTGTTGGCCCCCGCCGTTGAAGCACCCGAGGGAGAAGAAGTTGATGATGAAGAAGCGGAAGAGGAAGAAGAGGGAGGAGGGGAGCCGTATGAGATACCACCGATGGGTTTCCGACGGAAGTGACCTGGCGTGGCGTCCAGGGCCTCAGTGACGGAGACCGGTTCCCGTTGGTAGCGGTCGACGGGGAGGAGTTGCGGGTAAGAGTGGTAGGGGCCTGTGGGGGCTGTTTTGGAGCGGCGGGTTGTGGTGGAGGTGGATGATTTGTAGAGTTGTTTTGTTGCTGTTGTTGTGGGCGCAGATGTGGTTGTGGTAGTGGCAGTTTTGCGGGTTTCTTTGATGATATCGCGGAACTCGGCCTCGTCGTTGCAGATCTGCGCGCGGATGAAGCGGGATTCGGTCTCGGCGTCTGCAGAGGCTGCGTTGCGAATCTGCTCCATTACCGGCACGCGCGGGGTGTAGGGGATATTGTCGAGCTGGGGCGCGTAGTCGGCGCGCGGGACGATAGAAGGGTCGAGGCGGGCGAGGTCGGGTTTGGCTAGGAGGGTTTGGATGTCGATGCTCTCGCCTGGTGGGATCGGGGTTGGGTTGGAGGGGGTTATGCAGTTCATGTCGACTTCTTTGCGCAGGACGGTGTCGATGTCGACGGCTGAGAAAAAGGCGCAGCTCTGCGGCAGGTCGTGGATGCCGACCTGCTGGGCGAACATGGCGCGGGTCCAGAGGTTGGCGACCTGCAGGGCCATGGCCGCGCGGTACTTGTCGTGCTCCTCGACGAGGTAGCGGATCTCGTCGTGGACGGTGATGGCCAGGCGCGCGGCCAGGTTGAAGCGGCGGATTAGGTAGTCCATGGCGACGATGAGCAGGTGTAGGTAGTCGACGCCGCTGGACTGGATGGCCCAGTTGATGCGGGATGTGAGGTAACCACCACGGCTGATGTAGCGGCTGTTGAGCGCCTCAGTGATGCCCGCGCCTAGGACTGGCGTGCGTGGGTACTCCTGCTCGGCGAACTCCTCTAGCATGTTGAACACGAACGACTCGGTTCCACCGCGCCAGAACGGCCGCTTGTATAGCGCCTTGCGGTTGGTCTTGGTCCCCTTGGTGGCCGCGTAGAGCTTGGTGGCGATCTGGAGCGTCTCCTTCTCGCTGAGGCTCGGGTTGAACTGCCGCAGCAGCTGCGCCGCGAACTTGAGCCCGGCGCCGTAAATGCGACCGTAGTTGAACACCTTGGCGTCGTTCCGTGTGATGCCCAGGATCGACGCTGTCCGGCTATGCAGATCTGTCCCGGCGGCCTTGGTGCCTTCGAGCGTCATGAACCCAATCGCGTTCCCGCCGTGGAGCCTGAACGTCGAATCGCCTACAACAGAGGCAATCCACAGTTCTTCCGAGTCGACATCGGCACCCACAAAGACGTGGCCTGGCGGTGCGCGGACCATGGCCTTGAGTTCCGATCCAACGCGGTTCTTCTTGGCGTTGGACGCCGTGAGCCAGGTGTTTTCGACAGCACGACGTGTGATTGTCCCCATGGGGATAATTTGAGGGAGGATATATCCGCGCACAGCTTCTTGGTCGGCCTTCTCATCCGTTTCTGTCTCGGCATCCTTCTTCTCGCCCTTTGCTTCTTCTTGGTTTGGTTGTTGTGCCATGGAGGATGGCAGTGTGTCTTCATAGACAACAAGCTGGGACTTGATCCTGTCCCGCGCGCTGATCCAATACGAGCATGATGCGTTCATTTCGAGGGCCTCCTTGGCGTAGGGGTACTCGGATGAAAGCGTCCCCTTCTCAAAATAGGCGAGATAGGACTTGGCCATGGGGTTGGCACACCGAGCTGTGGGACCATCTTTGTGGGGCAGCTTGAAGTAAAGGTGAGCCTTGTCTTCCTTCAAGGCCGCAATGGGCTCCTCGGCGAAATCGCACGGCACCATTAAACGCTGAGTGTACTCCGTGGCCTTCTCTCGGGGTACCTGGAAAGTCCAGCCGTATTTGTCGGACCAATATAGCGGGTAGCCGTCCCAGGATAACCGAAGGAGCAAGGGTGCGATCCGGGTGCGAACACTGATATTCGGTGTCTCGTCCTCGCTTTTGGCAAACAGGGCTTTGTACCACCGCGGCATACCCGGCTTTTTTTGCCGCGCTGCCGGTCGCTCCGGATCGCCCTTTTTCTTGCCCTTGACCATCCTGATCTCCTGTCCCGACCAATCTAGTTGTTGCAGCCACGGGTCGGTGCTCCATTTCTCCTCGTCTTTCCTGACATCGGCGGCCTTCTCCGTCAAGAGAATCAGCCGTTCCTGAACCGCGTCGGAGAGGTGCTTGTACGTGGCTTCCGCGTTGGCAATATAAGCATCCCAGGATTTGTTGACTGGCAAAATCACCGACGACAAGTGGCGAAGGGCCGCAAAGCTGACGGGATGAGGACACACCCGGAGGAAGTTAGGAAACACAATTTGGTAGACCCGGTGCGTGATGGCCACATCCGCCGCGCAGTACATCAGGAGCTCGTCGAGCTTCTCAAGCACGCCGTCCCGGTCCAGTTCGCCAAAAGCATTCCGTATCTCCTTGTCGATCGTCACGCCCAGGTGGAACTGAGCGACATCCCGCAGCGAATTGATCGAACTCCGTTCCACCCACAGCTCCTCCTCCTCGGCTGCCAACGCGCTGGTATCCATCGTCTCGATGGGGTTCGAGTCAGCCAACTGGGCGGCGCGCGTCTCCCGGTTCTTCTTGTGCCTCATCCACGTCGGCCGCTGCTGCGAGCACATGCCGTTGACGGCGACATGCAGCGACATGGTGTCGAGGAACGCATTCCGTGTCTGCCGCAGATCATATTCCTCCAATATCCGCGCCCGGTCAAACCCAATATTATGTCCCACAATCACCTTCGCCCGCTTCGGATCCCCCAGCGGGATCAGCTGGTGCTTGTTCTCCGTCTCTTTCAGCAGCCACGGCGATAACCACGCATACCACGCCTCCGGGGTCCCCGCGCAGGCCATGACCGCATACGGGTTATCCTTCCACATGACCTCGGTATCGAACACCATGACATTCCCCTCCGGCGCATCCACTGCCTCGGACCGGCCATCGCGGTAGTATTTCGTCCACCCACTCCGGTGCACCCATTCCCTCGGTTTCGGCGGCAGCGAGGACCTAACGAGCTGGTTCGCGTGGGTCAGGAAGGGCTCCGCGGCGTCGACGCCCAGCTTGTGGAAATGCTCGTCTAGCGTTTGGCCGGCGAGCGGCGGGAGGTCAAAGACCACGGGCGGGGTTCTGTCGGTCGCTTTCCCGTGCAGATCGTGGCGCTTTAGGTGGTCTTCTGCAAGCTTGATGAGCTCCGGCGTGGGCGGGGCGATATTGCCTTGGGGGAAAATTTGCTTGTAGATGCTCTGGCTCAGCTGCTGGACGCCGATCTGGTTGAAACGAGCCTCTCCAGGGAGTTCTACGGCGGGGTTTTCCTCAGCTGTGGGAGCAGCAGCAGTAGAAGCAGCAGCAGTAGCGGTTGTTGACTGCCATCGCCGCAGTGCCGCCGCCGAAGCTTGACTTGGGTGGCGCCGCCATGCGCTGTGACGCGGGGTGCAAGGTCGCGCGAGATGGATCAAGTTTGCAGTTGTGCGCGCATCTCGTCCGGGGAAGCCGCGGAGCGAAGAGAGCATCTTTTTGCACGGCGGGAGCGGGGCCCGCTCTCAAGTCATGATAGGTCGGCAGACAATCGAATGGCTGTGGTCGATTGAAATTTTGAGTTTTTTTTCGCTTTGTTAATCGTGATGGCGACCAGTAACAAGCCTGGAGTTGAGCCCTCGATTGGAAGAAAAGATTGACGGCCCGCAGCTGCGGTCACTCATCCATGGCCCCACATGGCAACGATGACGCTCGAGGTGCATGGGGGGCGGGGTGGAGCTGCATGGGGCATGGTGTTTGATATGCAGCTATCAGATATGCATGTATTTGCATCGAGAAAGCCTTCCTTTGAAGGTCCAGTTCCCGGATACCCTGTCAATGAATAAAGCACTTTGGGTGTGGGTTACCACTTTGAGAAAGGTGTCAATTCATTTTTCAACAGCTTGGAGGCGTGAAGCCACAAAAATAAATAAAGGAGGGAAGGAATCTACCGTCTCACCATCAGACCATCCCCTTGTCACCATCCGGCAGGTCTTCTGCTCCACAACAATGGATGAGTCTGTTTCACAGCCCTATCCTGTCGTGTAAGTCAAATAAAATAGTTTCTCTCCTAACTTAGGCACCTTGGTTGATTATTGCTCTAATGTACCACTGGAAAAGCACTGTGAACTTACTTTCCACAACAAACTAGACCACGCTGCAGGGTGTCTGGGGCATGTTAAGAGACCTCCGACACAGTTCTTTTCTACCATACACATGGAAGGATATTGAAGGCTGTGAAATTTCTGTCATTTCTACAGAATAACATTCAAGGTGTATCCGGATTTGGAATAAAAATTGAAAACACGATGGATTGGAAGCGGGATGGATGTGCCGGGGCCGTGGGGAGTCCGGTTCAAGAGTCCGGACCCGAACGGGCAGGAACAAGGCCAAGCAAGCCGGACAACCAAGGTCGTGACACCCGCTTCGTTCATCTGGAGCTAGCAACTCTACACTTACGCTCATCAATGCTGTTGTCCCCTCTTTCTTTTTCTCAGCTGTTACAGGGTTTTTAATTGGAGTCCCAATGTTTTCCCTTTCTCCAACCAACTTGATGTTGGTGCTGTTGGACCTGGGCAAGGTGACATTTCGGACTAGCCGCCAGTGTAAGTCCGTGGTGCATCCCACACATTTTCCTCTTATGGAACCAGCTCTACCTCCCAGCGGCACTTAATACTCCTTTGTATTTGTTGTTTGTGGATTGAAAAGAAGCCGGGCAACTCTCTAGGGCACCTTTGTTTAACATACTTAAAGACCTGTCCACCACAACCTCATCCCAACCACAAGCCCTACCCTATCTACTTAGTTGGGATCCCGGTCGACACACCCACACACGACAACGGAAGTCGTGAGCTTCAGCCGTGCACGCAGCTCAATCCTGTGGTTACGAACCATCATCTAGACGCCATGGGTGATAATTATTTCAATGGGACCCTAGACGACTTTTATGATGGTTCGTTTGTCTGTCTCAGTCAAAGCTCCCAGCGTTGGCTTTGTTTGCTGATCTGTAACCACCAAACTTAACCCTTTCCTCTTAGACCCGACCTTCTGGGATCTTGCGCAGTCTGCCCTATCTTTGGGTTCACCACCACCTTTTGGCCAAGCGCCTGCTCCTCAAGCTCGGCCGTCCCATGGAATACCGCCACTAGGCGTTGGGGCTCAATCCCAAAGCAATTCTCGAGCCTATTCTTCTGCTTTGGGGGATGTTTGGCAACAAAACGGCCCATCGCTTGATGTTTTCGGCGGTGGCTTCGCTGCAGGGCCCACTCAGGCCGCTTCAATGTCCGCTCATAGGCTGCCGCAGGCAGCCTCTTGGCGTCCCGAGCCTATTCGCCTCAGTGCATCATCGGGAAATCCAGAAACCCATGCCTTGCAGCGGAACGCGTCCGTGCACCACATTGGTTCATTCACCACAACTTCAACACCGCGCCACCCCACCACATTCTCTTCCTCCGTTCCTGCTCACAGCATTTCAAGCCAGCGCCAGAACCCCAGCGGATCCTCAGTTCTCAACAGCGCTTCTTCGGTCCTTAACCAGCGCCTGAATATACCTTCGTCCTGGACAAACAGCAACCAAACAAACCAAGATTTCAATCTCCCAGGTGTCGCTGGTCTCGCCGACCAGCCCACGGCCCGGACGGCGATTGCGACGGCCAACGATCACAGTCTCAGCACTCCCATACCCGCGATGTCATCGAACCCGCGCCGCGGGGGTGCCCGCTCCGCCGATGCGACCGCGCCATTAACCCCCGCACAACCCACCCAGTCGGCCGGTCCCACAACGAGAACCCCCCGCCGGAGCGCGTCTCGAGCTGCCCAGGCTGGACCGTCGAAGCGCAAGCGTGAAGACGATCTCGACGACCTTTTTGGTGACGGGGATTTACCGGGTAACCCGGTCGTTGATTTGGTCGACAAGGAAGAGATCCCCGCTGAGATCCTCCAGGCCCAAGAAGAAAAGAAAAACTATGTTAAGCTGAGCACCTTTGATTGTGTTATCTGTATGGATAATGCCAAAACTCTCACGGTAACTCATTGCGGTAGGCCTACCTCTACAGCCACTCTTTTCTCCCCGAAATGCCTTGTCCCTTTCTCACACCGATTCTTCTAGGCCATATGTTCTGTGCCGAATGCCTCGATACCGCACTCAACATGCAGAACGTTAGGCGTGTCTGCCCCATCTGCCGTCAAAAGATTGATGAGCCTCCTAACACGGGTAAATTCAGCCAGAGGGCAAAGGGCTTCTACCATCTCGAGTTGAAACTAGTGACAAAACCGAGGACGCAAGCACAACCTTCGCAGCCGTCACAAGTCACATCATAGGAAGAAGGTGGCCGGGCGGAGTCGAAAGACGTTCAGTCGGCGAATCAGTAGAACTTTTCCGACTTTTTCCCAACGCACCACAATCGATCGACCTACGCTGGAGGCTGAGCGCAGACGAACCTCCGACACCCCACCAAACCGAGCGACAAACGGGATCCTTATCTCAGGTGTGAAGTGTAGAGATGAAAGGTGCAAGCGGCGGTCAATTGATTTTTCTTTCTCCTTGTTTTCTCTATTCCTTTGTTTCTGCTGTCGTTAACCCGCCCTCGTGATTGACTCATCCGAGAGGCAAAGGGTTAACCAAGCACTCACTCGCCCTTGGAATTTCGGTTTGTTTTTTGCTTCTTATCTTGCATTTCATGGCCTTGCATTGCAAAGGGGATGGGGAGTTCGGTTGGAGCAGGTTCTAGGACAGGCACACGGACATAGAGGCACATGGTATGGGCCGGCATATGGGACAATGGACAGGACGCATACGGAACAATGGACAGGACGTTGGCATTTGGCGTTATCATGGTTTCATGGATTTCTACATGAGTGTTGTATACCCCCCGAGAACAATAGGAGGAATGTTTCGTTGCATTGACACCATGACAATGGTGGAGTGGACGGTGTTGGTGGGGAAGGGCGACTGAGCGATGCAGCGTCACGGGCAATATCGCTTGTGTAGTGAGAAGATAGCTGGATAGCTCACTGGTTAATTCCAGCGAATTGCTTGACTTGAGTGTTTTGTACGGATGTTGGAGTGCATACAAATGTGGCCATAATACACTCACTTGGCTGTTGCGCGTGATTGACTGACGCGTCGATCGTTATCAACATCGGCGTAGACGCTTTACTGGGGAAAAGAGGTGGTAGAACTACAATAATACGTGGGACAGCCCAGCGCCCAAACCTGAGCCCAACTACCATTCACAGCCTACATCGTTTAACTAAGGGTGTTCATTTTCCTCCTTCATTCCTTCTAGTACTTCTCAATACACTTAACTGCTCAGGCCCAGAGCGAAGGGGACCAAACCCAATAGCCGAGCTTTCTCTTACCACTAGTTGACCAACATTTATCCATCCCAAGCACAAAACCAAACTCTCTTCCTCCTCCTCTATTATTATTCTTCCCTCAGTGGAAAAGCGTAGTGTTCACCCTCGGCTTCTCTGCGGGAACCTGGCCTGACTCGAACTGTAGAGAAGTTAGTTGGCAAGAACAAAGTAAACAAAAAGAAGAGGGAGAAAGAAGACATACCTCCAAAAACCCCGTCGCAGCAATCAACAACATAAACGCCTCCGCCAACTCCTCCACCCTCTCCTCCAGCGCAGCCTGCGCTTCCACATCCGCAGCAGTATTCCTCCCCGACCGACTCGTCAACAAGCTGTCCCCGTACCCATTCCCTTGCCCGTGCCCATGTCCCTGGCCCTGACCCTGCCCCCCAACCATCCCAATCCCCGCACTCCGCTTCAACACATGCACAACCAACATGCGATGCTGCGTCAAAAACCGACGGCCCTGCACGATATTATGCGCGCCGCGGGCAAGCACAGCCGCGCCGACAATCCTCGCCAGCGCGACGAGCAACGTGTAGTGTTTTTCGAGGGCTCGGATGTTGCCCGCGTCGACTTGCAACTCCGGGTCGGCGGCAAACACGCCGGCGAGTTCGAGGGCGCGGAAGAGGTTGGCTTGGAGGATGTATTTGGCGCCATGGCGGGTTTGGGCGATTTGGAGGAGGAGGGCGAGTTTGGCGGTGAGGTATTGTTCGGTTTCGGTTTGGTGGTGGTGGGGGGTCATGGGAATGACGGTAGTAGTAGTGGTAGGGGTGATGATGGCGAGCCAGTCGGTGAGGATGGTTTTGAGGGAGTCGACGAGGACACCGAGGAAGTTGAGCCGGTTGAGGGCGTCGATGATGGTGGTGTCGTCGTCGGCGGTGCCGATGCGGCGCGAGGTGTGGACAAAGGCGGATAGGAGGACGGTCGCGGCTGTTTGGCAGGGGGTGTCGCTGCCGTAGGCGTCGTCGCAGATGACGTTGAAGAGCCGGTCGCCGTGGAGCTGGATGGCTTTGAGCGTCTTGGCGCGCGCCGTGACGATGCCGCGGGTGCGCGCGCCGGCTGCGGCCGCGACCATGTCTTTGTCGACGATCGCTGTCAGGTACCGGTAGCAGATGGTGTAGTAGAGTGTCCGCAGTTCGGAACTGCCGGCCCATTTGCCGATGGAGCTGAGGCAGATTTGGAACAGCTGGAACAGCTTGTCGCTCATGAGGGTGCCAATGGTGAATTTGTCCTTTTCGGCCGTCGAGGCCGAGTTATCATCGCCGTCAAAGTCGAGCTTGAAGAGGAGCACCTTGGCGACTCTTGCGAGCTCCAGCGCCTCAGCCGAGCTCAAGCTGTCGTGTGCCTCGAGGCTGGGGAGAATTGCTTGCAGCGCTTGTAACAGAAACGACATCTTGGTGGTCCCCTTGAAGTCGTTCGCCTCGGACATGACGAGGAGTAGCTTCACCCATGATTTGAGGAGGATGAGTTTTGACGCGCTGAAGAGTTTTTGACGGTTGGTGACCGTCAGATACTCCTCGAGCAGCCTCTCCTCCGCCTCGATGGCATCGAGGTGTTGTTGAGGAGCCAGTTGGACCGTGTCTCGGAACTCATTCCGCTTCAATGCGATGGTCTCTCGCACCTTGTGGATGTCGTACTGCAGGCCAGCTTGGGGATCTTCCACGGCAGACGGCCGGAGGTCGAGATCCTTGTAGAAGGTAAGTTGCACCGGAGGGATGTCCCAGTTGGCATCGAGGCTGAGGAAGTCGAAAAAGTCAAAGACGTTGGCAACGCTCAAGGACTCCTCGCCATCCATCTTGATTTGCCCGTTCAGGGCCTCGAAGATGCGGCGTTTAATAGACGGTATCCTGTTCTGTGAGACGCTGCAGAGCTCCTTGCCAATGTACTCAAAAATCATCGCCCGCGCCCCGAGGTAGTCAATGTACGCGATGGAGGCATTCGATAGAAGGAAATCGGCGTTGCCGGCTTGTAAGTCGTCCCATCGTAGGTCCGGCAGGATCTGAACCTCCCGCATCAGCATGTGGAAGAGGAAGTTGGTCGCCCTCAGTTCGTCCATGACCAGTGACGCGGACAGAGGCGACTTCCAGAGAAGCTGGAAGATGCGCAGGATGCGGTACTTCAAGGTGATCAGGTACCCACGCATCCCATGCTCCTCGTCATGTACCGAGATGCTAATGATGATGTTGAGAAGGCTGTGAAAGAGAGACGATTGACCCTCAAACGCGCCCTTTGGATCAACGCTGAGCCTGTTAAGCTCACACTGGAACCCGAGGAGCAAGTGCGCGATAGTCGGTTGATCCGGCGTCGCTTTGAGACATTCGTAGATGAAGTCAACGATGAACAGCTTGACCACATAGTTCTCCGAATCGGGTCCCAGGGCTGGGTCCAGCGGGGCAGAGGCATTTGCGGCAAGCGAAGCCGCGATACTCTGGCCCTCGCCGCCCCTCTCTAGTTGGACAATCGCCTTATTCCGGTGACCGTGGTGGTGAGAATCAGGGCCCCAAGCCGAGATGATCTTGGGGGAGGTGGAGATTTTCTCGAGCAGCTTCAGGCAGGCGAGCGTCAACTCCCCATGCCCCAAGTTGCAGTACTTGCCCAAGTCAACCACCAAGCCCAGATGGCTCAATAGGCCGTCCTCGAACGTGCCGAAGGCAGAGTTTGTCACGGGGGCCCGCCTTCGCTTAGATTCCGCTTCGATCACGGGCCTTACAAGGTGGAGGTAGGTTTCTTGCAGGTCGAGCGCCTTGATCATAACCTGAATACCTCGGAGAATGCTGAGAACAAGTGGCGAATCCGGGGATGCGCTGCCCAAACTGACAGGGTCCTGGTGAATGGTACGGATAAGGGCGGTAATCACCTTTTCGTTGAACAACCACTCCATGACGCGGGCGAAAGGATGGAACCGCACATAGGTGGCCAGGTCGGTTGTCGACATAGCCACGTCAATGGCAATATTGCTTTCGTTGCCCAGGATGATGAGGTCCTCGTTGAACGTGGACAGGCAAGTCATCGCGAATTCGAGACAGCTTAGGCGTGTCGCCCGGAGTTGTGCTGGGTCTGCGACTTCAGACGACTTCTGGGAGAACACCCGGAAAACAAAGTCAACATACGGTTCCATCCCTGGGGCCCGAACGCTGGTAGTCAGATCCTCGGGGAACGTCAGGCTGTCGTTCAGCCCTTCCGGACCGTCCAACGGCGCGAAGAGAGAGGTGAGAAGCTGGATGAACGCGTTCGACTCCTCAAATCCGTCGCTAAGTTCGTTGAGTAACGCCTCCATGTGCCCTTCTGGGCCCAGAGGTTGCCCACTATACGTTGTTTTCTGCTGCCCACCGGGGTTCGGGAGCGTATGAGTAGCCCAAGCATCGACATACCGCCACAACGAGTCATTATCGTAGGCATTCTTCTGCGTCATCAAGGCCCTGAGAACGTAGAATATGCAAGCACGGAGCCGTCCTGATAACGGGCCGTCACCAAGCTTGAAAAGTATCTCAACTAAGCGCATCTCCTCGTCGTTCATCATCCTTTGCCGAGCAACTGCGCTCTCGGTGGCCAATTTCGCGATCAAACGCAGGTAGCACTCCAGCATCAGGGCCGACTCGGGCTCCGTTTCGGAGAAGTCTGCACCAGATTTGACCGGCCTCTGTATGACGTTCGTCGATGTTGGCGTGGTCGGGTCTCGGAGCTTTTTTGTGAAGTAGTCCAATTCCCTAAATATCTGGGACCATGTCAAGGATTGAGAGCGCTTCATCTTGCCCGACGCTTGGTGGGTTTCGTCGAGGAGAAAGTTGTGGGCAGCGGTAGCACACTCTTCGTTATCCGACAGACACTGCAGCATCTCACAGAACGCGCTGACAAGCGGCGTCGATGCCCGTGTCGATGCCCACTGCAAGAAACCGGCTAAATTGCTGTCGGGGTCGTCCCAAAAAGACATAGCCGCATCAGGCCGGCCTTCATAGGCATACGAAATGATGATCAAGAAGCGCTCCAGGTCGAGATCTTGCTCGTGAGTCTGGCTGAGCTGGCGTTGCTCGTCCTCCTCCGTTCGCAGCTTGCGGAGCATATCCGGAAGGTTGGAGATGGAGGCCTCCACAAAACCCTCCAGATGAACCATCAGACTCTGTTGGAGGAAGTGGCTGAAGGGGAAGGGCTCTGAAGCCAGTGGCGGGGACTTTCGCTGCAACCACTGGCGCATCCCAAGGCGTGATGGGTCCTGCCATTCCTGAGCCCTGCAGTCAGCGGCGACGGCCAATATGAAGTCGAACGCGCCCTCTTTCAACACCTCGACGAACTGCTTGTTCCTCTCGTCATCTTCCTCGTCTAGGTTGATGCCCTGTAGGTCGTAGGCCGTGTCGTCCGAATACCACCCACTGTGCTCGACAATCCACCAAGCTCGAACGGCCGCGCCAAGGTACGGGAGGGCCCACGAATCGTCGGACTGCTTGCAGATGAGACCATTTAACTGACGAGCTTGTTGGAGGTCGCCCATCCCCTCGGTTGAGCCAAACACTGAAATATAAGCAGCGAGAACAGGGAAGAGGTGAACTGCAACCAAAAAAAAAACAACACGTTAGCCAAAAATCTCATACATGGCACAGTGGATGGTGCAACATACTTAGGAAATGGTCGTATCTGTCTACTCTCTTGAGAGTCCTCAGAAAGTCCTGAAAGTCGTTGACGGTGACATGGCGCTTTTCGACCGCGGCGTGCAGGATGGCTGCCAGGCACTCGTGTTGCTCAACAAGACTTGATCTTGAAAAGTCTAGTGTTTCCTGGTTCTCTGGTGCTCCCACCAAAGCAGCGTTCTGCAAAAGGCTCCGGGCAGTCGCCTTCTCCGCCATGCCTTGTACCATGGCCCTCACATTCTGCAAGGCCTCCATGATTCTCGTAACAGCCTTTTTCCCGCTTGCTTGGGCCCCTGACCCCGGGGGTGGAATTCCGAACACTTTCTCTTGGGCGATGATGCCGAATCCATCTTGTAAGCCGGGATCTAGGTCCTCGTCGCTAGCAATCTCGACCATCAAGCGCATGCAGTCGAGGAGATATTTTCGTTCTTGATGGAATCGAATGATGGCGCATTCCCATAATGGCCGGCTCTGTGTCTCGGGATCTCCTTCGGCATCGCAATCCAGTAGAATCCTCGCGGCCGCGAGTTCGTCCAGGTCCAAGTCGTCGGCCACTTTGAGACAGTCATTGACAAAATCTTCGTTAACCGCGTATTCCTCGTCCTCGATTTTAACCTTGCCTAACCTCAACAGTCAGCAATCTTCCAACCCTACATGGTTCCACCCAGTCCATCGAATCCATACCGGTCCCCAATGTTTGCCTGTGAGCCGAGTTCCGTGGCGGCTTGTCGATGAGTTTCTCAAATGCATTTCCTTGCGCTTCTAGGAGCCGCTCGAAAGTCGGGATTCCGTCATATCGGTGTTGTCGTACAGCCACCAGCTCCCCATGCAGGGCCTGGAGGGCTTCAAGCGCGCGCAGTTCAGACATGGTCGGCGGGGCGAGCAGCGCCTCTGCACATTCTTTTCTTCTTCGTCGTAGTCGTTGATCCTCCCAAGCTCGCCGGCGCCAGAAGATATCACGCGTACTGGGTGAAAGCAAGAATCGTCGATGAGTATCCTAGGTATCCCGGTATCCGATTCGCTAGGCAGCCGGCTGAGTTAAGGAGTTGGTGCTGTTGGGTGGAAATGTCAAGATTTCGAGAACCGCGACAAGCTCAGGCCGACCCGCGCCAAGTTCCCTTGCCTGCCGATTGGCGATTGGCGATTGGCGCCAAACCCACCCCCGTCAACAAAAGAATTAGGCGGTGAACGGTTCTGCCGTAGCGCTACCCTGCAGGTGCTGTGGCCTGGGGCGACAGTGGAGCCTGGGACTTGGTTCGTCCACTCTCACCTGAAGTCCATGGAAACACCAGTTGAATGGGAGAGTGGTCATAGCTCCTCGGAATTCCGCCTTGCCATGAGACGAGCCTGCCTGTTGCGGCTGGAATGGTTGTTTCCAGGCAAAATACAGACTAACGTGAATTGCGGGTTTATTTTAACAGTCAAGATAAGCTAGCAGCCTTCCTCTACTTTCTATGTTGTTCCCCGGACGGTTTACCACAAGGGCGTGACGCTGAGCCGGACTCCAGCGGCAGCGGAATAAGGCTGGCCGGAATGAGCCTGACAAAACAAAACACCCCTGTGTCGCGTGGTGATTTTCTACGCCAATACAACAGAACATTTGACACTTTGGGGATGGCTCTCACTTTCAACTAGATCACTTGATGGGCTTCTTTTTTTCTCCTTTTTTTCGGTTCTTAAAAACAATCAATTGGTCATCTCGCCCTTGTCCCTTGGGTCCTGCTCGTTAGCCATCGATGAAGACTTTCCACCCGCAGGCTCAAGAAGTACAGGGTCGCTGCCTCAAGAAAGATTGAAGATCAAGAAGTCGCTGGCCCCGTAACGGCCGTTCGTTTGAGAAAGCAAGATGCCACGGCAACCGAAGGCGTATAACGGTGACAGAGTCAATTTCAAGCAGCTTGCTAGTAGGTGACACGATCAACCAAACCAATGGTTCTCAAGTGAAATGAGCCCGCCAGTTGACGCGAGATAACTCCAACAGCACAACTCACCGATAGGGCGATCAAAACACGAACGGATGCTCTTGATGGTAGGTTTCACGATTCGACCTCTTGAGGTATGAAATAAAATGCTAAAGGGGGTATCTCGTTTACAGATTTAGCGGCCTTCTTCAAAACCCTTGACCGCGGGTCTCAGAGCCAAAGGTACATCGTCAAATCCGTCGTGCCGCGAGTCTCATTTTGGTATATTTGGGTCTGCAAAGGCTAACCGACCCAGGAACGTCTTTGACGACAAGTCGTATCACTCACTCTATGAGGCCATATTCCGCTGCACGCTTATTGAGAAGGAAGCCTACTTCTCTTCTAAACGAGCCCCAACGACACGGTTGGCGAAATGTGGCGACGTCTTGCGAAATGCCATCCGCCATGGAGCGCCCAAAATCAAGCGAAAGACATCGAAGGCCATTATTGACCACATAACCCAAATCCTCGTGGGCCCTGACGACGAATACTTTGCGCCTCTGCTCAACAACTACGTAAAGACTCTAATCAGCTTTCTGGAAGTTCCCACGAACGTTGAAAATATTGTCGTCAACGAGAGCTGGTACACATGTGTCGACTTCTGTATCGATGGTCTTACCCGTTACCTCGAGACCGGTGATCGGGACAGCGGATCCTTGAACCGTGCCTCCCCAGCTCCAGGAGCCATCACCAGGGCTGGTTCTGTCGCGCCTACACAGGCATCTGGCAATATTGGGGGCCAGGTTGCACTTGACTTTTTATTATGCCTCAACATCCTCGTCTCGGCTCAAAATGCACCGATACTGGGAAAGGCAGACAGGATAACTGGTGTGGCGCTGCGGATTCTGCAACTTCGCCAGATGAGAATCGGGGAGTTCCAGAAATTGGCCTTCTCGACAGTTAACTTGGTCTTTGAACGGATCCAAGCCAACGATGTTGCGCTTTCCAGGAGCCTAGCTAGTTCCCTGATTCCCCTGGTCTCGTATTGGTGGCAGCCCCGAGCTCTTTCACGCGATGCGATGTTGAACTCAGTCCGTGATGAGATGCTCAAGACCATCTATGGAACCCAGCTCTATGTCGAGAGCTTGCTTCGGGAGTCCACCGATGACTCCTTCTTCCAGGATGTTGAGGACCTTCTGGATTCCCTGTGGACTGACTACTCCAAACGTGAAGACCGCGCGCGGCTTCAGCTGGACGACGTAACTTTCACGAGGATGCGTCTGCCCGCTGACCACCCCCGCACACCGGTTTTCAGTCTGCGTCCCTACAACCTAGCCGGGGAGCAGAACTGGGCCCTTCTGGAGAATCTCGCCATTTTGGAGGCAGCGTATTCGCGCTACTCCCAGCGAGAGCATAGTCAGCAGCATCCCGGCCATGACCAGCCTCGGAAGAGACGCCGGGTAGCCGGCAGCTCCAACAGGATACACCAGAAAATCAAGTCCCTCGACCCCGCTGTTCGGCTGACCGCGCTTCAACTGTTACCGTTTTTGGCGAAGCAAAGACGTCCCCTCCTCGAGGATATCGTCGAGGCCATAGCCGACCTGTCCAAGTTGGTGACGGCGAAAGAGCCAGTGGTGGCATCCTGGGCAATGATCGCTTGTTCAAGGTAAGTAGCCCAAGGTCAATGGCGCCTCCCTCATAGCACTGACTAATGGTCTCCAGTTTTGCTGTCGATGAGGCGTCACATCATGCATCACTCAGCGCGTCTTGGAAACATCTGTGGCACCTTGGCGTGCGAGCGTTGTCATTACCACCGACGAGTCGAGCTGCTTGCGTCCTCTTGCAGTCGATCCTTCAAGCAAACCTCATCCCTCGGCATGAGATTGCGGACGATATCAACCAAATCGTGACAACGGCGGACATCAGCGGCCCATCAGTGCTGGTTGACTCGTCGCTCGCTCTCATGTTGAGCCTTCTGCATCTACGAAACAACATGTTCCCCAACGCCAGCCAAGCCACGTCAAATCACATTATCCGATGGATATTTGTGAGATGGAGTCCCGGTATGTTAAGTCTTGCGCTATGCCCCTGAATCTATGTTCTAACTTGACTCTCAGCCGAACTGAGTTACGCCTCTTTTCATGCCATACACGCGACACCGTATGACATTGTCAACCTCCTGAAAGCTTGCTACGGGGCGCCTGCTCTGGCCATGCCAGTACCGCTCCGCTTATTTGGCGGGCACCTTTCCCAATTCTGGAAGGGTCAAGCGCAAATACAACCTTTCATCCGGTATCTGCTGCTGCTGGACCAGGAGGGCACCGAGGCACCCAGTTCACCTTTGGCAGACGAGCAGTCCCCAGAACCGCCCGCTTCACAGCACGCAGTAGATCCATCCGGGTCACATGCTGCAAGGAGACTGGCCCTCGAGCTATTGTACCCGAAGATCGAAGAGCTGCACCAGGTAGCCGAGTCATGGCAAAAGCGGGGAGAAGGTGCTGTCCCTGTTTCTCCTGAACGGCTACAAAGTATTGTTCTCGCTTCCTTGACGGCCGCTCTTCTGCTACCAGAGCTAGCCAACTTGAACTCATCCGCTTCTCGGGACCTTGAGACGGCACTCTTTAGTACCGTCGATGCCACGTTCCAAGTTATGCTGAACGCGCCGTCGAGTGACAATTCCTTTGACCTCGTCCTGGCATGCTCTGCCGCCCACATTCCCCCCATCAAAGATGCCGAGCTAGGTTACTTGAAGCGAGAAAGACCCCATCTGATCCGACTTTTCGGCAAGCTTTCCGATGCATTGCATGAGCGATCGCGTCGGGAATCCTCCCTGCGCAACTCGGATACTGCGGATATCGATGACGAGTTTGAGTCGCAGACAAGCCAAAGCAGTACGGCATTGAAGAACAAAACGTTACCGAGGAGGGATATGCTCCTGTCCCACACCCCGGAGTCGTTCTACTTGGAGACCAGTCTGCGGGTACATATGCTTGAGGTCATACGCAAAGATGACGGGGAGATCGGGCGTGTGCCCGAAGATATTGTGGATCAACTCGTCGAACTCCCCAACGAACAGTTCTTGCTCTGTCGAGTGTTCGTTCGAGAACTTTTGACATCGGACCCCATGGTCACGCTCGACTCTGCCACCAGACTTGTGGAAACGGCAGGGAACCTAGTCAGCCTAGATGAGTGCTGCGAAGTAGCAGTCTGCACTTTCCTAGACGTTCTGGACGGGTTGATCAGTATGTGGACCGACCCAAAGCTGGAGGAGATCGCATCCCTGGCTGGGGATTTCTATCACCATTTGGTGAAACACTCCCTAAGCAACAACACGCTCTCTCCGGCCGCTCAAATCCAGTTCTCTGGCCTACTTCTTCATTTATTGGAGGCCAGGCCGACGTACGCAGCCACCTTGGATTTACCATCGTCCCGGTCAACTCTTATGACTATTCTTCAAGATGGAGTCGCGGAAGTCAAGTATTCCATCGGACGGAAACTCCCCGGCGTCTTCGGATTGTATGTCCTCAAAACGCACGATGATATTTTCGTCGACGTCTTGAACAGCCTCCCCTCAGATCCGCACAACACCGAAGGCATTGCGTTTCGGCTATTCGTGCTTGCCGAGCTCGCATGCCGATGGCCAACTCTCCTACGCCGATGCATCTACCACATTTTCGAAACGCCGGGGAAGATCACGCAGTCGGGAAAATATGCGGCGAGCTGCCTGAAGACCATATCTCGGACTCTGAACCTCGACGGGCCCCAAGAGCTGTTCCGGCTCTTTGCTCCCCAGCTTCTCTACACCTGGCTCGAGGCGGGTTCCATTCAGGAGATTCCATTCGAGACATTCAGCTTCCCGAGCCTCAACGACCTACTCCACGACGCCCAGACCGAAGCCGCGGCCATTATGTTCATGCGGGGCCAGGAGCAGGAGGCGCTAGATCTGGCACAAGTCCTGGGTCTAACGCCCGAGCAGCTAGTCCAGCAAAGCTTCACCAAGATCATTGCCTACAGCATTGCACATGATATCAGCGTCCCCGGCGGTGCGATTTACATCACAGGGGAGAGCCGGCTGAGGAAGATTCTCGGAAAGGAAGGGTTCCTTTCGCAGATCCACCTCAACTTTGCCGACATCATCGCCACGTTCTTCGACGTCTTTGATCAAGACGATCCCATTGAGAAGGCATTTCGGCGTGACGAACGGTTTGCCTACGCTGCATACGCCATGGAAGACATCAAGAAACTTGGCCACTTACCGGCTTCGCTCCCGCCGAACCAGCAACCCATGTTCAAGGCAAAGTACTTACCCAGGGAAATCCTCCACCTGTGCAGCCGGACACCATACGAGCCAGAAACCCTGTGGACGCCCGCGCTCGTAGTCTTCGTGGCACGCAAGCTTCTAAACACCATACACCCGGCACTAGGCCCGCTCCATGCCTGTTCCGTTCTGCGCAAAATCCGGGTCCTAATTTGCATGGCCGGAGATAATGCCACATCGGCGTACCCCCTGGAGATGCTCCTGCAGTCTCTCCGCATGTTTCTGGTAGACCCCGAGTGCGCCGACGATGCCCTGGGTATCACGCAGTACTTGGTCGTTAAGGGCGATCATCACTTGCGACAGGCGCCGTCTTTCCTCGCTGGGTACGCACTGTCGAGTTTGGCGGACCTCCGGGTCTTCCTCGAGTCGAGCCAGTCCAGCACGACGCAGGAAAGCCAATTCAAGGCGACCATGACAAAAGCCCAGCTCTTTCATTCTTGGTTCTCCAAGTACCTGGCCGGGTATGATTCCCCGGCCTTCCAGGACGAGGCGCAGAAGCTGGCCTTTAAGTCTATCACGCAGTCGGCGGCGCATATCCGCGTGTCGGGTAACGCCGAGAAAGGAACGCACGAGAGTAATCTGCTGCTGGAAATCCTAGAAGACTGGGCCCGCGAAAACCAACTGCTTAACGAACCAGCTCGTGACGTGGCGCTCTCCATGCTCTGCGGGGTGTTCAAGGTCCCGCCGTCGAACCGCTTCGACGTCATTGACAGTGACGAGGATGCGCTGAGTCACGGCGCGGTGGTCTGGAAAAGCTGTGCCTCGCAGAACCTCAGCGGAGAATACCTCGCTTGGGCGGGCCGAGTCCTTGGGCGGTCGTTTGCGGCCTCGGGTGATGTGCCCGATGAACTCCTGCGGGAGTCTCGGCTTAAGGAATACCGCAGGTTGTCGTTGGATATTGGTGGTTCGGAAGAGGGTTTGTTGAACCTCATCGAGGCGTTGACTGTGAGTGGCAACTGTTACACGGCTGGCCTGGCCGAGGCGGCGCTGCGGAATGTGGTGTCGGACGCTGTCAGCGATGATGACCATGATCTGCTCGGTGCCTGCCAGCGGAGTCTTGCCGAAGCGCTTCTCATCTCGTCCAACTGGGATCCGTACCGGACACCGGGTTCTGACGGGTACGATGTGGAATCACCCGCTGAGGAAGACGTGTTTACGGCGAAAAGCTTTGAGAGCCCGGACTGGTCGCGGAAACTGGCCACGCTGCTGGCTCAGTCGGTGCCGGAGATTGTGACGCTGAGGGTTTTGCCCCCGATTCTTAGCAAGGTGAAAGGCTTTGCGGAGCGTGCGTTCCCGTTTGTTGTTCATCTCGTCTTGACGTACCAACTGGACAAACAGCAAGGGGTCAAGCGGCGGCTTTCTGAGGCGCTCAAGCAGTGGCTGAATTCGAAGTCCGAACTGGCCAGAGAGAACTTGAAGTTGTTGCTCAACACCATCCTATATCTCCGGACTCAGTCTGTGCCCAAAGAGACATCCATCGCGGACCGGAGTCAATGGCTGGATATCAATCTATCGAGCGCAGCAGCAGCCGCCACCCGGTGCGGCATGTTCAAGGTCGCCGTCCTGTTTGTCGAGCTCGCCAACTCGGAGTCCTCAAGAGGCTCGCGCCGTTCTTCTGCTCTCCGAGAAATCGAAGACTCAAGCGAGATCCTGCTGGACATCTTTGAGAACATCGACGACCCCGATGCGTACTACGGTCTCAACCAGGACGCTTCCCTGTCCACCGTCGTGTCCCGCCTAGGGTATGAAAACGATGGGAGCAAGAGTCTTGCCTTCCGTGGCGCACAGTACGACAGCCATCTACGGAGTAGAGATCCGGGATCGCGACAGGACGGACAGGCGCTCATCAAAGCCTTGAGCAACCTCGGCTTGGCCGGCCTGTCCAACTCGCTCATCCAGGCGCAACAAAGTCTGGATGGTTCGTCTGACTCGCTGGATGGGACGTTCACGACCGCCCGGCGGCTGGAGATGTGGAATTTGCCCGCGCCGTCGACCAACAACAACTGGGCGGTCACGGTGTATAAGGCATACCAAAGCATGCACCAGGCTCCGGACATTGGCGTTGTGAGGAGTGCCATTCACGACGGCCTGCGGAGCACAGTCCGGCATTTGACTGGACACAGCCTCAACACGGCCACCCTGCGGCACCAGCTTGGAGCGCTGGCCGTGTTGACGGAGCTGGATGATGTGCTGAATGTCGCTGATCAGTCGGAGTTGCAGGATGCTGTGGAGAGCTTTGAGAAGCGGTCTAAGTGGATGATGAGCGGACGGTAAGTGATATCATATCCCGAGGCTAAGGCTCAACTGTGTGCGAAAAAGTAGAAGTAGACATGGACAGACGCTGACAGTAGCAGATACCCCGATGTGAGCCAGATTTTGTCGTGCAGAGAGACCACGCTGAGCATGTGGAGTCAGCATCACAACCTGAGGGCTACGCGGTTGACGCCAGCGGACGCCCGACTCAGCCAGATCCGGACCCTGCTGCTGTCGTCCGACATCTTCCGCTTCCACCGGGCGAACCAAGAGACGCTGAATCTATCCACCACTCTCACTGATCTGATCCGGACCGGCGAATCGCTTGGGCTTAACGTCGATGCTGCGATCAAGATCGAGGCAGCTAATTCACTCTGGGACCATGGCGAGATGACCACGTCGATTAGGATGCTGCAAAACATCGACAAAGACTCTTCCTTGAAAAAGCAGACTGTTCCCGTCAGTCGGTCGGATCTTTTGTCCAAGATTGGGTACCAAGTCTCTGTGGCGAGACTGGAGAGCCCAGACAGCATCCAAAAGAAGTACCTGGAGCCGGCGCTCAAAGAGCTGAGGGGCAAAAGCGATGGCAAGGAGGCCAGTCAAGTGTTCCACCAGTTTGCCATGTTCTGCGACGAGCAGCTCCAGAATCCCGACAGCTTGGATGACCTAGCACGCCTGAAAAGTCTGAAGAGAGGCAAGGACGACGAAGTCGCGCAGCTCAAGGCGCTGATTGCGAACTCAAAGGATTCCCAACACAAGAACCGCTACTCGAGCCATCTCGCCAAGGCACGACAGTGGCAAGACCTAGACCAACAGGAGCTCCGGCGTGTTGAGCAAAGCCGATCCGAGTTCCTCCGGTTGAGCTTGGAAAACTATCTGCTCTCTCTCGCGGCGTCTGACGAGCACAACAATGACGCCCTGCGGTTCATGGCCCTGTGGCTAGAGCAGTCGGAGGAGGACGTGTCCAACGAGGCGGTCAAAAAGTACATCGGCAAGGTGCCCACCCGCAAGTTTGCGCCCCTGATGAACCAGCTTTCGTCTCGCTTGCAAGATCAACCCGTCCTGTTCCAGCAGCTCCTGATCGATGTGGTCTACCGCATCTGTGTCGACCACCCGTACCACGGCATGTACCATATCTGGTCTGGCGCGAGGACCCGCGTCAATAAGGATGACGAAGTGGCCGTCTCCCGCCAAAAGGCGACCGACCGTGTGGCCAAGGGGCTCACCAAGTCGAACGCGGTGTCCAAGATCTGGCCCGCCATCGACCAGACGAGTCGGGTGTATCACGCGCTTGCCATGGACCGTGACCCTAATAGGTACAAGGCCGGGCAAAAGATTGCGATCAAGAACTCGTCGGTTGGATCCAACTTCCTCACCATCCTCGCCAAGTACCCCATCCCACCCCCGACGATGCAGATGGCGTTGTCTGCCGACCTAGACTATTCAAATGTCCCCATGATCCACAAGTTCGAGCCCGAGATGTCCATCGCCTCGGGCGTCAGCGCGCCCAAAATCATCACGGCCGTCGGCACCAACGGCCAGCGGTTCAAGCAGCTCGTCAAGGGCGGCAACGACGACCTACGCCAGGACGCCATCATGGAACAAGTCTTCGCCGCCGTCTCCGAACTCCTCAAACTCCACCGCACCACCCGCCAACGCAACCTCGGCGTCCGCACCTACAAAGTCCTCCCCCTCACCTCCTCCTCCGGCCTCATCGAATTCGTCTCCAACACCATCCCCCTGCACGAATACCTCATGCCGGCCCACGAAAAATACAACCCAAAAGACCTCAAGGGCTCCCAATGCCGCAAAGAAATCTCCAGCGCCCAAACAAAAACCACCGAAAGCCGCATCGCCATCTACCGCAAAGTCACCGACCGCTTCCACCCCGTCATGCGCTACTTCTTCATGGAATACTTCCCCGACCCGGACGAGTGGTTCCACAAACGCACCGCTTACACCCGCACCACCGCTGCCATCTCCATGCTCGGCCACGTTTTGGGGCTTGGCGACCGGCACGGGCATAACATCTTACTCGATACCAAAACCGGCGAAGTCGTGCACATCGATTTGGGCGTGGCCTTTGAGATGGGCCGGGTGCTACCCGTGCCGGAGCTCGTGCCGTTCCGGTTGACGAGGGATATTGTAGATGGGATGGGCATCACGAAGACGGAGGGGGTGTTCCGGAGGTGTTGTGAGTTTACGCTGGATGCGTTGCGTGAGGAGGCTGCGTCGATTCAGACTATTCTGGATAGCTTGAGGCATGATACGCTGTATCAGTGGTCGATTTCTCCCGTGCGTATGGCTAAGTTGCAGAATGCGCGTGGTTCTGCTGGTGCTGGTGGTGGTGGTGATGGGGAGGATGGAGACGGCGACGACGTAGCGGGAGGAGGAGGGATTGGGGGAGACAAAAAGTCTAGGTCGGTGAATGAGCCGAGTGAGGCGGATCGGGCGATTGAGGTAGTGAGGAAGAAGTTGAGCAAGACGTTGAGTGTGATGGCGACGGTCAATGATTTGATTAATCAGGCGACCAGTGTGTCGAATTTGGCGGTGTTGTATTCTGGTAAGTCCTCCCTCCTGGTTTGTGTTGTGAGGATAAAGTAATAACTAACACTTGGGTTAATAGGCTGGGCGGCATACGCTTGAGGATGTTTGAGTATTTCGGGCTTTCTGAGGTGGTGATGCTTGCTTATATTGTACGAAGTATATCAAGCACTATTTGTTCATAGAAATGTAGAGGGTTGTCTGTGTTGTTTGACAAATGCGTTACGATGTATAATTGTACCAATGCTATAATGTGTCACGGAAGATAGTTGCTAATTGTTACAGCAAGTCCACCCTTTTCCTACAGTGACTGATACAGAGGGACAACGCCAAGTTTATGCTGATATTAGTCCTAGAATATTCATGGGCTAACGCAGTTTTCCCCCACGCTGTCGTCTCTTCCGTCCTATTCGTAGTTTATGTTACCCAAATCCAAAATAAAATCCTTACATAACTGTGAGAGGAGATAAAACGGATACAGAAGTAAAAACATAGTAAAAAAAAAAGAAACATAATGGCTGGGACTTTGGATTCTACCGAACGCGACATATTTGGCATCTTCATACGTAAGTAAAGTTAAGAATACTTTTTAAGGTACCATAGAGTCAATCCGAGCTCGCCGTCGCCCGTTTCTCTTAAGCCTGGGGGAGGGGCGAGATATCACTGCACATGGACTGAAAGCGACCTGACTATTGTCACCACTATCAACACCATTACGAGCATCCAAGAATAACATTGCTAAATGGCCGGTACTATTCACATCCCGGCTTATCATCATGTCCTGTCCGTTCCTCCTCAAGTTTCTCCCCCTGTATCCTACTCGAAAAAAATAGAAAGAGTTCTTTTTCCAACGCCCATTATGTAAAGTACACTCCATCCATCCGTAAAAATATGTGAGAAGAAAGCAGAAAAAAGCCACCCCACCGCCTAACCTAATCTTCCCTTACTTCAACCCACCCAGCCGATTGAATGTTCCATTCGTCCGAGAGTTCCACGTCCGTCATCTCACTTTCCATCCTTCTACGCTGCCTTCCCCGCAGGAGTATTACTCCCAGCAGCCCCATTCCCAGCCAGCCCCGTCGTCGGAGAAGGCCCAGCCCCAGTAGCACCACCCGTCTTCGCCAACCTCGCCATAACCCGTTCCCGATGAATGCGATTCTTCAAATGCACCTCAAAATTCTGCACCGTTGTCTCCGGCCCGGCAGTATACGATTTCCCAGGACAGTCGCGGCAGCGAATGCGCGGCAGCCAGGCAAACTGGACATGGGCCGGGGGTGGAGGCGGCTGGGACGGGTCGGCGCCGGCGGGTAAGGGGATGGGCAGGTTGATGGGGGCGCCGGTGTCGGCGTGTTGGGCGCAGTAGCGCATGGTGGCTTCGAAGGCGTCGGAGGGGTAGGAGTCGTGGAGGGTTTCGAGGGCTGTGACGAGCCATTCGGGTGGGGGGGGCTGTTTTTGGTGTTGGGTTAGGTTTGACTTAAGTTTTTCTTTGAGGAAGGGGAATCAGGGTGTGATGGGAGATGAGAGGGGGCTACGTACTGCAGGTTGGTTGGGAGCATTTCCGCCGGGCCCCGGTGGTGGTGCAGGCACTCGGCCGAGCTGGTTCTGAAGGGGGACAACGGGAGGGTTGTTGTTGACCCTCTGAGGGAGATTCTGAGTGGTCGCGGACGGGGTGGATGGGGGTCCCATAGACCCCGCGGCGGCCGCGTTGGGGGCTCGCTGGTGTGCCAGAATCGGCGTCCCCGCGTGTGGTGTGTTGCTCTGCCGGGCCCGGAGGTCGCGCATGAGTTTCCGAAGCCTAGTTGGGTTGACTCGGAGGGTCACGATGTGCTGTTGTGGCTCCTCGGTTTGTTCGCGCGTGGCTTCGCGGCCGAGGCGGCGGGATACGCGGGTCTCGTGGTGGTGGATGATCGCTTCGGGGGTTTCGGACCGTCCGAGGTTGGCCATGCGTTGGGCGGCTGCACTGGCGGCACCGCGCATCCCTCTTGTCCTGGCAGTTCCCTGGAGCTGAGAGACGGCGGGCGAGTCGGGCATCGAGTCGTCGCTATCCTCCGAGTCCGACAGGTCGCCGTCGCGGGCAGCCCTCTTACTTCTGCCCGTTAAGCCACCACCGCCCGCGGCCCGCTTGTAGAGACGGCTCTCGTCCACGTGGAGAACAGCGCCCGGCAGAACAGAGGACACAATGGCCGTCCGGATAGTCCGTTGCCTTTCCTTGAGATCCGGAAGCTGGGGACCACCACGCCGGTTGATCGACCGCTTCTGCCTCCTCTGTTCCCGAGAGAACATGGTCTCTGTCCTCTCCAGATCGGCCTCCGAGTTCTCGTATAGAAACGGTGCGTACTCTTTCGCTTGCTGATGCGGTCGGAAAACGGAAGGCAAGGGTGTGGGAAGGAAGGCCGACACAAGGTCGGCGTCCTCGATCGGGCGCCCATCGAAGGGATGGCCTACGCTATACAAGCTACGCGTGAATAGTTGTGTCTGCTCGCGTATGCAGTGGGCGATGGCCGTGGTGAACTCGCCCGACAGAGACAGGTCACGCGCCATGCTAGCGGCAAAATCCTCCGGTGAGTTCATGGGGTTGTTGATATCCCATTCAAATTGGTCGACAAGGGTGTGTGGTCCGATCGTGATGTTAAGCTTGACCAAGATGCGCATCTCGTCATTTTTGTACGCTGAATACGGGAGTTCTGGGTCCAGGGCGTCCTCCTCCGTGTAAGGAAACGGGTAGAAATCGTTCAGCTGTTCGTGTATTTGTTGCACCACCTGGTCGTAAACGGGTTTGTCGGCCGCGGGGTTCAGCCCCATGTCCTCCAGTAGCTGCGCGGCAAATAGCTCGACGGACACAAGGCGCTCGTGGAGGTTGAATGTGAAGGTGTCGCGCAACTTGATCTTGTCCCAGTCCAGGTCGATCCGGACGGGCACTAGCTCCTCGTGCTGCTCGGCCTGCTGCTTCATGTCCTTCTTGGCGAACTTGAGAGCCGGCGTAGTTCTCTTGCCAGGCCGTGGCTTTTGTGAGGGGTATACGATTCTTGTTGTCGTGCCATTCTCCGTATAACCGTTGCCGAAGCCACGATAGCCCTCGCCGTAAAGCCTGGCAGGGAAGCCAGCATAGAAGTCGCGGTATTGCCGATAGTCGCTCGCTCGCGCGAGCATGTCCTTGGTGTCATTCTCGAGCCGGATCTGGGCCTCCTTCAGCGCGGCGGAATGAATCCAATCCCGGGTTTGGTAGCGCTCCACAACAACCTTGTTGAGTGCGTCCTTATCGCGCGTCGTGGGCGTGGCAGTTGTCGCATCGACCGAGGGCAAACCGGACTTGGGTTGTGCCGTCGCAGAGATATTCGACGAGGATGAAGCGGTGGTCGCGGGAGCTGCTGATGCCGGTCCGTCGCCGTCACCGCCAGCGGCCGACGATGCAGACGCCTGTTGTGACGTGGCCATGTCGGCAAAGGAATGAATAAGGGATGATTAGGAGAACAGGTTGTTACTAAGTTGACTGCCAGGAAAACGAAATAAGAAAACAAAACACAGGGAAAATGGCAGTCGGCCGGCTGCTCTGAAGCAGCAAAGAGATTTCTAGATGTGCGACTGGCTGGATACCGGCGTCGCGTGGATGGAACTGCTCGCGCTGAAATGTCGAGATGCGACAATCCGCTGTCACTATCCTCAACTTCGCGGTCGGGCTGGGCCGTAGGGGAACGGATGCGCGAAGGTTCGAAGAAACGCTGGAGCGCGACTGGCCAATGGCGTTGAGGTACGGCGTGGGTTGAATTGGTCGCCCCGTGGCAAGCGATGGTACTTTGTTGTTCACCAAGTTTGAGCTGTTCTTGTAAGTACCTCTTGATCCTGTACTTTGTTGGCCTTGGCATCAGGCCACGAGTGGCTCGTGCTCGTACTCCCTTCTGGAAGGAAGCCCCGCAGGGTCGTCATCGGGGCCTGCAGCTCGTTCGGGCGAAGAGCTGCGGAGCCCGGAACACAAACCAGAGAAACCCCTCCCCCGCCTTGATAAAATCAAGCACTGCGAGCTCAAAATCGTCACGCACCCCCGCAGCTTGGTCGTTCCCTTCTTCTTCTCCGGGTTCCCTGCTGTGGTCCTGACTTTTCCAGCTGAAAAATCGGAAATTTGTTTTAGTTTGGTATCGCTCGTTTGAGCTAATCTCGTCAAGATGTCGACCGAATCGCAGGCTATCGGTTAGTAAACAACAAAAACGGGCAACGAGAAAAAGGGGACGCTCATTGCTCAACGTGTTGCGCGTTTCCCAGCTCCCCGACTCTTTCTGTTGTTTTTGTTTTGTTTCCCCCTTTTTTACCTTGCACCCTGAGCTTCCACAGCTCCCCCCTACCCCATTAGGATTCCTCCTCCAGCTATTGGAGCTCGCTTGTCGTCCACGTGTGGTCAACGTTTGCGATGATGTCCCGACTATTTGTCGTTGTCCCAGCCTCCAAGGCTGTGTTAATTGCCTTATTCCAGTCCATTTACCGTGTTTCACCGACTAATACTTGTACTAGACTACACTCTCAACAACCCGGATACCATCACCAAGTACAAGACGGCCGCCCAGATTTCCGAGAAGGTCCTTGCCGATGTATCCAAGCTCTGCGTTGCCGGCGCCAAGGTTGTCGAGATCTGCGAGAAGGGCGACAAGCTCATTGAGGAGGAAGTTGCCAAGGTCTTCCGTGGCAAAAACATCACCAAGGGTGCGTTGTCGCAGGGCTTGCTTGCTACATATGGCCCTCTTTCCCTTGTGTTAAGCTGGATGCAGCTCAGAGGCTGACGTTCTTACTTTGCGTGTTTCAGGTTTCTCGCACCCTACCACGGTTTCTCCCGCCGCTTTTGTCACTCCCTACACCCCGCTGAAGTCGGACGAGAAGGAAGCTGCTGTTGAGCTCCAGGCTGGCGAGCCTGTCAAGATCCAGCTTGGCGCTCAGATCGATGGCTTCGGTTCCATTGTGTGCGACACAGTGATCGCAAAGGAGGCCGGCAAGGAGGACGACATCGTTGAGGGCCGGTCCGCCGATCTACTCTTGGCCACGTACTATGCCAACGAGCTCCTGCTACGCCTGATGGTGCCCCCCGGCCTTCTGGCTCAGGGCACCGACGAAGAGAAGGCCAAGGCCGCCGCCGCCAAGCCGCCGACGCAGTCCAAGATCACCAGCCTCCTAGAGAAGGTTACGGAGGCCTACGACTGCCACCTTGTCGAGAGCACGACGTCGTGGCTCTTTGACCGCAACGAGATCGAGGGTACCAAGAAGATCGTCCTTGCGCCTGGCGAGAGCTCCAAGGGCGAGGGCGTCCCCGCGGTCGGTGAGGCCTGGGGTGTCGAGACTGGTGTCAGTCTTGGGTCTGGCAAGGTCAAGCAATTCGAGCAGAGGACAACCCTCCACCGCCGTACGCTCAACACGTACGCACTGAAGCGCCCGACCTCGCGCAAGATCCTGTCGGAGGTGAAGAAGAAGTTCGGCACCTTCCCGTTCAGCTTGCGCCAACTTGAGGACGAGCGCGACGCGAAGTCCGGCGTTATCGAGTGCGTCCGCGGCAATGTCTTCCGCCAGTATGAGGTGACCGGCGACAAGGACAACTCGCCTGTCGCCAGGCTCCTGACCACCATCGGTAAGAACCGGAAGAATGCTACAAGACTGGGCCCTTGTATTATGAGTTTTGAGATACTAATTACATCACAGCCATCACCAAGAACGGCATCACCAAGCTCGGCGCGCCGCCTGCCTTGGACCTCAGCAAGGTCAAGTCGGACAAGAAGATCCAGGACGAGGAGGTCCTCAAGATCCTGGAGCAGCCGTTGTCCCGCAACACGGGCAAGAGCAAGAACAAGAAGAAGAAGAAGAAGACGGCCAAGAAGACGACCGGTGGGGAGGAGGAAGAGGAGAGTGATGAGGAGTAAAGAATGGGAGGAAAGTAAGGCAAATGAATGGGTGGGGCGGTCTAGGATGCGGGTGCGTGGGTTTTGCGCGCTCTGGAGCGGGTTCACTACCGGGTGTCTTCATTCTGAGCGCATTTCTTCTCCGCCCCGGCGTTTGGGGATGGCTCTCGTCTTCTGACCAGCTGGGAAACCCGAGTTATCTGGATAAAACCGATTCTCGGGTCTCAGCGAGCCTTGCGAGAGGAAATGGCGGCCTTTCATGGGAATATGGCTTTTGTCCCGTCATCCGTTCTGGCTTATCGCATAAATCTTAGTTCCGACCAAGCAGAGGTCCCATCCTCTCTGCAGGAGAATGGACATCCGAAATCCGAAAATTCAAGACTGTTTGGCCCACCCACTGCTGCAGGTGCAAAACGAGTCCTCATTACATGTTATGCCATCTGCTATGACGGCCTGAGCTTCATACGCCGTTCTTGTTGCTCTCCTGGGCCGAGAGATTTTGAATTGCCAAGGTTTACTTACTGTGCAATTGTCGACAAGCTGCGAACGCTTCGCTCACCCAGGCAGAAATTAGCGGGGTTGGAAAATTTGCGGTGTTGAATTCCAGAGCGGGATTCCTGAATTCCTCATTGCAGGCAGGTACGCGTTATTGCAGCTCTTGTTTCTATTGTGGTTGCGTTGATAGTAAGGAAGGGGAAGGAGCTCGAAATCTCGGGCTCTCCTGAGGCGCCCCCTAAATTCGATTGTTGTCAAACCCCCTTCCTCTCTTCCTCCTCCCGCCTCTTCTTCTCTCCCACCGATTTCTACACCAACCACTTCTCTTTTCTCAAACCCTTCCATCTAACTCTCAAATTTCACCTCATCAGATTCCTCATCGATCCGAAGCCAGCGATCCTAAAAAATTATCAAGAAGCGGTAAAACGCGTCGCGGCAACGGATTTTTCTTGCAATTCAGGGGCAATCGCCTAAATCGGTGCGACTAGTCCTAAACATTCCCCCAAAAAACCCCAGCAGAATCGAGATATCGGTGAGAACGGCGCCGTTAAAACAAAAATCGCGACCTTTTCTCTCATCCATTCTCTCTTTCTGGTCTCGATCAACCCATCGAGCCCAAGTTTTGACCGAAAAATCGGATTTGTCGGTCAGAATCTGTGACCGCCAACGCGTTGAGGCACGGGCAGGCTGTGAGCACTCAGCGGCAGCAAGCAACAACGGCATGCACCCAGCGGCCACGCAAACCCCCCTGTTCCACCCAAGCAGCACCCTGGAAGTCAGCGGTGCTTGGTGGTAACAGCACCCCCCAGCAAACCCAAGCTCACCTTGCAGATCACGGATTCTCCCTCCTAAGCATTCTCGCACCCTTTTCCAAAATCCACACCCCCCCTACTTAAACCGCAACGCGCAAAATCGAGCAAAACGCGACATTCCCACCCGTCTCGATGTCTTAGAACGGCAGAAAGGTAAGTGATATTGACTCTGAAAGTTTTGATTTTTTGATTTGACGGCGACGCTGACCATACGGTGCAGACGCGCGAGAACGGATCGTTGGCTCGGTCAAAGAAGTCGTCGAAGAAGGGGGCCGCCGCGGGCGAGTCGGCTGCCGCTACAGCTTCTTCTTCTCTCCCCAACATCAGCAACAGCGACGGCACCACCAGCGCGATCGCAAGTACGAGCACAAACACGAGCACTGGCGATTCAGCTTCGGCTACGGCTACGGCTGCCGGTGCTATCATCAGCGGCGACACCGCCACGAATCTCGCCATGTCGGCGAATAATTTAACAACCCCTACGACCGCATCCTCCCGCACGCGGAACACGCGATCGCGCTTCTCGAGTCCTCAGATCGCGGCCGGAGCTACGGCCAACGGCAGTCATGGTTCTGCGACGACGGGGAACAATGCATCATTCACGAGGGCTGCTGCGGCTAAGGCAAATGGAAATGGTCATGGAAGCAACGCCAACGGCACTAGGGCTAACAGCGTGAGTGGCGATGGGCAAAAGACATTCATGGATCGCTGGTTGGAGCCGCCGGTGCAGGTCAAGGCCAGTTATCAAGATGCAGGCCTCGTGCGCCAGGGTGTGTTTGAGAACATGGCACCTCTCGGAACCCTACCCAAAGTCGGTCTTTTTAAGAAGACAACGCCAGCCCCAGCGGCAACCCCAGAACGCACTGGAAGCCATACCGGTGTGCGCCGGATTGTTGTTAAACAGAGATCAGCGACGGCTACTCTGCCTTCGACTCCAGCCCCTATTCTTCCGCCGCCTCCTCCTCCTAGGAACGCGGCTACGTCTGCCACCCCGGGACCTGTAACTGAGGCGGATGAGACCGAGGAGGAAGAGGATCAGGACGAGGAGGAGGAGCAGAAGCAGGATGAGCAGACCATGATCGGAAGCACCGGCACGACCGGAAAGGGCAAGAGCAGTGGCAAAGGAAAATCGGCGGGCGGCCGAGGGACCGTCAAACTTAAGCTGACTTCTTCTGCTACTATCTCCGCTGCTGCTGCTTCTGCATCGCAAGACTCACAGCGCCCTCAACGATCGCGATCACAACGGCCGCGGTCTCAGCGCTCGCAATCGCAGCTGTCGCGGGCCTCGGGCGACACGGAGAACGTGGACGAGGCAGCTGCAGAGTGGGCCCCTGCCGCTGCGGCGACCCATCAAAAATCGACCCGCAGGCGATCGCGTCGCAGCGTGTCACGGGCGAGCACCAGCACCAGCACAGTGGCCGCCAATTCCACAACAGGGGGTTCGCAGCAACTGGAGCCCGCGGCACAGCAGGCTCAGAGCCTGCAGCAGCAGACTCAACAACACGCGTCTCATCATCATCAACGATCTCATTCTCATTCTCATTCTCAGTCGCAACAGCAACAGCCAGGTCAGAATCAGCCCGCGCAACAACCACAGCAACTGAGCCCGCAAGCCGTGGCACGCGTGGTGCAGAACGCGGTCGTCGAAGCACTCGCGCATCAGCAGTACCCCACCGCCTGGGCCCTGCGCACCATGTTTGACGAAAATTCGGCCAGCCAAGCCCACGTCGCCATGTTCCAGAGCGTGTTCAACCAGACCGCCAGCGCCGACGAGCTCGTGAAATTTGGTCGCATGCTGCAGGTGCGCAAACGGGAGGGCAAGAAGAACAATCGTGCCTACCACTATTTTATGCCCGACGCCCCGGTGGGCCAGGCCATTCCGGCCCCTCAGCCGGCGCCTTACTCGGATCTCGTCAACTTCAACATGGCGGATTTGCTTCAGGCTGCGTCTGCGTCTGCTGGTCCGGATGCGACTGTGAATGCCAGCGCGGCTACTACGGCCGCCGTTACGGGCGATGCCACTACTGCCGCTGCTACGACGTCTACTACGGCAAAGACTACCAAGCCACAGAAGAAGAAGAAACGAGCGCGGTCCACGGCCGCCAGCGTCGCTGCTTCTTCCGAGGCCGCCGCATTCGATGAGACTACTGTCGCCGCTACCGACGAGCAGCAGCAGCAGCAGCTCGAGCAGTCTGAGGAGCCTGAGGTCGAGGCCGAGGTCGAGATGCCCCCGCGCAAGAAGCGCAAGTCCACCAGGCAACAGCAGCAGCAGAAGCAACCAGAGGCCTCTGCATCGACTACGCCGGCTGCACCGACTGCACCGACCCCCTCGGCGGCCGCTTCATCTTCCAAGATGACCACTCGCAAGGGCAAGGCTGCCAAAGGCAAAGGCAAAGGAAAGGCGTCCGCGACACCCGCCGAAACTCCCTCGTCGCGCAGGCGGACGCGCGCGGGCTCTGTCTCGAGCATTTCATCTCTCTCAAGCGCCCGGTCTCTTACGCCCCCGGATAGCATCCAAGGGCAGCAAGACCAGGAGCACGGCGACCAGGGCGGCCCGGCGCAGCAGGAGGGCGAGGAGGGCCAAGGATTTGATGAGGCCGGGCGCTCCCAGCCAATCAGACTGGCCCAGCGGCGTCGGTCCAACGCACCGCGCAAGAGCCGGAACGTGTCACCGTCCCAAGCCGCCGCTGCGTCCTCATCATCAACCAATGCTGCGGCGCTTGCGCAGGACCAACAGGGCGAGCAGCAGAGCGCGCTGCAGAAGATGAACGCCGTGGCCGGGAATCAGGGCCAGGAGCAAACGGAGGGCGCCTACGAGCTGCCCGCCGTGGTCGACTCGCCCCTTTTCCCCAACCTCAAGAAGGGCTGGGCCAAGTTCATGACGGAGGCCGACATCATCGCCCAGTTGCGCGTCAAGCGCCCCTACACCGAGGAGGAGAAGGCAGAGTTCCGCCGCCGCGCTCGCCAAATGACCACCCGGCCGGCCATCCACAGCAGCATCCGGCCGGATGCCCCAATCGACGACGAGGCCGACGAGCAGGACCTGGACGACGAGCTCCAATTCCAACCGGAGCCGGCCACCCCTACTCCCGCGGCAACGGGCTCTGGATCGCGCACCACGCGCAACACGGCCGCTGCTGCTGCTGCGGCTGCGGCAGCCAACACCGCTCTCTCGTCGGCGCGAGCCACGCCAGCTCCAGCAACCCAGACCCTGACTCGTGAGGGTCGCAGCACGCGCGCCTCGCTCAAGCGCACCCACGACGATGTCAACGACGATCAGCCGTCGCCGACTACCAACGGCGGCTTCAACAACCCTTTCTTCCCTGCTGGCTCGGAGGCCCCATCTACCGCGACAGGTGCTGTGGGCGGTGCCGACTCCCGTGCTGGCACACCAGCGCTGCGTGCTGCCAAGAGACCGAGGACTGGTCTGCGTGTTAAGAACTCGTACGTATTCTACCTTATCATTCAGGATTCACTTCTTTCATTTTTGAAGAGTTTGCCGCGACGGACTCGCTAACGATTAATGCTGTCTGTCTAGGCCGATGAAGAAGAATGGTCCGTCGGCTGGTATTCCTCGTCCGAGTGGCGAACGCAGCAGTCCTGTGGGCAATGCTCCGCGCGAGGTATGTCTTATCTTTTGCTTGTCTTTTGCTGTACCTTTCCCTTCCTTTTTTTTTCACCTATGACCGGGGGCGAGCTGGATCAAGGCTACGTTTGCATCCTACTTGCACTCTCGAGTTTGGAGTTTTCGGACATCCAGCCTGGTTTCGACCGATTCCCCTTCCCCATCTCTCTCCCACAGAACATAAACCCCGAGGAAAAAAGACGGGTGACGGTGGATTTTAGCGCCCACATCCCACCCACCGACCCCTAGCTCCAGCTGCCATTCTGCCGAAATATAGCGCACACACACACACACCCGTCCTCATCTCCTTTCTCACTCACTCACACCACCACTTAACTCATCATCCCCTTACCCCTGTCCTCACCTGCCCACTGTCATTGTCCACTGGTTACTGACTGATGCTCCCTGCACAGGATGACAACGATGACTACTGCTCGTCCTGCAGCGGCAACGGCGAGCTCGTCTGCTGCGACGGGTGCACCCGCTCGTTCCATTTCGGCTGCGTCGACCCGGTCCTGCGCCCGGAGGCCATGCCGGTCGAGTGGTTCTGCAATGTCTGTCGCACTCGTCGCGAGCCTTCCCAGCTGCCCGTTCACGGTGGCGCGTTTGCCCTAGTGTTGGAGAAGCTCGACGCTAGGAACTCGAGCGCCTTCCGCCTGCCGGCTTCCGTCCGCGACCGCTTTGAGGGTGTGCGCACCGGTGCTGATGGCGAGTATGAGGAGATCTCGACGGCGCCTAAGCCGAATGCTCGGTACGTACTTTCCTTGACTGCTGTGTTTTCTGTTATGTGGCGTGTGTCATGTATTGTCGTCACGAAATCACCGGTATCAGTTAAACTAATTCCATGGCCACAGCAAGAAGAAAAATGATGAAGAGCAGGCGTTTGACAACTACCGCGTGCGCGACGCCGACGGTAACGCAGTCATCTGCCACAAGTGCCAGCAGGCCACCGCGTCGGATCGCCCAATCATCCCCTGCAGTGCCTGCGGCATCTACTGGCACACCGACTGCCTCGATCCTCCCATGCCGAACCCGCCCTTTGTGCTGCGCACCTGGAAGTGTCCGTTGCATGCGGATACTCTGCTTGCCACGTTCCCCAACACCCTTCACCCTGCCCACAGGCACCGCAAGATCAAGGATGCGCCCGTCATTAGCCCGTCCTACAAGCGCGGCTTCGCCAACAATGGCCACATCGAGGTCGACCTGGACGACAGCGAGGACGAGAGCGGCTGGAGGGATGTTGAGACCTTCGGTCGCACGGTGCGCCTGTCTGAGAAGGGCATCAAGCTCGACTTTATCAGCCGGTGAGTTCCCCCCTTGCCCCTTTGTGTGCCCGAAAGCGGGTTTACAGCCTACGACTGCCTCAGAGACAAGGGAGACTAACTGATTTGTTACAGCATCCAACAACGATCCCAGTCCAGGCGGCGTTCGGTTCCGCTCCCAGAGCCTGCTGCGCGTTTAAGCCCGGAGCCTACGCCCGAACCTGTGCCGGTCGCTTCTGATCCTCTCACCCAGCGCTCGCTGAACGAGCAGCAGGCGGCTCTCAACTTGGCCCGACTCAACACGACTCGTGACGATGGCGTGTCGACGCTGATTGAGGCCATGATTGTGCGTTCTTCTTTGTCTTGATTTTTTTTCTGTTATCTTTGTGACAGCAAGCTAACCAGTCGACAACAGTCTGAAGCCAATCCCTCCGTGATTGATTTGATGGCACGTGTTCAGCCCAGCCATCTGGAGAACAACTCCCAGCTCAGCCAGCTCGATCAGCAGGGTCTTCGCGCCATTCTGGCCCAGGCCGAGTCCATGACCCAGCATATCCGCCAGCTCTTGACATCTACCCAACCCGCGCAGACCGAACCGACCCCAACTTCATCTAACACTACCAATCTCCCCACTTCGGAGCCCCTCGATCGTGAAACCGACAACGTCTCAGGCTCCACCTCGGCCTCAGGCAACACCGACCCCAACGCCATGGACGTCGACGATAATGACGATGACAACCTGGACGACGACGATGGCACCACCAACAACGGCGCCGCCTCCAAAACCCCAGCCTCCCCAGCCCCCACCGACGACGTCCCCGCCATGACCCAAGGCGAGAAAACGCCCATCCAGGGAGACCAGTCACCTGCCGTGCCCACTGCGACTGCCGCTGCTGTGCCTCCTGCTGATGGCGCGCTGGTGGCGGTGGAGAAGGGTGATGGGAATGGTGATGGAGTTGTTCTTTCTACACCGAGCAAGACGGCTGGGATGATTGCGGGGGAGGAGCCGGTTGTGCTTGAGGGGGAGGGGGAGGAGGGGCAGGAGGAGAAGAATATGGAGATTTGAGTTGACTCTCCTTGGGGGTGTACGAACCTACCAGCCTACGACAGAGCACACTGAATGGGGGCATTTCGACATCGGGCCTCTTCTTCTCCTTTACTCGACTGCGGCAAAAATTCCGCGCTGTTTCGCCCATCTTCAAGTCGTCTTGATTTTTACGTCTTGGTGGTCTAGGCTTGCACAGGCGCACGCACACATGTACTGTACCATACCGACAACGGCACCACGACGACGACTTCATTGGGCGCTTTTCTTCGGCGCTTTTCTTCTCAAGGCGTACTACTGAGCGCTTTTCTTCTGGCGCTCTCATTTGGGCGCTTTTCCCTCGGCGCCATCCTAGGCGCTTTCTCTGGCGCTTTTCTCTGGGCGCTGTACTGAGCGCTTTTCTCCGCACGCTCTACTTTAGCGCCACTACCAGACGCCAGTGTCAAGCGCTATCCTATGCGCCTCCTGGGCTGCGGTTCCGCAGAACGACACTTCAGCCCTCCCTCCATCACCGAGCCGAGACCCAAAGAAGAGATCGCCCCGATTTGAGACGCGGCCGCCCACTGCCTTGTTTCCCTCCCAGTCCGCCTGTATGTCTCTTCCCGTCCAGAAGAGACAAGCGTAGGCTGCGCTCAGCCTTGACAGACACGATACACCAAGGGGCTTTGTTGAGTTGTCATGTTTCTAATATACCTAGACTTTTTTTCGCCCCCTTGAGTTTTTTTTTCGGGCTTTTTTTCGTTCTTTTGCCCGGCCCGTTTTGTTTTACTCTTGCGTTGAAACCGTTTTATTTCGCGGCGGCCTAGGTTTTTTTGTCCGCTTCCTCACCCACTGCCGTGATAAGTAAACCTGGTTAATTCTTTTCGGGGGTTTATCGTGGCTTGGCTTGGCGTGGATGTGGGGGAGGCTAGATTAAATACTAGTAGGGTTGGGTTGGGTTCGGTTTAAGGGGGGAAGGGGTCGAGGCGGTCTCAAAGTTTCGCTCGGTCACAGCAATCGATCGGACATTTCAGAATCAAGAGAATTAGGCATCGTATCAAAACAAACAAATGCAAATGGGCATAGGATGATATCAATCGATGCAGTATCAAAGCAGGCGGGCAGGCAGGCAGGCAAGCAGGCGGGCAGGCAAGCAAAATGGCAATGGACGTACGTGACTTGGTGATGGATGAGCGGATGGACGGATGGCAAGGTGAATACCTACGGAGAGGGGCTACGGATGGATTAGGCCGGGTAGGATGGATGGGGGCCTGCCGTATCTTTCTTTCTTTGTTTGCCGCACGCACACACACAAAAAAGGAGCCGGTGTTGGAGGCGTTTATTTGTTTTGTATGTTTTTTGTTTCTTGTTTTGCGGTATGGCACCAGGAATTTTTCTGCCTCTCTAGTTATCTCTCTCTCTACTAAAGGGGAAATGGGATCGTTGTGTACGGAGTACTATCTAAGTTTTCTCTCTCTTTTTGACTAAAGGGTTTTTTTCCCGCCGTGCTTTTTTACTTCCTGTTTAACGCTACGTCGTATGGTTCTGCGTAACGTGGGGTATTGCTTGGTTTTTTCCCCTAGTCCTTCGGGAAGGTATACACACGGAGAGAATGGAAGACTCTGGCGAGGGAGGGTCTAGGGATGAACAGATGGATGGATACAAAGGGATTAGATAACATTGGGATGAGAATGCAATCCATCAGCCAGTCAATCAAGCAGTCAAGCGAACAGTCAAATCAAGCAAGAGTGTAAAATGATGGCACTGACAATCTGTTGAGTTGAGAGTTGCTACCCAAACCGACCGTGTTTTGTCAAATCACAAGTGACAACACAGCGTATGGAAGCAGTTTGTTGTTCTTATATGTATGTACGATTTCTTGATAGAAGGAAGAAACGTCGTTTCAACTCTTGCATAGTTATCAGTACGTTTTATCTGGGACAATAACCATACGGGCGGAGGATGAGAGTGTATATACATTGGCGGTGATCAAGTTCCGCCGGCATTTTCTATTGTGTTCCTGAGAACAAACTACCGAGCAAGGGAGGGCAAACAGGGAAAAAAAGCTCACACCAAAAACGCCCAAGAAAATATAATTAAAAATGCTAACCAACCAAGCAACATATCTCTCCCCTACCTCTCCAACTATCTTCCAGCCTACCGTGCATCACCCCATTCTATACATATCCCACACCAAGCAAGCACAGTACAGATCAACCCCAAGGCACAGCTCAGCACAGCATACGGATAAACCCAAAATGAGTGAAGCAAGGGTGTACTACTATACGATCTAACAAAACAACCAGAAGGTGCTGCTATCAGTGATGCTTGCGACGGCGTTGTCCAGCTTGTGGCCTTGACCATACATACATACATTCGCCGGTCCTAGGTTTCAATCATCTCAAAAGTCGTCCACCCTCCCTCCACCCACCTACCGTCCAACACCAACCGCCCCCAGCAAAATCGAAATCGAAATCGAAAACCAACCAACCAACCAACCAACCACACTACTTACAACACCCATCCACCCATCCACCCACCCACCGATCCCATCCAGCGCCCCGCCCAAACCGGCCAAAGTAGGTAGCTTTCATGTTTCATGTTTTTCATGTTCATGTCATGTCAAATCAACGTCATGTCACGTCCATGTTTCCCATGAACACCCTTTCCAAGAGCCCCCTTTGCCTGGCCGTGAGCCCGTCGTCTAATTTGTACAGCAAGCATATCCATCCATCCCCATTGCCTCCTCATTGCCTCCTCCCGCTTTTTGTTAGGCGACCCTTAGACCGTGTCATCCACCCACGTTAAGAAGGTTCGTTCCAGGTTGCTTGCTGCTGCTGGTGGTGGTTTTTTTTGTCTCATCCGCCGTAGTAAGGAGATCATCTCTGCGAAGAAAGAAGAAAAAGAAAAAAAGGAAGATCAGAAGAGAAGAAGACTTAACATCAAAAGAGTAAGTAAAGAACAAAGAACCATATCGTAAGCCGCTTTCCCTTCTATCCACACACGTACATGACATGACACGCACAGACGATGCGTGACCACAAATCCATCTTTCTATCTTGTCCCCTTTTGATACACAAGAGCGCCACCAGAGCACCGGTGTCAATCACTGGTGCCGCTGCCGACCGTTAGGTTGAGGGCTACGGCCGACACGACCACCCCGCTGCCTCGCGTTGACTTGCTCAGGCTGCTGCGGTGGCGGCAGATAGACGCCAGCACCTCCCGGAGGCGCGCCATACCCCGGGAACCCACCCATGCCGGGGGGTGGCATAGGCATGTTGCCGAATCCACCAGGGGCACCGCCAAAGGGAGCCTGCTGACCGGCGCCTGCTGGGAGCTGCGCGGTTTGCGGGATGGGGCTTCCGTTAGCTAGAGGCTGGTTGGTGCGGTACTGTTCGATGGCAGGGCTAGCAGCGTTTTGGAAGCCGCCATAGCCACCGGCTTGCATCCCGGGGAAGTAGTTGTTCATGGGCGGGGGCGGAGCACCGCGGGACATCATACTCTGCTGGTACTGCATCTGTTGCAGAGCGTTGGGGTTCATGGGGGCGTTGCCAGCGTTGAACATGGGGTTGCCGGCGTTGAAAGCAGGGAACTGGTCCATACCCTCGCTGCTACGGGGGACCCCGTAAGCCATGTCGTAACCGGGGGCGCCGGCGCCGGCGCTGAGCGGGTTGTAGTACTGCTGCGGGTTAGCACCGCCACCGTACTGCCCAGGCTGCTGTTGAGCATGTTGTTGCTGTTGCTGATGCGGCTGTAGCTGTGGCGGCGGCTGCTGTTGCTGCTGCTGCTGCTGCTGCTGCTGTTGTTGTTGCTGTTGCTGTTGTTGCTGCTGCTGCTGGTGTTGGACGTTAACGGTCTGGCGAGACCCAGGCCGTTGCCGATCGGCACCACCGTGCTCCCGAGAAGCACCACCCCCACTGCCGCTGCCGCTGCTACGCGTTGACAAGCCAACTTCGTCCATCAACCGCTTATAGCCCTGGCCTGGCTGGGCCTTGATGCGAACGAGGACCGTTTTGACGGTTTCCACGACTTGGTTACGGATGGTCTCGTCAAAGAACGGCGTGGTCAAAACTTTGAAGATCAGGGTTGCTCCACAGGCGTGGTCGCTCAGTATGGCTTCCAGGACCTGATCCTTCGGGGTGAAGAAGAGGGCCTTGAGGATGGTGTCCCGGGCCTCGGCCTCGGCCTTCTGGTTGATAACCTTCAAGACTGTGAGATACGCGACCTTGTGCGTGCAGAGATGCACGAGGTAGGGGACGAGCTGGGGCGATAGTACGGTCCGGCGCTGCGGGAACGTGCAGGTGTCGAGGAACCAGGTCAGCAGCAGCGCGCCGTTAGCATTGGTAGCGAGCTGCACACTGTGCAGGGCGATCGCGGCGGCCAGCATCCTCTGCTGGTCCTTGGTAGAATGGTGGCTCTCCAAGCAAGCACGCATGGCACGCGCGCCATATCGCCCCTGCGCAACCTCCCACATCCTGCTCAACATGGTCTCGAAGATGAAATCGTTGTAAGGGGACCCGAACTTGAGGCACCCTTGTAGAACATAGTTGCCGTACTGGTCAAGGAACAGCGGAATGGTGTATGGCCGCAGGTACTGTACGATCAGGTTCATCTGTTGCGGCGTTTTGCAGACATCGATGATCTTCTGCGCCGCCCACGTCCCGTTCTTGTGCACACCGATCTCGGCCATGTGAGGTGCTATCTCGGCTAGCATCGAGTCGCGTACGGCGTCCGAGCAGTGTTCAAACAGCTTCTGCACGACAGTGTTCCCAAGGTAGTCCGACGACAGCTCCGCAATCTCAGGGAGCATCTCCATCGCGATGTTCTCAATCTCCTGCTGAGACAGCGACTGGTTGTCGATGCGCTTGCGAATATCTCGCAGCTTCGGCGCGTCATGGATCCGGGTGTGGGCAGGCTCTTTGATGGGCGGGATCTCGTCCACAAACGTGTTGTACTGGATTGCCTGTTGCAGACCCACCGAGATGCGGAAGCTGTCTTCCTCCGTCGCCCCAAACTGCTGGACAATCTGCAGGATATCGCCCGTCATCTCGTGGAGGGGCGGCACGGTAGGGGTGACGTTCCCCTGGACGGCAGCAAGGCCGCCTTCGCCCGATACCCCAGCGCCGGCGCCTTGGCCACCCTCTTGGGACTTGGAGAATGGGTCGGGGCTCGGCGAAGGAACAGCGCCATCGTGGCCGGGCGTTCCCGTGCTGGAAGGCGGCTTCGCAAAGTTAATGCGAATCGGACCTGCGCCTGGGAAGATCTCCTTTCCATTCATGTTCGCCTTAGCGGCCATGGCGCTGTCCACGCGCTCAAAGTTCACAAACCCGCAGTTCTTGTGGGTCAGTACCCTGGCAGACACGATGGGCCCGTAGGTCTTGAACATCTCGGTTAGCGTCGAGGTTGTGGTCGACGTGGGGATGCTGCCGAGCCACAAGGCGCTTGTGGGGCCTTCCAAACCCTGCTCGTCCGCCCCGAGGAGACCGTTGTTCCGGCTGTTCGACCTCCCCAGTGACATCCCAGCAATGGCCTGCGGGAGGTCGTCAAATGCCTTCTCATCCGGGATTTGGATTTCGGCCGCGGTAAACGAGCTATCAAGCCTCGAGGCGGTCGGGAGATAGTTGCGGAGGAGGCGTGACGGTGGAGTTTCCAAAACACCCGCAGTACGCGCACGAGGACGGGCGGCCTGGTTTGCAAAAGCCTGCACAGCGAGGTTGTGGCTGTGGATGGCCGCATTCGTGGCAGCGAGCTGGTCCTGGAGCTGCGCATAATGATTCTCCATGTACGACAGGGCGTCGGCGTCGTACTCATCCTCTTCTTCATCCGCATATTTGTCCTTGTTGTTGACCGAGTAGGACCGGAAGCGGTTCGCGGCTTTGCTAAAGTCAGCGTAGTTGGGCATGTAGGGCCCGGTCGCCAGCTGGGCACGGGCAGGCTGTGGGGTCTCGGCCAGGCCAAGGTAGTCCAGTGTCCTCATATGGACGTCTGTCTCGCCGTTCCCCTCGCGGGAGAACTGAGACTGGGCAGGAGAACTAGGCCCGTTAGACCCCAAGCTCGCAATGCTGGCCAACGTGTTACCCCTCTCTCTCCCACTGGGGTTCCAACTGCTGAAGATAGAGGGACCGAAGGGAGAGCTAGTCCCAGGTGCATGAGCGAACGGGCTCCGCTGGGGCATAGAGCCAGCGCGTAGCCTCGAGAGTAGGGTGGACGCATTGGAGAGGTCGCCCGGAGCTTCGAGGCCGGGCGACGGCGACTTGTATGGGGTCTGCGAAGGGCTTGGGCGCGAGGTTTTGGAGGCCAATGCTGGGATGCCGAGGAGAGCATTGCCAGCGGTGTTGGGGGAGAATCTAGAGGGGAGTGTGCCGGCTCTGGCTCGCCGTGTCTGGGGCAGGGTGTCCGGGGTGGGCAGCTGGGCGAAGTCTGGGAAGCCGTCGGTAGGTGACTCGGGAATGTTCTCGCGGAGGGGCGTCGAGTTTCCGCTGGTGGGAGGACCACCCCATGGGTTCAAAGGCAATCCGGGGACGCCTTCCTGGGCTTGAATTTCTCGGGCTCTATGTGGTGGCGGGGAAAGGATTAGCGTAAGGTTGACATGAGGGGGGGGGGGGCATGGGAGAAGCGGGGCGAGGGAGAGACTCACCGCTTAGTATACAAGCGCCCCGAAGCTGCCATCTCGTGTGAGGGCGAGCCGTTACCGGAGCGCGAGGCCCCCGACATTTTGGAGCTTGATGTCAGACCCGGAGACAGACCGAAGGGCGATCGAAGGGTGCTACCCGCAGACTGCGGGTCGTTCGGTGAAGTGGTGGTGGGCGAGTTCGAGCGGCCCTGAGCAGAAAGACCCTGCGGCGGGTAGCCGATGGTGAGGTGCTCGCTTGGTCGTGGATTGGACATTATCAATTATTTGACCCCTATTCTCATGAGAAATAAAGTTCCCTTATTTTTCCTTTGTTTCTCACACGTTCCCCTCCAGTAGGCTGCACAGCTCGCCCAAAACTAGGGCTCCCAGTGGAATCTTTTCGGTGGGGACGGATGGCCGGAAGAGGGTGCGACGACGTGCGCTGCGCGTCGAGGGAGAGTCGATCTCCAGCGCCGAAAGGGCAATTACGAAGAATCGGAATTGAAAAACACTCGGTACCGGTAATCGAAAGAGGACGAATGTCGTGACAGCAGATCTCGAAAGGACAAGGTGGCAGCTGCAATTACAAGTCGATGGGCGAATGTAGCTCGTAGTAGGGGTCGTGGGTAACGTTATGGGCGGCCGCACGAAAAGAGCAAAAAAAAAACTTGGCCCGGCGGCTGCTTTTTGTCCCTCTTCAGACTAGAAAGGAATGCGTCCGGGGTACGAGAGGCCGCTAAGAACTGGAGTCGAAAACGATGAGAGGATAGAGGCTAAGGTCGGGAGGTCGAGAGGTTGAGAATGCCAGGATGGCAGATGCAAAGAAAAGGCAAGGCAAGTCCTGGCGAGAGGAAGTTGCTGGTTTTGCTGGCGCTGATCGCAGTGCTGTGTGGAGGCTACCAGCGGACCGTTTTTGGCCTCTAGGAGTGGACGAAGACAAGGAGTTTGTGCTCCACCTCTCCTCGTTTTTAGCGGACCGCACAACAACCCTGCTTTCCAGGAAGTTTCCAAAAAAAGAGCAGAGAAGAAGGACAGAGGGTTTCGATTCAACAATATACAAGTGCAGACCACATTAAAAAGGATAATCGCGTCCTAAATACGACGCTAGTGCTCGAGAGAAGGGATCTGCCGTCGGTCGGTGATCAGAACAGCCGTCTAGAGAAGAGCAAAAAAAGGAGGAGGTTTCGATTGGGAACAGGTGTGGATGGAGGTGGTGGATGGGTTGACGACCATGGGCAGTCGGCGGATCAAGATGAAACACCCGTTTAAGGGGCGATGGTATGTTTCGTCCCGTATTTAAACTCGACGTACTGTGGTAATTCAACGGTAAGTTACAAGCAGCTCGTCTGACCTCTTTTTCTTTTTTCTCCCCTCCCATCACTTTTCAATTTTTTTCCCGCCATCAGCCAGCCCAATGGAAGGAAGCAGCAACGGCGAGAGGACCTGAGTTGCCAGCCGGCTGCAGTCCAATGTGGCGCCAAGTTTTCAGCCCTGCAGTGGGCCTGTACCCTCACCTGACTGGATTGCAGTTTCTGCTCGTTCTTTCCGTCACCCCATCCAGAAAGACTGTGTAATGGATGTATCGACTCGGTGCGGGTCTTCGGGTTGCACACCGTGCCATCCTCACGCCATTCCCTGACCTTTTACTCATCCTTCAAAAAGAATAACACTCTGCTCAACAACGTGGCTGCCTGAGAATCTCGGAACGGGAAAGCGGGAGGATCATGGCGAGGAAACTGTCGCGTGGAAGAAACGACGTCATCCCGGCTCGGATCCGAGTCTAACGCCAGCCAGCCTCTTACACCACTTCGTAACCTGCAATTCTCGTCTTTCGAAGTGCTACGTGCGCTGTCGGGACTCCGGCCGGCTTTCCAACCATTAATAGTAGGTAGGTACATGTACATACAGTACCAGGTAGGAACGGGAAAATTGCAATACCACCGCCCGGAGTCCATGCTCCCCAGTTTTGTGTCTCCTAGTCCTGCAGCTGTCCATCGACACAACCGGTTTTTACAAGCCCCGCCGCTGACTTCGGACATGGCACGACCGCCGCTGCAACTGCGTCGTGCCTTTTTCCCGCCAGTTCGCTTGCTCCGAGTTAACCAATCGAGTAAGTCAAATGCACCTCCTCGTCTAGACCCCATCAGCACGACACAGAAACTAGTCTCAGGGGTTGGGGGAAAGACTGGACCCTAGTGTTGAGTGGTCATTGAACCGGCAGAAGGCGGACTTCTTCGGTTCGTTCCCATACACCCAACAAGTCGAATTGATTCATTCAGACGGCGGTGCTGAGGGGTCCAGCCCACTGCCATATTAGCCCGTTGCTATTTCTGGTTGCGCTGGGGGCCGCCGCCCCGACGGTTCAGCCGTCCATCATGCATCTCACTTCCAACAGACGGGAACACCCTGATCTCCAAGCGTTTACCCATCCCACTTCAGATGACGTTGGCCGAAAAGGAGAGACCGACATCCCATCCACCACCAACTTCAGAGGCTCAAAAGAGGCACGGGGATCCGAAAAGCACAGTTGTAATGTAAGAGGCACAGAGAAAGAGAGACAAAGAGACAGAGACATGCGATATCGAGGCTCAACAGCGCGAATTGATTGGCTCGTCAGCTACCAGAATTCAGGGGCTCACTCTCGCCTCGTGTCCTCGCATCCCCCCCCTCGGTAGAGATTACCGCCAACAAAACGCTGCGCGAGTTAACATTAGCGGGCCAGTGAGCGGCCTCGCCCTGATGACCCAGGTGACGACGGCCCAGTGATGGCGTCTGTCCCCCCTCTGAGCGCTCTCTCCAGCCTCATAACCCGACCCACGAGAGCTCCTCAAATCTATCCCATCATGCGGGGTCTTGCATGGCTGACAACCACGCCAATCAGTGCTGCACATTCACTGACCACAGAGGGGATCTCCATGTCGGACCTGAAACGCCGTGTCGAGTTGCCGTATCGAGCGTTTAATCCTCTATTCTTCAAGTATTCCCTCCTACCTAGCTACCTACGATGCGGCCCCTCTTCTATGTAGGTATTTCCGTTTAGGGCTCAGCAATGGTCAACGTCCTCACTCCGTCAACCCCTGACCTAAGGTTGCTGGAGGACCCGCTGCGCTAGAAAATCACCTTGGCCCCGCATCCAAACAGAAGGCCCACAGCGTCCCCTGTAGATCTCCTTGTCAAGCGTGTGCCAGAACAACCGCCGTCAAGGATCGGGGTTGAAGTTAGACAAAAAGAGAAGGACAAACCGAACCACCACGGCCATGTTGAACGCACACACGCGTCCCCAATTCGTCTTTGTCTCTCTTCCCCGCAGAATCGACGACGCCCCCGGCTGGTTTCGCCATCGTCGCAGCCCCGAGGTCTCAGAAGCGGTTGTGGGGATTCCATCTCCTCCAGAAATGTCAACTTAACATCAACCCCCCCTTTTTCACGCTGCGGCGGAACAAGACCCCTCTTCCACGACCATCGCGGTTGACGTCAGCTGTTTTGTCAACAGACAGTTGGCCGAGACCAAGCCACCTTAGCCGCGTCTTGCTGGTTGTTGGCACGTTTTCTGATCGTCCTTGCAGATCATGAAACGGAACAACGGGTTCACTGTGGTGGATGGACTCTGGATGTAATTTTGGTATCGGAGTAACACTCGCCCCAAACCTAGGTATCCGAAGGCCGTCCGTTTTCCGGATATCTTGCCAGCGGCGTTTCCCGTCCATCCGATACATGTAGGTTTACTGTGTAGTTCAAACCCCCAACGCCCTATAGCCGATATCCCACCCTCTTAGTTCCCCCGGTACATATACTAGGGAGGACAGCAACACCAGCCATCCTTGTCCAGGTTCTCAAACCTTCGGCCCATAATTCAGAATGCGCTGCGTTGAGACGCGTATGCCGTAATAATTCCAAGGAGGATAAGAAGCTTTCGAAGCCATGCGGGTATCCACAGCCAGACTTGATCCCCGTTTAGCTATCGTACGCGTCTCAACTCTCCTTCTCGTTCTAGGCCCGGCTCTTCTCATATGGGTCCCCTGGTGAAAATATGAGATGTTTCTAGGTAATTGGCGCATCGACAAAACGGGACCGAGTGATTTGAAGCAGAGTGGCCAGTTTGGTTTGAACAAGCTCTCCTTTGTAACCGCCGAGATCAGACACGCTAAATCCCCTATCATGTCTAGATACTTGACGATATTGACTTAGAAATGGCCATAGTATCTGCCTCTTACACTTACCACAATAGCTCTTCTTCTCGGTTCGTACCTCCTAGGATATAAAATAAGGTAGGGACTGAGGATATGTAAATATGAGTAGAGAAAAGAAAGCAAAGAGGAAAAGTAGATACATAATTTTCCTGCCCAAACCGAACGGACATCGCGTTCTCGAATTATACCAGAGGTAAAATAGAACGTAAAAGAAGACACACTTCAGAAACAAGCGCGGTGTCAAAAAGTAAGTCCCATCTCTGCCTGTGCCTAGCCACGGAACTATAACTTGGCGTACTACTACCATGGATACCGAAACCCAATCCGTCAAGTATACCACCAGACTTGAAACCCCCATATTCACACCTCATATTGCAGAAAAGAAACAAAGACAACAGAAACATCCAAAGTACTATTGGATGATGGTTTATCCCTCACTGTGTATGTACCTGATCTGTTGCTTCCTCTTTCTCACACACAAACGGTCCTCCATCCATCTTCTCATATCTTTCAAATCGGTCAAGCCATACCTGGCCACAGGTAGAAACGAAATGAATCCACAGAAACCCTCAAATTCACGATGACCACTCAGCCCACCAAAACCACGCTGGTCAGTCAACATCCCACTTCACTCAAATCGTCATCATCGTCATCATAAAATAGTATCCTTTCCACTTCTCTCCGCTCACCGCTCTCTCCCCACCCGTGTGGCCCAACCAGTTCGCATCTCGCACTAGATCAAGCACCTATTTTGCTACCCTCTTGAACGCCAAGAGATCCGCCAAGCTGGCCTGGGGGCAGCCGTGCTTCAAGAAGTCATGGTTAAGCAGTTCCTGAGCCGAGGCGCGGCTCTTAACGTCGACGCACAGGCAGACCGACAGGAACGCCTTGAGCTCCTTGCTCAGCTTCTCGGGCTTCTTGAGGCGGGGGGTACCGTTGGTTGCGATCAGGTAAAGCGCCTTGAGCGGCTCCTCGTTCAGGTAGGGCGGCTCGGATTCGATCATCTCGATCGCCATGATGCCGAGCGACCAAATGTCCACCTTCGGGCCGTACTCCTTTTGCTTCACCACTTCGGGCGCCATCCAGTACGGCGTTCCGACCATGGTAGCGCGCTTCGACTTAGTTTCGGTGAGCTTAGCGCAGAACCCGAAATCCGCTGAGCAAGAACGTTAGCAATCAATCATTGCACATCAGTGTGGTTCACTAGCGTTGGGATTACATACTGATCTTGACGTTACCACGAGCATCAAGGAGAACGTTGTCACTCTTGATGTCACGGTGGATAATGTTCTGCGAGTGCAAATGCTCGAGGCCTTGGCATGTCTAATTTAAAACAGGTTGTTAGACGTGATTCGCAAGATGGGGGACCTGAAACTCCTGCACATACCTCAAGGCAAATCGTCGAGATCTGCTCCTCCGTGATTACGGGGTTGTTGTCGATGACGTCTGTCAGAGCACCACCTTCCATGTACTCCAGAACCAACCAGAGCTCCTTGTCGTTGTCCATCAGGAAGGCGTCGAGGAAATTGACAATGTTGGGGTGCATGTTCTCCCGCATCACCAAAATCTCGTTAACGATCAGTTCCTTGCGAGGTTGATGCGCAAGATCCATCTGCTTGATGGCGACACGGTCGGTTCCAAGCCGGATCTTGGGATTGACCGGCGCACCCGGCCTCGTACCCATGACCTTGGCGACGTAAACGGATCCAGACGCGCCTTGGCCAATCTTCTTCTGTTTGGCATACAGCCGGTTGGGGTCGTCCTTAGAAACAACCTCCCTCAGCTTGGCCATCACTTCGCCTTCTGACATGGTCGACATGCGCACATCCTGCTTGCGTTCCGAGGGAGAAGGCTTAGCGGTCAGCGCGGCTTCCGCAGCCTTGACGCTGTCATTGGTCGCGCCCGGCTTCGATACATTCAGGGGCTTCACCGGAGCCGGAAGGCGAGATGGCTGCTGCACTTGGGGTTGGCCATTGGGACCGCGTGCTTGCGCTCCGTTGGGGTAGCGAGCAGCGGCTGGGGCGCCGCCCTGGTCTGGCCGAGGGGTTCTCTGCGCCTGGGCTGTGGGGTCACGGACCGAGGCGGAGCTGTTTTGTTGTGAAATCGGAGGACGAGACGGGGTGGACGAGCTTCCTGGTGGCGCGGGCGCAGGCCGCTGGGCTCTGAGGGATTGAGCTGGCGGCGCCTTGGGTGCTGCCCTGGTCGGATTGTATCGGTCCGGCTGAGAGGGGCTCGAGTAGCCGCCGCCAATTTCTTGCTGGGCAAGGGGAACCTTTGTCTTGGGAAGGGACGCATTATAAGCCTCCAGCTCCCGGCGAGCTTGTTCCTCCCGCTCTGCGCGTTGGCGCTCCTGGTCACGGGCGCGTTGTTCTTCCCGCATCCGGTCGGCGGAGATGTAGTTGGGTGAAACGCCCTGTAGCTGCTGAATCTGCTGATCTGTCGGGCGCGGGGTGGGTGATGGGAACGACTGGGGTGACGGGGTCGTGGAATAAGAGCCAGGACTGCGCTGAATGGGCTTTGGTTGCCGCGGAGGCGCGACCGAGTTGCCGGCGGGATAGCCGAACTGGTCGCTTTGGGTGCTTGGCGAAGCGTTGGGGACAGGACTCCCGCCATATGGATCGGGATTTTGGGTCTCGGCGCGCTTCGTCATATCCGAGTAAAAGTCGAGAACCTCGAAAACAGCCTGGGGGTTCTTCTCGACATCCTCCTTGGTGATGGCCGAGGAGTTGAGAAGTCTCGTCCACTCCTCCGGCAGTCCAGTGAACTGACCTGTTTGCGGGTTGAAGCCGACGTGGACGGCGTGAGAAAAGTTCGAGGGGTTACTAACCCCACCTGGGCAGCGGGCATAGATGCAGTCAATCCACTCGTACAGCTCATCGTCGGTCTTGACGCAAATGCGTAAAGATCTCACACCGTTGTCGTCGTCGCCAGGTGGGCCAGCGTACGAGTTCGTCATGTTTCGCCGAATCTCGAAAACAGGGTCGCCGTTATCGTCAGGAACCCGATCGACGCTTACCACGTCCGCAAGTTGGATCTTGTACAGCAGTTTGCCATTTTCATTCTTGTGGAAGTCGAGAATGTCCTGGCGGAGGATGAGGTATCTGCTCTTCCATTGCTGAAATGGGTTCTTGCTCGGCAGGCCGACATAGCCCTGCTTGATGATCGCAACCCCCCCAGCGCCATCGAAGTTGTTAGATCCTTGGCGAGAAATGGGGAGAGCGATGGTCGACCCGCTGTAGGTGCTTGAGACCGGGGAGGCGATGGTCATGCTTGACATGCTGTTTGTGAGGCTCACGTTCGGCATCAGGCCGAGACGGGGTTTATCTGTTGGCGGTCGCGGAGCTGGGCCAGGATTCATAAACTGCCCGCTAGAATAGACGCTATTAAACGGCGCGTCAGCATGAGGGACTCGCTATTCCGGGCGAACTGTGTTGGCCTTGGGAAGGGCAAGATTGTAGAATGTCGACTGGCGCGACCGTCTGAAAGCGAGCAAGATGGAACGCAAGAACACCGTCTCTCGTTGGGAGGCTGGTCTCGGTTTGCGGTACGCAGTCCACCAGTCGCATCCCAATTCGCTAGTTCGGAGGACACATACCTATTATGCATCGACATTTTGGCGATGTTAGGAGAGATACAATCGTGAAGTGGCGGTGCGGGTATCGACGTCACAACGCCAGGGGGCCGAGCGTCGATGTTGGAGATGTCTCAATGGTTTCACTTGCTCTGAGTATCAGCACGCATCGCCCGCATTTTCTAAAGTCTGCCCCAACGTACCGACGAGACTGAATCGACCGAGGCACGGTACAAAAATGTAATAACGGCTGGGAGTTGATGAGGTTGAGAGGGGTGCCTGTAATCAAACTTGACGAGACTGCAATCCGAGGGTGTAAACGCTAGGGAAGCTCGTAACCGATGCACAGACGCAGCTGGCTAGGGCGATGCCAGGTGCCGAGTCGCGATCGCTCGTTCGAGGGCGGTTGGGGTGTGGTCTGGTGTGTGGGTTGTGGTTGTGGTGTGGGTAGTGCTCTGTGGTACCAGCAGTTGGTTCAGGGGCGAACACACAGCTGGCACGATGCCGAAGGCGACATGTGTAAGATTCTGTCCCAGAAAATCAAGGGAGTCGGCACGCGGCTCGAGTTCTTCACCCCTTTGGAGTCGAACAAGTTTGTTTTGGTCGCGTTAGACGAAGGAAAGGGCCGGCGGTCAGTCGAGGAGAATGGGCGGTACGGGGGCTGGAATTGTGGGTTGTTGTGGTGTCGCTGCAGCGCTCAGGAGCTCCGGAATGCGGGCTATTGGGCGGCGACGAATGAACGATGGCAGACTGGCAATTCCCCGCCCAAGAAACGGTCAAGGATCGCAATTCCAAGCACCTATTAGTATGTAATGCGGTAGGCGCGAGAAAAGCGTTACGATTAGAAGGTTAGTCGGCTGGCAGGCTGGCGTCGTGTGTTTGCTCCGGAAGAAAGGTCGACAAAGGGACGGGTAAGTTGCTTCAGGGAGGTCGGGTGCCTGTGGATCTCTGAGGAATCGAAGGGGCCTGGCGGAACACTGTATGGAATGGCTCGGCCACTTTGGGGGAAGGAGGGGTAGGTGTGCGGGGACCCGCTCAGGCCCAGCAGTTGGGGCCAGGATTTCAGGTCATAGTTAAGGAAGTACTTCAAGTTGCCGCAGAACGCGTCTGTGGAAAAGGTCCCTCACTATGCGACCTTGGATTTTGAACAAGGATTGGCCCATTTAAGCGCGGTCGCTGACGGCTTGTTAGAGATCTGGGTCAGCGTGCAACAAGGTTGACTACACATGTACCGAGTAGGTACAGGATTGTAAATTATTTCCCGTTGACCCATGCTGGTCGGGTTGTTTTTGAAGAGCCCGGGATATGTTGGCGGTATCGGGAGAATGTGAAGTTTACGGCATCCGACAGGAAGTCAACGCAGGGAAGCAAAGAACTATGTAACTTCGGTGGTAGATGAAAGAAATTCAGGAGGTTCGCCTCCTTGCCGACCAGGGATGGTGTGTGGGCCAAACTGTGCAACCACCGCAGTGCAGCCCCCTCCCCCCTTCACTGATTCGAATAATTGAACAGATCAAACGAGTGCCCTAGACCAATCTAATGAGCTCTTACCCGTTTACGGTCGTTTATCAAACCCCATTCCCTCTCATCCCATCATTTCATCTTTTTGTGTACAGTTGTTTCAAGTATTAGTGCAAGACCAAGGTGGTATCCAACCGAGCCAACACCTAGCAACTACTTTCTAAGGTCGTAGTGCATCGGAAACGCTCTCCATTTCAGCTCCGCACGGACAGACCAAACCTCCAATGAGCAACTGGAAGAATTTTGGCATTTCAGCCCATGGCTGCTGGGAACACAATCCTTATCCGAACAGGGCAGGAACAAGATCGAACGAATGAACCTCCACTATCTGCAGGCGGCATAGGCGGCATCACCGCCTACATTCTGCCGGGGCAGGATGTCGTTTCAGAGGGGCGGATCTGCTGCTCGAGTCAGTCCATAATTCAAACATTACAAGCAACCCACTACCAGCAGATCGATGAAAACCCCCGTGCCGATTCCATCCACTCACCTTCCTCCCCTTGTTTGATACGGTGCTCATGCGGCCGTCTGGACTTCTACCTACACCCTATTTTCCCATGTTCGTCAGCTCCTTGCCCGGCACACGTCGAACGGTTTGATAACCACCAACTCGTACATAGTAGAGTTGGCTGGATACCCGCCGCAACAATGCAGACGAGATCGGCAAGAGAGTCAGCCTGTCCGTACAACCGCGCCGCTTTGGGGGTTTCTTGTTTTTTTAGGGCAGGTGGGCAGCTCGTCCACCAGCCTCGGGCCGCCTGAAAGGGCCAAAACGAACCGAGCGCCAAAGCCTCGCGTTCTAGATTTAGGCTATGCCCGCTGTTTTACGGAGTACTTGTTTGGGAAGCGAGGATCTGCCCCCAAAGAAAAGTGTTCTCCATGGCTGTAAGTGTATTTTCAGGCTTTGCGAAATACCTAGGTAGCCACACAAAGTCCCATCCCCTAGCTCTGCTCCCTCGGACCCAAAGAAAAGAACAAGAATCGGTTTAATCGGCTTAAATGATCGTCCCCTCGCCTTGTCGAGGAACCTTAGGGACAATGCAAAACGGAAGGCTTCGTTTTTCCTTGGCTTGTAAAAGCAAGCCCTGCGACGCGCTGAACGACTTGTGGCCCCAGTTTCGACGCTGCATTGAAACACACGCCAGCCGCCTGCATCTCAGCCGGCACAGTCGACGGCAATGAAGCGGATCTCCTGCAGGGAAAAGAGTATAAATAGACGCTCATGCAACTCATATGTAGTTGATGAGTACAATGCACAGGAAAAGAAATTTTGAACGGTCGTGGTAACACCCAGTGTTCACCGTTGAAAACTGTGTCCACGGAGAGGTCGGAGAATGAGCTAACGTTGGAGTGACATTGCGTAGTGAAATATGCCTACTCAATCAACAAGTCTAGATACAGAATTTGTGTGACATTCGCTCAAAAGTCTTGAGTATTCTCTCGTCTATCTGTCTTTTCTTCTTTTTTTTATTTCCCAAGAACCGTTCTTTACCGGACGGGAACCTCCGCCTCCTGCTGGCCCTCAAATAGGGGCAGCTCCGACTCAATATCTTTCCATGTCTTGGTCTCCTCAACCAGCGCCTTGATCGCCTCGATGATCTTGTCCTCATCCGCACGCACCTGGCGTGTGCTGTCACGCTCGCGCAGAGTGATGGTGCCGTCCTGGACCGTCTGGAAGTCCACAGTCACGCCGAACGGGGTGCCTAGCTCGTCGTTGCGGCTGTACCGTTTGCCTATGCTAGCCGACGAGTCATCCACTCGGCTGGAGAGACCGGCAGAACGGAGCTTCTGTGACAGCTTGCGCACCGCGGGCGGGAAATCCTTGTGGGACGATAGGGGCACGATGAGAACCTTCGTTGGTGCAACGGCGGGAGGGAAAGAGAGAACCTGGTAAGAAGGTTAGCACATAATTTGCTCCATTTTAGGGAAAGTCAAGAGGGCACGGAGTGCGAAAACTTACACCGCGAGCCTCATCGCCGCCGTCACTGGCTCTGGTCCAGTAGTTGTGCTCCATCAACGAGTACAGAATCCGGCCAATACCGAAGGATGGCTCGATGACGTTAGGGGTGTATTCCCTGGTGTGCTCAACCCGCTTCCGCCACTCAACGGCGAGCAGGTCCTTGCTAACCTCGACCTTGCCCTCTCCAACGTCGGGAACATCAATAGTAGTCTTGCCGGTCTCTTCTAGCTCCTTAGCCAACCTCGAACGATCTTCCTGTGTGGTGGCCAGCAAAGCGGCCTCGACAGCCTTGCCGTCCTTTTTGTAGAACGGACCGAACTTCTTCTTGTTGATATCAAGCTCCCATTCCTCAATAGTCTTGGGCTCGTCCAACTTTTGGCGCACAATAAGTGGTGCGCCAGTCTTTTTCGCATGAACGGACAAGTCGTAGGCGCTCCGGTCAGCACAGCCCACGCACTCCACCCAGCCGCCAGAGGTGAGGAGCTCAGCGTCCCAGCAGTCGCAGGCGTAGTGGGCCATCTCGTTGGCCATGTGTTGCCTGAAGCGGATCTTAGACTGGTCAACGCCAATCTTCTTGAGGAACAGCTGAATACGGGCCAAGAAGTAGCCCAGAGTCTCGTTGTCAACAAGACCATCTTTCACGGCTTGGCCGATTGTCTGCCTCGTGATGGTCGTCTTCCCGGACAACTGGATGTTCCGGTCAAGGAACGCGAGCTCAATGTTTTCAACCTCGTGGAACCGGTGGTGCTTCTTGTGGCCTTCGGGGTCGACGAAGTGCTCGATCTCGGCCATGAGGAACTCGCGGACACGAAGAAGACCAGCTCTTGGGGAAATTTCGTTCCGATACGACTTGCCAATCGAGGCTGAGGCAAACGGCATCTGGCCGGTATTGAACTCGAGGAGCTTAGCAAAGTTGAGGAACTGGCCCTGGGCGGTTTCTGGCCGTAGATAGCCGGGAAGGTTGCTGCTGGGGCCAATTGAGGTCTGGAACATGAGGTTGAAGGGCATCGGGGTATCTGGGAGCACGCCGGTGGCGGGGTTCTTCAAGTCGTACTTCGTGATCAACTCGCCCAGCTGCTCGCCATTGTAGTTGTCAATCTGCGCCAGCACCTGCTCGTATTCTTGCACAACAGCATCATCAAGCTTCACCGCTGCCAGGTCCTTGTGCTTCTTCTTTTTCTTCTTCGGATCTTCTTCCTTCTCCTCCACCTTCTGGCCACGTGCCTCCTTGTCACCCTTTAGCCGCGCCTCGAGAGCGCCCTCGACGAAGTGGTCGGCACGGAAGATTTCGCCGTTCTTAGGGTCCTTGCACATCCAATCCGCAAACTTGTCGACATGGCCGCTGGTCTTGAGAACCTCGTGAGGGGTGAGAACAGTGCAGTCAACCTCAAGCATGTCCTCCTCGAGGATAAAATGTTTGCGCCAGATATCGACGATGTTTGCCTGCAGCGCACAGCCGGGAGGACCGTAATCATAGAGACCGGAAACACCCCCGTAGATCTCGAACGAGGGCGTGTAGAACATGCGCCGGCGCAGGAGAGACTCGAGCGCGGCCTTGTCGAGGGGCTGGCCCTTGAGAGTGGTGGCCGTCGTTGTCATGGCGGGCCGTTTGTTCTCGTTGCGTGGCGGGGGTGCCTTGAAAGCGTAGGAGCGAGGGGCAGAAGAAGAAAAGGATCTGAATCCACGTGCTGGAAAGTGGAAGAGCCTCGGAACGGTGGCTTTGTGTAGGGTGAGCGCAATTCCAGCAAGTGGTGAAGGGAGAGGGGCACGTAGGAAGGGTTTCATGAATTCGGACGGTGGTTGTTTTAGCCCAGCCAAGTGAGTCACGCTCTTTCCTCCAAAAAAAGATCCTCTTTTTGCCCAATTCGAGGCCTGGGAAGGTGCTTGCCGATAGAGGGGTATCTCGCATTTCCCCTCCTCCACACGCCAAGCGCTATCTTTCAGGGCGTGCAGGGTGCCGGAAGGAACTTCAATTGACCGCCAAAACCGCCACGCGAGGCCCCGCCAAAAGAGGAACGTCCTTCATATCCCTGCAAGTCTCCCCGACATCCCTGCACTGCATGGATTGAAACCAAAAAAAAAAAAATCAAAGAGCCAGCGTCCGATAACAGTATCTATCTTGTGATAACAACAACAGCAAGAATCAATCGCAACAATGGGTTCAGGAAGAGGCTCGTCAGGCCCATCGATTTCCCTCAAAACATCCAACAAGCTAAAGCGAAAACAGCTGTACGTCCAACAAAAGAAAGCGACCGGCAAGGCACGCCATGAAGAACGACACCGACGGCGCAGGGAAGAGGCGAAAGACCCAGAGCTGAGACGACAACGACTCGAGAAGAACCAGCCCACGAGCATTGACAAGAAGAGAGTATGGGACGATGCCGATGACGATAGCCTTGGCGCGGTGGTGGATGTCGCCCAATTGAAGCGGCGCAGGCTGGAGGAGGCCGAAGCTGCAGCCGCGGCAGAAGCGGACGGTGTGGTTGGAGGCGATGAGGAACAGGACGACGTCGACAGCATGCTGGGATCCGATGATGAGGCGGCTGGGTCTGGCGACGAAGAAGAGAAGATGGAACAACAACGGAAGCGAGCACAGAGGCAACCAAGCATTGCCCCTTCGACAGTATCGACCAACCTCGACATCACACCGGACGCTCTGGCTGCGCAGTTCAAATATCTATTTAGCGAAGAACCACCGACAATGCCGAAGATTCTCGTGACTACCGGGATCAACGGCACCATTCACAAGGAGGCGCAGGAAATTGCAGCGTGTCTCCCGAACGGTAGGCTTTACCATTTGCGGGTTGGCGAAGCAAGATTCAGCACTAACTTTAGCATTTAGCTACTTACATCCCGCGGAGTTCTCATCGATACGGACACAAATACAGCGTCAGAGAGATTGCGAAGTTTGCAACGAGTTAGCACCGTCATGCTCCTATAGGCCCCGAACAGCGACTAACACTTGTACAGATCGGGGTTACACAGCACTGCTGGTGGTTCACGAAGACCTCAAGCGTCCAAACCAGCTCAGTGTATGCCATTTGAATGGCGAGGACGCTCCCCCAGGCCCTACGCTCACCTACACCATCCGTAATTACCATCCTGGGAAAGCCATTGTCGGGCATGGAAATGCTACGAATCACTATGTAAGGCGCCCTCCTTCTAGTCCTTCGTCCCCTCTGCTAATACAAAGCCAGCCGGAACTCCTACTCAATGGCTTCAAAACACCATTAGGTCTCCTTGCAGCCAAGTCTATGCACACCCTTTTCCCTCCGAAACCCGAGTTGGCGGGACGGCAGGTTTTGACCTTGCACAACCAGCGTGATTACATCTTCTTCCGTCGCCACCGTTACATCTTTCGGGAAGCAAGGGCAACGGAGAAGAATGTGCAGGGGGCAGATGGTAAGGAGATGGACGGAGTGAAAGGGATTCGTGCCGGGTTGCAGGAGATTGGGCCAAGTGTGTTTCCCCGTCACCCGTCGCAGTCGAATAATCAGGCTAACTTTGGTAGGGATGACCCTCAAGCTTCGCAGAGTCGACAAGGGGATCGGCAGGGCTGGGAGCGAGGGCGAGGATGCTCTTAAGTGGGAATGGAAGGCCAAGATGGAGAAGACGCGGACGCGTTTCAACCTGTAAGAGGCCAGTCGTGATACCCAGGGGCGGTTTCTGTACGGAATACGCGACCACCCACGTTCGGGTTGGTCAGGGGGTTTTGGTAATGTCGCAAGTGTTGCTCTGAGGTGTTGCCCATAATCCTTATTCGGGCGCCGGGCCAAAAGGGGGCAGTGTGGTCACTTTTAGGTTTCTGTTCTAAGTCTTCTCGGCTCTCAGTAACCACCATGTGTCCAAGACTCGACTCGGAACCTTTTCTAATAAAAAAACTAAAAATGAAAAACACCTGGCACTCGCCCTTTGACTTCACTTCCCTTTCTGAGGCGCCTGCTTTCGCTTTTCCTCCAACATGACAACCGAATATCTAGTCCTAATCGTCAATACCTTCTAACAAAACACCCGTGAGAGCACACAGTCAAAACAAGGGGGGGCAAAAAGAACTTACGCAATAATCCCCCCAACCGCGACCGCCACGCCGAGCAAACTCCCCCAATCACCCACCCCTTTCCCACTGACAACCCACCCCAGCGTCACAATCGCGCACGTCTTGACGTGTCCCACCACGGTACTCGACACGGGCCCGGTTTGCGCAACAATAAAAAACTGACTAATATTAATCAGGCTCGCAAACCCACCGCTCAGCAAGATCAACATCCAGCGCGCGGCGGGTAATGCCCCCCATGACACCGGCCAGGTGTCAATAAAGGGAATCGCGTACAGCAAGAGAAAAGCCGATACAGGCGCCTGGTTGAAAAGGAGCTGCATGCTCGTCAGGCGCAGGCGTCGGTGGTACGCCGCGATCCATACTGTGTACAGAGCCGAGGCGGACGTGCCGGCCAGCGCGAAGGCGACACCCGCTGGGGAGGTGGTTTGCACCCCGCCTGTGGCGGCTGTCGCGGGTTTGGTGTCGAAGTATGAGACCATGGCGACGCCCAAGCATGCCGGGACGAGGGCTAGCAGGGCACGTGAGGGTAGAGTGGCGTGGTAGAGGATGTAGTTGAGCAGGGCGACGGCTGGGGTTAGTAGAATGCGAGCGATCTGGTAGAATGGTACCGTGCTGAAGGCAAGGGAGAGGTTCGGGAGGATGACGTTGAGGGCCATGGCTAGCGACAGGGGGAGGATGTCGAGGAGGGCGACGCGGCGAGGTGGGAAGAAGGCGAGGGATGGGCGGGAGAGGAGAAAGAGGGTTAGGAAGGTGATGAGAAAGTGGAAGCTGGCGAATGTGAGCTGGGCGAGTTTAAGAGATGGGTCCGAGAAAATGGCTTTGTTGGTGAAGACCTAGGGGGATGGGTTAGTGGTGGATGTTGTTTTACATGCGAATTATAGACCACTCTTACGATTCCTATTGTGGCGAGTGTGTTGATGGCCATCCAAGTGAGCCCGGAGGCGTATGATGGGCTTTTTGATGGTGATTCCCGCCCCTCGGTCTCCTTCGAGGAGGGCTTGTTGTTTTCAACATCGCGGTCGGCAGGGTCCAAGTCGTCAGAAAGCTTTAATTTCTCCTCATCGTTCCCAAAAACACTCAGTCGAGCCAAACGGGGACTGGGGTCCTGAGCCTCTCTGTCGGACGAGACAGCAAGGACCCCATTTTTGGTGGGCATCCTGGAGGAGGGAGGGTGTTGCTTCTGTGTCCGGGCCAACTCAATATTAAAGAAAGGTTGGAAGATTCCAAAAATAGAGAATACCAAAGCACTCAAGGACCTGCCCCGAGAGTCTAAATGCAAGGCGTATACGCGGGTAAAGGAGACACAGTTGGAGATCTTTTCATGGTGTTGCCCAATCTGTGTTTCTCCAAAGCTCACGGATCCGGGGTTCTCTTTACGGGCCACATCGCCAAGTGGTTGGTCGCAGGCCCGGAGCCGTGGTGTCCGCCGAAACGGATGAGGATTCGGAATGTTTCCACTTTGCCTGTTCTGGTTGGGTTCAGCTGGGTGGGTCGTCTTGATGTAAGATGATTGGCCGTCTTGACAGTTTTTCCATCCTCTGGCTTGAACATGAAGAGAAGCAGCCCTGGCAGGGTAGGTTGAACCGCATTATGTGTTCTGCAAAGTGAGGAGATCAACAGTGAGGCTCTAAGTTTTGAGAAGGGCGCCTGATATTTGGCCGAATTGTGTTGTGCCTCGTAGTTTTTTAGTTTTTTTTTTTTTGGACGCTTCGTATAAAGACTCAACTGTTAATCTTCCCAAGAACCAACTCATATTGTGATTTCGTTTTTCCTACCCAACGGGGCAAGACGGAAATGTGGCTTATTATAACGTTAGCATCATTAAACTCTACCTGTCGGCTTCGTAGGTACCACGGCATGGTTGATTGTTCGATTACCGAACGAATACCAGTTGCCCAGCTAGCCCAGAGTCAAGCTGATCAATTACAAGACATGTTGCCATACGAATACTCTCGCAGAGTTGAACTACACAGTGCGTGTCCGATGCCTTGGTTTACTCAGTTATGAGTGTTATTTTTCACGGTTCGGGTGGGATCGTTTAAATTTAAACAACGACTCCGGGAAACAACCCGGTTTTGTCACGGGGAATCAAGTTGCAATGTGCCGACGTCTTAATTGAGAGGGAGTGTTCGGGTGGCACTTCAAAAAAGAATATACAGTGCTAAGTTATCAACACACACCGTCAGCACTCAGTCAACTTAGGACCAGGGGATAGCGGGTCCATCCCATCTTCGCCAACCTTAAAATCCTGAACATGACCAGATCAGGCGGTTAATTGATAAGGGGATATCCGACGCCGCCAAACTGACATGCCTTCAGATTAGAACAGCAGCGGCCGGAAACACATCTTTATTTCAAGCCCTGTGGGCTCTAGTCCCGAGAAATACGATCGTCACAGTGCGCAACGCACCATGTAGCGCTGAAACGACGGGCAATTCCACTCCTTGCCTTTTTTGGCCACCTTCCGTCAAGTTTCCATGCTTGGACGCAGTCTGGCAGTCCAGCTTTAACCTTGACAAACAATTCATACAGAACCAACCTCGAACGACTCATCAAATTCCGCACCGTGGAACGGCTGTCTCACGACGACTAAACCTCTCACTTTCGCTCTCACCCTCACTCACGGCCTGTCTCACTCGCATACGTACCCAGCTCATTCGGTTGCGCCAAATCCTGGTTGCTCCACTTTCCTACGAGGAGGAAGACCACACATGCACACGGAACGTGGGAGTGCATCTCCTCCGTCATGACCATTTCCAGTGGGGCGACGTCGCCAATTGGGGCCACCGATGGTGAGTGACGGAGTTCATCAAGAAAGGGCCATGAGGGGAGGAATTACGTTACCATCGTGATACTGACTCGAGTTGCTTTAAAACAAGGCTTCCGGAGAGGAAACAGCTTTTTTGAGGACTATGGCATCTGGAAAGAAGCGCCATTACTCATTGGTACTACCCAGTTTGATCCCCTCCCAGATGTCAAGAACATCATGATCACAGGGGGCGCCGGGTTCATGTGAGTTCACCTGGCCCCGAGTTAAGGACTCGCTCACTTGGATTCTTCTTGACCCATTGGCTAATCTCATATTTGAAGTGCGTGCTGGCTTGTCCGACATCTCACTCTTACCTATCCCCACGCCTACAACATCGTGTCCTTTGACAAGCTCGACTACTGCTCGTCACTCAACAACACGCGCATCCTCAACGACCGGCGCAACTTCACCTTCTACCAGGGCGATGTGACAAACCCGTCTGAAGTGCTAGATTGCCTAGAACGGTACAACATTGACACCGTCTTCCACTTCGCCGCGCAGTCACACGTCGACCTAAGCTTCGGCAACTCCTACGGCTTTACCCACACCAACGTCTACGGAACCCACGTGTTATTAGAAAGTGCCAAGAAGGTCGGCGTCCGCCGGTTCATCCACGTGTCGACCGACGAGGTGTACGGTGAGGTCAAGGACGACGATGACGACCTGCTGGAGAGCAGTATCCTCGCTCCGACCAACCCCTACGCCGCTAGCAAGGCCGCTGCAGAGATGCTAGTTCATTCATATCAAAAAAGCTTCAAACTGCCCGCTATTATCGTGCGCAGTAACAATGTTTATGGCCCACACCAATATCCAGAGAGTGAGTCCTTACCCCTTACCTCACTTTGTAGTCCCCCTTTCCTGCCCGGATCTAACTTCGACCCATCCAGAAATCATACCCAAATTCGCCTGCCTCCTAGCGCGGCGCAAGCCGGTGGTCCTACACGGCGACGGCTCACCAACACGCCGCTACCTCTACGCGGCCGACGCAGCCGACGCCTTCGACACGATCCTACACCGCGGCCAGCTAGGCCAGGTATACAACGTCGGCTCGCACGACGAAATCAGCAACATTGCCCTCTGCCGCAAGCTGCTGGGCATCATGAACATCATCCCGGAGACCGACGGCCATATGGGCGAGCAAAACGGCAGTAGCAGCAACAACAACAACCACCACAACGGAACCCCTCCAACAACCGACTCCCTATTCTCCCGCTGGGTCAAATACACTCACGACCGGCCCTTCAACGACCACCGCTACGCCGTCGACGCGACCAAGCTCAAGCAGCTAGGCTGGGTACAAAAGACGGGGCTCGAGACCGGGCTGCGCGCGACGGTGGAGTGGTACCGGCTGTTTGGGGAGCGCTGGTGGGGGGACATCAGTAAAGTGCTTAGTCCGTTCCCCGTGGTGGCCGGCATGGAGGTGTTGTCGGACTCGGAGCCTGTGTCGGATACGCCGCAGGGGCCAGAGGTAAGGGCGGAAAGGGGAGTGGAAGGGAAGAAGGGGAAAGGGGTTGTGGCGGTGGAAGGGGGGAGGAAGGGAAATGGTGTGAATGGGTGGAATGGGTGGGATGGGAGAAATGGATTTGAGGAGGAGGATTGATGTTGCAGGGAGGGGAGGTTATGTTTTTGTTGTCTTCTTTTTTAGCCAAGCTTGTTATGTTCGGGCTTTTTATACTGCTTATTTTCTGTCTTCTTTTCTTTGGGGTTCTCTCCCTTTTTCTTCTTTTCCGATCCCGTGTTTTGTTTCATCGGGCACTCGAAATATCATGATCATAAGCCGTTACATAACTTGGGACTTTTCCCCAATAAATACAAAAGACTGAAGAGGAACAAGCATACGGTGTCCATAGAAAACAGCACAAGACAGTGTGACCCCGACGACCAACGGACTCGCCACGTTCCTTGTCTCGACTGCAGGGCCCGAGGAGCTGGAGCTTGGGTCCGGTTCCTCGGGATTGTGACCGCGGGGCCGGGCTCTGCCTCCTCTTCTAGTGTACTATGTAAAACGCAACGTGGCTCAAGTTGTTGGAGGCTATTGGAGGTAGTTGGCCTAAGCGAGAATGCGGGAAGAAAGTTTGTTGGTCCTGCTGTGCATACAAGGGAGTTTGCACAACACCGCCGTTCTCCCCGCTCCCTGTCCCCCTCCCCACAACGTCGGCTACCGGCGACCTAGCGGGGCAGGTCGGGTGAAGCATCAACGAGCTATCGGACTGGATTCCGGGTCCCGATCTGTCGGTTCCGTTTAACCCCAAAGGGTGAGGCCGGAATCAGCGCGGTGAGGGGCCGCGAGCTGCAACGAGGGCTGTTGTTGGCCGCCTTACGTACTGTAGGGAATGTATGTGTGTATGTACATACATGTCTAAGGGTGGGTCATCTGGACTGGGATCAATAAAGTCGACCGACCACCTGATGCTCGATATGGGGGGCCTGTTTGGCGGAGCACTGAGGGAAGAGGCGGGAAGGGTAGCATATCAGGAACTTTTTGTTGTCCAGAAGGAAGCGAGGCAAGGCTATTCGGGGAAGCCTACGGGTCCGCATTGTCAATCTGGAGGTGTGCGTGAGACGAGGAATAGAGTCATATGGGGTCCTGCAGAAAAAGCGACCGGCTGAGGACCGTGCCGTGGACGGTGGGAACCATGGGCGACGATAACGGTCCGGGTGTTACCTTCCTCTCCTCGTGCTGTGACTGTCCCTCGCTCTATCGCACTCTATGTGCATTTCGGAGAATTCTGCTGTTTCCATCAGTTTGCCGAGGCGGTTGGCTGGTCCAGTGGTTGGGGACCAAGCGTTATGAGCGTTGGAAGTTCGTTGTTCAAGGCGCCAGGGGTGTGGAAGCGGGAGAACGCCTCACCCAGGTAGATCGGCTAGCCGCCCGGAATAGGTGTGAGACCGGGCCGGAAAACAGGAGACGAGGGCGAAAAAGCGGCCAACGGGGCACAGCAGGGGGAAGCACCCGCTTGGATACCATATTTTTTTTCTTCGCTCCACCTTCTTGCAGGAGCGAGAAACGAACGCGCATTCATGGGCAGCGCTTCCTTCGGTTTCCGGTACCGTGGACAGGGGAGAGGAATATCCTGATGGCCCCAGCGGGACGGGAGAGCATGCGTGCTTTTGTCGTGGCATGTTCTTGTTGGGCCGGAGAGGATCGTAGGTGCATCAACAAGGTCCGCCCCGAACTCCAATCCAGCGGCTCGGTTCCGTAACGTGTACAGACGCAGTCCCCTCCCCGTCCTCCGAGTGGGCGCGTGCCCGTGGGTTGCATTGTTCAACGCGTGTGTCTCTCTCCATCGCTTCCTCCCCAACTGCCCGGAACATTGGATACCATAGTATGTATTCATGGATCCTGAAGATAACCTTGAAGCCGTCTTGCACCATCCGCGGATGGTCCACGGGGTACTTCGTAAGCTCCTGGGTTTTGGTTAACGATCAGTGGTCAGAGCCAAACGCCGTCGCCGGTTTGAGAGATGCACGCGCCGTCAGCGAAATGGTAGGCCTGTGACGAGCCGGCTGGGCCAGCTTCCTTTCTGGGCCTTGTCCAATCATGGCGAACAGAACCGCGTTCTCATTACACGACACTGTAAGTGCCATGCCGTCGGGTCGAATCCACTCGACATATTGGATGTCCACGTACTCCCATGGCGCGGGGTGATTTGCGTCCTTTCGGACGGTCCTTGTATGTAGTTATCCCCGGATTCTTTTCCGAAGCTCATATTTCCTCCTCGATTTTGCGAGACAATTGATTTCTCGTGACTGTTGTCCGGTCGGTCCGGTCTAGGCCTCGATGGGTCTTAACTAGCCACCTCGCACTGTTTGTCCGCCAGGGAGAGGGGCACAGCAGCCGTTGAAAAGTGCGCCCCGCATTCGTGGTTTTTTTTTTTTTGGTCAGGAGAGCAGCACATCCGAAGCGTAACGTTTCGACGTAGATTTAGCCAGTGTTCCCAGCCGCCTGGTGCCTCGAGAACGGGATCTGGGGATGACGCGAAGTGCAGGAGTTGGGTGGGATTCTTCATCTCAACCAGGCATCCGGACGAAACGGCCGACAAAATTCGGGAGGCTCTCACTCTGGTTCTTGCAGGTGCTGCACGGCTGTGCCCGCTTTGGTAGTGCTGCAGGACCTGGGGCCGGCGCATCCATCTTGGGAGGAGTTCTGGTTGGGTAGCCTGGCAATACCGTCTATTTTTCTGGAAGGGAGGTGACCTCTCTTGCCTCTCCAACCCTGCGTTCAATTCCTGCGAACTTGCCCGTTAAGGCTGGTGGAATGGATGGTGCACGCCCACATCAACGATAGGCTAGAGGCGAGTGCGCATTGAGGTGGCTCGGGTGACCATGTAACGTATATTGATTACTATGTATGTCTTGGGGTTCGTTGTCGTCCATGTAAAGAGGCGCAGAGGCGTTGACAATGCAGCGAGGAGAATGGAGGTGGGCGGGAACAGAGCGGATTTGCGAGGATAGCACCTAGCTCGTTGTGGTTAAAAAAAGCGGCAGGCCAAAACAGATAGCTTGAGTCTAATCCGTCAACATTTAACCAAATCTTGACGGATTTTGACGATTATAACGGTAATAGCTGCCTAGGTAGAAGCCTAATATCCATGTGGTCATAGTATTGTTGTTTTTAACTGGTTTTAAACCACCGATGGCTTGACTTATTCTTGTTGTTTTCTTTCACCTGTGTAGAAAAGTGGGGCATCTTTGGCCTTCCGCTTCCACCACAGCGAGAGCAGTTCCGATTCCAGGGCGGCGGGCAGGCGGGTGCATGGTTTGGATCGCGAGATGCATCGCATCCTGGCTTTTCCCACAGGAATTTGTCGGTTTGCTGGCACTCGGTTGGAATTTCTATGGACCCGCCCATCTGTTCTCGGATAGAGGTGGAGACCGGGCAGGAGAACCTGGTCCGGGCTTTGAGGTGAACATCAACTCTCTGCGGGCGATTCGGGCGGGGGGCCTGCCGTCTGGTACCTGAATCGGGCGAGTTCACGCCGGGGCGGTGGAGCTCGACAGCGGGATGGGACAGGGGACCAGTGGGGCCGATTGAGCCCTGGCACGTCCAGTCACTGGCCGCGCGATACCCGCTGGGCTGCCCCTGGTTTCTTCACATAATTGAGGCGTGCGCCCTGGAGGTGGGCCACACCCGTCTCTTCCCATTCCCGGTTGCTGCTCACCTGCTCAACGACTTTGTTGTCTGTCTCTCACACCACCCTCTCCGTCCACGCCGCCAATTCGACCTCACCGTTGGCCGCCCGGCTCCCCCCTCTTTTGGCGAGGAATGGGCGAGGAACGGGGAAGCCACAGTCTTATATCCTAGCGCCTCAGCTAGCCGAGCAGCACCCACCTCGCCAACTGACTAGCCTCTTGAACGGGATTTAGTTCCTCATTCCGCACAGCTCTTGTGTCGATCTCCTCGGATCTCAGCACCACAATTCCGCCGCCCCTGGCTTGCTTCCCTCGATCGCAGTTGGCTGACACCGAGACACCGAGCCCCAGCCCACTCAATCCATTCCTCTAAAAGGACTACCAGACGTTCCGGATGCTCTGCTTCAACGACACCTACGACAACGCGCGTTCTGGTCCGCGGCCAGAGACTCAACCTCGGTGTCCAGTTCGCGCCATCTCGAATTGAGAGCCCTTTCCGTGCCACCTCGGAAATCTAATGGAGAACCGCCTAGGACAACCGGATACCTTCACATCGACACCGGGTCTGTCGCGATAGGAGAGAGATGGGCCCGGCGCACACATTAGAAAACGGCGGGGCAAGGACCGCGCATTCAAGCGACCCGCCTCGGGTCTCCTTTCAACAACCAGAAAAATATACCACCACTCACCCCGACTACCCAATATCTCAAAACGGGCCCACTAGGGACGACGCCGGCGTGATATCTCCTGAAGTTTCTGCGCTGCTAGAAAGAGAAGGTGCAGACATCGGGCTAGAAGTAGACGACAACGACGACGACGACGACGAAGACGAAGACGGTGATTACGGCGAGGGAGAGGCTATGGACCATGATGCAGCTCGATCAGTGTACGCCATGAGCATGTGCCCCGGCGCGGGGTCTACCTTTCAGGCTGAGCACGGTTACGAGAACGGGCAAGATGCAGCTACTATGTATGTTCCTCCTCGTTTCGCCGGCCGGGATTAACTATGTGACGACTGGATATTGACGATAGCCCAGTGATTCTGCACGGACCTTGTACGCCGACGACTTCGACTTTGTTATGGAAAACGGCCGCCAATATTGCGGCGACTACTTCCTACCCATCGACCAAACGGAACAGACGCGGCAGTACGTCATCCACCAGGTTTTCCTCAAGGTGTTCGACCTCGAGCTGACAACGGTCCCGCTCGACAAGCCGACATACATCCTCGATGTCGGCACCGGGATAGGCGAGTGGGCAATTGGTATGGCGGAGAAGTATCCGCAGTGCGAGGTCTTCGGCACCGACATTGCCCCCATCCAACCGACCCAACAAGTCCCCTTCAACATCGAGTTCCATATCGAAAACGCCGAGGACGAATGGATCCGTCCCAACAACGCTGTCGATCTGGTGCACTTCCGTAACATGGAAGGCGCCTTCTCCGACTGGCCCTTCATCTACGGCCAAGCATTCGCCTGTCTCAAACCAGGAGCCTGGATTGAGATTATGGAATGGGAAGATTTCTTCTCCACGAATAACTTCCTCTCCTTCTTCGCGGACAAGTCGGCGCCACACGTGCTGTTCCGTGCGATCCTTGATGCCGCCGAGGTGGCCGGCCGTCCGCGCGACTCACGGGCTCTTCGCCGAGAGCAGCTCGCGGCCGCAAATTTCATCGATATCCAGGAGACAGTGCACGACTTGGGTATCGGCGCACGCGAGAGCAGCAGCTACGGGAAATTCTGGCTCTTCTCCATCATCACGGGCGTCGAGGCCGCATCGATGCGCCTGTTGACCAGGTACCTCGGCTGGGACCCGAACGACGTGCATGAGCTGTGCGAGAATGTTGCCGACGAGATCAAGGCCATTTCCGAGGACCCGGATAGGGCGGAAGCCTTTGTCGTCAAGCTCCGTGTTACTATTGGGAGGAAACCCACGAATCAAGCTGGGGTAGGGAGGAGTAGGGCCGAGGATAGCGGGGGCAATGGGCGGAATAGTGAAGATGAGAGCACCATCGGGGCGAGGACGATACGATCCGAAGCAACGGCATGAGACGAAACAGTCGAGGAGGAGATCGAAGCGGACGAGAGACCATGACGTACAAAAGCAGCAACGACACGCAACTCAACAGCCCACAAGCTCGGGTTTGATTCCCGAGAAGGCATTGATATTTCCCAAGGCTCCAGCGACTGGGGTTCCAGTTCCCCATCCGGGGCCATTTTCTGAATAATTTCTAGCGATTTATTTTCCTTTTCAGTTCTGTAGATACCCGATTCACCCTTCTCAGTACATACATAGGTCACCTCAGGGTTTGCACGACCGGATCAGCCAGTCGTCAGGGTAGTGATAGTCGGTGGTAATGAAGCAATTTCAAACAAGATACCACGTTCGCATACCTACGTGCCTACCTATGATGAAGCGATGGCTAGTACCACGGCCGCTTGTCGGAGTTTTGGGGGGATATCCGATCCTTCCCCTCTCAAATTGCTTACACCGTCCACACACCATCCGTTACATGCACCAATAAATTCCTACATGTACTGTCACCGACATCCCACTCTCGAACTCGCCGTGTAATTACCAACAACGTCGGGTGTCGTCCCGTCCCGTTATGAACTTGCGGAGCCCACTTACATGGTAGGTTCCTGGTCCCCTGCCTGGTCGCGGCAGGCAACTCGCAGTGGGGCCTTTCCTGAGTTTCCAGCATGAATGACGCACTATCACTGGTCCAACCTCAGTGGCTGCCCTGCTGTGAGCTCTCCCTCCAACAGCAGACAGCTCCAACCCAACACTTTGGATGGATCTTCTTCCGTCACGAGCCCAGAACATTCGCACGCTCGACCTCGAACTACAACTCAATACCGAGCCTGCTTGCACTGGCTATTCCTTACACAGCGCCATCTCGTCGCGCCCTCTCCCACGATGCAAAACACTTGACCACACCCGTCGTTGCCACGCCTGAGACTCATCCTCCCCCACTCCGCCTCGTCCCTTCTACCATGGCGTTCGAATCGCTGTCCCCCGGCGGCTTTCCAGTAACCGATGGCACGGTGGCAGACCTCGCCGACGCCGCGGGAGCCGCCGCTCTGCCCATCTTCGACGTGCTTCCAGTACAGCTGCAGTTTTCAATTGCGGCCGATTTCGTGGCGGGCCAGGCAGCGAACAATGTGCTAGTGATAGCGCTGTTGAATGGGAGGATCCTAAGGATTGATTTGAATAAACCAGAGGATATTGATGGTGTGTAACTTTCATCCGTTATCCCTTCTCCTCCCTCAATCAGCCTTTTGCTTCCTACGCTGTAGTCGGAGAAGACCATGACTGACTGAGAGCCAACGGAATAGATATCGACCTCCCCAAAAAGCCGGCCGATCCCGGGACGATCCGGCGCATGTTCCTCGACCCGACCGCCTCTCACCTACTCATATGCACCACGCTTGGCGAGAACTACTACCTACACTCACAGTCGCGCCAACCGCGCCCGCTCGCACGCTTGCGCGGTGTGTCCGTCGAGTCGGTCGCCTGGAACCCGGCCCTCCCGACCTCATCCACCCGCGAGATCCTGATTGGAGCCGCTGACGGCTACGTCTACGAAGCCTCGATCGAGACTTCCACGGAGTTTTACCGGAAAGAGGACAAGTATGTCAAGCTGCTACAGAAGTTACCCGACGGACCGGTCACAGGCCTGTGGGTGGATGCGCTGTCGTCAGGGCCGGGGTCTGCGCAGGGGAAAAACCATCATCCTAACGCTCATAACCACCAACAACAAGATCTGAGGAGGGTGGTGATAGCGACGCAGAGCCGGCTGTTCCATTTCGTGGGCAAGGTCGCGCGCGGCCACGATGGGAGTGGGTCGATTTACACCAATCTGTTCGAGAGCGAACGGCCCGTTATTCACGAACTGAGCGGGGCATCGGCTGCCACTGCCGCCTCTATGCTAGTGATCTCGCCCGACGCTGAGGAGGCGCCGCGCTTCCGCGGAGATGAGGAAGTTGGGGAGCGGGCGTTTGCCTGGTTGTCGAGCCATGGTGTGTATCACGGGAAACTGTTGGTAGAAGGCGCCGGGCCGGAGCTGGGAGCTAAAGTGTTTGCCGAGGCAAAGCTGCTTCCCAGAGCGCAATTGACCAGTCCGGATGGTGCCAAAAGGCAGCAGCCGGTGTCCACCGAATACATCGACGCCATTGCCTTGACACAGTGGCACATTGTCTGCCTGGTCGGGACGCGCGTCGTGGTGGCTAACCGTCTGACAGGGTCGATTGTCTACGACCAAACCATCCTAGACCCCGGGCAGAAGGCGGTTGGGCTATGCGTGGACCTGCAGAAGAACACGTTCTGGCTTTTTACGTCCCAGGAGATATTCGAAATCGTGCCGCGCGATGAGGATCGGGATATCTGGAAGATCATGCTGAAGCTGGAGCAGTTTGACGCTGCTTTGCAGTACGCGCATACACCAGCGCAACGAGACGCCGTGGCGATTGCGTCGGGCGATTACCTTGTGGGCAAGGGGAAATATGGCGAGGCAGCGGGCGTATATGGCAAGAGTAGCAAGGCGTTCGAGGAGGTGGCGCTCACGTTCATCGACAACGGCCAACCCGACGCGCTGCGAAAGTATCTCCTCACGAAGCTGAGCTCGTATAAGAAGTCATCGATCATGCAGCGCATCATGATTGCGGCATGGTTGGTTGAGGTGTTCATGGCCAAGCTGAATTCGCTAGACGACACAATCGTCACGGGAGCCGAGCTGTCCGACACGCTGAACACCAAGCAGACGAGGGAGCAGCTCGATGCAGTACGGTCAGATTTTCAGGATTTTGTCAACCGGTACAAATCGGATCTCGATCAGAAAACCGTCTACGATATCATCAGCAGCCACGGCCGAGAGGAGGAGCTGCTATACTACGCCAACGCCGTGGGCGATTACAATTATGTCCTATCCTACTGGGTGCAACGGGAGCGGTGGTCGGAGGCGCTCAAGGTGCTCAAAAAGCAGACGGATGCCGAAGTGTTTTACCGGTACAGCAGCGTGCTTATGACGCATGCGGCGACGGAGCTGGTCGAGATTCTGATGCGGCAAAGCAATCTCAACCCACGGAGCCTCATCCCCGCCATGCTGGAGTACGACCGCAACTACAAGGGGCCGCTGACGCAGAACCAAGCCATCCGCTACCTCCAGTACGTCGTCAACCAGCTCGGCTCCGCTGACTCGGCCGTCCATAACACCCTCGTTTCCATTTATGCCTCACATCCGTCCAAAGACGAGTCTGCGCTGTTGTCGTACTTGGAAGCCCAAGGCGATGAGCCCAGATTCGACCCGGACTTTGCCCTCCGCCTATGTATCCAGCACCGCCGTGTGCTCTCCTGCGCCCGTATCTACACCAGTATGGGTCAATATGTACAGGCCGTCGCCCTGGCCTTGTCCCACGACCAGGTCGAACTCGCTTCCATCATCGCCGACCGGCCCATGTCCAACCCAATACTACGCAAGAAACTCTGGCTCGCCGTCGCCAAAAAAGTCATCTCCCAACAATCCGGCGGCGGTATCAAGACGGCCATCGAGTTCCTCAAACGCTGTGACCTACTCAAGATCGAAGACTTGATTCCCTTCTTCCCCGACTTTGTCGTTATCGACGACTTCAAGGAGGAAATATGCGCCGCGCTCGAGGACTACAGCCGGAACATCGACGCGCTCCGCCGCGAGATGGACGAATCCAGCCTGACGGCTGCCAACATCAAGGTCGATATTGCCGCCCTCGACCGGCGGTATGCCATTGTCGAGCCGGGCGAGAAGTGCTATGCCTGTGGACTGCCCCTGCTGAGCCGCCAGTTCTTTGTGTTTCCCTGCCAGCACGCGTTTCATTCGGATTGTCTCGGCCGGAGGGTGCTGGAGCAGAGTGGGGAGGCGAAAGCGAAGAGGATACGGCAGTGTCAGGTGCAGATTAGTAAGGGGTTGGTGAGTGGGGAGAAGAGGGATGCGATGATTGCTGAGTTGGATGCGTTGGTGGCTTCGGCGTGGTAAGTCCCCCTCCGCGCGTCCTGTTCTTGGTCACAGAAGATGTGTGTGCTAACAAGGAGGCGTCCAGTATTTTGTGCAGCGAGTACGCCATCCGGAGGATTAATGAGCCATTCGTCAAGGAGAGTGAGGACACGGAAGAGTGGGCGTTGTAGGGATGTAAAGGTTTAACCATACCGCGTAATGACCTTGAACCGAGGAAGTACGAATGAGCATTTTGCATAGTGTATACAAAGGTGTGTGAGGTTGTGAGGAAGTGGACGCCGAAGGCCTGATACCCAATGTCCAAGTAATGATCAAATCGAATCAACCTGCCGTAAACAAACTAGCCATGCTCCTCCCTTCAAAGATGATCCAAGCCGTTTCCCCAAAACTATAATGTAGTGAACAGTTGCAAAGATCCCATGTATACATACATACATACATACAACCGGTCGTCTTGTTATCCCTCCGCTCACTGCCTTGAGAAAGTGGAAATGGCGAGGATTCCAATGCTGGCAAAAAGAAGAAAAGGAAACCAGAAAAAGAAAAGAGTCAAAAAGCTCACCGCCTACTTTTTAAAGAGTAGACAGCTACGAAAACCCGAGGTGGGTTTTACTAGTTGGTTGGGCTGGGAGTCGAACTTAAGATCGGGCGTATTTTTAACACCTACGCCCCCCGCAAATACACCATCCACTCAATGGGACAGTGACAAATGGGAGGGACGGCGAAAGGCGGAGCGCCGGGGCTGTTTATAAAGGCTGTGTGTTTTTGAGGCGGAGGGGAGGGCAGGTACGGGATGGAAGTAGGTGGGAGGGCAAGCCTTTCTGCCTTAGCACCCGGGCCATCTCCCCTTCATTGCCTAGATTTATTTCCCTCCTCCAAGGACCGCAACCCATATCATCCCAACCCGATGAACGTCCAACCAGTCAATGCTGCCCACTCTCCTCCACCATCCACCATACAAATGTCGACATGTCCTAGAACTTTGTCTAGTAGGGGCACGGAGTGACTCCCAAAGTCGATCGAGTGAGCATCAGGATGGAAACAATAACGCCGTACAGGCCTAGAACCTCGGCGAAGATAAGAATGAGAACCATGCCGACATAGAGACGGGGCTGTTGCGTGCTGGCGCGTACTACAAATATCAGGGACGAGTGAGTTGTTTGTTAGCGAGTATTCGTATAATTTTGAGGAGGGTATTTTTGGGGGAGGGTGATATGAGGTAGTAGGGCGCGGGTCCATAACTTGATGGGGTGCGGAAAGGAGATGCGGGATACAGACGGACAGTATGGCAACATTTAGGGGAGTGATATCACAACAAAGTAGGAAATGGAGGGGGGGTGAAAGGAAAATCAAGAAAAAAGGAGATCACTCACCACCCGCATCTCCAATGATACCAATCGCAAACCCCGCGGCTAACCCACAGAGACCTACGGCCAGGCCGGCACCGAGCTGCATAAAGCCCGTATAAAGGGCCATCTTTTCGGTCAGGCTGTTGGAGATAATGACGGCGGCTACCAGGCCATAGATGGAGATGATCTGGGCCATGATGGCGCAGAGGCTGTTGTTGTCCGGAGGCTTTTAGCATTCCTGACCACGGAGGGAAGACAAGAGATACGTGTGGATAATGAACTACACAAAGCGTCCCATACGGTACATGTACATGTATCTCAACATGGAAGGGGATACTCACGAGTTCTGCATCAGCCTGTCCGGGCGGATAACACCCGAGGAGAAGATGGCTCCGGCCGACTTGGCGGTGCCATAGCTCGAGCCGATGACGGAAAAGATGATGGCAAATGCACAACCGAGAGCTCCAAAGACGGACTACAGGATAGACAGGGAAGTCGAGGTTAGGCGATAGTAGGTATTTCTCGGTACAATGGGGTGGATGATTGGGGGAACCGCCGAAAGGGCTGGACTGAAAGGAAGGGAGGGCGTACAGCATATACCGGGCTAATCGTGTGGATGAGTTAGTAGCTGCCGAACTGGTTTTCGGGGTAAGATGGACACGGAGAGGGAAAGATACATACCACCGGTCGAGGTTAATGAACTCATCCATTGTGTATGTACTGCACGAGCTGGTTGGTTTCCACTGCTGTGTCAAGAGAGCGAGTGAGAAGGATATGTCACCCCTATAATGTCTTCCCAGGTCTACGCGGTACTCAACGAGGGTTGTACAGAACCGAGAGATAAGGCGGGAGGGCTGAAAGAATCACGAAGCAAGAGATCTAAGAACAGTACAGAAGAAAGAGGGCGTTCAGCTGGGACAGGACTGAACCAGCTAGGCAGAGACTCATCGTCAACGGAGAATCAAGCTGTCAGCTCCGAGAGGGGAGCTCTGGGGGAGAGGGGTCACGCCACGGGAGGCCGGGCAGCTTCTGCGGCCCGGGTTAGGAAGGGGGCCAAGCAAATGCTGACGAGTCCCCAATAAGGGCGTCGTGTTCTTCGTTCACGAAATACGACAAGCTCATTTGAGCTGTCCACGCCACCGGTCCCGCTGCACGGGGATGACATGATCCAGGAATAGCTTGTTTGCGTTGTAATTATCCCTCGGTAGAATTAATGTATACTATGAGAGTAGCAATTCAATAACTATGCTCTGCTGTCATTTATCGGTTGTTGAGTACTAGCTACCTGCTGTTACTAGAAGCTTAGTTGGCAGAGACTTGAAGAACGCAAGGTTGGATATACAGTCTCTACCATCCTGCGATGCGCAACTGGGCCCCACGACCACAAGTCGCTACGTTGATGGGTGAATCAGCGTGCTCATCAAGAGAGGCGACGTGGTGCTAAATAAACGCGGGCGTCTAGGGCGTCTATAAGTTACGTTGGGGCATCCTTGCACAACAATCAGCCGTTCGAGCAACGGTTGTGTAGTGTAGCGGTTATCACTCCGGATTCTGATTACATCAGAACATTCCGGCAACCCCGGTTCGATTCCGGGCACGACCTTTCATTTTGGCGACTCCTCCGTTATTGTCCACGGTTTTTGGCCCTGGATTATTGAATTGTTCAAGCGAGGAGGTTAATGGGAGGAGAATCCGAGGACGATAGTGAGCATTCCTTTTACAATTTATGAAGTTTTCTTTGTCCATGCGCAATTGGCAGCACCCCTCGCCCTTTCCTTAGACGATTGACTTTTATCAGCCCGCCTCACGGAAGGGAAGTTGGGAAGCAAGCAAATAATTGAAGAGGTTGCGGACTGGGAGGATGGAGTTTCCGGCGCAGGATTTCCCAGTCGAGTAGGCGAACCCTAGGATCTAAGAGGCTTTTCCTGTTTCGTTGAGCCTTTTGCGCTCCTTGAAGCAATCGCGAGGCCTGAGGTTGCGCATCTTGCCGCAGCCCGTGGAGCATGACGTCATTCGCTAGGGTTCAACCAACGTCATGCCTGCTCCCTGGAGACCTTCTGCAAACGGCCTGTGCTTCAGTGGATGATGCAAGCTTTGTGGCCCACGACAGCTCGCAGAACGGCACACAACCCCCGAGCTGTGCGGCCCCGGAGGCCAATCGAAGCCCCCGGAGCTCTGGTGGAAGAGGGAACAGAGCTTCCATGGTTGGCACATCTTGCACACCTAACCTGATCGCAAAGTTGCCATACGTCACCCAGATGTGCTTGCGAGGGAAGGAAGCATAAAAGAGGATGGGGTTCTCGCTCGGTCATTCCTGTCGCAAGAGAAGTTCACTACACCATTCACCAATTCTGGAAGACCATGCATAAACAAACATACGAAAACGATTCCGTGTAATCCATAAACTTTGTTGAAGATTCGCCCTTCTTAGTTATACCCGTATTTTCCACAAGCAAACTATCTTAAACTCATCCGGTTCCTATTCCCACTATATCACCACCATGGATACGATCAACAAAGTCACGTCCGCCGCCTCTAAGGCTATTTGGGGAGAGAACCATAACCAGTCCCACGAGGAGCCCGTGTCGGGCAAGCTGGGCAATGTAGAGGCTGGAGAGCCATACGACGCCGGTAACATTGGTATGGCCCCTTGGTTAGTGCTCAACGTCATAGAGCGCACACTGACATATCTCCGCTAGAAACCAAGACTGGCACAACGGACACCGACCCTGCTGGCCCGGCCAAGTCTGCCCCTTCGGCTACTGGCATCCAGGGCGACTCGACGAAAGCGCAGAATGATACCCGATCGCCGCAAGACGAGTCCATCACCGAACCGGGCAAGTCCACCAACGTGACCGACGACAAGGTCCCAAAGCCGGAAGACGGCCGGACAGCAGAAAAGAACGAGTCCCTCAAGACTTCGGACGAGGAAGTCAAGGTCGATGGCCCCGGGCCCCGACCTCTCGAAGAGGTCGCTCGTGAACACGGCGGTGATGCCGGCGCCAGCGGCGAGTCGGTATCCGGACAATCGCAACAACAGCCAGGACAACCAGGGGCACAACAACTTCCCGAGGATGCTTCTACCGGACACAAGCGTCAGGATAGCGGCAAGGGGCTTGCCGGGGAGAACAATGAAGAAGGCGGCGAGCAAAAGGGGAAGCAGGAGGGCACCGGGGAGGAGTACGTCAAGTCGAGCGGGCTGGCTGCTGACGGTGGAGACTTTGATGCCAGCCGGCCGGGTGCCGGGCGGGAAGCTGACCGTATGTGCTTACCTACCCTTTTTCTACTATGTAGTCCTGTGTGAAATCTATGTGCATGCTGACATAATACTAGGTCTCCTCGAGGAAAAAGGTGTGCATCCTGGCGCCGGTAGCCATCACGGTCACGGAAAGCACGACACTGGGAGCGGTGGTAGTTCCGGTACACGGACTAGCCACGGCGGGAGTGCTGGGAGCCCGGGCAAGGAAAAGATTGGCCTCAAGGACAAGATCAAGGCAAAGCTGCACAAGAGCAGCACGTCCTCGTAGATGGGACGCAGAAAAGCTGGATGCAAAGGAGGCCGGTGATTGAGGTTGGGGTGACGAATCAAGGAGACCTGGTATGTTGCCAGGCTTTGTATAAGTAACTTGAGTGGCGTGGGAATTTTCGTGTTCGTGGGACTGGGCTTAATTGGCATAATAACGCCAAGGTTAGGTTGAATTGTACCGGATAAAGTATTCATAGGCGTTTAGTGTTTTTGAGCTATGGACTTATGGGTTATCTCTCTTGCATCGGCCCAGTTGATTGTTGACCGATACCACACCAGGATTCGAGAAACACTATCAGAGTTAACTTGCCTAACAGTGAATGAGCCCTAGTTGAGCAGAAGATATTTAGACGTTTTTTTGGTGGTATCAGTTATCCGGATACACAGTTCACACAGCTACCTTGACTTCGGAAGCCTGGCGTTCACGATAAGTGAGAGACGGTTGATGGTTTAAAATCAATTCTTTTTATCATCAACGATCCTTCGTCACCCAACTCAGCCCAGTCCACATAATTTGCACTCTCCCTTACCAGAAGCTAACTTCATACATAAATCCATCGTGATATCATGAGAAAATTAATGAGGGAAAGGCGAATAAAAAGAATCCGATGAACCCCATACCACGGAGTACAACATCCCAACACATGACACAGTTGTCCGGTTGCCCGACTTCCAGATCCTGGACGCTGTAAATGATGGCGAGAATGATAGAAGAAAAGAAGAGAGGGGGGGAAGAGCAAGAAGAAGAAGAAGGGGAAAAATGAATCCCGCTGATGATGGTGAATCGCGTAAAAGGGTGGACGAGCGATCCAAAAAAAGAAAAAAAGAACAGGGAGCTAAAGAGGAGGACATCCTAGAAATGCACCCGCTGGCCGCCCTCTACTCAGGCGGCGTCAAGAACGGGCTTAGCATCAACTCATCTGCGCTCGGCCGCGCGTTATGGTCGATCTCAAAAGTCTGCGCTAGGAATTGCTGCGCTTCCGCACTCGCATGTTCCGGGATTGTCGGCGTTGCCTTGGCACCGCCAATCTTGAAGATGGCCTGCAGCTGGGAACAGTCCGGGAAGGGGTGCTGGCCCGTCATCATCTCGACTACCAGACACCCGAGCGACCAAATGTCGGCTTTGCGTGTATACGAGGTTTGTTTGACGACTTCAGGCGCCATCCAAAAGACGGATCCTTGAAGGGAGGGCCGGTTTTTGTTGTTGTTGGCCCCGTTAAGGATGTTGGTAGCTTCAAGTTTCTTGGAAATACCGAAATCCGAAATTTTGATGGTGCCCTTGTTGTCGACCAGGATGTTGGCGCCCTTGATGTCTCGGTGGATGATATCACGGTTGTGCAGATACGAGAGACCGTTGAGAATTTGCCGAACGAAGCTGCGCACCAGTGGCTCTGGCAGCGCGCCGTACGAGTTGAGCATTGTCTGGACGGACCCGCCGGGGACGTACTCCAGGAAAATGTTGAGGTATTCGGCCGAGGAGCCGCATCCGAGGTACTGCACAATGTTGGGGTGACGCAGGTCACGGAGAAGGCTGATTTCGCGTTTAAGGGCGTCAATCATGCTCTTCTTGCGCGAGTCGCTCTGGCTGTTGGCGCCGGGCGCCGGGGTCTCAACTTGCTTAACGGCGAGCAGCTCGCCTGTGACGGCATGTAGTGCGAGGTAGACACTGCCGAAGGAACCCTGGCCGATTAAGGCACCCTTCATCCACTTGCTGTCGTCCCACGACTCGCCACTAAGGAAGCTCTGCAGTTCCTCATCGGCATCCTCTCCGTCTTGGGTCAACGCTTGGTTGACTTCCTCCAGGGACCCAGAGCCTCCGGAGCTGAGGGTACCCACTCCATCAAAGTAGCTGTGGCGGACAATGTTGCCTTCAGGGTCTGTGATGCTAAGCGCGGCGGTGTCCGAGCCGCTGTCAGCAAAGGAGACGTACGACTTGCGGTTCGGCTCGATGGGGGACGACTCTTCTTGCAACGTGTCGAGAACGGATGAGGCCACAGAGTCTCGGTAATTCTGGAAGCGTGGGTCCCGGCCACGTACTTTGGCGATCTGGTTCGAGGCCGTGAGCCAGCTGTCGGCGATGGTTGGAATGGGCGGCGCGTCCTGGATGGTCGAGGCAAAACTGATGGTGCTGGCTACACTGAGGCGGTGATTTGCCCGGCTAAGGCGCTGAGAGCGTCGCATGGACATCCGGGCCGTCCTATCGATCTCCTCGCGCGAGTGGTCCGGGAAATAACTGGTCAGATCGGAGGCAATGAGCTCGCTAGGTGGCCGGAGTCCGCCAAACTGTCGCAGCAAGCCCTTACGGCGAGGCACCGCCTGGGCGGTCTCGATAACGGCCGGGCGCTCCAGGTCTCTGGCGGCATTATATACGTTTCTTTCTCGATCCTGGTAAGATACAGGGGAAAGAGGAGGTTGTTGAATCGTCTCCCAAGTCTCCCCTAAAAGTTTCTGAGCCTTTATTTGGCTGCGTTTATCCATGCCTTCCATGGCACGGTTGTGGCTTTGCTGAGCTTCTTCTAGCGCGATGGCAGCGGCCCTCTCGAGTTCTTGCTGCCCGGGTTCTCCAGCAGGTACCCGCCGCAAGATGAGGCGGTTACGTTCTGGTCGCGTGTGGTCCTTGATGACCCTCCACAGCTCTGTGTCGCCAAGGCGGCGGCACTGGTTCGGGTCCGGCTCTACTCCGTTGAGCACCCAGAAGCAATAGTTCCTTTCGTGGTCCTCGCGCAGGGCGAATTTTCGTAGCGTGACACGCATGACTTCCTCGATGGTGTTGCAACCAGCGATTTTGACGACTTTTGTCCCGCCTCCCGTGGAGATGACGCGAATCACATCTTGCCCGGGTGGCAGGGCGGCCATCAAGGAGCCGTCCATGCTGGATTGATTCCTTTGATGCAGACGACCCGAGTGTGGATGGTCCGGAGGGGACATGGGGAACCGCGCGGTTGCGGGTGTCGGCTGGCCAACATATGCCTGGGCCTGAGCTTGAGCCTGAGCTTGAGCATATCGTTGGCGGGTACGGAAGTCAGCGCTTGGGAGGGGCGAAGATGGTCTCGATGAGGGCTTGGAGGGGTCGGTAATGGGAACGGCGGTCGGGAGGTCGTATTGTCGTGAATATCGCTTGTTGGACGGGGTCGGGGGTACTGCACGCCCACCAATATGGCGAGGCGAGGAAGATGAGGGCGCATAATGCATGTCTAGCCCAGCGAACGATTCCTGCAAAGTGAACACTGCGTCAGCTACGGTTTTTCCCCGTCGAAATATCCTAGTTTCCACCAAAGATAACCTACCCTATTCCGCCTTCGTTGGCTCGCATATGTCTTGGTCCGTAGCTTTTTGATGCCCAAGAATAGGCGGACGCGATCCCCAACCTTGTCTACGCCCATCTCTTTGAGCACCTCTTTGTCGATCTCCAACAGATTCTCGCCGTTGATGTGGTTCCTGCGAAATATCTTCTCGTACTCGCCACACTTGACGCTTCGCAGGTAATCACACACGCGGTCCTCATCCCATTTCTTGACCGAGTCGGGCCCGTCGGCGTCATCGTCGTCAAAATCGGACTCGGCTTGGTTGGCATAATTCTGCGACGCCATCGGGGCGGCTGGGGTTCGTCGTGGGGCTGGGTATGTCGATTGCGGTGCGGCTGCAGCGACACCAGAAGACTGCGACCCTAACGGAGCCGGGTAGGCTTTGGAGGCTAACATTGCCATGGCAGCAGAGCTCCTGTCGGTCGGGACTTGGCTTATTGCATAGGCGGTTGGGTTTATGTACTCTGCTGGTATTACGGAGGGAGGGAGGGAGGAGTTGAGGCTCCGAATTCCGTTCCGACCACCCAGAGCTTGACTCGTCCCGCTGCCGCCTGAAGTCAAGAAACCGATGGTTAGAGGCGGAATTGAGACCGTGTGGCAAACGCTTGGCTCGGTAAAGGCAAAGTATGTAGGCCCGTAGATTGGGCCGACCGGGCCTTTGGTGTTGTGGGCGGGCCGCCGGCTTTCTTTTCGTTAAGTAGCAAGAAGGAAAGGGATTCTTTCGTGATGCGTGCGTCGGACAAAAATCGAAAATACGGGGACCCACGCCGTGTCCAACACGCCGTTTCGGTGCGACCCTGCCGGTGCTTCTGCTACCGTTAGTGCCTTCTTCCCAACCGGAAGCAAAGGCGGCGAGCAAACTCGTTGAGTGATGAGGAGGAGGTTTTGCTCAGCAGCGTCGTCGGGCGCGGCACACACTCTGATGAGGGAATCAACGAGCGTTGGGTGGGGCAGCCAGCCGCAGGGGGCAGAGGGCCATGCGCTAATTCAAGCTGACAGGTGGGTTGCCTTGCAGTCCCTTTCTTTCACCATTCGCGGTTGAGGGGGCAGGAGCGACGGAAGTGAGGGGCACGCAACCGGCGGATTGGACAGGCTCGCCAATCGCTTGAGGTCCCCCGTCGAGATGAAACCGAGCACGGACCAACACGGGCGCTTGTTGGGGGAAAGCCAAAGCCCAAAGTGGCCAGGGGGTGCTGTGGCAAGAAGCTCTGGAAGCTTTTGGGCCGTCTCAAAATAAATCACAGGAGCACCCAGAGGAGCCGCCGGCCACCCACCGACCATACACTACTACCTAGGAGAATCGGACATCATGGACCACAGAGACGGGAGTTGGTGGTTGTCAGGGCTAACAAAGACACCAAGACACTTGCCACTCAGCCCGACAATTCCGGCCAGTACAGTACGGTTGCCTCTTACCATTCACTGTGGCAGGTCTTGATGTCTTGGATGGATGGTGAGAAGGGCGTTGGGCCGTCTGCGCCTTTTCCATGGGCGCATCCGTCCATAGCCACGAAGTCGAATCAGCGCCTCTAACTTGTTTCCGGCGCTCTGCGCCTCTGGAGCGTCTCACACCGCCAGTGAACAAACCGAAAAACGACGCTCGGTTTTTCCAGCCGTTTGGCCCGGCACAGACCAAATCAAGTCCGTCACCAGGCGGGTGCCGCCAGCCTTGGCGGAGACCCAGGCCATTTTTTGGGCGACGCAGCGGGCCGACCACGGCGCAGGCCATTGCCAGTTGGGATGAGGATAATGTTGCAATTCGCCCGACATGGCCGATTGTGTTATGGATTCATGTAGTAATTACACGTGCAGAATAAACAAACCCAACGAAAGGAACCTCGGAACCAAGATCAAGCCCTGGGAGCCGAAAACAGTCACTTCGTATGGTCGGCTTAGTGAGCAACCTGAACACGGGTTGGGGTCTGGCGATGAAACAAGAGCGGTTTCATCCACTGTGCTTCCTTTGTTAGTGGAAAACGCGATTTTCCCAAGGCAATGCTAACAATTAGTAACGCAGGCAGGCACGTGGCATTAACCAGCGGCAAATGAAGTTTATGGGCATTGTAGGGGGCGATCTGCGAGAACGGCTGATGAACACTGAAGCCCCAGCATTTCTAGGGATCTCGGGGGGTCTTCTCCAAGCACATGTGTCGACTGCTCCCGAAGGTGCCCATGTCCCTCCTGGTGGTCGTAGACACTTGAGCTGTAACCAAGCGACTATCAATCGGTGTCGCATCTACATTACACGAAATTGGTATGGCTTTCTCTCTGACTGAGAAATGGCTGTTTTTTTACTTAACTGGGGCTAATGATTTTTCCTTGAGAAACCTATCGAGAAAGGAGATAAGATGGGCGGGCACATGCTGCCGGCTGCCAATGGAAAATGGATGGTGACGACAGTTCAGATTGAGTTGAGTGCTAAGCCACATGACATAACTGATGCGCCACAACATTCATGCGCCACATATTGGCCCTGCCCCACTTGTTAGCCGGTGGGTTCTCGGTTCGGGCTTCATTTGAACTCCAGCTCGATCCATCCGCACGATCGGCGATCGGGCCTGCATGGCTTCGATTGATCCCACCCTGCCTTCTCGCTCACTGGCACCTTATTCTGGAGGCAGACTTTTTTGAGCTTTCCTTCGTTGTCTTGGCCTTCCTTCACTTGACTCTCTGAAATTCTTAACCAATGGCCTTCTTCCTAGATATACTCATACTCTATATATCCCTCCAATGCTGCCCATAAAATCAAGTAACGAAGCCAGTAAACCGGCGACGGCACTAGCCCGTTAGCTGTACCAGCTGAAATGCACACTCTGAAGATGCATCACAATAAATTTGAGAGAGAACGACATTTGAGCCGACACGTTTCTCAGGTTACGCTGATCAACGACGCCTCGTTTCGCTCGTCTAGTTCTTGTGCCCGCTTGGCCCGCAAGACAACGGTTCAGCATCTCCACCCGAGACTTTTTAGCGGGACCGATTGGCGGGTTTTTGAGTAAAGGTCCCCTGAACACCTGAGAACCGGCGGGCACGCCATTGGACGACAATCCTCGAAGAGCTGGTAACGATAACATCATCCTGCAGCCCCAAAGCAAAGTCTCCGCCCTGGTTCCCAGCCCCGAGATCGACAGTACAAAAAAGCCGGGAAAGAGACTTCCGAAAGGGGGGTCCTGCCGCTATCAGGTCTCGAATGTCGTCCAACAAGCGAGAAACTGGAAATATCCATGGAAGAGGATTAACCTGAAGTTGGGGGTTGGCGGTGTCTTTCTTGCAACTTTCTTCATCATCACTTTGGTACAGTTCACTACTGTACTTACAAACCTCCAAGGAAGTCGTAGCTCTGCCATTGCGTCTCCTCATTTATTTCTCGCGTGTGTCTTTGTCGTCTTTCTTTTTGCCTGTGCAGCTTTTGCCTTGTTCCACACGCCAGAGGCTTCACTTTATTAGGAGGAACTTGAACCAGTGCTAGACTGTGTCTGTTCGGCGGGCTGACGGGACCACGGGCACACCATCTGCGGCCTGTGTGGTCGCATCTTCTCGTGTTGACGGCCGGGACCCCCACTCGACCGCAGCTAAGCTTGGTGAGTGTTGACTAGGGAGTCTTGACACGGTCTGCATTGGGACGACACGCAGGCGCCGAGCCGACAAGGCATGCGCCAGTGAGTTCCCCTCGTTTGCACCAATCTACTCCCGCAACTGTTCAAAACAAAGGAAAAAAAACGCAGACGCAGACCGGTGGGAAAAACCCCGGCCCCGGGGCCAGCAAGGCGTGCAACTTCGATCTTGTTTTTTCCTCTGTCTTTCGTCTTCAACCCTCAGGCCTCTGCACGTACCCGCACGCTGCGTTCTCTCCCTTCAGTTCCAACCGGAAATCGAGCCGGAACTTGACTCAATTGGTACCGCATCACGAGGACTCGGCCGCACATGGGACTATGTCAAAGATAATGATGGCGGCCCCCGACCGGTTGGTAAAGAAGCGGCCCGGTCTCGTCCCGGCCGTGACCATCCCCGAGTCTGAGAGCTCCGACTCCGTTGCCAGCCCCTCCCTCCTGACCCCGGACTCCCCCGCCAGCTTCGACAGCGCCCGCCGAAGCTTCTCCATCGGCTCGATCAAGGGCCGGGCATGGCGTCCCTTCAGCTCCAACAAGGAGCAGCGAGATGGCACGCCCGACGGCGGCCACAGCTTCCGCAACAAAGCCCGGAGGCTCTCCAAGTCGCGCCCATTATCTTCCTCCTCGCATGTCGACATTACCCCTGCTCGCCGGGGCTCGACCCTCTCCGAGGACCATGACCGGGCCTCGCTCTCGACCTCCGATAGCATGAGTCTGGGTACCCCCAGCTCGCCAGCGACTACCTCCGTCGACTGGGCGACGCAGCGTGTCGAGGGATCGGCTCCGTTGGAGTCGGATGCGGGCCTGTTGAAGACTAAAACGCCCCATCTGGTGGTCACGACGAACTACGTTGTTAAAACGAAGAGCCGGGCGGACGCTGTGGCTCTTTTCCCCGAACTCTCGGAAACGACGAATGCCAAACCTGAAGCGAGAAGCGCGCTGCCCGAGCCAGCGTTAGCCATCCCAATGGAATCAATTGTATCTGTATTTTCCGCAGAAAGCATTCGCACGTCGTTCGGTATCGAAGTATGGTGGAAGAGCCCGCTGGCTGGTTCTGCGTTCTGCCGGTCCGATTTCTTCTTCACCAACCCAGCCGTACGCAACGAGCAACTACACCACCTCACACGGGCGATGCGAGCGAACCGGGAAAACGACGACGGGCCAGCTCGCCACTACCAGGACGTCAAGGCGGCGCTAGATAAAGTTCACGAGGTCGAGGAACCCAGGTTCCACCACCGGAAAGCCGACATCATCCCTGTTGTACCGCGTGGGACCACACGACGGGAGTACATGCCTAAGCTCGAGGATGCAACGAAGAAGGCTCAAGAGGTCTCTGCGTTTTATCTCGTCGTGGGCACGTACTCGTGCCACCTTGTCGAGATCCAGAGGGGGAAGGGCTCAAACCCGGTGTGCCGGCACAAAACATATGGGTTGGTCACATTAGAGAGCTTCAGGGGGGAATGGGTGGTCCATGAGGAGCGGTTCAACATTGTTTTCCGGTAAGTGGTTTGGGAAACAGCCCTTAGCCCCCCTTCTCTCAAATCTAGCAAGACACTAACCTCACGTGCGTGGTGTAGCGACCCTTTTAAATCGCCAGTCACTCTCGAGCTTGCTAGCCGCTACTTCCGTCAAGTCATCCGCGTCCTTGGCACCGCCGACCGCTTCCTCAAGCCCGCCTGGCCGCAACTCTGGCAAACGAGGGAGGTCTTTCGTGTGTCAGGTCTCAAAGAACCGCAGTACCTCGTGCCGAAGGAAGACTTTGGCAGTTTCAAGCGGACACTGGACGCATACCTCGCGGCCTACCATTGCCGCGACGTGGAGTGGGAAATCAACTGGAAAACGCAGTTTGCTCCCGAGTTCCGGCTGCTGCCCGGGAAGAAGGGAACGCCGTACACGATCTTACAGCTGCTTGCTGTGCTCCGAGCACTGCGGTACAATGACTATTTTACGTCGTTGTCGTTTCGAGACGTCGATCTGTCCGTGTTGCATGGGCTGCGGGACAATTCGTCCCAGCGAGCAAATGTTGCCTACCTAAGCCGAACTTGTAAGTCCTCGCCTCTCTATGCTGTTTACTCTCGCAGCAGGTTGCCTCTGTACACCGTCGGAAGTCGACTAACTAACACCATCCAGGTGTCACCCTCGACCCTGACGACATTGAAATCCTACGGATCAGCCCAGTTCTGCACCAAGAATTCCACGCCCTCGCCTTCTGCTCCCAGACAATCCGCCAGATCGACTTGAGCAACTGCACCAGGTCACTCCCCTCCCGACTGGCGCGGACCGCCGACGAGAACCCGAGCGTACAGTTCTTGAGTCCAATCCTGCGCCTGCTGAGGTCCGGTATGACCAAGTGTAACCGCCTTATTCTCACTGGGAACCAGCTTCCCCAGCTGGATGTCGATGACCTTGGTAAGTTTTGAGATTACGCTCCACACACACATACACGCGGTTTCTTGGTGGCCACTGCTGACCCGACCCCTCACAGCCGAGACGATGAAGTGCGGAACGATCCAGGCCTTGGATGTATCGTACTGCGGCCTTGGTGATTCTAATCTGCGGGACATGATCGTGGAGCCTCTCTCCGATTACCCAGGTCTGCTTCAGTCTCTCTCCGTGTCTGGAAACCCGGGGCGTCTCCCGGCGCATATACTTCCCGGGCTTTTCCGGTACTTGACCGAGATCCGAGAGCTCAACCTGAGCGGGAGCATTCAGGCCGAGAGCTACATCCAAGGCTCGCTTCTCCCCTTCACCGCCCTCGAGTGCATGGAGAGACTCGAAGCGCTGGATGTGTCGGGGTACAAGCTTGACGAGGCGACCTTCCTCGACCTCGAGCGCTACTTGCAGTTCCGGAGCTGGCGGTTCGACCAGGGCCACCCGCTCCGGTTCCAAAAGCTCATCCTCAACCACTGCCGCATCACCGGCACCCAAGCGGCCCGGCTCTTCTACGCGATCGGCGAGAACCGCGGCATGCACCTTTACCTCAACGGCAACCCCATAGAAGATGGCCTCGAGGACCTCACAGCCGCCATCGAGGCCCAACAAGGCCCTGCCGGTCTCTTCGCCGAAATGATCGAGTTCAGACACGAATCCAGCTACCTCGCCCTCCTCCGCGCATTCACCGCAGCGCGGCACCTCCGCCTGCTCAGCCTAACTGGCACCGCCCCGTCACCCTCCTCCCCAGGCCCCTGCAGCGAAGAGCTCGTCACAGCACTACACGACCTTTTCGCCCACAACGCATCCATCCAATGTCTCGACCTCTCCGGCTTCTCCGGCAAGCTCGACGACGGCCAACTCCCGCTCGGATCCGGGCGTGCCCTAGCCGGACTCGCGCACAACACCACCCTCACCCACCTGCGCATCCGCAACCAAAACCTCCACGACGATGCCGGCGTGCTCGGCCGCGCGCTAGCAGCCAACGCGACCCTGCGTGCCCTAGACGCCCGCGGGAACGACTTCAACCTAACAAGCCTGCGTTTCCTCGTCGACTCTCTCGCCCCGGCTTCCCGCGCAGCCACATCAGCGTCGGCCCTGACCGATTTCCCACTGCCCGCGGACGAGCGTGCCGCGATCTGGCGTAATGTCCTGCGCGGCCTGCAGCGCACCCCATCCAGTGTTGCGCTACCCGCGGCGCCGGGCACGGTGAGTGCCATGGCGGCGACAAGCGCAGCAAACCACACCTCGGCACCGTCCCTGGCAGCGAGCGCCGCAAAGCGGGATTTGCCAAAGGGTGAAGAGAAACTGCTGCGTGAGGTGTTAGACGGGTTGTTTGCGACACTGGAGAAGCGGCTCAAGGAGAATAGGAAGAGGCTGGAGGAAGTCAGCGGGGAACAATCGAACGCGCAAGCCCTTCTTCTCAGTGGCAACTCCAATTCCGTGAGTTACAACGCTGCTGCAGCTGAGAAGAAACGCCTAGCCTACCGCCACCGACACCAACGCAGCGGGAGCAGCCTTAGTGTCGGTACCGGCCTCAGCCTCGGAGGAACCAGCCACTTATCGTCCCCCGGAGGAGAAGAAGACGACGACACCTGGCCACCGTTTGAGATGGCTGGTCTCGGTTTAGGTTTGGGAATTGGCGTGGGGGGTCCTAGTCGGTCGTCCAGCCTCACTGACTCTGATCCGGGCGGCGGCGGCGGTAATAGCCTGTCCCGGCCGGTGATGGTGCAGTTGTCAGAAGGTAGAGAGGGGGGGTCACCGGGGACGGGGGTTCGGAGTGATAGTAGTGGTGGCGCGTTTTTTGGTGGGATGGAGAGCCCGACGGAGACGTTGGATCCTGTGTCAGAGGTTGAAACACCTGTTGAGATGGGGGGTGTCCGTCAAGAGGAGGGGAGAGGGCTTAGGCCGGAGATGGAGAGAATGGATATGAAGGATATGAAGGTGTTGATTGGCGAGGCTGAGACTGGCAGGTTATCCGGGGAAGACGAAGGGGAGCCGGATGAGCTGTTCCGGAAGTTGGTGGACGACTTTCGCAGGGCTGGGTTTGAGGTTTAAGGGTGGATTTTCTTCATATGTGGTCTTGAGTGGACGGCGTGAGGCGGGGTGATTTCATCGTTCACCGTTCATCGTTCATCTGGAAAGCAGGGCGGTTGGGAAGGGTTTAATGGCGCTAATGAGTTGGGTGTGTAATATTTACTTGTATACTAAGGGACATGGCTGGGTTATCGGTTTGGGTTCTGGGTTTGCAGGTCGGGATACCTAGGTGGGATTGGGGGACTGGGTTGGTTTTGTGAGTGTAGGTCAATTTGCTTGAAGATACCCATAGATACACCACAAAAAGAAAGGCAGAGAAGATCTCAAAGTGCTGGTGTTTGTTCAATACGGAAGATGAGTGATCAACAGCGCGGGTTGAACCTGCCATTGCAGTTGGTCGGGTCCCTCTTTCTCTCAAGGCAAGTGGCCTCAGCGTTTCTTGCACAATTGCCCTTTATAACTACGCCCTGCGGCTGCTCCTTCCAACAGCCCCCCCCCCATCCGGGAAAATGCCTGCCCGGACCGCGGATGGCGCATTTGGGGGGGGCGCGGGCAGCACCGCGTCTGCCCGCTTTCTCCCCTTCGTGAGTTCGACTCACGGAGGGGGCACTCGAGCAAAACCCATTTGGGTTTTCGTAGCTGTTCACGGCCTCCACGGAGGAAGTGGGCAGTGAGCTTTTTAATTTTTTTAACCCTTTTTTTTTTTTTTTTTTTGGGGAGAGGGGGGCGAGGTTGTTGAAAAGATTATTTTGCCTCCCATGTGTTCCCATGTGTTTGTTTCTTCATTATACTAACAACGCCAGTTAGTAGTAATTGATAATAATCAGCGTCATCTCTATCTACAAGGCCAAGCAACGTACGTGACACTTATCCTTGACCCTCAACTTTACCTCGTCATCATCGTCACCGTCATCATGGCTGCCATCGTGACGGGAGAAATATGTACATACGGAAGATGAGTTGCCCTTATTTGTGTGTATTTTTAACGAGGAGTACTGCATCGTGACAGGTCCTGTCCACAGCTTCAACACTCGCCCCATCGGCTGCACGACTCCTGGTTTTTCCTCTTTGATGTTCTTCTTCGTCGTCGGACTTATTCCTACTACTATGCAGCAGTTGTTACTGCAGACCCCTTCACAGCAAGCCCGCCCTCGGGCCCTTCAATCCACACATCCCATCCAAGCTGTCCGGGTTGAACCGAGTTCGTCTTCCGCTTCACGCAGACGGTCATCTTCTCACCAACATAGAGCGGCGAGATGTTACGGTAGCTGAGTGATTTGACGTATGGCGCGCCAGTGGCGGTTGTTGTCTGGTTCTCGTCATTTGTGGTGGTAGGGGGTAGAGATGAAGACACCTTTGCTAGACAGGTACGCACGGCAGTCAGCATGAAGAGTAGGCTTAGCGGCCCGTGGACGAGCAGGCCGCGGTAGCCTTCGCGGCGGCGGGCGTAGTCTGGGTCCAGGTGGATGGCGTGGGCGTTGTAGGTTAGGGCGCTGAAGTGGAAGAGCAGTGTGGCGTCGGGGGTGAGGGAGAAGGTGAATTCGGGGTTGGCAGGGGCTAAAATAGTTTGTCAGTAGGGTCCTCATCAAAGTAAATGTACGAAACGAAAAACAAAAAGAGGAAAAGAAAAACCAAAAAACAAGAGACATACCCCTCACAGCCCGTCCAACAACAACCCCCTCCCCCTCCCCCCTATTCCTCATAAACACCAACCTCCTCACCTCCTCCACCACCGACCCCCCTTCCTCCACTCCATACCCCCTCCTAACGTCAACAAACACCTTCTCCTCCCCCCTCCCCCCCTTCAAAACCACCCCTTCCCCGGCTTCCCCATTCTCGTTATAACCCACCTTCTCCACACACTTAACCCCGCGCCCATCCAGCCTCAAGGCTTGTTCCCACCCTTCGTGAAAGATAACCTCGCCACCGGCCCACATGCGACGCTCGAAGGGCGGGCCGGGCCAGTGGGCTGGGTCGGTGCCGTCGGGCATGAGTTGGGAGGGGGGGAGTTGGAGGGGGAAGTAGACTAGGTGGTAGCCTTGTGGGAGGGGGGGTGCTGCTGGTGCTGGTGCTGGTGCTGGTGGTTGCTGTTGTTTTTGCGTATGGGAGTGGGGGGAGGGGAGGAATGGCCGGGAGAGGATGTCTGGTGGGAAGAGAGAGGGAATGTGGTCGGCTAGGGAGAGGGTTAGGAGGTGGGAAGGCGTTGGTGAGAGGATGTCGCGGATGGTGGTGGGTGGTTGGGAAATCATTTTTTGGCGGGCTGAGGCGAGGTATGTGTCGGGGTTGAAGGGGGGGGATGATGAGGAGGAGGAGTAGGGGGCATTGTTGATGTTGATATTGGCTTTGGTGATTTTGCTGTTAATGGGCCGAATCGAGGTGAGGGTGTTCACTGGGAACGGAGATCCGATATGTCGTTGGAGAAGTGAAACTGGGTTTGTTAGGCGCATTTTTGTAGAGTTGATTGGTCGTCGCGGAAGAATGCTGATATTTTCGAATTGTGTAGGAACTGTGTAGGTCGAAGGTGGAAGTTGCGAATGTGATGTATGAGTGAGGAGCCTCGGTTGTTGTCGGTAACGCTGAGGGAGGGTGTAGGGTTAGGGTTATCCTAGAACCGTACAGTTTCCATGGCCCCCTTTTCACTTGATATGATGTTCCAGTCTGAAGTAAAGAAAATCTCAGATGGAATTAACTGCTTGGTTTGAATATATGACTTTCAACAAAATCGCCACCCACGATGGAAACAGACGGCGAATCTATAGTTCTTATATCCTTCTCCGGGCCACCCTAATATCCCACTCCCTGAGGTAAAATCACACACGCTTTTGTATACCCCTTTTGAACCCGAACGATACATCACTCTCTCCGGTTCCGCCAACTCCCCAACCACCTCCACCGCTCCGCCACGCCCTCCAAGTCCTCCAACACACCCCCAACCCGTCCCTCGGGGTCATCAAACCGGCCCCCCTCAAACTCCACAAAGAACAGATACTGAAACGGCCCATCCAAGCTCGGCACACTACTAATACTCGTCAAGTTCAACCCCCACCCCCGAAACCGATTCAACACATCCGCCAGTGCCCCAGCCCGCCGATGCGGCACCGTAAACGACACCAGCGATTTATGCCCGGCGGCCGCCACAGTTTCCTCCTCCTCCCCTGCCTGGTCCTGATCCCGACCAGGAACCCCTCCCCCATTCCACCCCTCCCCCCTCCTCAACACAAAAAACCTCGTCGTATTATCCTCCCTATCCTCAATCCACCGCGCCAACACATCCAACCCAATCGCTTTGCCCGCCGACTCACTCGCAATCGCCGCACTCGTGCCCGACTCATCGGCTTTCGCTAGCTCGGCTGCGCGGGATGTCGAGCTGACTTCTACTGTCTCGACGCCGGGGAGGTATCGTCGGAGGAACCCGGCTGTTTGGCCGAAGGCTTGGGGGTGGGAGTAGACCCGGCGGAGGTGGGTGAGGGGGGTTAGGGGGACGCCTTTATCTGGAGAGACAGAGGATGAGGAAGAGGAAGAGGAACCCTCGGGGAGTCGGCCGAGCAGGAAATGGTGGATGTCGAGATAGACCTCGTCGCACACGACAATGTCGGGGTACTCGTTTGCCCGGTCGGCTAGGCTGTCGAGGGTGAAGGTCACTGCGCCGTGGGTTGAGTTCTCGAAGGGGACTACGCCGTAGGGGGCGTGGCCGGACTGGACACGGTCGAAGACTTCTTTGGGGGGGTTAGTCTGGTGTGATAATACAGTCGTTGGGAGACTCGACGGGGATAAAGCAGTACGGGACAGTGGAACTGACCTTTTATTGTTGTTGTTGGAGCAAAAGTCCACTTAGGGTCTGAGAAGGCATTTTTCGTTGCCTGTAACAGAGTTAGCCGTGAATCTAAGGGTAGAAAGAGTTATGAGAGAGAGACCGTACCCGATGAGTGTAGGAGTTGACTGGGCCAAGGAAGGCGACAGTGGCCGAGTTGTCAGACCCATTTCCTGAAGTCATCTGGAGTTGAGTTGATCAGACGTAATGGCGGGATGAAATGCTTGGTGTGTTTGGATGAGAGGAAGTAAGAGTCAGGCTTGGGATTGAGGGCCGGCCCTAGACTAATAAAACTTTTGACTGCTCGAAATGAGAGAACTGCCTCGGCTGATAGCTATTGTGAAACGGGTTCACAATGGTCCGACGCTCAGATGTCGAAGCTCTCAAAGGATTTGTCGGGAGAGGCGCACAAAATACCGTTATGTTTGTTCCGGCCACCGACAAGCTTGAAGCTTACTGTAACAACCTAAATGCCCCTTTACGACGGACAGATCCACCCACTATTGTGCCTCAAATTGCTTGGTTGCGCTGAAAACAGGACCTCCGATTGAATAAAATGCTCCGGCATAGCCCCGCAAAACCGTCGTGGAACCGTGCCGAATTCGGCGGGCCGCAAAAGCCCTGCGGATGCATCAGCAGCCCTCCGGGCTTTCTTCTCGCTCAGTATTGTTTGAGGCTCGTCTTACTGTGGAGGTGGACGTTTTTCACATCACAAAATGGGATCACGCAGCAGATGCCCTTTCTTACCACCCACCAAAAACCGGCTGATCTACAGTAAAAACGAGCGTGGATTCGCAACTACCTAGCGATTTATCTCAAACCTGAATAATCCTCCCGACGATAGTAAAGACCGGATGGACACTCCTGCGCGGCCCGGGGTGCGATGTCCGCGTACCCAGGATTCAACCGCTCTCCCGAACCAACACGCATGTGTCCTTAAAACATGTTATCAATTTGCCGATTGATGCCCTGCAATGAACTTGTTCTTGTCCGACTTCCCGATCCTACGGGCATCTTCCTAACAAAGCATTAGCAAAAAGTCAGAGTCAACATATACATGCCCTCGGGTGCGTACCTTCTGTCTGCCTCCAACTCAAGAAGCCGTCATCACAGAGCGAAGCGGGCTGGGGCGCGACACCTGGTGCTCGCGGCTGGGGCTTTCTGAAAAGCCCTTCATCAGCCGCTGCTGCGCCGGTGAGACCTTCCCCAGGCTCCGCGGCGCCGCACCGGCCGCCTGCTGCTGTTCGCCAACAAGCGGTGCTGTCGTCGTCGGCTCGGACGTGATGGCTTCATTCCCCGGTCCCTCGTGGTTGACGAGGGAATCAACGGGTCAATCATCGTAGTAGTCATCATCGTCGTCTACTTCGGCTAACTGCTCAAAGTTGACCTTGTACCGGAGAATGCCGCCGATACCGCCAAATCCCTTGACGAACTGGTTCCCTTCGGTCGAACGGTCCGAAACAAATTCGAGCGCCGTGCCGAAATCTTTGTAGTGCTCCGCAATCCACTCCAGGAACGACTCCTGCGTCACCACCTCCATTTCCTGGCCCGTTTCCCGGTCCATGAACTTTTCGCGGCTGGCCTGCTCCTGCTGCTTGGTCGTGTGGAGGATGATCTCGCTGCCGTTGCTGTCCTTGAGCACGGATCGTGTAATCTCGAGGTTCTCAAACACAATGAGCGTCTCCACCGCGCCAAGTTCCAAAGCCTTGAGCGTGTCTTCGATGCCGTAGCAGACGCGGCCCGTGTCCTGGCTGATCTCCTCGAAGTACTTGCCAATCAGCTTCTTTTCTTGGATAAACTTGACGTTACCGAGCGTCTCGGAAGACAGCTCGATAGCCTGGTTGAAGCCGTTTTCGCCACCGTACGACACGTCTACGACCTTGATGACCTTGACCTGCAGACGCTGGTCGAACATGTCGGAAGCGTTCAAATCGTTCTTGAAGTCGGCGGAACCGGCCAACACGATACCGCCCACGTTGACCTTGTCGTTGGTGATGAAGTTCTGCACCGCAAGCTCAGAAACCTTGCGGACGTAGTTGTGGCGCTTCTCCTCTCTCAGACGGGCGAAACGAAGCGCCGACTGACCACCACGACCGTGCTTCTTGGGGAGATCGACCGAGAACTTTTGGACGACGTCGCGAGTGTTGCCGCTGAGGGTACCAAACAGCGCCCCGTTACCATCCATGATGATGAAGCCGAACTTTTGGTCTGACTCGAGCAGCTCGGCGAGAGCCTCCGTGTGGAACTTGTTGTCGCACAGGTACAACGACGTGTTGATCGGTTTGAACGGTTCGAAATCGATATTGACCTTGCGTTCCTTCCCTTCTTGGGTCAGGATTTCACCACAGTAGACGACCAGGCCATTGGGCGGGACCTTGTTGTAAAGCTTAAGGCGCTGCTGGGTCGAGGTAATGGCGGAAAGGACGGACTGGCGGTTGACGCGCGACTTGATGTTCGATGCGGTGCCCTAGCATGTGTTAGACATACCCTTACTGGCCGCCGGACTGTCAACACATCCCCGGCGAATCAGAAACGTACGTATTCTTCAGCCAACATCTTCGCCGCACGGGAGATCTGGTCCTTCGGCGCTGCCCGAGTGAACTTTGTCAGCAAAAATCAATGCTGGGTAGCACGTGCAATCGGTGCGCGTTTTGTTAATTGATTGTTCGTTTGGTTTAACATACGGATAATCAAAGAAATCATGCTGGTGCCATTTCCACGCGCAGCCTCGAGGCGCTTGATGAGCTTCTTCACCTTCCAGATCTCGATCTGCCGGCCGCGTCGTTAGTGGGCACAATTACCTCGAGGCCGGAGTGTGGTGCGCGTTCTCACGTTCTTCTCCGCCTCGCTCGCGTTGGGGTCGCTCATGATGAATGGCCGTCACCAACTAACAGGGGAAAAAAGAGATAAGGGAAAACAAAATATCGGGCTTGATTTTCCCAACTCTTCCCGGCAGGAGGAAGAGCTCTTTTTTTGGGGCTGTTAGGCCTTGTTGTTTTCGAAAAAGGAGAATTCTTGAATTTGGTGGTGGGGTTAAGCGCAAGAGGGGTTTCGCGGTGGTGAAGCTTTTTATGGGCTTGGGGCAAGGTGGCGCCCTGTCCGCCCCACAGTGCCTGCTTCTGCCTGCCCATACGCGTCATCATTGGCCATTGGCCGCCAGATGCCCCGGTAAGACCTGTTGGCCGGCACCCAGGCGCTGGGGTTCAATTGAGGTGCCCTGGAGGTGGGGCCGGGGTTGAAGGTTCCCGTCCAACCGTCCTCCAACTTGAGGTGTGTGCACTTCTGTCCACGAGTCCAAGTTCCCAAACAAATACAATTCAACTGCAGTTGCGCATCTACCGGCCTACCTAGTACGTACACGTGGTGTCCAAAGAGTAAAATTATAGCTAGATCCTGATTTTAAACCGGGGAGAACGTCTTTCCCTTGCCAAGTAACCATGCTGGGTCGGATGTGGTCGCCGCTCCATCAGCGGTGCTAACTTTATGAGTGGGGCACTTGGTACCTCACTATCCTTCGGGCTGGGTGCCGTGCCGACTTTAAATGCACTGACGAACAGCATTTCGCTCTTCAAATCCAAGTCCGGTGACTTTGATCTCTCCAGTTGAGGACTGCCACCCGACACAGTCCTCCAACCGCCATCCACAACAATGTCCCTCCCCACACAAGTCGCCGAGACGGTGCAAACAGCACACATCAACCGCAATCCCTCTCCCGAACACGACATCAACCCCTCCACAGCCGCCTCCCGAAAAGAACCCGTCCAGCTACGGAAGTCGAAGGCCAAAGCCGGTCCCAATTCTCCCGATGATGATGGCGGCAGCATCGACGACGAGGAATTTGTAGCAGGAGATGACGGAGATGTGGAAGATGAACTGGAAACGGAAGAAGAGGATCTCTACCGCGCACAATCTGTCAAGCCGCGCCCGCGGCGACATAAACTGCCGCCCATGCCCGACCTGCGCTTTGAGCAGAGCTATCTATGGAGTATACGGAATGCCGACACGTGGTGGAAGGTAGGGTGGATTACGGTGCGGGACCAGGTAGGCAGCTATTTTCTTCATGTATGGAGGTGTTTTTGGGGCATTGAGGGAAAGCGAAACAGGAACAGACGCAGTGAGAAGGCTAACGATGATGGTGACAAAGGTTATGATGCCCTTTACGCAAGGGATTGTGTACAATCTAGGGATTTGTGGGTGGCATTACTGGAACCGCAACGCCCAGATCCACGGTTCATCGATTGGAGCGCGGTTGCGGCGCTGGTGGTATGGTGTAAACAACTGGGCAATACCGCCCGAGAGGAAGATAAAGCGATGGAGGTAGAAATGGGGTTTCGCGAGCAAACCCCCTTCAACGTGTGGGAGGCCCTGTATTGCATGCACCACGGGCAGTTCCTATGTGACCACCCCCTTTTTTGTGTCAACAATTGTATTACGGGACCGAGAGCCTCGGTGAATATCGCGAATAATTCGCTGTTTTGCATATTTTCTCCTCGAAGTGTACTCTTCTGTTCCCGTAGAAAGCGTAACCGGTGGTCCAAGCACATTACCGGCTAACTGACTTCGTCTATGTTGTCCTATCATGGCTCCGAACTCCCCGTTTCATAGCAAAATCGTAATGAAAATCCTGACATGTTGTGTCTCCTCCCAAGACGCCAGTCACTCCGATGGGGCAATGTCGACGACTCGGGGGAGCGACTTGGTGACTTCTGGGCTTCCCCTAAGAGCCAAGGATGTCGCCTTCTCGCTTGTCGGCGTCGGGGGTGACTTGATAGCTTCATATCTAGGCGCCGTGGGTTGACCACCGATATCCGCCTCCCTGGTTGGTTCAGTTGGCTTGCTGGCATCAGGCGCAGGCGTTGTAACGGTGGGTCCCAGCACCGTCGCAGTCTTCGTCGCGACCGCAATGACGTCGGCCGCCGGTGGTTCGGGTTCCGACGCGGGGACGTCATCGGGGCCAGTAGTATTGGGTTCCGAGTCGTCACTCACGACAAGATTTCTGTGCGCTGACCTGTGGTGATTGCTTTTGTCGGTTCCGCCGGACGCCCCAGAGACCGGCTGCACCTTATCGTTCTCGTCAAACGAAACCTTGATAGGAAACTTGAAGACGAAGCTCGGGTTCTGAACTTCGTCAAGGTCTTCGTCCATCAGGTCCTCTTGTTCAAATTCTTCATCATCTTCCTCCTCATCATCCGGGACGTGGTCTTCCTCCTCATCATCGCCGAAACCGGGCTCACTGCCCTCGTCATCCGACACGTCTGATTCATACTCCTCGCTCTTCCGCTTCTTACCAGCCCAGCCGTTCGAAGTCTGGTTGGCCGCGGCCGATCTTTGCGGGCGGCCCGACCGGGTGGTGGGCATCGCATCTGTGTCCTCGCCATCTCCCTGAACGCTTGCAGACGCGCTCAAAGCGCCGTTACTGGCATTCTCTGCGTTGAGCCGGGTTGGTGCCCTGACCTGCCGACCGCTTGCTGTGGTAACGGGGCCAGTAGGTTCTGTCGGAGTGTGATGCCGGGTATTGCGGGTCGAGCGGCGATTAGTTGAATCCGAGTAGAAATCTGCTTCGTCATCGGAATAGGTGTACTTCATCCGTTTTCCCCTTGTACGACCTTCGTAGAGAGAGAAGCCAGGGTCTGGGCGCCTGAACTGCTCCTTGCGCATTTGACGGTACTCCCTCCGACGTCGCTTCTCTTCGGTTGCCTCGAACCGGGGGATGCTGTTCAAGATTCGCTTGGCGAACACCTTGGCCTTTGGCCCACCGTCTTGGGTCTCTAGCTTGTCGCTTAAAGATCGGAGATCTTCAATGCTACCAGCCACGCTCCACCAAGTTCGGTTGATTCCTGCCGGGTTACTCTCCCTGTACACTCGGAAGGAAGTGTCGTCGTTCCCTTCGATGAGGAAGTATCGCCTCTTGTCTCCATCACCGCCCCATGGCTGCACGCTCACCGGGATGTTGAGATCTTCATCGTGTCGGTTCTTGTAGGATTGGGCAATGATCGTTCTGACGGCGTCGGACGAGGAAAGTGTCCACTGCACTAGGGTGCGTAAAAGGGTGAGCTAGGTACACCGAGTTAGTATTTCGAAAAAGTCATCGTATCGCCGTAGCAGGTAATCCTGTTGGAGGGCCGGAGGGTCGCCTACACGCTGCACTGGGGTCATGGACGCGAAAGTCGCCTGCCCCGCAATCGGGTTCTTGCTTTCCCAATCCTTCGCCCACTGCCCTTTATGAGTTTGAATAGCTTCCTCTAACGCACGGTTATAGTGACCAGGTCTATGCGCGAGTTCGTGTGTTAGCGCCGTCTGGGTATCACTGTCGATGCCGGGATGCGGAAAACACACTTGACGTCTTGTTTGCGGTTGAGAAGCAAGCCGAGAAGAGCGCAAAGAAAGTGCTCGACGCGCTCTCCTGGGATCGATTCAACAACATCGCGCTCAAGTTCCTGGGGGCCGAAATTCGCTAGGCTCTTTGGGAAAGCATCGGTAAACCGGGCGCGGAACATGACGATGAACTAATACAGCGGAGATTAGCTCAGACCTCCCTCCGTAGGCGCGTCTCACGTCTCTGCGCGCAAAGGACGCAAACCAAGGCGTCGCCACATACCGCAATGTCTGAATTGTCCGCTAAAACGTATTCGTGCGGCGGCGAAGGCTCGCGCTTAGGTCTCGGGGGGGTTTTCTCCTTGGGCTCCAAGGCCGAGTTCTTGTCGACCTTGTGGAAGAATTTCAGGATTCCATGACGCTCTTCCAATTGAACCTCGGATTCATCGTCAGAAGGCGGCTCCGAGAGCGAAGAAATCGAAGACAGGTCGGAAGAGTCGTCGTCTGCCATTTTTGGGTGTTGTTTCGTGACTTTCGTTGGTTGGTTTAAGTTGCGAGACGGAGAGTTGGGGGTTGAGGACGTGACGGGACGCGCTCGCCTTCGACTGGGGCTGACAGCGCACTGTGCAAATAGAGCTAAGTCTGCGCAGGGTCCATTGAGAGCTTAAACATGTGATTTCGTAGAAATTCCGGCCCACTTCATGTTTATTAGAATAGTCTTGACAATAGATCCAAATTTCGGGAGTCAATTTCTTGGATGTATCAATAGTTCACAGCAAAATCCCGGAAAAACTCTTAGTATCACCTTAGGTGATTCGCGGGGCAACCTAATGAGGCGAGGCCGTTGAGACACTGTGTTTAAGTAAGCAGTTGGTCTAGGCTTACTTTGAGTGCCAAGCCTTTCTACGACGCCACACTCTCCCCCGCGTTAGGGCACCTGCAGAGAAGCCACACACCAATTACGTGTGGCTGCCGCATCCACACAGAAATTTGGAAAAATATCGCTTCGCCCATTTGGAGCTTCCCTGTGTGTCGCAACCTCCAACTTCTTCAACCACCCAGTCAACCCGTCACTTCCACGTTTTTCAGGTAGGAAGGACAAGATGGGTCGCGTCGTAAGTAACAATCGCCATTGCACTCTTCCGAATCTCTCGAACCGACTCAACACCGATATCTCGATTGCGACGATACCTCGATCGAGCGAACTGGGGGATTTATCGCGAGAAGTTGGGAAGTCATGGGAAGAGGGTGCTAACCATGGGTTTTCAATCATTAGATCCGCAACCAGCGTAAGGGCGCTGGCAGCATTTTCACTGCCAACACCCGCCTGCGGAAGAACCCCGCCAAGTTCCGCAGCCTCGACTATGCCGAACGCCACGGCTACATCCGTGGTATCGTGAAGGAGATCATCCACGACCCCGGCCGTGGCGCGCCCCTCGCTCGCGTCGTTTTCAACTCGCCCTACCGGTTCAAGAAGGTCTCCGAGACTTTCATTGCCAACGAGGGCATGTACACCGGCCAGTTCGTCTACGCCGGCAAGAACGCCGCCCTGACCGTCGGCAACGTCCTCCCCCTCGCCTCCGTCCCTGAGGGTACCGTCGTCTCCAACGTCGAGGAGAAGGTTGGCGACCGTGGCACTCTCGGCCGCACCTCCGGCAACTACATCACCGTTATCGGCCACAACCCCGACGAGGGCAAGACCCGCATCAAGCTCCCTTCGGGCGCCAAGAAGGTTGTCAGCAGCAGTGCCCGTGGCATGATCGGTATCGTTGCTGGTGGTGGCAGGACAGACAAGCCCCTTCTCAGTGCGTACTCCCAGATCCGATTCCCAGCGGCATAAAACTCCTACTTGAAGAGCCTGGGGCAATGTGCTAACAATACGACTACAGAGGCCTCGCGTGCCAAGCATAAGTTTGCTGTCAAGCGTAACCGCTGGCCCAAGACTCGTGGTGTTGCTATGAACCCCGTTGACCATCCCCACGGTGGTGTAAGTACCGAAAACCACAATAGAGCTAAGGATGTTGCGTATCTGACATACTACGACAGGGTAACCATCAACACATTGGTAAGGCGTCGACCATCTCGAGGTACGCCGCTCCGGGTCAAAAGGCGGGTCTCATTGCTGCGAGGCGGACGGGTCTGCTCCGTGGTACCCAGAAGACAAAGGATTAGATGTGTTCATGGTTCTTCATATGGGCAAGGGGTTCATCGGATTGCATTGGTCTTTTGCTGCTTTGTAGTTATGGGACTGCGAAGGCGGCCGGGAAACTTGCTCATTTGCGCAAGCGGTCATGGGCGTAAAATGAATAAAAGATTTCCAAAATCCGGTCGGGGCCAGGATTGTTTGCAGCGAGCTATGTGCTCTTCCGCAGAGAAATCCAGGTTTCGGGGTGCGCCTGAGCAGGATGCCTGTGCACTTGGAGATCCCGTCCCCCGAGGACTGGCAAGCAAGCAACGTGGCTGTTTGACTTCCAGGCTGTGCCATCAAGGTGTTCTTCTGGTGTAGCATAACTACGTAGGTGGTTATGTGAGCCGGACTGGGACGAAATCAGCGCCCAGAACCAGAAATGCATAGCTTAATCAAAATGGTCGATACAAACACCGTCTCGTAGCCAGTAATAGAGGATTTGACCAAGATCAAGTTTCGCTGACGTCAATAACCAAGCGATATCAAGCACCTGTCTTTATGAACGTTGTTTTAGCGCTATAAACGGCCTCCCTTCTTGCACTTTCACCATGTCTCCTGCCATTGACTGACCGCCTCAGGTTCGGCATCAAACCAGCCCCCTATCGGTCTTTCACCATGTTCCGAATAGGGCCGGCTTATTCTTCTCGGTTCGGCGTCTCTGCCAAGCCCTTCGCAGCTGGTCCAACCAGGGCCTTGATTGCGAAATGCGAACCCGCCGATGGCGGCTTCGGAACCCCGAACCCCACCATTATCCCGCCCCGCCCGTCCATTAGCTGCGGGAACTCTTTAACTACTGCTCGGCGAGCGAAGAGGGGCAGAAACCTTTTCCTTCACCACAAACCACACCATAGCATTCGCCAGCTCAGCAACATGGCTTCTACCAAGGACTACAGACTCCTCGTGTTGGAGAACCCTCTCCTCGGTATGTACAGATCTTGTGACACTGAATTGATTGTTCGATTTCACACATGCTGCTAGCTTCTACCCCCCTTCACACCACTCCTGAGGCAGCAGACGGTAGCAGCCGGTCTAAGAGTATTTGGCTGATATACAAGCTTCATTTAGACATCCAAGCTTTCGGCAACGAGGCCCTGCTTGAGAAGTATGGGCTCAAGGCCAACGATGCCATTCTCGCCGAGCCCAAGCACTTGGATATCTACGAGGACCTCCTCAACAACTACGATGCCAAGCTGATTGCGGGTGGTGCTGCCCAGAACACGGCCCGTGGTGCCCAGTACATCCTGGCGGACAATAGCGTCGTGTACCTTGGTGGTGCGGGTGACGACAAGTACTCGGCCATCCTCCGCGATGCTTGCAAGAAGGCTGGCCTCCGGGTCGAGTACCGCGTTGACCCAAACATTGCGACCGGGCGGTGCGGTGTTGTTATCACCGGCCACAACCGCAGCATGTGCACGGAGCTGGGCGCTGCCAACCACTACGATCTGGAGCACCTGAAGCGTCCCGATATCTGGGCTCTCGTCGAGAACGCCGAGGTCTTCTACATCGGCGGCTACCACTTTACCGGTGAGCGTGGACCGCATTCGCCGACGCTTTAGTAATGATCGTGTCTAACTATCTGAAAGTCTGCCCTCCCGCCATTCAGGAGTTGGCCAAGGAGGCCGCGGCGAAGAACAAGCCGTTCATCCTCTCGCTGTCGGCGCCCTTCATCCCGCAGTTCTTCAAGGACCCTCTCGATGCCTCCGCTCCGTACTGGGACTACGTGATCGGCAACGAGACCGAGGCCGAGGCCTACGCTGAATCTCACGGGCTCGGCACCAAGGACGTCAAGGAGATTGCCAAGGCCCTGGCTAACCTTCCCAAGGCCAACACCCAGCGCAAGCGTGTGGCCATCATCACTCAGGGTACCGAGCCCACCGTCGTCGCCGTCCAGGGCGAGGATGCGGTCAAGGAGTACCCTGTGCATGCGATCTCCAAGGAGCAGATCAACGACACCAACGGCGCGGGCGACGCCTTTGCTGGCGGTTTCGTCGCCGGTGTTGTCGAGGGCCGCTCTCTGGACGAGTCCATTGACCTTGGCCAGTGGCTGGCTCTGTTGAGCATCCAGGAGCTTGGTCCTTCGTAAGTTTACCCCTCTCCCCCTTTAACCATGAGACAAGAGCGTCATTTGGTTCTAGATCTAGACACTGACCAGACCCCCACACAGGTACCCCTTCCCTAAACAGACTTACACTCGCAAGCAGTAAGCTGGTGAGCGGTAACAAACACGAAAAATCTTTTCCCATTTCCCATTTCTCATCTCAACAGAGAAAGGAAGTTCCACCTTCCATCATATTTTGTAGAACCGGCGTTGGAGGCAGGCATATTCAGGGCCGGGGCAAAGGGAAAAGAATACAATACTTGCACAAACGGAGCACGGTAGACAGGTTTCAACAACGGCAAAGTCCGATGGGTGGGCGGTACAGGGCGCAGGAGCTGCATCTGAATTACACGAGTCACATTTTCTTCTAACGGATCGAGACTTCCTTCCCAAGTTCTTATTAAGAAGCTTTGGAAAGGATAGACTGGCGAGCATATATTGCATTTCACACTTTGGGTACAGGCAAAGAATCCACAGTTAAGACCGCGGGGGTCCAACTCGATGATACCCAATTTTTACGGACCTCAGTGTACGCAGTCGTGTTCCTCCTCGGCCGGTATTTCCCAACGTCAGGCCCTTTGTTTATCAAGGTCTGAACATTCTGTCATCCAACTAACTTCATGTTAACGACCAAGGCATGAAGTCTTATTCGACCATCTTGATTAAAAAGCAAGAAACATCGCGGCAGGTACCCGCAATCGTTCGAGAGACAGTACTTGAAGAATATCATGAATTGAGTCTAACGGAAAGGGTCAAAGCTGCTATCATCAAAGCGGCAGTACCGACTGGTGGCTTGAAAGAGGAGATGGTCTTGCCCTACCTAGCTCAGGGGTGACTCAGGCTTCAGGGCCACGCATGAACATGCAAATTGCTGAATGCAACCACCTAGTGACGACTCACCATCCAACAACCCACCCGACAACAACCGCAACCCCCAGCGCCAACCCTCCAGACCCCTTCATCATTATCATCCTCCTCCCCGCCGCACCATTCTCCCAAGGCACATGACTCTCACCCACCGCATTTTTGGAACGCGCACACGTGAGTTTGGCACTGGCTCCGGGAGCATTAACACTAGACCACACCTGACCGGTGTGTGGCAATGGCCTAGGCCCCCAGCGGACCAGTACCGGCCAGGTAAGGCGACCGATCTCCTCGTACGCGGTCTGGTTGACCTCACCGTGGGAATACGGGTGCGGATCGTCGGCTAGGGAACGGATGGTGTAGCCTTCTATGCGCCAGGTGGTGATGTCGGTGTCGTTGAATGCTGGGGTGGAAATGGTGGGTTAGGATGAAAGGTGCCTACCCAGGGAGCATGGCAAAGCCGGTGGAGGGATGTAGAGGTGACAAAAGGGGAACATACACTTCGCAGAACAGCCGAACGTCTCGGAAATCCAGGTCTCGGCCTGGTCGCCTTGACAGGACTCAATCTCCCGCAAGTTCGGACAGGTACATCGTACCAACGACGCAGCCTGTTTTTCCATATCGCTAATACACTGCCCACTCAAAACGCTGTAACAGGTGCCGTCATCACCGCGCAGCCGTGCCTGGTCCTGCTTCAGATCTACGTCCCAGTTGATAACGCAGACTTCCCAGCTGCGGTCTGGCTCGAATTCTTCCTCGTCGTTGTCGTCATCGTCATCCCCGCCCCTCGGAAGTGTGAGCTGCACACGACTGCCCGTAAAACTCTGGTTGAGGGACCATCCCTGCCATTCGCGGACGCTAGTGTTAATGTTGGAAACGGGGATGTCGGCGGTGACGGAAACGGTCAGAGTCCAGTTGGCAAACCTGTTGCTGGCGGGGAAGCGCGCGGTGATGTCGGGGGCTTTGAGGGAGTATCGGGTCGTGGCGTTGGGCGAGTCGAGTAAGGAATTGTAGGTTGAGAGTGGGACGTACCATGGCCCGTTGGGAAGGCCCGCACCACCATAGTCACCCGCGAAAGAGGCGGAAGGGGGGGGAGGAGGAGCGCAGCGGCCTGCAGGGCCACTGTCAGTTGTGAGCGGAACATTGGAAAGAGGGTTGGGAATTTGAAGCTCCCGGTGGTGTTATGGCTGAGGAAAAGGGAGAAGGAGAGCTGAAAGGGGCTGAACAACACTTACCGCAGAGGTGCGTATATAAAGTACATCAACGTCTTGTCGAGAATCTACGTTGTTGGACGCTGGGCCAGTTGGCCCTTCCCGCCTGGGCGTTGCCCATGCTTCCTGGATCTTGTGGCCCAACGATCAATCATCCACCAGAACGAATGTCTCGACCTGGTTCTGATTCTCATTCATTAGTGGGCAGTTGGTAACTGTTCTTCATGTCCATAGGAATTCGGCCCCACGAGATTTGCGCCAAGAACACCAGAAGTGATCGTGGTCAACCAACACACGGATTCCTGAGTGGATTAAGCGGTCAGCCCCATGGTATGCCCTGTCTGGAGCCTGGCTTTGGGTCTTGTATCATCGCAGGTCAGAGGCTCAAACGTGATATTACACCCTCGGGCGTACATCTTCATGACAACTACCCGTTGGGTCACAGCTACGTATTAGTTATCGCTGTCCGGCCTTTTGTAACGAGGAGAACGGTTAGCTGCTCACTGCTACTTACCTATTACGGCCCAAATAGCTGGTGTTCACGGTTAAGTAGTAAAAATACTGGGAGAAAGGGAGGTCATTACACTGGCTTCTAACATTATTCTGTATTACCCTTATCTCCGCCCACCGATACGCCGCTCACGCTGCCCTCAACCATATCAGTCAGGGTGCTATCGCAGTGCGGGCGTCATCTGTACCAGTAGTGATACGACTCCAGGTGCAACCGCTTGGCCCCAGGCGCAACCGTTCAACTCCATGAGCAACCTTTTATGGTGGGAGGTCCGGAGCGACAAAAGCTGAGGTGAAGTTCTGCATCGCTAGCATCCAACCGATACCGATTGTATGCTGTGTGCAAAAAGAACACGCGACTAATCACCTCATGAAACCCTTCGTGAGGCGGTCAAATGTTACCGCTCCATGCGCCGATGGAACAGCCAACGGCCGTGCATGCAAATGCAGACCTGAGCCTCCTAGACGAAGGGTTCAGAGCCAAAACGCTCGACGGCAGGAATTTGCCGATGGTGCAAGAAACGACGGGAGGTCTGTCCAAGACAGCGCTCTCAGCGCTTGTGCATACCCTGAGGCGTCGACGGGTTGCCATTTGCGTTTCCGTCGAAAGCAGACTGCTGCGGGTTCTGGATAGGCTGACCCCAAATGTCGACCTGTCGCGGCTGGGCCGGACCGGTACGCGGCTGCCGAGCATCGTGCCATGCGCTGGTGCTGTCGAGGGGGCTGGCATCCGCCAAGAGCCCAGAACCCGTGAAGGGCCGGGGAGTTTGTTGACCACGGGGCTGAGGGCCAGGAGGGGCTGTGGCACCGGGCTGACCAAAATACGATGGCGAGTGCCTAGCGGAAGCCTGATCGTTGAAGTTGTTCGGATGAGGCAGGCCCCAAGGACTGTTGACCCGCGGAAGGCCAGAGCTGCCGGCCGAGAAATTGAGCGTCGAGAAGGGCGAGTTAGATATGCCATTGCGATCCGCCGTTCCCAGGTTGTTGCCATATGCGGTCTGCCACGGGCCTCTAGAGGCACCCCATGTGTTGTATTGCGGCGACGGGGCTGGGAGCGGGACGGAAACGTGAGCAGTCTGCGTTGGAGGGGCCGTATTCGGCCAGGTTTCACGGTCCCCCGATCCTACGTCCCCCGATCCTAGGTCGAGGAAGCGAAGCACCCCGACTTGATCCTCCATGGTACTCGATCCAGCCACGCTCTCGTCCTTTTGGTCTCCTCGACGCGCATAACGGTCGCCGATGCTGTCTCCGGCACCCTGAGTCCCGCCTAAATTCCCGGAGCTCGCTGGTCGGGACAACCCGCTCCCGTTCGTCGCACCCCAATTTGTACCCGTGCTACTCACTAGGGGGTTCTGCAAAGTAGAGTTGACCGGAGGTCGATAAAAGTACTCCCATGGCAAGGTTGGGAAGGTTCCAGCACCAGTCGCCCCCCGCGCGGGGCTGTTGGGGCCTCCGCTGGCGGTAGGAGCCGCTCCAGATGCAAAATTCGGACCATATGGGCTTGGAACAGGACGGCCGGTAGGAGTGACGGGTTGGGACACAGAGGCGGTAGACTCGGGCGGGTTGATGAATTCATTGAGAATGTTGAACATCTGTCGATCAATAGGGAACTCTGAACGCCGGATCGGAGCAGCAGGGGCAGGAGGCTCTGCATTGGCAGCTTGTTTCTGCTGGACCACCTTTGCCGCAGCTTTTGGCGGGGCTGAGTCGTGAGAATCCCGGTTGTCGGAAGCTTCATTCGGGACCCCAAAGTTCGGAGCTACGGCTGGTTGGTTCGCCACCTTTTGCGTGGGGGTGTGGGTGCTGGACGGAGGCCGGACGAAGCGGTCCGCGGGAGGAGGCATGGGCTTTCCACCTTCGAGGAAGGTAAATGTGGTGACCTCACGGGAGCCCTTCTTTAAATCGAGAGAAAGCAGAGGAAACTTCGAGTTGGTCGAGCCCAGGTGTATGGCGCAAAACAAAACATCAAGTCCTCGAGTAAAGGCGAGGTCATCCTCGCTGCAATTGGCGGCTTCCAGGACCTCTTCGGCGCGTGGCTTGAGTTCTCCAGTCGACGAGTCGTATGACAGCCGGAATTGAGCTTTAAGATCGGTCCCGTTGAGACACCTGACACCCTCGGTCATCTCATCCTCTGGGAAGCGCCAGCTAACGGCTTTGCCAGAGTGCTCCCCTCCTAATAGATCAAAAAGGAGGCTCAACATGTCGCCCAGTGTTGTGCACATGACTCCAAACTGCGGTTCCAGGTGCGGACGGAACTCGACCAGCTGCGATTCGTAAAAGCAGAACCACGTCATGTAGACGCGCAGGAGGGGTAAAATTCGGTTGAAGGAAGGGCTGAAGCTTGTCTGGGGTTCGGCTTGGGAGAAAGACCCAGGCGTTCCACTGGTTTCAGAACCTTCAAGGGCAGTCTCTTTGCCCCTACGCTTGATCATATCTGCTATGACCTCTCCAAGATAGCGTGCAATGGTAGTGATCGTACGAAGATTGAACGATAAGATGTACTGACAGGACAAAGAACCTGCGTCAGTCCACTTCTCTGCAACGTAGTCAGTAAATCTCGGCTCTCTTGAGAGTAGGTGAGTCAAATCACGAACACATACCGTTGATTCTGTTTTGGGCTGTCATATACGCCGTGATGTTGATGAGAACAATCCTAAGCAGGTCCGACGCCGAACCGTATCCGGAGCCAGTCTTCATCGCGAGAACGAGCTGATGTTCGACCTCGCTTTCGAGCGACTTACGCTCGCTGAATTCTTTCCCCCGGAAGTAGAAGGCGTGGAGTTTGACAAACCAAGCAGTCAAGGCATGCTTAGTAGCCTTGTCCTTCCGCTTGTAAAGCTCCCGGAACTCACGCTCGAGGTTCATCAATGCGTTCGGGTGCGGTGTGGCACAGGCCAATGAGCGGTATAAATGGTATACCACCTCAAAATGGTCTCCGGTCTCGCAATAGATGACACTGCACTGATGATGGCCGTGTCCCAAGTCGGGCATCAGCTCATCCGCCAAGAGATAATATGCCAGAGCATTGTCCCACTTTGGCTCCTTGCCCCGGGTCGTTCTGTACCTCGCCAAATCACCAAGGTAAATGAGAGTCTTGTGGCATGATGTCCTAACAACTTCGTCCAGCTTCTTTGCTTCGGCATCGACTTTGTCCTCATCTGGCACGGGCATTTCCTCGAGATCGGCCCGGCGTGCAATGCGTTGAAGGTCGGTCATTTGGTAGCGCGCACAAATCCGCTGAAGGTAGCCCCGGTAAAAGTATTGAGCCGTCTTGAGATAGTGCGTAAATAACCTGTCCATCTTACGGCGGGCAACAATATGGTTGGGGCCCTGTATTTTGGAGAGCGCCTTTCGGTAGGACTTGGTGATCGAGTTATGGGTACCCCAGAGCGCTTCTTCAGCCTTCTTGTCTGTCGCAGCTCGGATATCGGGCCAAATTGTCGCAATGCAGGCAAGACGATAGCTGTGTGCAATTAGTTAGTCAACTGGGTTCTGGCCTCGAAACTAAGGGCAAAGTCATGTTCACGGCGACGAACTTTTGCAACAGTGTCTCGACCTTCTCAAATCGAGCAGTTTCGCGTGTCCCAGGGCTCTCTTTCTGGACATACTCGAGTTCCTTGTCGATTGCAGCGCGCAACTTGATGGCGTGCCTAGATGTCTACGTTAACACTGCTCGCATATTGTGTGCATGTCTTGATGCGCTCTGAACTTAGGTTGGTCCGGAAGCCTGGTCCGGAAGCCATAGAACAAAAGTACTTACGACCAAGCTTCATCGACGGAGAGCGCAACCTCGGGGGTCGCCCCGGTCGGAACCGCAGCTTCGGTAGTTGAGGCCATTCTTGGTTGGCCGCCGTCCACGGCGACGAGCGGGGACAGCGCAAGAATGAGCCGAAAATAAAGTTCAGATGTAGGGAGAAGAGTTGGTGCCTATGGCCAAAGATCACACGCAGCAGGAGGAGGTCCGGTGTTGCGCAGGCGGTCCATAACTTGATGGTGACGCACTGATTTCAGCAGTCCTGCAGGGAGGGGTGGAAATGCTGCGGTTTCCGGCGGGCAGAATGGCGGCGGGTGATGAGTGCATTGGGGAGGAGGGGCCGCACAGGGAAATAAAAAGACGGGAGAAAATTTTCGGCCAGCAAGCAGCGGCGGCAAGTCGCGTCGTTCGTGCGAAAGCAAGCAAGAGGGCGCGAGGCACGGTGCGCAGGTCAAAGAGGCGCAAGAAAGGGAGGGCAGGTTCCCCAAAAATCGAAGCGATTCACACAATGACCCGCCGTGCACAAGAACGAGAGCACATTGGATGAGCAAGTACCCCTGCCCACTGTTGAAGACCAGAATGAATGCCCCGCCAATCAGGGATTCAATCTCGACCTGCCCGGCGCCCATGGAAATCACACGTGGTCCGTGCAGCTTTAAGCTCAGGTCCCAGCAGGAGGGCCTTGCCTTGAACGAGTATCCATCATCTCAAATTCCAGATCTTCATCACAGAGCATGGGAGCCGCAGCATCGCATGTTCCAGATCTTCCAACACTTCCAACAACAAGCCGGTAATGAGTAATTCACTGCACTACCATCTTTATACGCAGTAGTACTAAACGGCCTCTTTTTAAGAGTTTACTCCAACAAAAGGTCGATCCGCGTTGACTTTATCACTATGACGAAAACAGCAACTTTCACCGTTTGAAGGGCTTGAATGTAACTTTTTTAAGAACGACACTATTTTTACTTTCTATTCTAGAGATGAAGCGCTCACGCGAACCCGAAGAGGACTCTCAAGGGGTAGTCGCACCTGCAGATCAGGATTCAGAAGCCGCTTTTGCAGGTAGCAACGATGGGCTAAAACGCGATGTGGGCGGTGATGTGAATGGGGTTGCGCCGCCTGTCGCCAAAATTGCTGGGCTGGATTTGTCCGACGAGTCGACGAGCGGCTCAAATATCAAGATGCACTGTTTGTTACCTCCTCATCGGGAGCAGTTGGTGTTTTCATCGTACGAAGAGTACGAAACGCATTACCGGGACCAGCACACCAACCGATGTGCCGAATGCCGGAAGAATTTCCCTTCCGCCCACCTTCTCGGTCTCCATATTGAAGAGTGGCATGATTCCTTCGTTCAGGTCAAGAGGGAAAGGGGGGAGCGTACTGTAAGTTCCGCGCCTGTTTCTCCCTCGTCACAGTCCCGCTAACATGATCTCTCAGTATAGCTGCTTTGTAGAGACTTGCGAGCGGAAATGCAGTACACCTCAGAAACGGAAGATGCACCTCATCGATAAGCACATGTATCCCAAGAACTTTTTCTTTTCCATCACACGCGATGGCATTGATGGCCGGCGGTCCTTGCTGCTAGAAAGTCGCCCAAGTCAACGGAAATCTAGCAGCAGCGTGGAGCTGCGGCCAAAGCTCCAACCTCCGCCAACACAGCCGCCCGGCCCGATAGACAAGGTTGTGGCCGCCAAGACAGACCAATCGGCAACGGAACCATCAAGTGAAGACAGCCCTGTGCAGCGGCCTGATCATGATATGGATGACCTGTCGAGTGCCATGTCGTCGCTGAAATTCGTTCCGATGAGTGTTCGGTTCGGACGAGGCAAGGCGGCTGGGTTCGCCAAACGGTAAACCCTTAGTTGGGTGCGATCTTCGGGGAAAGCAGCAGAGGGCTACATGAGCACGACCATAGCAAAACCAGGCACTGTAAGGCAGAGATGAAACATACTAGTTATTCGAGGGCCACTTTTGGTGGGTTTCAGCGCCACGGCCCGTAGGCCCAAATACTTAATCTGCGCCCGCCAACCAAGTCGGCTGGAGGGACCCGTTGTTCCTAACGTAGTGAGCAACCTCCGGTATGTAACTGACGACAAGCAGGCGGCGAGTGGCAACTCTTACAATTTTGTCGATATTTCCACCAACAACATCCCAAACAGAGCTCGCTCGTAGTAAAAGACATGCTTGAATTCCGTTCCCTAACGCCGCCAAGTCGCCTCCCTTCAGTCCGTCGACGCGCAACCCCGACACCCACAGCTGACACATTGCACATCTTGATCCTCCTTAAGCTGCGCCCTCGGTACGCGGCACACGCAAGTGGAGTTGAAATTTGTCTCCTTCGTCTGGATGCACCTTAAGCAGCAGAGCTTCTCATACCCCTGTTTCTTCCATTTGGCGATGAGCATGGCGTCGGCGTAACCGTTCTTGAGCAGCCAGTCATACAGCGCCTTGCTGATAGCCTCCTTTTCGTAGTAAAGCTCGTAGACGTAGCGGCTGCGCTGGTGGGAAATTTGAAAGATGGGCCATTGCGCTTGGTGCTTAGGGATGTTGTCCGTCGGGGTGTTTTGGGCGTCCTTCATTTTGTTGCCGAAGATGAGAAGGTCCTCTTCAATATCCTCGAAGCCGTCCGGGGGCGGCTTGCGCTTGGAGGCGGGGCGAATGGCGGGCATGGTTTACCCTCGCTTTGCTCTTTACTCTTTCCTGCTCTGATCCGTCCTTCTTATATCCCACTCCGTCGGGCTGCCGTATGTTCCTGCTGTTCCTCTTTTTTTGTCCTGCTCCTTCGTTCCAACTAATGATCGTCCTTCGGCTAAGTCTTAAGTAGAAACTTCGCTGATCGAAAGGTTGAATTTGCGCGACAAGTCGTGAATAGCGTGGTATCGGTTGCAGGTGTTTCGGTATCGAAGCTGGTGGAAGAGAGCTGGGCCTGACCTTTAACCCCACTGTAGAACGCTTGGCAATCAATAGCTGACTAAGCAGGTTTTTCTTCCAGAAGTCTTTGCCTCCTGCGCAGATTGGCAGAGGGGCGTCAGAGGTGGTCCAAGCTTCTAGCACTCCAAACCACCGCACGCCGACCTGGGTCGCGGGTTTCCCAAGCCGACGACCGACTAGCTTCCCTGACGACCACGACCAATTCCCGCGCGATGGCGATTTCACCGACCCAATTCGCCGTTACCACCAGGCAGTGTGAGCCCACAACCCGTCGAATACCTGACGCCACCGGAGCAAGCAACTAACGAACGCATGCAGCGGCCAATTGGTCCGACGCCAGGCGGAGGGTGCTGACGGCATATCGCGACTGGATCCGGGCGGTACGAACACCTTGCTAGGTCATAGGGCGGTTGGGGAAGAATATCAGGTTGCGGTGATGGGCTGACATGTGTTTGTTGTTGTTGTCAGGCGCCGGAAATCCAAACGATGTATGCCATCCCTCACCCGGTCTCAGCGATCCGCACCCGCATCCGACAGGAGTTTGAGCGCAACCGGTTCGTCAACAAGCTTCCCGCCGTCGATGTCCTCCTTTTACAGAGCAACGCCGACTATCAAGTAAGCTATTCGTGGGGTGGGAAATCTGGGCGGGGGCATACGGTGGACTACAAGAGGGGGAGAACTGGAATATCATGCCGGGTCACCGTATCGAACTACCGGAGACTGATATTTTCTTGCTGTAGGAGACCATGAACTTCTGGCGTCAAACGAACCACCTTATGTCTTACTTCAAAGATGAGAACTTCAGGGGAGAGAAGCGGCTCCCATCCGATTTCGTTACTGGGTTCTTGGAAGTGAGTTTGATACTCTATTGCCCCCCCCCCTCTGAGGTCTTTTTGTTGATTGTTTACCATTTTAGGGCCGCAACTAAATTGTGGCATGTCGCGGTGTTATCTTTTGATCCGTACATAAAGCAATAAAAGAAGTCACACCAAACCTCTTTGGGGATGCCCAACTGCACTTCGCCCAGTAGTGCCTAACCTGAACTGCGCCGAGAACCCAAACGCCGTCCCATGTCGAAAGATCAAAAATGTAAGAATCAAGCAGCAGCCTTGAATTTGTCCCTGGCCTCAACGAACTTGTCCGTCACGACGTCACAAAGTTCTTGCAGGTCCTGCAATCCCTTCTCCAAGGCCTGAGTGGCCGTTGTGCCCTCTAAAGCGACGTCTTAGTAAGGAACGGGCTCCCATTTTGAGTGACAGTGTAACTTACCGAAAGTTTGGATCCGGACGTTCATTTTGGCCTCAGAAGGATGGGGGATAGCATATGCACAGAACTCAACATCCGGGCTGCGACGTGGGTTAGTACTAGCCTTGAAAATGGATACGACATGGGTATTCTTAACTTACTTCTTCATGATGATGTAGCGTAATGCATTGCCGAGTGTGTGCCCTTCGTTGAGAAACTCAAAAGAGGCAGCGGTAGGAGTTGAGCCAGGGAGCTATTCCATGATTAGCCACAAATACACGGCGTCCCAAAGTGGGCAAGAGACGGTAAGTTGTGTAAAAGTTGACCTACAATTCTCACTCTTTGGACATCTTCCTCTTCCTCCTCTTCTTCTTCATTTTCGTCCATCTCAAGGTCGCCCCCCTCTTCATCCACGTCGTCATCATCCACAGACATGCCATCCCGAGTCTCCGGCTGGTGAGAAGTCGGCACCTCGTCCATCACGATGTCGGACCCGGGCTCGATGGCCTCATCCTTCTTCGTCCTTGCTTTGGGCATATCGAATGACTGTAAATTTCCGATGTGTGGCGTCTCTCAGAAATATGCTAATTGATGTTGAGGTGGTGGTTCAAGAAATTGAATTTCAAATGTCTGCATGCGGCATGTCACCGGAAAATTTTATTGGGTGGCACCGAAAGACCCAGCAAAAGATACCCCACACCCAAAACAGCAAGCTCTCAACAGAGATGATTGCCAATGCGAAGTTTAACTTCCTAGGGTCGTCTTGTTGAGATGAATAGTGTGAAAATTTTAAATCACCGAAATCTCGAAGTTAATCAACAAACGCAAGCCAAGTTTTTATTCTTTTCTTTCCCTTTTTTTTTTTACCACCGACCCATGCTTCCCGAGTCACTCCACAACCGTTATAGCTGCCGAGTAACCCCTTGCAAGAATAAACACACAATGGGAGTTTAACTCGTAAACGTTGTATGTCTGCTCGGGAGGTTACTAAAATATCATTTCTAGGGGCATGGGAATCTTAAACAACAAGAGAGTCAATTCCATAACTGTGAGAGCAGACGGCGGCCACAAACGTTGTTTGAGCCGGGATGTTGAAAACGGTTGACTCAGCACATGCCTGGTCACTTTAAACCACACGACAGGGGCTAATGTTGTCAAAATTTGGTTACCCATTCAAGCCAAAAACCTTTGTAATCTATATGCTCTTTCGCTAATGTCATAAACCCAGATACTCTCTATCAACATCTCGTAACCCAATCAACACCTTGATCGAATGCATCAGCCCATCCATCATCCGCTCCACATGCTTCAAATCCCCCGCATCATGTAACCCATTCGCCATGCGCGGCGGCCGGTCCTCATTCCCACTCCCCGAAACGCGTCCCGAACCCCCGCGGAGCGTTGCCTTTTTTGCATCCACGATCCCGCGCAGCAACCTCAACCCGCTCGCCAACTTGCGCAGCGCAATCATGCGCAACGACCGCAACAGCAAGTCCTTATCATCCCCACTGACCTCAAACTCTCCCACCAGGATCGGCACGCCGTCCCTGCCCAGACCACCGAAGACCTTGTCTTCCGGCGAAGACGACGACTCCCGGCTGTACAAGACCGACGACACATCATCGTGCCCGTGATGATAGCCGCCACCGCCGCCGCCGTTCTTGCGCAAATGCATCAGGCTCCTCGCATCGTCATCATCATCATCACCACCGCTAGCGCCGGCGCTGCCCTCGAAATTCACCAGCGGCGCGACGGCCGGAAGCTGCTGCACTTGCGCCACGACGGCCCGTAGGCACATGACCAGGAGCTCAATCACCTCGTGGTCGTGGTTGTCTTCCGCTGTCTCCTGGCAGTCGGCCGCTGCTCGGCAGGCGTGCCAGGCTTCCTGGGCGTTTTGCAGGACAAAGTCGACTGGGAGTGCGGTTGCCGTGGTGCTTCGTGGTGTTGATGCGCCAGATGATCGATGGGGGACATGGGGCCGTTTGAGAGAGCAGAGGAGGTCCATGTGCCGTTGGAGACAAGAGCATTCCAATCCGGTCGGGTGTCTGCTGTTGTTGCTGCTGCTGCTGCTCGTTTCTGAGGTCGCGACGTAGGAGGATGAAGAAGAAGTTGGATCTAGGTCTCCATACTGACTGTGTGTCCGGCCGGTGGGGGGATAGGAGGTGATCAGCCGCGGGTCGACGAGGTCGGCGGTGGGCGCCGGCGGCGTGGGTGGTTCCATTGCCAACGCTGGCCAGCCTTTTCCAGAGGGTGGTTCGGACGAGCCCGGGACGTGGCCGTGGATACCAGCGTGGCTCGGTGCTGCATATGATGCCGGGTTGTTGGTGCCAAAAAAGCATGGCAAGTCGTTGGGGCTTGGCGTCCACGAGAGGGCCGCGGTCGCCTCGTGGTCCAACTCAAATAGGTCGTGATCTCCTGAGCCCATGCACGACATGCTATCCAGTAGCTCCAGAGGCGACGGCCATTCCGGCAGCTCCAGCGTATGTTGTCCGGGGTATTGTGGACGACGTTGCGAATGTTGTGGCTCCTGCTGGTGATGTTGGTGTTGGTGCGCCTGTTCCCTCTGGCGTTCCTGGTGGTTTACCGTGGTCGTGGTGGGCTGCCACGAGTCCAACACAAACGTAGGTTTGTCTGCTGACGGTGACAGCCACACAGGTGTATTGGCGGAGGTTGGCGTCTGTTGCCCATCATGCACAACGGAACTCGTCGGCGCGGGGGCTAGAAGTTGCCCTTTAGACGGCTGTCTGTTTTTGGCCCCCCTTGGACGACCCAGGCGGTTGGAGACGCCGTAGCCACAAGCTGTGTTGGAGGTAGCACAGTTCTGGCATGGATTGCCGCCGGAGCAGCGTACCTTGAGTTGACGGCACGAGTTACATGCGGATCGCAATTTTGGCGTGGTGGTTTGAGTGGTGGTGTTTTGTCCGTCGAGAACCATCGCGTCGGCCCCGGCTAGAATGCGGCGTAGTGATCCTGTGCGTGAAGACCGTCAACGCTGCCGACACTGCCAATTAACTATGCCCCAAGCCTTGGGGTCCTCGAAAGGGCAACATCGCATTCGCAAAGCGTGCGTGGGGGTCGCTATAAAGCGCATCCAAAGCTGCGCGGGGCTTTGGCGCTGGCGTCACGCTCAGCACCCGATGTCAGCAATTTAGTCCGGATGCGACGTCGGCGAGTCGGCGGCTCAAGAGACACAATTTGAGTTCTGTGGGATCCACGCACCCCTGTCATCTCACTGCAGGTCCAGAGTTCTCACTAGAAGGGGCTAGCGGCGATCTCATGGCCACAACCCAAGCCCTTGGCTTATCGCTATGTCACCAAATGCGAGGAATGCACGCCTGTCTTGGCCATTGAACCATCGTCCTAGCTTTGGGAGAGGGGCTCGATATGCAAAACCATGTGGAGCGACGAGGGGATTCAGTGTTACAGCCCCTCCAGCCGTCGGGCTTAGAATAAACCGAACGGTGTGCATCTTACGCAGTCAGACTGAGAGTTAAACTGATTTCGGGATACTTGCCTTCGTTCGAGGAGCATCCGCCACAGCGTGGTGGATGTACACGGATGTGTAGCTTGTTCTCAGGCTGACCGACCAAGCCGACTAATACGAAGTTGTGGGTTCGGTTGGGGTTTCCCACCGACCCGTTCCACAAGATGGATGAATGTCTCGGCCGATCATTTCTCGAACAGTGAGAATGCGACATGAGGTGAGCAACGCGCCAACGCCGCAGAATGTGCTCTGACGATTTCAGTTCACGGTCCGGCAACCGGCTGCGATTCTGGACCGACGATCGATCTCGGTGGGGGCCGAATGGCTTTCTCCGTTGGGCCCGGACCGTTCATACTTTAAATTACAACCAGGGTAGGTAGCAAGCCACCAAACCAGGCTCCCTCGGTATGGATATACTATGTAGATTGTCGCCTGCGGGCCTATCTGCATGGATCGTGTTGTGGGATTCTTCTTGCGCGTCGTGCGCGGGGTTGGCTCGGTTGTGTAGGTTTTTGATTGGGAAAGGTGTCATCTCGACACTAGGAGGATGCAACAGCCTTCTGGCGAAATTTCCACCGAGTCCCCAACCAAGTGAATGACCGATTATCGGGGACTCGCTTGCTCCGACTCAGGCGAGGTCGCGAGCCTTTCTCCGGCTGCTGCAGTCGGCCGGGCGTTTGTGATCCGGGTCGTCCGTGGTTGTAGTGGGATCAAAGACCTGAGTTGTGGCAAATTCTAGCCAGTGATTGTCCTTTCCTCCCCTCCCTTTTGGGAAACCGGCAATGCCGATAACTATGGCGGAATACCATCCGCTCGCCTCTGCGGCCTCTCTTTTGGTTCTCGCGATCGAAACCTATTCCGGGAGCCCCCGCCTTGGCCCAAAGCTTGACTGCTGCGGTGGAGCATTCGTTGGGTATCGTCAGCTCGATGCCACGGTGCCAAGGCGGATGTAGATGTTCGAGAGCGGCAATGTCAACCGAGCCTGGGCGACTGATAAATGATAATGCAATCAACGTGCCAATTTGGGGAGGCGAATCAATAGGCGAGACTCGAGAGCCACCGAGGCAGCGTTTGTCCCGCACGAGCGTGACATAGTTTGTTTGAGTAAAAGATTTCGCTTCTGGCCAACCCCAGGATCCTTCACCAATAGTCGCCATGAGCAGGCGAGAGAGCTGAAACTCCAAGTCGGCGCCGAACGAGATTTTTCCGCCCCCGATCCCTGCACTAGAGAGCCGCAACTAAGCGATGCCCGAGCGAACCATGGCGATAAAAGTGTTTTTCCGGCTGGCCCCCAACTACCTAATACCTTATTAGTAGGTGGCACAAGCCCGGCAGGCCGTGCCGCCGCCTTACCTAAGTTCCAGTTTGCCTATCGTTCAGGCTGCATACTATGTATCGGAGATTCCCGTTGAGTCGCGTTCAGAAAAAGGCGGACAATCGGTGAATCAAGAGTGCGATAAATGTTTTTCCTGAGTGCGAGCTACAATACGAAGTAGCGAATGAATATACCCCGAGAAGGAACAGTGCGCTGTCAAGCGCTGTCAAGCGCGCTGTCTACAAAGTAAAGATCGGCCATTTTCTGTTGAGAACCCTGCTAGACCGCACGGAATAACACGGCCCGATCCGAGCTTCAGCACCCCATTGGATGCTTATGACATCTTTACTTAGCTAAGCTTACAGAGTACACTAGCTTTAACCTTTAAGATTTTAGATGTGTACAGGATAGAGCTGACTAACTAGTAACGGGACATAAGACGGCTTTGCCATCTTGAACTCGGAGATTCACATACCCAGCGTCGGCACTTCTCCCTCTGTGCCTGATGCCAAGGCGACGGGTAAACGCCCATGGTGCTTGGCACATGAAGCCACACGACGAGCTTCCAGGGGAGTGGTCAAGCCCTGTCTGGAAAGGGAATCAAGATATCACAAGGCCGGGATGAAGCATGGATTGGATGTGTGTAAACTGTAAATATCCCGAAAGCTATTCCGTTGACCCAAGACTCAGTATCGAGCAAAGAAAAAAGTCTAGATAGAAGCGCGAAGAAAAAGAGAAGAAAAAGAGATAAAAATAACAAGCATAAGAAAGGTCATTACAGCATGTGGGGGCTGGTAAAACCCCCCTTTTCATTCCACCGCATACAACGGGATCTCCATCGTTGTAATCGCCGGGCGGATCTTCTCAATGAGTTGGTGGAAGGAAGAGCGGCGGGTATCCCGGGCCTGAACCACCTCGACAACCGTGTTACGGGCCTCGACTTCCAACTCCTCCTCTTCCACTTCCACTTCCTGAACCGTTACTTCCGCCCCGGCCCTGCGGGTCTTGACGGAGTTGGCCAGTTGCTCCAGGATCGTCTCCGTCTCTTCCCAGCCCACGCAACCATCGGTGACGCTGACGCCATATTCGAGTCCGGACAGACCGCATGCAGGGATATCTTGCCTCCCTGTAATGTTTTTGAAAAGCCAACCGTCAGCACAAATTTCTTTTTGTTTCTATTTGGGTAGGAGGCGGAGTAATTATCAAGGGTAACTCACCAGGCCGAATGTTGCTCTCAATCATGAGGCCAGCAATAGGCGCGCCGTCAGCAAACTGCTGGGCAACAGAGGCGGCAACCTTGCCTTGGTTGCGATAATCCTTCGACGAGTTCCCGTGGCTGCAGTCCACAACCAGACGCACAGGCCTGCCCGCCTTGGCCATGGCCTCCTCGGCTTGCTTCACATGCTCGGGTGAGTAGTTCGGGCCGGCCTTACCCCCGCGCAGGACCACAAACGTATCCGGGTTGCCCTGGCTGACGCGCTGGACTAGGCCGCCGTCTTCCGCCACGCTGAGGAGGGTATGTTGGCGCTCGGATGCCTTGATGGCGTCGATGGCCACGCCGAGGGAACCATCGGTACCGTTCTTAAAGCCGACGGGGAAGGGCACGTCGCTGGCGAGCTCGCGGTGGGTCTGGCTCTCGGTGGTGCGCGCGCCGATGACGCCCAGGGACAGGACATCGTCGAGGAAGGGGATCACGAGGGGGCTGAGCATCTCGGTTACGACGGGGAGGCCAAGCTCGGCTACGCGGAGCATGATGTCTCGCGACACTTGCAAGCCCTTTTGGAGATCCGAGTCTTGGGACTGGGTCAGATCTGGGTCGTGCACGAGACCCTTCCAGCCGACGGTGGTGCGCGGCTTCTCGATGTAGACTCGCATGGCGACAAGCAGCTCATCCGCATGCTTCTCGGCGGCCGTAGCCAACCGTGTTGCGTAATCCATGGCCGTGGCCGTGTCGTGGATGCTGCATGGGCCAATCACCACCAGCAGGCGTTCGCCGAGACCGTCAGCGGACAGTGCATGCTGAATATCGCGACGATGTTGTTCGACATGGCGAGCTGCCTCTGGTGTCTTTCGTCATGGTTAGACGAACTCTGGAATATGAGAGGGGCTTTGGAGTGTAAAGAGGAAAACGACCGGACATACCAAAACCTGAGCCGCCTTGGCGGTTGCGGGTGCGAGCCTGGTGCTTGAAGTAACCGCCATTGGGAAATTTTCAAAAATGTCTCAAGGAAGATTTCAAAGGAAAATCAAAGAGCCGAATATCTGGGGTAGGATGTGTGGGTTGGGAAGCGAATGTACCAAAGGTAGCAAGCGGTTGGAGACGAGAGTCTGGAGAAGTTGGAGACTTGGAGTTGGTGGAGTCTATTTTCGTCCCGTTGTGAAGCGGGATGCTTTCATTGATATTCTCGGTAACTACCAGGTAGATACCTTCGAGTCTCAACCTGTCTACTTGAGAATCTAGTCTCTTTCGGCCCTTTCCGTCACCTCTTCACGGTATCAGTCAACAACCCCCTGGCGGGGCAGGTAGAAATTCACCGGCGCAGTGAGCCTCATCATCCAGGGGCTCGGTACCATCGTGAAAGGGCTGTGGCTGTCAGAATAATGTTCCGGACAAAGATGACATGAGGGGCTGGGGGGAGTGGGGAGTTGTTGCGGAGCTTGATGGTCTGAGACGAAACTTCAGTGAAAACGTGGCCGTCTACTGGTCTCCGGGCTCGCCCTACCATCGCACAGGGAGACGTTCCATACTATCCGTAGCTCCGGTGAGCGGAGCCCCAAGAGCCTGTTACAGATACTCGTGTCTCGTACTACACACCAGCCGGCTTGTCCCGTCTTGGTGCCAAGCCGCAAAGCCGCGTCCAAAGTAAGATAAGATTTCGGTTCCTCCGAACAAGCTTCTTTGATCGCCCAAGCCGTGGCGCGGCCATGGCAGCCGAAGCTTGATCCCTGCATCCTGCACCTCATCCTCAGATACAACTGCACTAGGGTACTCAGGTCTGCCTGCAGCTCAGGGTCCAGGGTGTTGAGGGATCTCGGCGCAGCCCGGAGATTATACCGGCAATTTTTTCGCCTGTCTTTTCCCTTTCTCTTTTTCCGAAGTCAGCTCTCATTGGTTGGGGACTGTATCTGCCGTATCGGTCGGATAGACGGGAGCCGGCCTTTTTTCGCCAAGTGCTCGGTTGCCTCAAGCAGAGAAGCGCCGAAGAAAAGTAACTGACAAGACAACCTGAGAGTGAGTGGGAGGGTGGGAAAAAAGGCTTGCGAGCCGCGCTCAGCTCGCAACGCAACGATGGCAAGCAAAGGTGGCAAGAAAGCGTGGTTTTGACAATTCGACTCTTCTCGACCTCACACTAATTACACGTGTGCGGAAGCTTCCGCTGCAGGTTGACATCCAACATCAGGTAAAAATAAGGTAAGAACGTGTTACCGAGTGGGGGAGAAGGGGGGTCGAGTGAGTGCAACGGAAGGAGCACCACGCTCTCCATTGCATGTGAACAATATTGGCGGGATTGAGCGAAACGAGGGGGAAAGAGCGAAAAAAGAGCCTGAGTGTCGAGAATTTAATCACGTTAAATTCAAAATTCTAATTATCTATCAAACTCTATAACCAATTTCTATATCATTTCAACATGTTCGTTATGAAAACCCGCATTTCCACGGGGGGTTGTCTTCCCTGAATTTAATGACCATCACTGAACCCGCCAATCTTCCTCAACCTCGGACCAAAGTAATAAAAAACGGTCGGCATGGGCGTAACGACGAGGCAAATAAATGTTAGGAGCAGCGTCCCCCATTCATAGCCCAGCTTCTTGTACAGCCCATTCCCAATGAAGGCAAAGATGCAGCCCAAGACGCTGCGACTCACCGTCACGGCCGCCAAGGCACTGGCCGCATATGTCTCGAACGAATCCACCATGTACGTTGTCACGCAGATGTAGGTCATCAACATGCCGGTCGAGAACACGGCCGCGCCGATCAAGGGCGCGATCCAATGCACGTCGGGACGGGCCGTCAGCGCAAAGATGAGCAGGCCTGCGGGCACCACGCAGGCGCCGATCTGCATGAAGGGCATGCGATACTCTGGGCTCCGCGCTGCGGCGATGGTCTCGCCGTGCTTGCTGATTGCCCGCGTCTTCATGCTCACGAAGGAGCGGTTCAGGAACACAGCGCTGACGAGGGCGCCGGCGACCGAGCCCAGCCCGGCTCCGAGGTAGGAGAGCCCTGTGAGCTCGTCGGGCCAGTGGTATGAGGGCAGGCCGTACAGAGACTGGGATGAGAAGAGAAGCGGGAGCGTGACCATGTGCAGGTACAGGATGCCGTAGATGCTGGTGGTTTTGGTTAATACCGAGATCCTGACGGAGAGTGCCCTTACGGGTTTAAGACAGCGGGGAATTACTTACATGGCCATGTAGACGCTCATCGCAGCACACACGGGCGAGGTAAACAGCATCTTGGAGGCACGAGCCATGGTCCGCAGAACCACTTGAAAGGTCGAACGGGGGACCGTGGCGGTCTTCTCAGACTGGCTACAGTAGCGCTCATCACCCGTGGTCTTTCGCAAGCCAGCGGCCTTTTGGCGCAACAGAAACGGCGCATAGGTCTCATGCAGACAGAAAATCGACACCACGCTTGTCACACCCGCCGCAATGGCCATGATCCACGCGAGCCAGCGCCAGTTGCCGGTCCCGCGGAGAATAAACCCACCCACAACGCCACCAATCGCCGATCCGCCAGTCGGCCCAAAACTGTAAAACGACTGCGCGCGGCCGCGCTTTTCGGGGCTGAACATATCGCCAATTGTCCCACCACCGATACTCGGCCCAGCCGAGCCTGCCATCCCCGCGAACAGGCGGAACACGGTTAGGGCGGCGATATTGGGCGACACGGCGCAGCAGATGTTGAAGATGGTGAACATGCCGAAGCAGGCCAGGTAAATGACGCGACGGCCGTACAGCTCAGAGAGCGGCGCCAGGTAGAGCGGGCCAAGGCCGAAGCCTAAGACGAAGAGGGCGGTCGGTAGGGTGGGTGTGTAGGTGTCTGTCAGGCCGAAGTCGTCAGCGACGGCTTGGGCGGACACGGCGAGGATAACGGAGGCCATGGGCGATAAGGTCGCTTGGATGCTGATGAGCAGCACGTTTCGCCATTTTTTCAGGGCTGACCAGTTGCGAGGGTGTTGGGGATCTTCGGGGCCGTCCCAGGACTGTGGTCAACGGATGTGTGTTAGTCGTTGTTTTTTTTTCCTTTGAATTTCGTCTGGGTAGGTGCAGTTCTTGATGTTGATGATTTTGGTGATGAGGTTGAATGTGGGAAGTCGATTAAGATCAAGAGGCGATCAAAAACAGCACTGATCTACTTACCACGAGGAACGCCTCATCCTCACCCTCGGTGATGCTGCTGTTGGGTTCTGTAGCTCCCATCGTCCTGATCGTCCTGATCGTCGTGTTTGTTTGTGGGGCTTGACTAGTGGATTCAAGGGCTCACCGCCAAGCAAAGGCTAAAGGAACGACAAGAAGGGGGTGGTTGGGATCGTTTCGTTAACGACAAAGAGAGGGGTTCCCTCCCACCTTGATCACCTTGAAAAGACGATGAGACCATCGTGGTCGTGTGCAAGAAGGTTGGGCGGAAAAGAGAGAAGCCTGCGGCAGTGCGGCTTCCTGCGGCGTTACCTGGTGCAACGCTGAAAAGACGGTAAATACGACCCCCCCTGTCACTTACATGGACATGTTCTCCAGTCAGACATGCAGCCTTAAAAAACGATAGCGAAAGAAGCGAAAACTAGAAAAGTCGCCGGGTGGCTCCGTGAGCGAGACCGAGACTCCACCAACAACTGCAGCGCGGATAAGCATCCGGGCAAGGCTTTTCGATGGATGAATGTTCCTTGCAAAGCAACATAGGCTTCCAGAATTCCGTTATCTTGTTCCAGCAAGGGGGTGATAGGCTGACAGGGTGACACACATCGGATACACGATGTATCTTACATTTCCCCCCTGGACAACAACCCCCTGGAAACATTCCAGACGGTTGGGTAACATCATCCTCGCGTGGGTTCGGCGTGTCACTTTTTTTAGGTTTTGGTATCGTCCGAATATTCTTTACCTGTCACAGACGCACATGGCTTCCGCGCGTTCCCATTCGAGATTATGCTCCGGATCAGTCAGCTTCGCCGGTTCCGTCGTCCTGTCCCGGCAGATGGAGTCGGGACGACAAATCGACGACGTTGTCGTCAGACGAACAGGCAGCTTGCGCAAGCTCCCAGTCGTCAGCCGCATTGCCGCAGCGGCCTTGATTCCGATGCTGGTTCAAGGCTTCAAGCGGCTATGTTCGGCTTCTGAAGCTCGAGAGATGGCATCATGGCTCTGTTGACAAGGCGTCTGAGGGCGGTGATGGGCGGAAGAGGGCCGCCGAGAGTAAGGTCAGCACAGTTTTAGGGTGAAATGCCTAATGAGCCCTTGTAAACAGAAATGAGACTACTTGGTATCAGAAGTAGATATTTATGCGCGTTACCCCAGAGTTTTCGTTCGTAGAGCAGATACTGTATAAACATCTCTTTGATAACAAAGCAGCCTGGCTTGAACAGACGACCCTGAAGAAGAGAGAGACAGAGATAACGAGAGTCTAAGAGTGGATTCGCAGCTCCCGAGTTTCCCTAGTCCCTCGTCGACCATGGCACCACCATTTCACAACATTCTTGACGTCCTCGTCCGGGCAGCCCAGAACAGCCCGGATAAGGGACTTCTCATCTATCCTTCTGGGCAGTCGAAAGCCACCAAACCACAACAACTCACATACGCCAGTCTCCTCCAAGAAGCCGCCGCCCTATCACAAGTGGTCGCAAACATCCCCAGCGTGACACCCGAGAGCATCATCTTGATCCATCTCGACTCGCACCTGCACAATGTGCTCTGGCTGTGGGCGACCATCGCAGCGGGCCTTGTGCCGGCCATCTCGACCCCGTTCACCAACGACCTAGAGCAGCGCAAGAAGCATCTGCTGCACCTCAACGGCGTGCTCCAGGAGCCCATCGTGATCACCCGCCAAGGCTTGGTGTCCGACTTCGCCGTGGCTGAGGGCGCGATGAAGATTCACACGATCGAGGAGCTAGGCAAGCAGAAGCAGCCCCTGACAGAGCCCGTTCAGCCGAGCTCCGACTGCCCACGCGGGTTTTCCAAGGCCGGCGAGGACCTCTTCGCCCTCATGCTCACGTCGGGCAGCACAGGACACGCCAAGGCAGTCTCCCTGCGCCACGGGCAAGTCGTCGAAGCGCTGCTAGGCAAGGCCAGCTTCCACGAGACCACCAGCCGGGATGTATTCCTCAACTGGATCGGCATGGACCACGTCGCCAACCTGACCGAGATCCACCTCCACGCCATGAGCCTCGGGGCCGACCAAGTGCACGTCCACGCCGTCGACCTCCTGGCCCAACCCATGACCTTCCTGCGCCTGATCGACCGCCACCGGGCCAGCTACACCTTCGCGCCCAACTTCTTCCTCGCTAGCGTGCGCAAGGCCCTCGAGGCGTTCGCGCCGTCTGTAAGCGAGCCGCTGCCGGACCTCCGCTCGCTGCGTGCCCTCATCTCGGGTGGTGAAGCCAACCCGACTGCGCTGGCGACCGCCTTCTCCGACCTGCTAGCCCCGCTCGGGGCTCAGCGGCACTTCCTCCGGCCTGGCTTCGGCATGACTGAGACCTGCGCCGGCAGCATCTACGGCAAGCAGTGCCCGACCTTTGACATTGCCCACGCGCGCGAGTTCACCTCGCTCGGCCAGTGCATCCCCTGCATGGACATGCGGGTGTCACGCGCCGGCGTGGGCGTTGTGCAGACCGCTGGTGAGGTTGGCATCCTCGAGGTGAAGGGCCCCAATGTGTTCAAGGGGTACTACAACAACCCCGAGGCCACGGCGTCATCGTTTTCCGAGGACGGCTGGTTCATCACGGGCGACCTGGCGTTTCTCGACGACGGCGGCAACCTGCACCTGGTCGGGCGCGAAAAGGAAACCATCATCATCAACGGCGTCAAGTACTTCCCTCACGAGATCGAGGGCGCCCTCGAAGACGCCAACATCCCCGGTGTAACCCCTTCCTTCACCGCCGTCTTTCCCCACCGGCCCAAGGGCGCCGACTCGGAAACCCTCTGCGTCGTCTACCTGCCCAGCTACAACGCCCAAGACGATGCCGACGCCCGCCTAGCCGCCCGCAACGCCATCCGCGACGTCGTCATGAAGCACTGCATGACCCGCCCGTACAAAATCATCCCCCTCGAGCGCGTCTTCCTCCCCAAGACCGCCCTAGGCAAACTCTCCCGCAGCAAGCTCCGCGCAGCCTTCGAAGCCGGCATCTACGCCGACGCCATCCAACTTGACGAGCAACTCCTCGCCACAGCCCAGGGCCCCCTGATCAACCCAGTCACTACCCCGGATGAAATCCTCCTCCAGCAGATCTTCGCCGACGTCTTCAACGTCCCCGCCGAGGAAATCGGCACCGACACCAACATCTACAACCTCGGCTGCACCTCCGTCGAGATCTTCCGTCTCAAATGGGCTCTGCAAACCCACCCCTCGGGCATCTTCCCTCCCTCCATCCCCGTCACCACCCTCCTCACCAACCCCACCATCACCTCCCTCCTCACCACCCTCATCAAACCCTCTTCCCCCTCTCCTTCCATCGCCTCCTACAACCCAGTCGTAACCCTCCGCACCTCCACCTCCTCCAATCCCCCCCTCTGGCTCATCCACCCAGGCATCGGCGAAATCCTCATCTTCCTGCACCTCGCACAGCACTTGCCCGACCGGCCCATCTATGCTCTCCGCGCACGTGGGTTCGACGGCGAACCGCTGTTTGGCAGTATCCCTGAGATGGCGGAGACGTATCTGGCGGCGGTAAGGCGGGTGCAGCCGACGGGACCGTATGCGTTGTTGGGGTATTCGTTTGGGGGGACGGTGGCGTACGAGATGGGGAAGTTGTTGAGCAATGGGACACAGCAAGGGGAGCTGGGGTTCTTGGGGGTGTTGGACCAGCCGCCGCATATTAAGGAACGGATGCGGCATGGTGGGTGGGGGGATGTGTTGTTGACGCTGGCGCGGTTTTTTGATTTGCTGCCTGATCAGGAGCGGGAGGCCGCGTTTGTGGATGCGGTGGAAAAGTTCGGGCAGGGGGATGAGGCGAGTGAGGAGCTGGTGGAGATGTTGTTGGGGTTGATGGAGATGGAGAAGTTGGACGAGTTTGGGTTGGATCGGGATCGGTTGGCGCGCTGGACGAGTTTGGCGCTGAACTCGCATGTTATCGGGCGGGATTATGAGCCGGATGGCCAGCCCGGGAGGGTGCCGTTCTTGGAGGTGTTTTATGGTGATCCTATTACGGCGGTGGCGAAGGATAAGAAGGAGTGGCGTGAGGTTAAGTTGTCGCGGTGGGAGGGGCTGATTGATGATGTGCAGTTCCATGAGGTGCGAGGTCATCATTACACGCTGCTGGCGCCGGAGAATGTGGCGTCGTTTGCGAAGACCTTGACGGCTCGGCTCAAGGCTCGGGGGGTCTAAGGGGGCCAGTTGAAGGAGTTGGATGTTGTTGTAAATGGTTTTCTTTCTTTTTTCCCACTTCATCATATTATACGTTAGAATTTCACGTTCTTATTTCTTTGACTGTATTTACAGCCGCCTGAAGTCGACCTTTTGTGTTTTCGGGTTTCAGTTTCTGGGCATCATTAGTTACTTGCAGTTGGATCTGAGTTAGCAGTAGCGGAATTCATGTCTGTTATTTTGTTTGATTTTATTGTGCTTTAGAATCTTAAATCCTTCTCCAATTATCACTACTCTCGTGAAGCTGGCGACTTTGAACTCTCATGCTTAGTCAGTTTGGCTGATGACTTTGGAGTTCAAACTCCTGAATGAAGAATGCCGGGTTCCACACATCGTAATTAACACAATTAATAATTCGTCAAAGTCGGCGATGTTTCGCTGAGTATGGGCGTTGGATTTGTACAGCTGTAACTATCCGTATTTGATCTATGATCTCCCAGAGAAACAAGTCAAACGATAAGAAAACATAAAATAGAACGAAATCTACAAAAATTGAAACCAAAAATAGAAGAGTAAACAAAGTGAAAGCAAAAAGGTCAAGGTGCCCGCTATAATACAATTTCAAAAATCCGCCCTGTGCGCCTTTACCGTCCATCTTCTAATTAATACACCACCCCTTAATGCACGCTGATGGCCTCTCGGACCTGCCGAGGCTGAAGAGGCTGCGAGAGTCGCTTCTGGTAGGTATTCCATTTTAGACACGTCTCAAGAGAGGCGTCGGGAATCTTGAGTTTAGCGATCTCATCAGGACGTTCCTATTCGAAGCAGCATCAGCAAAAAGTCTACCTCATCGTCGTCAAGAAGAAATGCAAAGAGAGAGAAAAGCAAACTCACCAAGATATTAACATAAAGCCCCGCGTCCACATGCCACGCCAAATGGCAGTGGAACGCCCACACCCCCGGGTTGTCCGTCATAAACTCGAGCACCATGTAAGCCGGGCCAATGCTCTTGTTGCCCGGCTGCAACACGTGGGTATCCCGCCGCATGGGGTTGTTGCGGTTGGCGACGCCGTCCCACTTGCCCACGCCTTCGGCCACGATCCAGTAGTCGTGACCGTGCAGATGCATCGGGTGCTGGCTGCGGTTGTTCATGCTGTAGTTGTTGACGATGATGCGCACCGAGCTGTTGCTGCCGACGTTGTAGGTCATCCGCTCTGGATTTTGGGCGTAGGATGTGTTTCCTTCGTTTTCGTGGAAAAGGAGAGAGTTGCTGTGAATGGTCAGCGAACGAGTCTTTTGTGGTCGATTTTTCCTTTCTCTCCCCGGGTGGTGAAGAACATTACTTACTCAAAGTCCGGACGGTAGGTTACGTCGTTGACCCACCACAAGGTATTCCCCGTGGCATTAGCTCCGAATCTAACGTTGAGCTCAATGGTAGTGGCCGGCTCGTCGGGTGGGTTCATCGCGTAAAGGGGCGTAGTGATATTCAGGGGCACCTAGTTATGGTCAGCAAATGGATGAAAAAAAAAGGGTTAGGAAGGCCTTAGAAAATATCCACTCACATTCCCACAGAACGAGTCATCATACACCGTGGCCTTCGTTTTGGGCAGAACCCGGGTATCGGCCTTGTCATAGTAAATCGCGGCCTTGGAGAACCCCTGGGTGCTGACGGCACATTTCGGGCTGATGTCGGACCGCATCCACAGAGAATCCGTCGGTCGGCCCGTGGCTTTCACCAGCACATCGGCACGCTGCCCAATGCCCAAGGTCACCGCATCCGTCTCGTACGGTACAACCGGGATGAAATCCTGCGTAATGACCTTCATCTTCATCCCGTCAATCGTGAACCGCTGCATCCCCTGGCTGCCAATGTTCATCAAGCGCAACCGGTAGGTCTTGCCCTTGGTGAACTTGAAGACAGCGTACGGAGCATTGTCTGAGCAGGTCCGGTTGAAGATTGTGATGTTGGGGTTGGTGCAGTCAAACGGCATGAGACCGTTGATAAGATTGTTGTCCGAGTATGGCTGCGTAAGCGGAGCCGGAAGGCCGACGACGCCCTCGGTGACAACCTGGTATGTATCATGGTACCAATCCGTCTAAGATTTTGTTAATTTCCAGAACCGAAGAATATTGGGTGGAATTGGTTGTATAGGCTTTACAGCCAAGTAAAAAACGTACCAAAAATACAGGGCCAAGATCCTCGTCATAGTGGTCGTGGGGGTGTTGCGGTCTGCATTTTTAAATATCAATATCGGCATAAAGGATATTTCGGCGTTAAATACGACCAAACAACAGGACGTACCCATGAATGATAATGGCGCCATAGGCGCCGCCCGAGTACTGAGATCCCACATGCGAGTGCCAGAAACTCGACCCAAACTCGTCGGCTCGGAACCGATACTGAAACGACTCGCCCGGGGCGAGGGGACATTGCGAGGCAGACGGCACACCGTCCATCCACGGCGTCCCAACCTGGCGGATCCCGTGCCAGTGGAGAGCGGCACCTTCTTCGGGCCCGGTGATGTTGTTGACGAGCGTGATCTCGATCCAATCGCCCCAGTTGGCGTGGATCGCGGGGCCCGGGAACTGGCCGTTGACGACCAGCATCTGCCGCTTGACACCATCCGGAGACAACTCGGCTCGCGCAATGTTGAAGGTGTAACGCCGCGTAACTCCGGTCTCGGGGATATCATGCGGGTCGGCGCGATCTGCGGTCAGCTTGCCCCATGGGCACGGCCCATCTTTTGCGGAACTGTGAGTGGTCTGCAGGGCTGTTAATGCATGTTTTACGAGCTCGGTATGGTAAGGTAAGGTAAGGGACGTAATTTGGAGTTAATATCGAACGTGGGACTATGTGTGTGTGTATGCATGAGCTGCTGAGTTGCATCACGAACCGACGTCTGGTTCTGCATGCACCCTCATATCACTCGTTCGAGTCGTTCCACATGCTGACCACCGGCAGCCGACCAGCCAGCCAACCAGCTAGAGAACACCAAGAGATTTGACGAATGGAACCGAGAGGCAAGGCGACCTACCGAGTCGGTGATACATATCGGGTATCTTGGTGCTGAGAAAGTGCCAAGTGTGGTAGAAGGGTCGGCCACCACGTGGGCGATGCCCAACAAAGCAACGCTCACCGCTTGGATGAGCCTCTGATGCAGCATGGCGAGATTCAAAATCAGCGCCAAGCAAGGCCGAATAGGTAGGTCCAAATGTCGTTCGCTGTGGAGACTAAGTTAAACTCGTGGCACTCCTAGGATTCTTCGAGAGCTGCTGAGATGGGATGATGACCGCGTCGCTCTGAGACACTGATGATCACGGATTCACGGTCCCTCGTGGCTTTCTTAAACGACCTTTTACTCGAACTTCGGGTCATCTTGTACCTATTTACGTTCGTTGGGCTTTCTGATCCTAGGCGAGCTCCCAAAGAGTCCAATTTTCAGGAGAAGCCTGCCTCGCCTTTGCGTGGCCTGTCATCTGTCATCAAGGGAGAACCATTTGTTCCTCGCTAGCTGTTCCTGGCGTGGCTGCGAGGCGCGGACGCCTTCAGCTCCCGCCTAAGTTCTCCCATTTCACCTTCGATCGGGCTGTACGAGATCCTCGGCGCCTGTCAGATCGTGAAAGGTGTGGTTCGGTGTGTGGGTCGTATGCTGTCAGGTCCACGCGAAGTCCATGTCAAGTCCATGTTCCATTGTCAAGGTTCCACTTCGTTCGAGAAGTTCGTGTGCGGGTCCACTTGGCGAATTTTCCCAACTTGGACGTGACGGCGACTTTTGACCAATCGGCGTTTAACTGCCTGGGCGACTCAATGTCGCGCGTATCATTGTACTCCGATCCTTGCCGCCTCGGCCCGGATGACGACGGCTGCGGCTTGTGCGGCTTGCGGGCTGCGGTTGGTGCGAGGCAGTCAGCCGTTCGCGGCGAATTGATGAATTAATTCCGCTATCGGCGCAGCTGAAGCGGAATCGAGAGTCCAACCGCAGAGCCGCGAAGAACCGAGTGCTACCAACCGTATCTGTTCTGCCTCGGATGCGCGCGCAATGCAGCCGCCTGCAAGGGGATGACGTTAATTGCTGAAGGAGGGGGGCCTAAAGAGGGGCTCAAATCGGGAAGAGCAAACGGCTGTTAGTCGGGGCTTAAGTCCGCGTAATCCCGTTTTTAAATCCCGGAGCAAACAAAGATCCCCATTGAGAAGTCAGAGTCTCACTGTCTCAGACTCTCAGTAAAGCACGCAGGGGTGGGGTCGTGGACGAAGAAGTGAACTATTTGAGAGCCAAGCCGTCAGCCATTCTACCCATTACCAAAGCAGCTTTCATCAGTCTTCAACCTTCCTCACTCTCTCATCCACCTTTGCACTCCCGCATCACCCGACTTGGCACATCTGCAAGTTCTCCTTGGCATCATGACTTCGCTGCCTCCCGCTCGCTGCTGCACTCTTGGCAACCTTCACGAAGGTGAAGCCCAAGGCGAAATCCGGGACATTGGGAAAAGTAAGCCCCCGAGTCGTGTGCCTGCCTACCCTGCAATCTTCCCTTGAGCTCGGCCGTCCTTCCCGTTCTATTCTTAGCGCCGGGGCGAGTCACCAAGGCACTATTGCTCAACACTCGTTCTGGCTCGCACTTTTTCAAAGTTCTCGACTAATACTCATTCATCAAAGTCTCCACCTACTTCGCCTACCCCCCAGACAAGTCCGCTACCGAGAACGCCATCCTCATCCTGACGGATGTCATTGGCCACCAGTTCATCAACGCCCAGCTGCTGGCTGACAAGTTCGCCGCCAATGGCTACCTCGTCGTCATGCCGGACCTGTTTGAGGGCGACACCGTGCCCCTGAACAGGCCCGAGGGCTTCAAGATCATGGACTGGCTGCAGAACCACCTGCCCCAGCACGTCGAGCCCATCATCGACGAAGTGATCAAGGAGATGCGCGAGAAGCTTGGCGTCAAGCGGATCGGTGGTATCGGCTACTGCTTCGGCGGCCGCTACGTCTGCCGGTACCTGAAGCCTGGGACCGGCAAGCTGGAGGTGGCTTACACTGCCCACCCGACCATGGTTGGGCCGGATGAGCTCGCGGGCATTGAAGGCCCCCTGAGCATTGCTGCTGCGGGTAAGTGAATGGAAATCCGCCGGCGGATCTATGATCTCCACCTTCAGGGCCAGAGAGAATACTAATCGATGTTATCCTACCTTTAGTCAAGGACTTTGTCTTTACCACGGAGAAGCGTCACGAGTCGGAGGAGATTTTGGCCAAACTGGATGTGCCGTACCAGATCAACTTGTTCTCGGACGTCGACCACGGGTTCGCCGTCCGCTGCGACTTGACCCAGCGCCGGCAGAAGGCCGCCAAAGAGGCTGCTTTTACGCAGGCAGTTCAGTGGTTTGATTTGTACTTGAAGGAGTAATTTGGGCATCATATAGATGGCGTTTGTGTTATTTGCTAGCTGCTTGACCGAGATGCCCGATTAATCAACAGGCACCTTCACATAGAATTGTAGACTAAAAAATACGAAATCCGCAATTCATGCACGTCAATGCCCTCGTTTCTCATCACACCGTTTGTTGTGAATCGATGTTTACACGAATTTTGGGATCCCCAGAAACCTCCTGAGTGACGGAGAGTTGTCCCGTCATTTTTTTTTTCAAGGCTCGTGACGCCCCGCATCTGCGTGTCAAGAGTTATGATCATAATTATAAGAATCCCTTAAACCCGCCCCCGCTGGTCGAGCATGCGTTTCTCCAATTCACCCCAATCCACAAACTTTGACAACCTCACAACATGAAAACCGCCTGGCAACGCTTGATCCGTTTCGTCTCCACCGACGACCGGATCCTCCATGGCGAGCCCATCTTGCCCTCTGAAGGTTTTGATCTGGGGACTACCACGGAGGACACAAAACTCAAAGCGAGAGTTATCACGGGGGCAGATCTCTACGACACAACCGGTGCGACCAAAGTAACTGAAGAGATTGTGACGGTCAAGAAACTGCTGGGGCCGCTCACACCGGCGGATGTCCCCATCTTGCGATGCATCGGCCTGAATTACCTCACTCATAGTAAGAAGTTTGAAATTTCAAGAGGCCGATCAACGCTTCCCTAGTTGGTACACCGGTGAAGGCTAACCAGTCGATTAGTCCGCGAGACTGGCCGCCCAACCCCGTCATACCCCGTCATGTTCTTCAAGCCTTCGACAACAGTGCATGATCACGGGACCAACGTCGTCATCCCCAAGATCGCTCAAGATGAGCAGGCCGACTACGAAGGAGAGCTGGTGAGTGAGCCCCCGAGTGCCGATGAATACCGACCAGTCCCCAAGTATGCAAGGGACTTTTACACTTCACTACAACTAGAAACTGACAAACGGCACTTCATGTTTGCCTACACTATCAATAGTGCGTGATCATCGGCAAAGACGCAAAAGACGTGCAAGAAGCCGACGCGCTAGACTACGTCGCGGCATACACAGTCGGCAACGACGTCTCGGCTCGCAAGCTCCAGCTTCACCCGCACTTTGCCGGGCCTATGCCGCAGGCCGATTTCTCCAAGGGATTCGACTCGTTTGCTCCGTTAGGCCCGGCCCTCGTGTCGACTAGCCTTATCCCCGATCCGACGGACATGGCTCTGACGACTACCGTGGACGGCGAGCTAAGGCAGCAGGCGCATCTTAGTGACCTGGCGTTTACGGTGCCGCATTTGATCGCCTTTCTGTCGAGTGGCACGACTCTGCAGAAGGGAAGTGTTATCATGACTGGGACACCTGGAGGTATTTGCTCTTTTCTCTCGCTCTCGTTCGTTCAGTGCAAGTCGGAGACTGGTAGCCAAGAACCCGAATTTTGCTAACCGCAAAATGCAACCTGCAGGCATAGGATCTCGGATGAGCCCGCCGAGATGGTTATGCGTTGGGACCCAGATGGAAGTGCGGATCGACAAGATTGGAACTCTGAGAAATGGGGTAGAATTCCAGCAGTAGCTGGTACCTTAGGTAGATAATTCAGTACATGAGATGTTTTTCATAGTTACTGCCTTGAGCGAGAGTCTGGACAAAGTCAAGTCAACACAAATTCCAAAATCCCACATTCCATAACTACCGTCGTTGAAGCCGTCCAGCCACACGCCCTCATTCTCCTCTCCCTTGCTTCGCGGCTATCTATCACGGGCACAATATTCTTCGGCGTTGACCCTCGGGACCAATCCTCACCACTATCGGGTGAGCCCCTCACTCTTCCCCCAACGAAGCTCTGCGTCAAACAAACAAGCCTTCTCCCCGCAGCTTGTCAGCCACTGCACACGTGGAGGGTGACAGGGAAAGAAAGTTTGCTCCGCTAATACCTCAGAGCAAGGTTACATGCATGTCCGCCCCTGCAAGCACCAGTCAGCCCGCCCAACCGGCGACTTTCCGCACTCTCCCTTGAGGCAAGCCTCTGGAGACTATTTTGAATTTTTGAACCCCAGAGGAAGTTGCCATCAGCCATCAGCCATCAGCTGAGACCGGGGTACCACCACAACGGTTTGCGGGGTAGGAATGCAATTCCGATTTTCGGGAGCTTCTCCGGCAGTGGCTAGATGCGGCTGGGGATGAAGAATATTCTTCCATAAGATTATCGGAGGAGCGTCAAAATGACCGTCTCGGAAAACGACTATTCCGCTCGTTGCGGGTCGGTTCCCTTTTGCCAGTGAGCTCGTTCATTGACTTGGTGTGCCATACGAGTTGATCACCTCGCTCTCCCTCTCTCTCTCCCATTTTCCGATCTTCGAATTCCCCCAGTTCCTTCTCACACCACGCCGCTGTGCACCCGCCACAATGGCCGACGACGAGAAGGGAAACCTCTCGGTTTCTAACGCCGCCGAGTTCAAAGTGTCCGCGACCGGCGCCGAAGACTCGGAAAGCGGCAGCGGCAGCGGCATCCATACAGAAATCGAAATCGACAAGGTCGCCGAAAAGAAGCTGCTATGGAAGCTCGACCTCCTGATCCTGCCCATCCTGTTTTTGTTTTACATGATGTCGTACCTTGACCGGGTCAACATTGGCAATGCCCGGATTCAGGGGATGGACAAGGAGCTCGAGCTGAATGTGGACAATCGATACAATATTGCCCTTCTCGTAGGTACACGCTCGTAGCATTGGGTCCTGTTTTTTTTGGGTTCTTATGACGTGAGTGGGGAGTTATCGATAATTAGAGACTGACCGGATTTCTCAGCTGTTCTTCCCCATCTACATTGTGCTTGAAATCCCGAGCAATATGCTGCTGAAGCATGTCCGGCCGTCGCTGTTCCTGCCGGGCCTGGTGTTCTTCTGGGGTGAGTCTACCCTCCCGGATATAAATTGAAGCTGGATTAGGTTGCCTGTGGCTAACGATTCTATTCTGTCAGGTATCATCAACATGTGCACCGGCTTCGTCCAGTCCTACAAAACCCTCTATGTCCTTCGAGTGCTGCTCGGAATCTTCGAGGCGGGTCTCGTACCAGGTGTCATCTACGTTACCTCGATGTACTACCGCAGGCATGAGTATCAGAAGCGATTGAGTCTGATGTTTGTCGCTACTTCCATTGGTGGCGCATTTGGCGGTGTAAGTGGGCTTCCTGGACGTACTTTTTGGGCGAACAGAAGTTGAATCTAATCAAAAATGGACAGTTGCTCGCCTACGGCATTGCACACCTCGGCGGCCAGCAGGGTTATGCCGGATGGAGATGGATCTTCATCATCGAGGGAGCTCTCACTGCCTTCATCGGGTTGGTGTCACCGTTCATCGTCGTGGACTGGCCAGACCAGTGTCGCCATCTGAATCAGGATGAGAAGGATCTGATCCGCAACCGACTGCGCGACGACGGCGGCGAGTTCCGCATGGACAAGCTCGACAGTTTTGGAGTGAAGAGGATCATCTTGGATTGGAAGATCTGGTTGGGGTACGTAGCCCCCCTTTCTGCTCCCCTCTTCTGCTCCCCTGATGCCTGATCATGCTGGTGTTGTGAAAGTATTGGAAGTTCAGCGTATCTCGGCTGCTAACCCTCGGCCTGCAGCGCTCTCGGTTACATGGGCTTTACGACGAGCGGGTTGGCCATGTCATTCTTCCTGCCGACCGTTCTGAACGATTTTGGTTGGGCCTCCACCGATGCGCAGGTACACACGGTTCCGGTTTACTTGGTTGCGGTCGCCTTAACCCTGGGCCTCTCATGGGCCTCCGACGCCCTCAAGCATCGTTACAGCTTCATCATGTTTTGTTTCTTGCTCACTGTTGTGGGTTACGGCATGGCCCTGAACCAAGAACACCTCTCGCGCGGCGCCAAGTATGCAGGCTGCTTCCTCATCGCTGGCGGGGGTCTTGCCGGAGGCCCTCTGTGCATCGTCCTGCTGTCGAACAACTTGTCGGGGCACTGGAAGCGGGCCGTTGGGTCTGCCGTGCAGGTCAGTTTTGGCGGGATTGCGGGTCTCATGGGCTCGCTGATCTTCATGGAGCGCGAGAAGCCTGACTATCGGACGGGTTACACCGTCGGCCTCGCTATGGCGTGTGTTGCCGGCCTTGCCCCAACGATCATGATGGTGGGGATGTGGATTGAGAACCGGAAGCGAGACCGCGGAGAGCGAGACGAGAGGCTTTCATGGCCTACTGAAAGGCTTAATAACCTTGGTGACTACCATCCAGGTTTCCGGTTCACCTGGTAAAATGTCCTCAGGCCGAGTATAGTTACAGTCAATTTATATCATTTGGGCGTCTGGCAGAAAACTGTTGGCATTATTGGATGTGCTGAAAATTGTTCCTGGTCCGTAGGTACCGATACTAGTTTTACCCGATGCCAAACCGTCGTGTTGAGTGATTGGGATGTCCATGGCATGGCGATCATACTTGTAGTCTCGGCCTGGGTTTCTCTTGTGGGCTCAACGGAACCCTTTTTGGCACTGCTGGCGTCTTGTCTGTTGTGGGGAGTGCAAAAATGTGATTTGCCATTCCGGGTAAAAAAGAGGTTCCTGGATGGGAAATGTCACGGGCTCATTGCCGGCTTTTGTACGGCCTGGGCTATTTTTAAGGTGACGGTTCCAGTTTGGGGAACATCGGTAAACTTTGTGTTGCCCTCATCGATTCTCGGGAAATACAAAACACCAATTGCAGCTCACCGTCACCGCCCGTCTCAGGGGAACCAACCACAGGGCGACAGCGGGCCGTTGATTGGCCGGCCCTTGTTTCGCCGTTGAGAGGGTCGAGCCTGGGCTTGGAAGGTCTGGGCGGTGCGGCCAAAGCGCTAGCAATTGATTGACCAGATCAAGAAAATACTTCAACATTGTTGAGAGCCAGAAGGCGCAGAAACTTCTATACATCCATCCGACCATAAAACCACGTGGCTTTTGCCAGCCTAGGAAGGAGCTAGTCCGCGCTTTGTTGTTAGAGGTCAACTACCATAGTACAGCATGCTCGTCTCTTGACTTTCGCGACAGCGATAAGCTCCTCGTTCCTTGGTTTCCTTGGTAGCTCCGTTGAACGTTAACCTACCAAATCATCTAGGCTGGTTTCAGAATTTCATGGTGCTTCTGGTGGTACCCGTGGACCAGAAAGATTGGCGCTTACCGTGTGTGAAATATAGTTATACTGTGCGATTCGATAAACCAGGGGTTTGGCTGCCTGGTCGTTTCGGGGCTTGGCTCCAGAACACCATCCCCGACCTCCCCGACATCATGACGCAAGGGAGCAAGGAAAAGGGCTGTCAACCTCAAGAGTCAAGAGAGTCAAGCCGATCTCCTTTCTCGTATTTTGAAGTGATGTCAACCCCCACTCCATGTTTCTAGTGTACTGAGAGGATGAATTACTGTACATGCACTTGGCACGACTACCCGGCACGTTCATGCACCACAAATGTCATCAGTCGCGACACATGGCCATGGCGATGCAAGTCGAGATATTAGGGGCCCAAGCACAAGGCGGCCAATGCCATACCCTAAGGACTGACAAAGCCGTTTCAACCTTAAATTGCTTCAGGGGACGGCAACAGTGGTTTCCCTATCGACGATATGGAACATGATGCCGGGCTAGCCACTTCTTAACGATGAGAAAAAAAGAGACAGTCATCAAGCAAAGAACGAACCCCTCTATTGGACTAACTGTCTTGGCCGAAATGCTGAACGATTCAGATTTATAATGTCCACGAGACAGCATTTACCCCAGCCAGAGGTCCACAGCCGCCTGCAAAGCAGCCATGCCGTCCCAACACGACAAAAGACCAGAATTAGACCTCGTCTCGATATAGCCTCGAGACAATACCTCCTCGAGATGAAATGCTTCTCAAGTTCTCAAGCGACAACTTTTTTCAAACACCATTACCGCCAATTGGATATCGCGTGGATCGCGTCTTTCTCATGAACGTCCGCGCCCCTCCCTGTCTCCCGCTTCTGGCGCACAGGCGAGTTTCAGCTGAGAGCGCTGGGTTGCTTTGAACCTGGCCGGGCATGGGGAAGCATGGGTCGAAGAAACGGGAGATTGAGCAGCCTGGCCAATGACACAGAAGAGCAACCTCAATTCAAAACGTGAAGAACACCCCGCGGCCATCCTTGCAACAAGTCACATTTTATTCCCTTCTTTCTCCAGCAGTCACAGGAACTTCGAGATTGTCAGGATTGTTTCGATATGTCCTCGTGCCCCAGCAGCACAGAACAGCGCCGCGTCGTGTCGTGGGGCACAGCAGACCTCGCTGGCAAAGAGGCAAGAATTTTGAAGAGGCGGGCGGGCACAGGAAAATCGAGCTTGAACGCCAGCCGTTTCCTAGCTTGGGACCCGCCATCAGGAAACATGGATCGCTCCAGGGGTTTCTTCGGTTGCGGAGCTTGCAGCGGACGTGGGTGCCGGCCAAGGCGTCCAGGCCTCCACCTCGTCGCTCCATCACTGTGAACCTCAAACACTGGTCGTTAGTTCTCTCTTAAAACGACAGACGGGAGCGTGAGAAGTAAAAGAAGCCAAGAGCCGGATGCGGACGTGTGAAATCCCGAGGGCTCACACAGAGTCGACGGAAACGCAGCAAAGCGTTCCGGTAATTAGGTAGGAACTTCCGCAACCGTCCTCGGTCGTCAGAGGCCAGGTCGAAGAAGTTGAGTTCCCATGAATGTCGTGTACACTAGCCGTGACTAGCGTAGGTTGCCATGTGTGTGGGCGCTTGTGTGTGCGTTGACCCCCTAAAAAAAGGTTCAGGTTCCCGCGTCTCACCAACAGCCCCTCATCCTTATTTGACCCCTGGTAACCCCTTCTGACGAACCCCCTCTCTGCCCCTTCTTGGCCTGCAAGAGTGTTTTTGTCTGTCGAGTCGCTCGTTTGTTAAATATTTCCGCCATCTCCTCTTGCGCGGAGAGCTTAGGTTTTGGGTTTTCCCTCTCCCTCTGTCGTTGCTGTTGTCGTTTTTGCTTGGGTCCTTGCCGGAGAAAAAAGGGCTCCCCAGTTTTGCGGCACGTATATCCGAACACTCGCCTCCGCGTGCCAGGATCGCCCAGCCTTTTCGCCCATCACAGTCACACGAACGTCACCGACCGTCCACCCGAGACGCCGACCGCCCCTCCAGGAAGGAAAGCAGCTCCTTTCGAGGCACTTGGGATCAGTATCACAAAAAGGAGTCAAACGTGCTAGTTTTGGTTTGCAGTGGTGTTCCAACCGTTTTCCATCGCCACGACCAACGCTCCCGCCGACCTCGAATTCAGCCCACTGCAACGCCATTCGTGTACAGTATTTTTTTTTGAACGGCGCAGCAAGTACCCGACCAGGAGGTGCAGCAAGCGCCAGCCCAGACTCGCCAGGAAACGTGGGGCATCGCGAGTCTTTCTGTCTCCAGGCCTCCACCTGCATCTGCCGAAAAGGGGCAAGTGCGGCAGGTGGCCATCAGCAACATCCATTTCGGTGCTGCGCCCTCGCACTGTGACACCAGCCTCTTGCAGTCCGTGGAAGCGCCCGGACCGCAGCAGCAGCCAGAGAAGCAGGGCACCACCCGGAACCGGCCCGCAAGCACAGCAGCAGCAGCAAGCCCAGCCCAGACGCTTCTCTGACCTGGGTTCTGTCCGAGGATCTCAGACCAACACGATTCATCAACGCCAACCAGCGCAGATCGCTCGACTTTCGCGCGCCGTCGATTTCCTTTCCTCCATAAAATTTCCCACACGCACCCCGAAGCTAGTGACGTTTTGAAAGAGTGTGTGAGAGAGAGAACGCCCTGTCCAGGCCAGAGCAACAACACAGTTTTCGGGACAGCACGCGGCCAAAAGAAAACAAAACGCTCTGAAGAATTCTCAGGTTTCCGGCCCAACATTCCGGCACACCAACGCCCCCTTTCCATTCCCGCCGCCGCAACCCTCGCTTCAGCCGCTCGTTTGCAGGCACACCTCCATCAAAAGTGGCGTGGCAGCCTTCTCCCGTCTCCCGACACAATCCCGCTTCCTAATTTTATCCGAGCTTTCGAGCAACCAGCTTCAAAATCGAATCCCACCGGATTTCTCATTATTTTTTTCCTGGCAGCGCATCGACGGCACTAATCTCGTAATTCTGGAAACACCATCCCGATCATGAGCACCGCAGTTGCGATGGCTCTCTCGCCCGCTCCCCACGACCGGCCGTCCTACGGCTCTGACCTCCCTCCTCCTCCGCCTCCGAGCTCGACTTCACCCAGCGCACAGCGAACCGCAGCCGCCCCTCCGCCCCCTCCCCCCACAGGGTCTGGTTCGCAACCGCGATCCGGTAGCAGCAGTCCGAAGGGAACCGGCGCGACAGCGAACCCTCATAAGTCTTCGCCACCGAGCGCGTAAGTGAACCCTAGCCAGCCGCTTTTCTCGCGCTTTCGGGGTTGTTTGTTTCTTTGATTTTGGACTCTGAGCTAATTTATTGGCACACAGATCTCGCAACGCTGGCGGACCAAAAATAATTGTGAAGAAGGAACCCGGCTCACCCGGAATGCAAACAGCACGGCACCGGCCGAGGAAACTGGATTTATCCAAAAACACCAATGTCGTGTCTCCCGCCACTGGCCGCCCTATGACGGCAAGGGATGGTCTCGTAATTCAGGAGGTGGGCATCGCATGCCTGTCGCCGGGGTTCGTGCCAAAAGATGCGACCGAGCAAGAGCAGTTGAACCGTAGCATGAGTGTTAGGGAACACCAGAGACAAATCATCGAGGCGAGGCTGCAACAACAATCAGCGAAGCTAGGAGACGGACCTGGGGGAGAGAGGGAGCCGGGTTCGTTCGCTGCTAAAACACCAGGGCTCGCGCGCAAGCGTGGCGCTCCGCCAGGTCTCAGCATCGTCGCCCCGTCCCACGAACAATTTGCGAACGAGAGGGTAATCCAATCGGCGCCCCTCGGCCAGACATTTACTGGGAGGCACAACCCGCATCCGCTAACTCGGCATATCACCAACCAACCCTCGAACCTGGCCAGCACATCGCACATCCACCATGTGCCTGCGACACAGACAAACAACCGACTCCCCCCGATCGCTGATGTTTTTGGTCAAAATCTTTCGGGCCATCCCGAGTCGAGCGGTCATGCCATGTTTGCTAACCAAAGCCGGGCGCCTCTCCCGTCGCCACACCACCCTCCGCCTCCCCAATCTGCGCGTGCGCGCGAGTACAAGTCAGCCGAGGAAGCACAAGCGGAGCTGGCCGGTGGCCGGCCCGAACTCCTACCAAAGTTAGTACGCTACGGTGGGCACCAACCCCCGACGCCACCATCCCCTCCGCACCAGCAAGCCCCTCAGGACCACCAGCCCAGCCATCACAGTAGTGGAAGTGATGCCCATCATCACCATCACCATCACCACCATAACCACCAGAGCCACCCCAGGCCATCCCAGCCAAACCATGCTGACTCAACCCTCGCCGCAACCAGCAGCCGAAGCCTAAGCAACAGTCACCCCGCCCCGCCCCCGGGCCCTGGCCCCAGCGGCGGGAACAACAAGCGCCGACGCGCCGAGTACGAAGACGGTGGCAGCCCACCACTAGGGAACGGCGCGCGTCCGCCCCCTCCGGCACCGACACACCATCACCAACACGCGCAACAGCCACACCAACAGCACCCACACCAGCAGCAGCCCCAGCCACAGCAGCAACAACATCATGTACCCGGTCCGTCCTCATCAGCTATGCCGCTACCTCCTTTTGGCGCCCCTCAAGGTGCACGGAGGGGCTTTTTTGGCGAAGGTCGCGACAGTCCCGAGACAATCGAGGCGAAGAAGGAAGAGTTCTTGGCGCTGTGTGCTAGGGCATGGGATCTAATTCACTCGTGAGCGTCCACGGTGGGATGAAACAGGCCCTGTAAGGCGGTCTCTCGGGTCGCCAGGTATTTGCACCCGTGCATTTTAGGCGAGGGAGGATGGGAGGAGATGAATATGGTGATGGATAGTATATTATTCTCCTTATTGGAAGGAAATACCGGTGGAAATAACAGTTGAGAAGGGGGTAGTTCCAAGCGGGTCTTGAAAAAAAAGGAGACGCGAAGAGAACGCGATGTTCATATTGATTCGAGTTGTCACAAATAGTATTGATTGTGGACATGTAAAAAAAGTGGAAAGAAAAAAAGATGAAAAAAAAAAGAGCAAACTCTTGAGAATAACGGGCATGAGAGAATAACTTGTATCGGGAAGATGACAAGCCTGTGACGGACTGGCTGACTGTGTCTGACTTTTGAGTATGACTTCGCGGGCGGCGGTCTTAGGAGATGGTCGGGCGGAGAGGTGATGGGTGTTGAGGAGGTGATGGAACAGGGGACTACGGTTGGTTGGTTAGGTCACAGTCTGAGGCTGTGATGGGGGGACGGGATGGCTCTTTGTGTTATTGGGATTTGGTCGTTTGTTGCTGGGTTTGGTTTAGGATGGGAGGATGGCGTCAAGGAATGAATGGTATGGGGGGATATATATATACGTATGTATCTAGGTCTCAGGTCACAACACACCACTTTTTTCATAAGCTTCCGTGCTGTTGTAACTGTCTGCTGTTCCTGACCTCCTTTCTCGTGGGGGCCAATCTTTGGGGAGTAACAGAAGAATCTCTCTCAGTAAGCAAGGGAAGGGTTGGGTCGGCTGCCCCTCGGTGTGTTGACATCGATAATGTGAATGGATATCCTCTGTAGGGCAAAAGACAATCGTCTATTGCCGCAGCAGATTGGGCCCCTATAAACCGTGTGACACTTTGCCTGTACTGCCTTTCGCCTTCCGTTTTACATCATGTCGTGGTCTCCCCAGGTACTGATTGCACAATAACCTCCACCACACTCATCAAGTTGGAGATTTCCGTCGCGACCCCCGCAAACCATTCGGGTCCCCTTTGTGTTCTCAAGGAAGAAAACAAGCAAGAAATAACAAAAGGGAAAAAGGAAGAGAGAAAGATAAGAAGAAACCTCCAGAAAATCCAAATTCCATAAAGCTCACAGCCAAGGCCTATCCCCATCCGGAGGGATAGACGTTGGGCAGTTACGAAAAACCCGGTGGTTTTTTCTTCGCTGACTTGGGGATTGAACCCAGAGCCATTTCGATTTACGACGGAATTGGCGGGGCCAGCGCTCCTCCCAAGACCGCTGCGCCAAACACCGCTGTTTGGCGAATTGGGAGGAGATGGTGACTGGAGCAGTGGGAGGGGGGGTTATATTCTTGGGATGGAGGGAAGGTGCGGGTGTGCTGGGCGTGGTTCATATTTGGCTTGGTTGGGTCCCCTCCCCATTTGATGTGTTGGAAAGGATGTGAGGCGAGATGTAACTTGAGCTGCTGCTGCTGCTGTACCAGAAGAAAGAACGATCGAGGCAACATTATGGTTAGAGCGATTGTCTTGATCGTTACACATCTAACAGACGGAGACGAACAGCCGTCCTCGACCTACCACTCCCCGTTGCTTCTAGGTAGGTACGGCCCTGGACTCGCCTTAACTCCTAACGAGCCCCCACGTGTAAAGGAGGCAGAGGCGTGAAGGAGAGTGTAAAATGACAAAAGCCATGAGGAGGACGCAAACCATGGGGAAGTCACCACCTACACCCAGAACCCTGCCCTACCCTCTTACCCTCCTACCCTCAAAGTCGAGGCCCCGCCCAGGAACCCGTAAGATAGAAGTCAAACCATGGCCTGACTTTTGCTTCCTTGTTCCTTACTTTTGAAGCTGCTAACGAGATTGACAGCCCCCGAGAGAGGAAGGGAAGGTACGAAGGCCAAAGGAGAAGGCAACCACGAAATCCCATAACCCCCCCCACCCTCTTTTGTCGTTCTTCCGTTCTCGTTTCTTCATGTCTGTTCTCGATTTCCGAAGAACACAAAATATCACAGACGGAAACAACAAGCGTTCTTATTTGTGACTTTGATCGTTACACTGACACACCTCTCCTGTGTTGTTTGCAGCAGGGGAAGTGGTAAAGGTCTAAAACTCCTTCAAGGTATGGAATTGACGCCTCGAGAAAGACGGTGGTGTGTAAAAAAGAAGTTATGGCTTACAAACTTGACAATGTCAAACGGGGAGAGGGAGATCATGTTGAATTGTTCATGGGTTATGTAAGTATCGACGAGGGTAGATGATACTAGCCAATAGAACTAAACGATGTTTAGGCGGCCCAGTTGGCGACAGCCCCAAGGAGGGCAAGCAATGAGGCGGGTATATAGCATATAAGAGATAGATAAGGAGCATTAAAGAGGAACAGGGAGTCGCTGAACGAATGCTGTACGTTTAAAATGTATCTAGGCCACCCCACCTATCGCTCTAGAAAAGCAGATTGCCAGCCATTGTGTCCGTCCATCCCGCCGTCTGTCCTCGTCACATCCCGAGTGAAAGGGACGGCGAAGAAACCGTGGTTATAACTAAACATAGGATAAATAGCACAAAAGCCGCCCACTATTACAAACAAAACCGGGTACCGAGAAGTGAAAGAAATGGAGGAAAAGCGAGAGAATGAACTGCGATAAGAAAAACTCCCAAACTCCTATGCTCGTCCCAACCAAGGGACTCCGTGTCGTGATAGATGTTAGATCATCGTTGTCCCTGCACTGGCGTTGAGTCCTGTTGTCGTTGGGCAGGGCGTTGCGAGGGTATTCATAAAAGGTCAAGGTACTCTTCTTGTGAGCGAGCGACCTGTGCTGGTCATGCTGGATATACTGTGCTAAGCTCCGTCAGGGCCCGTCAAATGGACCGGGCGTGGCGGCAAACATGTCAACCTGAACGGAGCTCATATAATGTTCCGCCAGACGGTTTCCGATGGTTCACATCCATTACTCCCCATTAAATGGAGAGAAGGGGTGTTACACATCAGCTAGCCATCTGGCGGGACGTGTGTTAGAGGCCCTCTTCGCCAGCTTTGCAAAGTTGTATCTCGCGGCCCCACTCGGACTTGAGAACCTGCGATGCAGTAATTCTTCGAGACGGGTTGGGGTCCAGAATGGAGTAAATGACATTCCTGCAACGAGCCTGAGAGTCGTGAGTCAATATCATCGTTACGGATCGGCAGCCGATCTCTTCGCTTATGCCGTGTCCGAGACAACTTACCCGATGCAACGCCTCGATCGGCGCGTAGCCCTCCTCATCTCGACGACCATCGAGATACCGCTTATAAAACTCGTCTTCGTCCTTTCGCGCGACTCGCCATAGGTGGCGACCCGTCCGCATCGCCATGTAAATTACACCACATGCCCACACATCAACTGCACGGGCATCGAATTCCTTGGCGGTATACTCTTCGGGGGCAATGTACGGAGCCGAGCCGCATAGACCGGACACCATGTGGGCGTCGTTCTCCCAAGCCATACGGAAGCACTCGCCGTTGCCGAAGTCGGTGATCTTGAGCGCGCCATGCGTGGTCAAGAGCAGGTTCTCGGGTTTCAGGTCGCGATGCGCGACACCCATCTCGTGCATGTACTCTACTCCACGCATCATCTGCTTGAAAAAGCAGTCGGCTTCTTGGACTTCGAGTTTGGTGGCCGAGAGGACAAGCGTGTATAGGTCACCACCCGCGCAAAATTCCATCACCTCACAGTAGTCGCCCTTGGAATCCTTGAGAAGGTCGAGCGTGTGGATGACGTTGGGGTGTCGGAGCGACGACGAGATGCAGAACTCGGCCGTCAGGCGTTTGCTGTACCGCTTCTCCGTCTCTTCAGGCCGCCGGCGAAACTCCTTGACTGCATATAGCTTCTCGCCCAAGCCGTTTTCCAACTTCTTGTGTGATATCCTCACAATGCCGAAAGCGCCGCGTCCGACGATCTCCTGGCACTTGCCATACTTCTCAACCAACGTCGCCGACGGATTGGAGGCCATTTTCTTGTCTGGCAAAGTCGCATCCTTCTCCTTCCTCAGATTGTCGACCCAATTCGATACAAGCGAAAGGTCGTGCTCAGGCGCTTGTTCTGGCTTCCTACCGAGGAAGTTCTTGATCAGGTCCACGAGCTTTTCCTGGCGACGGCTCGATTTGAGATGATGCTCGTGGCCGCCCTGAGCCTCCAGGTTGAGGACAAAACGTCCCGGCGGCTCCTTAGCGGTGACCGGCTTGACGGGTGGTGGGGAGGCCGTGGCCGGAGTCACATCTTGAGATCCTTTCTTGACCGCCGAGGTGCCGTTGGCGTCGGCTGCCACGGCGCGGTGGGCAGCTTCTTTTGTCGAGAACATGCGAGTCAGTCGGTCCTTCATAGAGCCCTTCTCGCTAGGTGGTTTTTGCAGCGCTTCGGCTACACCACCGGGAATAGGCGGGATGCCGTTCTGGCCGTTCAACTTGGGCGATTTAGTGGGGGCCTCAACGGATCGGATCGACGGGGGCTGCGACGAGTGTGGTGAGGCCCGCGGCGACGGCCGCGGGGAGGTCGATACCATGGACTGCGCGGAGGACGTCATGGCGGGCGAAGCTACAATTATAGGGGCTAGAGGCTGGTAGGATCGGAACGGCCTCGGAGAGAAGGAAGGGAGTGCGACGAAGAGGCGGTTTGGCAAATTCGGAATCCAGGAGCGGCTTTCGCGGTGGTGCAGAGGGCTGATGGTTCGGAAATGTCGATGATGCAAGGGTTGGGTCACTGCGGTTGAGCCGTGCAGCGCAGGCGAGGCGAGGCAAGCGAGCCGTGGGTGGTTTAAGTCACTGCGCTTATGCAAGCAACAGCGAGCTTGGCGGCGAGGAACGCCTTGGAAAGTGGGCAAAAGCCCGGGGTGTTGCCTGAACCGATCACAAAACGGCTGTTGTCCGGTGTTGAAGAGATCCTTAGGTCTCTGTTTAAAGAAAAAAGGGGAGAAAAAAAGAGGAGGAAAAATCGGCCGGAAAAAGGGCTCGACTTAAAGGTGGGAGAAAAATCCAGACGCTTGGAGGGTGAGCCAAGTGGGGTGGAGGGGAGTGGAGCTTGGGGGATTGGGAAGGCGGATGGATATTGTTCCTCCCTTTCCAAAATTTGGTCCGGTTCGAGATCTCGATTTCTATTCGTCTTCTCCTCTGTCTTTCTTTTTGTTGTATAATTATTTATTTTTCTCTTACACTCTACCTGGGGAGGCGAGCGGGCGGATCCTGCAGCTGCTAGTAGCGGCAGCCGAGAGCGGAATTCTGCGTAGTCAGGCGGCGTCTCGACATGGTGCAAAAGTGAAGAGGGAATGGGATGATGTCCGAGTGTCGATTACAGAGGTACTTGTATCGCGAGCGGGCCCTTTTGTTGATAAAATGGATTACAGAAGGACTGGTGTGTATTGGCAAGCTAAGGCAGTGGAGGCCCTGTAGGTGCCGATCGCAGGAATTGGTGGCTGATTGCCGTTTACGGTAGTATCAGGTTGTGAGAAAAGAAATCTTGTTGCCGAGGAAAGTGCTAGGCCACGGCACGGGGCGACTCAGTTAGAGGCGAAAAAACGTCTGCTGATCGTAGAGGGAAAGAATGACGGAGATGGCGGTGGGGAGCCCCAGTGTTTGTTTGACCAGAGCACAGGGCTCTCTTGCAGCACTGCCGCGTGCCCGTTTTTGTGTGTGACTTGGCTGTGCACCCCAAGCGCGAAGAAAACGCTAGGTGGAAAGCGTCGGTACAAACAACACAACTTAAGAAGGGAAAGAGCAAGCACTTGGCAAGTCGGAAAACGGGCGCAACCGTTGGCCCGGGCAAGCCAGGGCAGCCCGGGCAGGACCGCCCCCGCGGCCACAAACAGACAAGCCCGCACGGTTCTGAGTGGACTAACCTGCTGGGACGGCCTCAAGTGTGAACCTGGGCTGAGGTGCCCGTATGTACCGTGTTGAGGTTTGGGGGGGGCGGGGGAAACAGGGCTGAATAGGCCCAAAGGGCCTAGGAGACGTCAGCACAACGACCTCGGGAGGGGAGTCGAGGGCTCAGGGTTCATGTACCAGAGTACCAAACAGGGAACCACAAAGAGGGCCCGTGAGTGGCGGAAAGCGGAATGGCACAAATGGATGGATGGATGGTCATTAACAATAGCAGGTACGCAACCCCCAAAGGAATTGCGAGGGTTAGGTAATGGGATGGAGGCGGCCGATCTGCAGAGAACCACTTCCCAGGCGAGCCGGGTTGTGGTTCCTGATACGACTGCGGGCGCGGAGGCCGGGTTTCTTCTCGCTACGGCGGGCCCTTTCACGAAGATTCGAGCGTTGAGACAGGTGACAGGTTGAGACGCTGCAAGATGGAAGCGCAGACCGTGGCTGGGGTTTATGTAATATTCATGGGTGTAATGTATGTACCGCCTAACCGGAGCACCACATGCATCATACGGAATCGGGAACTGACAAATATGTCTCGAGGTTGCATGTCATCCACGCCCATCAGATGGATCCAGTATGCGGGTTCTCCCAACCCCCGATCTTGCTGCAGTGTGTTGCTGCAGCATGATTGTGCCCCTGTCGACGACCCTTCGGTTTTGTTGTTCAAAGGAGCCAGCAAAATACACCGAAAGAAAGTGAACCAGAGACTATTCCATTACCAGCCCGGCTGTGGTCAAGGGAGCTCGGAACCTCACGGGTTTGCGCACGCAGGCCCAGGGCGAAACGGCCCAAGGTCTCAGGGTAAGGTTAGGGCCTGAGGCTCTGGGGGTTCCTTCTTTTGCTGTCTCAGTTGTCTCACTGCCAGCTGCCGGAGCCCCAGCCAGCTGGTTTTGGCCTCGGCACAACTTGGCGGTTGCCTTTCCGAGACACCGCGCGTTTCCTCATTCGAGTTGCTTGCTCCTCGGAATGTCGCACAACTTCCCACCCACCAACGTCACCGTTGGCAAAATTCCATCGAAAACCTTCTTCGCTGCTATTGTCGGCTTCGCCCTTTGTTTCTTCCGTTTCTTTGTCGGCTCGGCAGCCCATGAGTTCTCGCACGCGCTGGATTGGCCGCCACTGTATCCCACAATAGACGTTTATTCCATTCGGAATGGTTGCGAGGAGGAATGCCAGGATAGTCGGCACCTCGACCTCTTCGATTCTACAAACGGGAAACTAGAAAACAACAACAGAGCGAAACGCTCTGGGCAGAAGCCACGACAGCAGCACGACATTGCATGTACTCTGTACTAGCCTTGTCTTGGCAGGCCAGCGTTCGTTTGCAGATTACCCCCGTTTTGTCCCCACTGCGGCCGTTCGCTGGAGGCTTTGTTTCCACCGGCCCCATCGTGCGATTTCTCCCCGGTCACGGCGTTGGCGGCCTCCCGGGGCACGGCCAGCCAGCCCGTGTTTGGACCGGCGAAGAGTCCGAAGCTGCCCGTCGGCTTCCGGTGTTAGGATCCAAGGGCTGTGAGAACCCAACGTCGTGAAACTGTTTCCTGTCCTTTAACAATCGGTTTGAAGTCTCCTTTTACCAGCATCACACGGAACAGGGCGCTGTGTCAAGAACCCAACCATTTTACGCTCCCGAACCGCAACCGTATCACGAGCTGACCGCCGAAACTACCAGCTGGGTTGGTGCAGTGAGCCGGAGCTTCTCACACAACTGCTGAAGGAGGGTTGCTTCACTAATTCTGCTTCCATTGGCTTGCAATTGGCCAAGAAATCCACCCCGCTCACAACAATCCAACACCGCTCTCCTGCTCCCTCCCCGTCCCTTCGTACCAAGCATCCTTGTTGCAGAGTGCATTGCAGACGCAATCTGCAAAATAACTACGGCTCCCATGGCTCTCTTAGCCCAAATGGTCAAAGCCCTCTGGGCTGCTGGTAGCTGGGACTGCACATTTGGACAAGCGCAGGTCGACGAGTGTCGTGCAGCAACCCGCCGCCACTCTTGGAGTTCAGGATCAGCCGTTGGTTTTGCTATGAGGCATTTTCCTGACTGCTTGTTTTCCCCATGGTTTGTTGCTCCTATCGGGTTGACAACTTGACTTGATTCTCGTTTCATGCCACACCACTCGGCGCAGACGCAGGCGCAGATGGGGACACACATGGATTCCATTCGGCGATTGTCGCTGCAGCACCGCACAATCTCACCCGCCTACTCCTCCATTGGCTAACTTCCAACACACCAGCGAGAACATGCCAGGACCGCCAAGAGCTCAACAACGCGAAAGCGCATACATATGCAGTCCTTGGAACATGTCCCGCTTGTCACCGCCGCCGCCTGTTGATATCCGATGTGGTTACTGAGAAAGTTCTCTCGCTCCGGCTTGGCCGTGTCTTGTCAGCCGTGTTGACGCCGCCAGTTTCCACCATACTGGTGCCGTCCTCCCGTCGCGACCGCCAACCGTCACGTCGTGCGGTCCTGGGCAGAGTCCTCCGCCCTGTTTTTTTCCCCTCGGCCGAGTCACCACATACCTGGGCCTAGCAGGGGCGGCCGCTAAATGACCACACCAGGCCGTTTCACCGCAGCTTTGGCCGCTGTCTGCAAACGCCCGAAACCAGGCGCGGCGATGCCCACCAGTCCGGTTCGGATATTGACATGATCGAGGATGTGGCCCGAGCCGCATGCCCGCAATGACAAGTTGACAACTGGCAGTCCTCGGTCAAACCCCAACTTTGGGAAAGAGATGGCCGGTGTAGACGGTCGCCAGACGTGCAGACAAACTCCGGACTACACATGCGCCGGCCCAAATGAGGCCGCAGGAGCCTCAAATCCTTGTCTTAAACCCTGCTTTTCGGGAACGAGGTGAGGTGCGGAATATTGCTCACACGTGGTCGAAGCACACGTTCAAACTCGACGACGTCGCTCGTGATAATTGATGCAGATCCTCCCCTCCGCCGAAGGGACTGTGTACCTCACTGTCGCACATTCGCCATGTCTCCGATATTGAACCGCGCGCGGGGTGACGCCACAGGCTTGTTTCAGCCTTGGCTTGCGGCCGCGGAAAACACATCAGACTTCCGGCTATGGGGCCTTGCATAGACCTTGCTTCTACTTGCTGGCCCTGAGTTGTTTTCTTTTTTTTTGTGGTTCTCATCGATTCTTTTCCACCCCAGATAAGCTTTTGCCAAGACTGTGGCGGCCGCCAGGTGAAGGGGCAGGCACACCGAGTCGATGGGGTTTTGGCTCTCATTCACTTTCTCCCCTTCCTCGTTCGCCGAGACTTTTCGGTTGAAGAATGAGTCGGGGGCGGCATTGCCGAGCGGCGGTATTATTCCATGTTGTTAAACCCCGTCTTGAGATATACCTTTGGGCCGAGCGGCTAGACCCTTCAACGCCTGGTGATACACACGAAAAGGTCTTCTGTCACTCGCGTCCCCCTACCGTGCAACCAGCTTCCTCCAATTTTAGGCCTTTTACTGTATCTTCACTCTCCGAGCCTCCAAGAATATTCCCGAGTTGTCTCATCCAAGAGAGTCTCGACCCGGCTTCTAGATCCCTAAGTGTTCACTCGTCGACTGTCTCAGCTAAGAGGGCCTGGGCTCGGGAATATTCAAGACATTGTTGATATTTTGGGAGGCGTGTACACCGCAAGATGCGGAAGATGGCTGTTTCACAACCTCTTGCCTCACTCCCGAAGTGAGACATGCCGACATCCCGAGGAGTGGGCCAGACAGTTGGTCAGTTAATCAGTTGCTTGGTCAATGATGTGAAATCGCAACCTCCATATCCGGGATCAGTGGGGAAATATAAGCCTGCAATAAGACGCTTACACTGCAGTAAAACCCCTTTCAGGTGCGGCGGAAAGATTTCCAGCGGCTCGGCTCGTTCGCTGTGGCCAAAAAAAGCGAACAGACAGCTCAAGTCCAATCCATTAACATTCGATCAAATCATGGTAAATCTTGATTGATTTACTCTTTTTTGTCTTTTGTCACTCTCTAGATTTATTCTTTTTTGTCTTCTTTCACTTTTTTTTGGTTTCTTCATTTTGTCTTTTTTCACTTTTGTAGCAAAGTAAGTTATCCAGGGACTTGGTCTGCCGCTTTTTTTGGCCATAGCGAGGCTCGGTAATATCAGGTATTATCAACTGATGTCAATTGGATGGTGGGGCTGATACTGGTCTTGGTTTAAGTGGCTCCGTGTTGAAACCTCCAACTCGAGCTAATTAGTAGAGGGAGTTGAAAAGCACACCGGGCACCGAGAAGATATGGGTTCTCGAGAGACACCCAGAGCTTTTCTTGTCCGTCCACTCGGATTCGACGGAAAACCCTCCCCATAAACACCATTCAGTAGCCTCTAGATAACCCCCCTGATGCTCGTTCAAACGAGACGCCAAGTGCGCGGTAAAGCGTCCAGGGAACAATGAGATAGATATGGTGGGGGCAGGGTCCATTGCAACAGTGCAGACATGGCGCCTTCTTTTCTTTATCTGATCCGTTGCTTACCGAACCGCAATCCCAAAAAAGAGAGCGGCATGAGTGGCTTGCTTCCTCAGGGGAAGAAACGAGGCGGGAATAGAGCTACTGTAGTGTATCCGTAGGGTGGCGGAACCTCTTCTCAGATCCCCCCACGCCGACCACCATGGTATACTTGATTGAAGGCTGGGGTTGCAATGTAGTGTACGCCGTCCGGAGTTGTCCATATCGGGCTAACGATATCGACATAGCGCAGAGTCTAGTGTAATTCAGATCACCTAACCTCGGAACAAGTCTCAGTGGCCATTAAAAATGACTTCTCCTTTTTTTTTAAAAAAAAAAAGAAAAAAAAGAAGGGAAGCAGGGAAGCCCTCCCTCGTCTACACTAGTGTATTCGGTAGGAATTCCATTCCGGAATGCGGCATTTCGGCTTGAGCAAACCTTAAAAAATCTTGGTCAAAAGTCACGCTAACCACAGACTAAAATGCGGGGGAGGGGGGGAATGCGACAACAGAGAGAGATGTAAGAGGCTAGGAAAGATCAACACCTCCTTTCTCCCACTTGAGAGAGACCCTGAATGCTTCGCTGCAGCCTTTGGGATGATCTCTTTCGTCATATCTCACGCTCCAAGTTCTGTCATTTGACAGTTGACACTTTGCCCACTTCCGGGTTTACCCGAGAATTCTTACTTCTCTTCATCCGACCTACCCATGAAACCACCATCACGACATTTGTTGGACCCCATACGAAGTACACGGATTGTGTAGTGTACTCCATATCCTGATTCTCATGTCTCATTCCATAGCCCGCCTCTCTTCATCCTTGGCATGTTCGGTCCATTACCTAACTTGTAATACCCCCCCCCCCCATACTCTACTGAATTTCCATGTCAACATCGCCGTCATTCTTAACCTCCTCCGCGATATTCCCACTCCCACTCTCCTGCTTATTTCCCTCAGCATTAGCAGCCACAGCCTTGGCAACAAGTTCCGCCAGGCCCATCCCGAGACCATTCCTCGGCCCCGGCCCCCTTCCTACCCCTTCTCGTCCACCGAAACCACCACCGAGACTACCGCCGAGACCAAGACCCCACGGGCGACCCACGTTCCCCGTGCTGCCGCCGCCGCCGCCGTACTTACTACCTCTACCGCGTTCACTAAATTTCGTCTGGTAAATCACGCCCGCCCCAACCTCCTCCTCCGTTTCCTCCGGCCCCGCATTGCCGGCGCCATCACACTGGCTATCATGATCCCGGCCTTGCCCAGGCCCCCGCCCTGGCACAGGTACCGATGAGGCGGCGCCTCTTTGAGGGAACCCTCTACCCCCCCTACCCCGCCGGCTTGTCGATCGCTTGATGCGTTCGACCTCGGCTTCGAAGGCGCGGTCGTAGACGTTGAAGTCGACGACTGTGGGGGAGTCGGAGACGACGTAGGTGGCTGCGTCCTCGCTGCTGTTAGTAGTGGTGTTGTTGTTGTTGGTGGTGTTATTGTCTTTGGCTGATGAGGGGTGTGGGGCGCCGTTGGGACTGGGGAAGTCATCAATGCCGCCTGTTCCGATGCCTAGGTGCGGAGGTGGATGCGCTGGAGCGCCCGTTGCTGGGTGTTGTTCGTTGGCTTGGATCTGGCTACTGTCATGATTGGCCGATGGTAACTGTGGAGATGCTGTACTGGTGCCGGTGGCCGTGGTCGCGGTCGCGGTCGCGGTGGCTGACGTGAAGCCGGTTGAGATCAGGGATGGCGAGGCGGTTAGAGGCTGGCCGAGCAGCAGATCGAAGCTGGCTTTACCGCCTTTGGCGTGGAATTCTCGACGCTGGCGGAGCAGTTGGGCAGCGAGGTCTGCGTTGGAGATGGCTGGTTCGGGCCGCGCTTTCTCGCCAGGCGGAGAAGACGGAGGAGTGAGAGTGATACTGTTTGGGTGGAGGGTGTTTGGGGGTTTGCGGACTTGGCGTGGGGCAAGGAGGCTCTTGAACTTGTGGATGGCTTTCATCTAACGAAGTCGTTAGTCAAAAACGTGGGATGGCGGGGCGTGTGCGATCGAGAGCCCGGAAAAGAACATACCACACAGATGAGGTGGCTCATCTTGCGAGTGAAGGCGTGGTTGAGTTCAAGAGAGTTGGGTGAGGTGAGCGGGTCACAGCAGTTCTCTTCAGTGCTGAGAAGGGGGTCCGTCCCTTGTTTCGTCACCCATGGATGTTCCTAGGGCGAGGTGAGTGGTTTGTATAATGGACAGCTTGGGATTCGAAAACACTTACCCTCAGGTCGGCCATTTCTATCCTCTTCTCGGGGTCCTTCTCAAGCATTTTCCCCATCAAATCAACAAAATCCGGGTTTTCGTCTGGGGGCAGCTTAGGCGTCTCCGTTTTAATGGCCTCATACATCTCGAGCACACCGTCCCGATTGAAAGGGATTCTGCCGTAACGAAGACAGTACAGGGACACCCCCATGGACCAAATATCGGCTGCCTTGCCCGAGATGTCCCCATGCTTGGCCATACACAGTTCGGGCGGGAGAAAAGCCGGCGAGCCTGCCGATTTGGCGGTCCGCATCTGACCAGGTTTCTCAAACATCTCAGACACGCCAAAATCGACGATTTTCAGGACGTCGTCCTCGGTGAGCAAAAGATTTTCAGGCTTGATGTCACGGTGGACAACCCCCTGAGAGTGCACTGCGGTGGGCGTGAGCATTTCCAGTGCGAATAATGCGAGTCCGTGAGAAAGGACTTACAATACTCAATACCGAGGATAAGATCTCGGAACCAGTGCCTGCATTGCTCCTCTTCATAGGGCGTTGCAGCCTCACTGAGGCCTACCTTCATGACGACCCCTTTCTTACACATCTCGAGCACCATGTATAAGGTGTCGTCATCGGGGTCGTCCAAAACTTCGATCAACTGGACGAGGTTGGGGTGATTCAACTTCTTCATGATGGCGATTTCGGCGCGGATCAGAAAAAGGGCATCTTTCGCCTCCTTAGCTTGCTGGGCCGTGAAGCCCGCAACGGGGGCATCAGGGGCGCCAAAACCAGCCCGGTGGAAGCGCCCAATTTGTCGTGGGCCGCGGCGGAGTACATCGGACTGGGCACGCTTTCGGAGGCGAGTTTTGGAGAACGCTTTGACAGCCTGGAAGAAGGTGAGTGAGTGGGTAGTCCTCTAAGTTGCCCAGAAAAGGAGGTAAGAACTCACGTATTCAGTACCGAACTGGTCGTTGGCCAAGTAGACTGCGCCGTAGGAGCCCCGGCCAATCTCGTCTTTGATAACGTACTGGTTGAGGTGGTGATGCGAGCGGCCCTCGGCGTCTTCATTGGTGTATTCAGATCGCGCGTTAAGGGTTTCCTAGAAGGGTTGAGGTAAGTGTGTGCTTGCTTTGTATTGTATTCAGGGGGAGGAGTTCTCCGTAGCTATAACATACCTTGATCTCGCGGTGAGCCGAAGGGGTCCTTTTATGGTGTCTCATGGGGCTTGAGAAACTTTGCACAGTTGCTGGCGCCGAGCTGAGAGGATATTGTTAGCCTTGTCAAGCCTCAGGTGTGGAGGGAACTGAACCCACCGGGGATGAATTGGAGACGGCCTGTCATGGTGATCGCCATATAGTTCAACCTGAATCCCTGGTGAGAGCACGCCCGCGGGCATGGCGGTATGGATCGCGGGAGTCGTTTCACTGTCGCCGGCCGGCCGTGGGCGTGGAGGCAGAGTCACGGTAGTCTCTCGAATCCGAGAATCGTTCGGTTCCGCCATGATAGATTTGATCCAGATCACTGCGCAGATAAGACTGGAGGTGAAAGTCGGGATGAGAAAACGGCAGGGGTCTTCAAACACATATATCCGTCTTCCAAGACTCTACCATGGCGCGGGGGTGGTTCACTGGTACAACGAGTCCGGGCTTTTGATATCCAAGACGTCTCGGAGTTGACAGAGCTAGCGGTCTTGCGATACCGAGAATTCAGCAACCCCGAGGTGGTGGCGTTTGGCGTGTGGCTGGGAACGAGGGGGTGGGTGGTGGATGATAGATTCAAAAAATGAATTTTGTTCGATCCGCGTCTTCAAGAGAAGGTCGGAGTCTTTCCGTTAGGCACGATCTTCGATCGAATCTGCAGCGCTGCTAAACTTAGAACGCAGCGGTGGCCGCGGAGTGGCCACCAAACGAGAGGCCAAGAGGAAATTCTGTAGGGTACGAAGTAACACCACTGCACCGGCGTGTTGGGGTCGGGTTTCAGGGGCCTTTTACCAAGAAATGAGCGAAAGAGGAGTGTCAAGTAAAGTAATTATGTACCCAAAGAACCACGTAGACCGGGCTGCATCAGTTCAAGATCTAGGCCGGTACCTATCGAGCGATTTGACCCGCCTGCTGCGTTTTAACTTTTTCCAGCGTGTTGGGTTATCCGATACCCGACATTCAGCAGGCGCCTGCCGGGCATGGAGCGTCCCGTCGAGGGTTCGGTCACACCCCTCTAACAGCAGAGGTACCCCACTACAGCACTCGCGACCCCGCAGACTCAGAGCCTCATAGGGATAGCGCACGGACCTTATTGGGTGGAAACACCCGTACACTAGCGCAGAAACCCGAAAACAGGGGTTCGGCAACACACCTCGCACCACTGATCAATCAGCTGCCAGCAACAGCTCCCGCAAACGTTACCGTAACCTCCATCCCGTGGTCCGGAGGTTAATCAGGGCATCTATCGCGACGCCGCTCCGATTTGAAGAAACCCGACGACGCGCCGAGCGGTCCCTCAACAAGCCCGACTGCCAATCTCCTTGGCGACAACATCGCACGCCCCCATCCTTCCCCGTATCTTGCCGTCTTGCCGGCCTGCCGTCCATCTCGCTGTTTCGTTCAAACACGTCGTCGCCAGTTGCAAAGTCGTTCCGCGCCAGGGGGGAACCTCCCCCCGACCTAACCCGCCATCATGGTCGTCTATTCATTCTACATCTTCGACCGGCATAGTGCGTCTCCCTTCCCCCCGAATCCAAAAACAAAACCCACCAAAAAAGCCAAGACTAACCACGACCATGCACCCTCTCTCTAGCGGAATGCATCTACTCCAAGACCTGGCTTCCAACCACCGCCACAGCGCATGATCCTCAGGCCACCGGCGCGTCACACCAGCTCCGGGCATCAACAGCCGACGACGCCAAGCTCATCTTCGGTACCGTCTTCTCGCTACGTAACATGGTGCGCAAGCTCGGGGGCGATGATGACGCCTTCGTATCGTACCGCACCGCACACTACAAGCTGCATTTCTACGAGACGGCCAGCAGTCTGCGTCTGGTCATGTTGACGGACACGGCGACGTTGAGCATGCGGAATGTGCTGCATCAGATATATATCAACTTGTGGGTGGAATATGGTACGTTTCTCGGCTTAGGACATTGATGATGGGGGTGGAGTTGAGAGGCAGAAAGCTAACATTGGTTGGTTACCAGTGGTCAAGAATCCTCTCTCGCCGGTCGAGCACAAGGCTGGTGCCGGTGTGAAGAACGAGCTATTTGAGCTAGGACTTGACCAGTTTGTCCGAGGACTGATGTGAGAGGTATGCGAGACGCAATACGAAAGCTCAAGGGGAAACGTGCTTCTCCAGGGTCAAGGGCAGGTATGCGGTTTGCATGAGAGATATGAACCAAACCCTCGGTCGCAACTGCTGCTGTTTGTGGGACACGCTCCTCGGCCTAGGACAGACACGCTAAAGGATGGCTTTGCTATAACCTTCCGGGCACTGTGTCCTGACGGAAGCGTATAGTGTGGTTGCTCGCAGCGTTGGAAACAAGGTGTCGACCATGGGCGGTGGTGGCTTACACGATAGCTGATTATCTATGGGCGCTCCAGAAAGCCTGACCCATTGGCAGCCATGGAGGAATATTGAAAACAAAAGAAGGCGACGAAGATTTCAAGGATACAGAGATACCCAAATAACTTACCACAAGAGAAATTAGGTCAACGCGGAATTGTAACGTGGTTTCTGAAATGCACATTACGGATTACAAGCATGTGGTTCACATCTACGTACTAAACCCTCTCATTACCGACCACCCTTGAAATAAAGTGCCAACTGTCAACGTGGAAAAAACACTCTCTCAAAATCTTGCTATTTTCATTCCCCGTCTGATCTAGGTATCGTCAAATAAGGCAAAAGCAACCCTGTTCTCTTTCCTACTTTCCCACGAGCCGTCCTCCTAAGCCAGGGGGGTAAACAAACAGACCAAGTCCGAAAACATAGGGGGTGGATAAAGACAAAAAACACCACAAGAACGGACAAGATAGTCATACACGGAGCCAAGCCATCTCCACAGCATACAGTCATTATGAAAATAAATGGTTCTCTGGGCAAAAAAAAAAAAAAAAAGACCACAACAACAAAACGGCTCTCAACCCCACCGCGGG